TTTTGTAGCCGCCTGCCACGGCCGATGAGCACTATCATGGCATGGCGGAAGCATCAAATGCTTTGAGGCTAAAGAGGAGCAAAAACTGGTCAGATCCATTTGACATTGACAAGGCGGCTCTGAGAGTCATCGCCGTTGATTGCAATGGTCGCATTAGCTCAAATTGCCATCCAAAGGGGTGGCTACCTCGAAATCGGCGCCCATGATAACATCTGGGAAAGAAAGGCTGCCTATTCTTACTCAAAGAACTTGTGCAACGAGGTTCACTGCCGGAGGTTCTCTCCCATTATGTGCACAAGTCAATTCGAACTCTTGGAGACGTCATTCATCATTTTGGAGGTGGTTTAGGTTGATATAGATGCTAGAGTACATCGCAGAGCTGTGAGTGGGAGGAGAGGGTATAGGGCAGACATTTTAAGAGGAACAGATATAGTTAAAGCAAGTTGCTCAGCAGCGTGCTTAAGTAGCTGGCGATTGGTCCCTATGGAGATTACTGAAAGCTATATCAAACAAGTTATGCCACTTGTATGACGCATGTGGTAGTGAAGGTAGCAATCTTGCGTTTCTTTGTCTACTCAAACGTATAGAGCCGTCGTCATGTGATTCCTGACACCAGAGCAACTAGCAGCCGCGACAAATCAAATCGATGGAGAGACGTTCTTCCCGCATTGTTGATTCTGGTCGTTGTAACTGTCACTCTGTAGTCGAAATGCATGATTTCAACATACGCACTTCAGAATACCTGCTCACTGAATTGATTAATCGAGAAAGGGGTGACATTACGACGGCATGTGTTTTGAACCCTGGCTGGACAGTGCCAGTCAGTTTGGGCAGAACAGCAAGCGGAATCAGTGGCGCAAAATCAACTTAGAAACCTCCGCCAAGCAGGTAGCCGTGCAAAATTTTCATAGTCGAGACGCTTTAAAATACTTTTCAGTCAAACTTTCATGAACGGGTGTGACTCCACTATACTATTTGTTGAATGGCGGTTTCTCAATCTGTAAAACACGCAGCAGAATGCCAAGGTGGTCCATCTAATGCTGCGGTCAAGCAGGTCTCACACAACGGAAGGATTGGCCGAGTATTGAGGGGATGGGCTGACGCTAGGATGATTGATCAGATAACCATACCTACATAGGCTGCTGGGTAAGCTAAAATGGCGACGGTGGGGGGTTTTTTTTAGCCAAGCTGCTCACTTAATTCACGTATTTGTGGGCCGTTGTCAGCAAGTAAGGTTATCAGATGGTGCTAAGAGAGACTTCGCATCCTGCACTATGGGTCCAACCTGCAGGACTCCCTGCATCGGGGTCGCGCCAGGCCTCGCTTCGCGCCGGACGGCATCAGGGTTGGCAGAGCACGCCCAGGAGGTAAGTGGAAATTTGTGCTTGATTCCGCAGTCTTGCCGACACTTACCATTCATGCACCGCCCTGGTCCGATCCATGTGATTTCCCTCGTGTCATAGTGCCATTGCTGAACACATCCCAGAGCATGCCCGGCTTTACCAAGATTCCATTCAGAGCGACGATCGGCCTTGGCAGCCAAGTAAACCGGTGCTCCTTTCGTGTGTGAATCTGCATGCCAATGCAATAGCAACCACTCGGCATGGTCTAGCCGCTATCGTCCAAACATGGAGGGTAGAGTAGCTTTGCGTATATATACATGAACTGTCTGCTGCATGCAGATCCCCATCGCCCAGTCCAAATCGCTAGGCCAAGAAAGGGGTTTCTGTCTTTTTTGTTCGTCCCACCACCTAACGACATTGGTTCATTCCGAGCTCCAAATGGCACAGCCGACCTCTCCAGAGCTCGTAGCAGAGCCGAAGCAACCTTTGGGTATTGAGCACAATGTCACTCAAGCGCCTGAACAAGGGTTCAAGGGCAGTGAAGATGAAGCTTCCATACCCGAAGGTGTTGAACAGGTTGAAGCAATTACTAAATTATGGACCAAACAGATGTTATGGACGACATTTGCCCTGTGAGTATTTGTCCAAGTCCTTGCTGAGATATTTTCCAATCAGGGATAGCTACGCGCTATTTGCGAGCCTGACATTGTTTTACGACTTACTGACACTAAAATACCAGGATCTGGTTTCTGTGCTTCGTGGTAGATATGCTTTCGTCCGTCCAAGACGCTCTTTCTCCGTACATCACGTCCTTCTTCTCGAAACACGGCTTACTCGCCAACATCAACATACCTTCGCGAATCATCGCGGGCGTCGTATTGCTTCCCGTGAGCAAGATCATTGATCTTCGCGGCCGTACCGAAGGTTTCATTGGTTCTATTGTACTCATTGTCTTGGGTATGGTAATGAAGGCAGCTTGCCAGAATGTGGAGACCTACGTTGCTGCTCAAGTATTTTACTGGGTTGGAAAGGCAGCGCTTGGCTTCGTCCTAGAGGTCTTCGTCGCTGATATCACCACTCTGAGGAACAGAATGATCATGTTAACTCTCAATGGCACTCCAGTTTTGGCTTCTACCTTTGCAGGTCCGCAAATAGCCCAACTGTTCTACACATACTCAAACTTCAGATGGGCCTTCGGAGCATGGTCGATCATCCTCATTGGCTCCTCTATCCCTGTGATCTGCATCCTCTTCTTTCAGGAACGCAAGGCGCAGAAAGCTGGAATAGTCCGTAAGCGATCAGGGCGTACTATAATGCAGTCTACTAAGTATTATTTCCTGCATTTCGATGGTAAGTCCCAGTTTGTTTTTCTGCTCATTGCTAGTAAATAGTTTACTGACGTCTTTCAAAGTGGTTGGCATGACACTTATTGCGGCTGGATTCATCCTGTTCCTCCTTCCATTCAGCCTAGTAGCGTATTCAACAGCCGGATGGGAAAGCCCTCACATCATCGTCATGATCATATTGGGTCTGGCTTGCCTGGCCGCATTTCTGGTTTGGGAGAAATATTTCACGCCGATCAATTTCTTCCCATTCGAGGTCTTGAAGGATAGAACAGTCATGAACGCGGCACTGACACATGCCCTCATGTTCATGACGATATTGTATGACCACAGTTCCCTTGATATATCCCGTTAGAAGGAGGCTGACTTGTGCTCGCAGTATTTGGAACGCTTACTACAGCTCATATCTCCAGGTGGTCCATGGCTTGAGCATTAGAGATTCTAACTATGTACTCAACGGCCTTGCACTGACTTCGTACTTTATTGGACCATTCGTTGGGCTGTGAGAAATTCTGTACCCATTTTTGACAAGTTTATCACTAAATTGTTCATAGATATATCCGCTACACTGGCCATGTCAAGTACCCAGCGTTGGCAGCCATCCCCATCTATCTGCTTGGAACAGCCCTTATCGCATACTTCAGGACACCATCGGCTTATGTGGGCTACATTACAATGTGTCAGGTACTTGTGGGACTTGGCAGTGCATTGCTCACGGACACTTCAAGACTTGCTGTCATGGCGGCAGTCAAGCATAAAGACGTCGCTTTGTCCCTTGTGATCCATAACTTGTTCACTGCTATTGGATCTGCCATAGGTTTTGCCATTGCTGGAGGCATGTGGACAAACATGCTTCCATACAAACTTGCCGAGTATCTCCCTGAGGACAGCAAGTCCGACGCATTCAAGATATTTGGAGACATCACACTGCAGATGCAGTACCCAATTGGGCACCCCATACGTGATGGTGTCATTGCTGCCTATGGCGACGTTGGTAGGAAAATGGTCATCGTCGGTTCTGCCCTTACGCCTTTGATGATCATTACTGTACTTCTATGGCGAAACATCAATGTCAAGGATATGGAGGCAAAAGAGAGGGAAGAGCGTGGCAACGTGTTCTAAACAGGCTGGGTTAGGCCGCATCATGGGATTCTCTGACTCTTTTACGAGATGACGTAGGTTCCGAACACTATGACTCTAAGGGTTGTTTGCCTGTCAGGGCTTTAATCTAGCAAATAGACCTAGTTAGTCACTCAAGCACGCATATTAGCGAGCGAATCACAGGGTGTTTTCGCATCTCTCATATGACTGCTTTCAGCTAACTGAGTCAATGATACTTTAGCATGAGTTATTATTGCTGCTATGACTCATTGTAACCCGAACTCGCTGCCCCCAGAGAGTTTTGATACACTGCTTAGGCGGGCACCTAATTTGGCACAATAGTCGGTCATGTGAGGGGATGGCAATAACATATCGCCTTCGCTATTGAGGTTTATGATAAGCTTTGAAGCTGTTCGATAGGTTCCCCTCCTTTGACTGGAATGCCTCAAGGTACAACGTATGACTTAAAGTATTGCAAGCACTGAGTGCTGGCCTCTGTAGCGATTAGATGTTCTAACTGAGCGTTGAAGCTCGAGAAACTTTTACTTGAAGACGCAGTGTTTAGGTTGCCTGCCATCATACGGTTGCCTTTGCCCGTTCGCTGATTCTGACTTTCATCTTCATTCCATCAACCGGTTTGGCGGTTACAACGTCAGTCTAGTAACAAAAATGTTAGCTGAAGGCTCTAAGAATTGTAGGACACTCCGAGGCTGAGCACTCACACTATACATCTCAGATTTCGTCTTGTAATAGCCCTTCTCGTTCAGGATGGGACTTCCATCCTCATCCAATTCCAACTCTCCGCGACCGATCTTGACGAATTCGAATCGTCTCGCAATGCAAGCCAGAACCACCCGGACTTCCATGTTTGCAAGCTCCGAGCCAGTGCAGCGTCTAGGGCCCCTCTCGTATGGTCGCCACGCGCTCTCCGGGATGTTTGCAGCTTCTGGTCCAAGCCAGCGCTCAGGTACAAAATCGTCCTTGCTTTCGCCGAAGATGGCAGGGTCTCGCTGAATGACGTAGGCCCTAGGAGTCAACACAAGACCGTCAACCACCAACTGCTTTCCGTCAGGCATGATCAACGTAGTGCCGGATCCTTCGGGCGCCAGTCGAGCTGTGGTCCCCGGTGGGTACAGTCGGAGAGTCTCCTTGATGATTGCATCGGTATCTGTCAACAATTAGAATTAGCTAAAGGGGCATTACTATGATTGGTGGAAAGAAGAGAAGCCTACACTTCAGATTTCCCATGAGCTCTCCGTTTCCGGGAGCCAGTAGTCTAGCAATGATGGTCGAAGGGTTCGTATCAGGTCCAAACACGCTGTCAAGCTCCTCCGTCAGAGCTTTCAGAGCGTGTGGGCTTCTATGCAGCTCGTAAAAGATCCACTGCATCAAGATACTTGTCGTATCGTGCCCAGCGAATAGAAAGCCTCGACAAGTATCACTCGTTTGCTGGAGAATCTCCGGGGTGAGCTTCTTAATACCGTGTAAGCTGAGCGCCGCTACACTACGAGACGCTGTGGCATCGCCTTTCGTTAATTTCGCATGTTCCCTCTTGATATTTTCCTTCAGTATGGCGTCTAGCTTGTTGTCTAGCTTTCTGATCTGCCGTTCGTTCTCTGAGAAGTATCTTCGGACCCAGTGCTTCGAGTTATCCCGTTTGACGAAGGCATGCGACAGCTCACGGTACGTTGTCAACAGAGGACTTTGTTGGCCGGGTATCTGAGCGTTGAGGTCCATGTCGAATGTTACAATGCCTTTATCTTTAAGTTAGTGTACACGTTGGAAGTCACTGCTCCTAGGTAGTGGTCATGGATGCTTACCAATAACGTCGAACGATAGGTTGATGGTCAATTCGTCAACGGCGAACTCTTCGCCGGATGCGGCTAGCCGTTCCAAATGTTCTATGAAGTATTGACTCTTGTCCAATATGACTTTAACGAGACTTAAAAGATGCTGAGGTTGAAACCCCGGAAGGATGCGCTTCCGTAGACCTTTCCATTCGTCGCCCTTTTCAACATCAGTCGGTCAACTTCAAAGCCTCTCTTGGCTTGCATGTGTCGGGGCAAACGCTTACATCCAGTGTGACAAGTGATCGGGAACCAACCAAGGGAGCCAAGTCCTGCATCGCCGGGTGCTTAGGCACACTAGTGCTGTACTGTTTGGTGGCTCTGGTGACTTGCTCGGCTACACTATTATTGAAAATGAACAAGAGGACGAATGATTCAACTGGCCTCCAATCAACCAGCAAGACCGGCGGGTACCCAAGTTTCTTCGCTTGCTCATACAAGATTATATCTGGAGGAAGACCGTCTCGTTAACAGAATTATTTCTCTCCCACTTTCTCTTACAAGCCCATAATCCGGGCCAGGTGCCGCTTTGAGCCCGCCCATGTGCAAGTAGTACTCTCAAAGAGCTTGCTCGCGCAGACCTATACGTACCAAATGACCTTCCCGCCTCGCCTTCGCCCGCAGCCTTTTCGATCCATGGCCAATGTCCTCTCGTCTTGTCGGGCTCCTCGGGTTGAGGGAAATCGGCGAATCTCTTGACGTCATTTTGATTTGGCTTGAGCTTTTGTAGCAGGTAATATGCAAAGAGCGGGATGATCGCAAGTAGGGCAGATTGCCAGTGAGCAAAGAGCTGTTCGAGCACGGCCATCTTGTCTTTTCCAGCCTTCAGTATTCAGTACTGTTAAGGATCGGCCGACAGGCGGAAAGATTTGGTCGCAAGCTCGCGAGATGGGAAAAAATTGTCGCGCTCGAGGTGCACCTGCATGGGAAGTGACATAACCGCAACCCTGCTAATCCCATCTTTCGATGCAACATCCGCGAAGAGCTGCCTCGTGGGCCCTAATCAGCAACCCCGAAGCAGGCGATCACCCAATGAATGATACTTGTTTAGCACCGTGAAGGCCCAACTCCGCTCAGCACTGATTGGGCATACCCAGAGGTATGAGCCCCGGAACGCAGCAATACCCCATGTCAGACTGTCTCTGAATTCCAAGTGGGATTCAAGGACAGCCATTTAACAAAGCTGCCCTTGCCCGGGGTGTACGAGTACATTTACCCACAATACTGAAGACGCCGATGGATTTGCGAATCAGATATCGTGCAAGGCACCAGAGCCCATGTGGGTGGCCTTGGCGACCACAACGCTAGCCAACCAAGAATCCCGAAGCCCAGTTTTGATTATGCAGATCCATCTTATCTGATCATCAGATAACGCCGATATCGCCCTGATGATCCCGATGGTGCCATGGAAGCTGCACAAACTTTGCCTAGTGTTCGTACCTGAAATCAACTGCCCAAACCGCGTTGGTGTTAGTGAGGCCCATCCACAGTTGAAAGACGACGTTCTTTACCCCGCAGCTCAATGGATCATCACGGCCAAACGAAGATTTTCTTGTGTCTTGCGTCAGCCTTTATGTCGCAAATGTTGTGTGACTCAAAGTCCGCGTCAAGTGCCCGCCATTTCTTCCAATGTTTGAATCGCCCGTGTCTTGAGTTGTCATGTAATATATCCTGTAAAAGGCTATACACCTGGTGCCTGTTTGTGGTATGTGAAATGCGCAGGTCATTGCCTCGAATTTCCAGTCTCTCATGTGACGACAAGGCCCGTGGTTGCCAAGACCTGCAGAAGAGAGGACCCTTGCCAAAAACAACGCAACTCAATCTTGGCCCTTGTAAATTTACATAATAGGACGGTATTGAATCGTACGGTGCGTGGGCGTTTACATATTGGTCGCCACATTCAATGGGGAGGCACAAGATATATGCGTAGCATGCTGAATTTTCACTTTCTTTACCGGATATCGGAGCCATTACGCGGAAGCAAAAAAAGGGTCTTGTCTTGAATGGATTGTCTTTCCGGTCATTGCCAGCACGCCAAGTAAAATGGTGTTTTAGCTTCTGGTGGATTGCAAGTAGGGTGTAAGTCAGGTGTACAAGGTGTGAAGCATTCAAGGTTAGCAATCAACTACACATGGTGCTTTTGAGAGACGCATTGTGACAGATTCGTCCTTTTGTTGGGCCGTTTAACAGTATCACATTTAATTGCAGCTTACGGTATCGTTTCCAGATCATTGTGGCCAAACCCCGCTATACATTATTCAAGAAGCCAAGAGATACCTTCTAGAAGATGCTGCAGCCATGTCTTCGAAACAGGCAGATCTGGACAAACTCCCCAAAAACCATGTGGCAATCCTGTATAAACATGAATCTTGGTGGAGAGTCCCTCTTCTCGTAGCAATCGTTCCAGAAGCAATCCTTCGTCCCGTCTGGGATCCCATCCACACACAGCAAAATATGCCTTTTTCGCAATATCCTTGTGTGAATCAAAGAGTAGGGGAGATAGTCTGAGATCTTCTGGAGGCGCGGCATACTTGCCTTACGTTGACACAGTGGTTAGCTTAACCATACATAGATGCAGCAAGGAAATTCCTAAATCTCCTGACTTACTCGCAAACAAGTTAATCGAATCTCTCGTTAGACCTGGGGCGTCGTTGATTTCATCGATACTGAGAATCTGGTCGCGATATTTCTCGGGTCGAACATCCGGGTGGCAAAAGCTTCCAGCGAGGAAAATAAGACCGGTCAGACGAGGTGAAAGGCCTTCGCGTAGCGCTAGGTGAGATATACCGGCTGTGAAGTTGGCTCCAGCCGATGTACCGCCCAAGATGAAGCCTTTTGAAAGGTCGACATTCAGTCTCTGCTGGCCGTCCAGTGAGGCAGCCTACAAGCATGAGCATCTGGGCATCATATTGTGCGGGTTCTGTTTTGATCGTTCACTCACCCACCGTACTATATCAAAGCAATCTTCGAATCCGACAGGAAACTTGTGTTCTGGAGCAAGGCGGTATTCGACGCTGACAATCATAACATCAACATGCAACGCTACAGCGCGCAACGGCACGTCATCCGTCTCGAGAGATCCGGTGACATAGCCACCACCGTGCATGTAAAGGAGCAACGGAAGAGCATCATGACATGCTTGCTTTCGGTAGGTACGTAATCTGATGGGATAACCGTCACGAGCATTGATTTCAAACTCCTCAATCGTCAGGCCATGCTGCGGTCTTATTTCGTCGCGTTCCCGGGACAAGCCACAAGTCTTTGTACCCGGGGGGAGGTTTCGCGGAAACTAATAAGGTCAAAAGGTCTGTATCATGTGAGAGCCAGCCCACTGTGCTTACCTCTACCCATTCTGGGTTTGGGTGCGCGAAATGTCTGAAATCTGCCATATTATCGATGCCAAGGAAAGTTCAGGTTCGAACAGAATGGCAAAATCTATAAATATATTCTTGCGTTACATTTATCCCTTACAGCGGGGTCTGATATCCCCGAAAGCCGCTCGTAAATCCGATAATTGCAGGTTGGTCGGTACGCGAAGGACAGATTGACAAAGAGCGAGACAGGCTACACAAATTGCCGAGATCTACGGCACGCATGTGCGTGCGGATAAGCCGTCAAAGAGCGCGGTGTTTCAGCCCTTGCTTATCACTGCGGGGTACTAGGCTTGCAACTATATTGTGTACGCCAAGCTTTCAAAACGTGGGATAATCTTTCAGGGACGCCTGTTCGCACCAACCAGGCTCTCTGTGCCGAGATTTCGCAATATTGAGATTATCAACACTTCTGTTCCTGGATTGACCTGTGTATGAGGCTGACTGTCAAGCTGCAGCTGAATCCCTGGCTGATTACCACTTGCTCTTCAGCCTTGCAGGTTCAATGGACATCACTCAATACACACCAAAGCTGGATGCGTACGAGCGCTTATCCAGCTATCAGATCTCCAAATTCTTCGAGCGCCATGCGCCTATCACGAGAGAGGATTGTGATCGAGTTGCCGCAGAAATCATGAGAAGTCCAGCAACTGCCACTCCAGTACAAGGTGCACAAAGCTATACTGTAGCCAGCCAACTAGCGAACCAAGTGGTTCAGTTCCGGTCTGCAGGTCTAGAAATAGAAATAGTCGAGCTTGCAAGAAAGCTCTATGGCAATGTCGTTCCTCATTGCGAGCCCAGAGGCATACTCGGGACTAGCCACATCTACGTCTCGAATCTGGTATCCGGCTCTGCGTTTTGTTAAATCAGACATCAGCTATTTGAACTAAATATGGAGCTTCTTCTACATCAGTCTGTGCAAGATTTCGCAAGGTTTGCCATAGACACGGTTGCCAAGAGGAATTTGTATTGGTTCTAAGTGTTGTCAAGGTTTTTCGCCTCTCCATGGATCAGTCGGAATAGATTTGAACGGGAGGAAACCCGTGGTTGCTCATTGAGTATTCGCAGATACTCGATCAGGTTGCTCTGGAGCTACGCTCACGACTTCTGGGGAAGCTGAATGAAGTCCGCGAAGGGCTTCCGCTTCTCTTTCGACCCAGCTATCCTGTTGTTCTACAGCACGACGACCTTTTGGAGAACAACATACATGTGGACGCGTGTACAGGCCGAATAACGGGCATTGTAGACTGGGCTGATGCTATAGTTGCTCCTTTTGGCGTTTCTCTCGGAACTCTAGAGGTCTTTCTTGGAGTTCAGACTATGGATAACTGGCATTTTCATACAGGTCATTTACGGCTCCGACAAAGTTTCTGGGATACTTTTTACGGACTGATTGGTCAAATCTCCGAAGATGATAGACGCTCCATAGAGATTGCGAGACTCTTTGGATTGTTTCGAAATCAAGGACTCGAAGAAGAAAAGCGCCGGTCAATTATATATCTTGAAGCATTATGCTTGCATTCATAGCCCTGCGTATTGAAAAGTTTCTCCAATAAGACAGCGCGTAGAAAGATCTGTTTCTATGGGCACAGCAAGCCCACAGACTCAAGGTGAAGCGGGTTGAAGCTGGCATCGATGTACAGCTGTCACTTGGTGACTTAAGTGTGGTAAACAAGGGATCGGGAACCCGTCGAGAACAGAATGAAGAGTGAGTTTCATCACGTGGAATTGAGTAAAGTTTCATATGGGTATAGAGTATAAAGACGGAAGACTCCACTTTAGGCGTTCAATCTGTGAATGTATTACACATACTTCTCATCTGTCTCTGCGGTGTCCGGTTGGGATCGCGGATTGAACAGGGCGTTTCTCGTAGTTCTCGTTTTTACCCGGATTCTGAGCCCCTAACACGGGATGTGGACTTGCTGTAAATTCTGCTGATCTCAAAGAACAGCAAATGGTCATCATATCATGCTACTACGAAGCTCCTCCTATCTTTCGCATCAAGTCCCCTTCAAGACCTTTATTGCTTCGAGCTGCGCATCCATCAGGTTATACACGGCCATTAGCTTCAGCAGCTTGCTTTGGCCTGCGGCACCTGCCTTCTTGGACTCCTTCAGCGCCGTCCCAAGATCGAGTAGTATTGTGCTTCGGCATTTGGACATTCTCTCTGTCGCTTTCTTGATCAGGGGCACATCTCGCCCTATTATGTCCGCCAGGTTGTCGAGGCTTGCGTAGTCCTTGGCGAGGCCGGCAAGCTTGGCGGCACTTGTGCCTATGATGTCGCTGCTCTCCTCGTCCTCATCTTCACTCTCGTCGCTATCAGGCTCGGCAGCTCCGCTGATGGCCAGCCTGCTCTCCAATTCTTCCAGCCTGTCGTTGAATTCCAGTATGCGCCGCCCAGCCTCGATGTCTCTCCGCACGTCGGTCAGGTCCTGGTTTAGCTTGCCTGCCTCCCGCCCTCGCTCTCCCACGCGGCCCTTGACCTCTTCTACTGCGCGTCGGAAGCCGAGCAGCCCTACTCTTACATCCTCAACCCTCTCCTCGCCGCCTTTGAGCTCGCTCCCCAAGCTCAAGAAGCTCGTGTAGTTGGCGTTGACCAGCTCTAGCAGCTCGGCTGATATTGCAGCACTCCGTTCCCTCAGGTCTGAGCGCAGGTCTTCCAGGGTCTGATGGCGGTGCGGCAGCGAAGAGAGGTACTCGGCTGCGTCGAAGTCGGGCGACAGGAAGTCGGTACGCGGTAGCGCCGTTGGGAACGGGAGCGCGTTGGGGTCGTCATCTTCGGCATCTGACGACGAGGAGCTAGAGGGGAGGTTGAATGTGCGTGATGAGATGGGCCGGGCCGGCGACAGCGGTGTCTGAGGGGGCATCACGGCAGCATGGACATGGACGTGGACGTGGAGCGATCCCTTTCACAGGTCTGGCGGGCCCTTGCTGCTTGGGCCCGGCGTCTGGCACGTGTAAGTGGATGTCGAGGCTGGGGCGCGGAAGCGGCTATGTGGCCTCAGTACGACGGTTTAGTGGATAATATGGGTGCGGGGAAACGCAGTTTACAGTAAGCTCTATCGGTAGATGAGGGCCAGAAGCAACGGGCTAGAACGGGAGTTGCGGCTGGCTTGGACAAGGAAAAAGACACGACGACGACTCTGTTCTCTGATAGACAATCTGAGCGTCTCCAACCACACCGTCTGCCCCCCCATCCGGCTTGGGGCTGGAGGTGTGGCAGAACCCGAACCCCACCACACCGAGGCTCACCTCGGTGAATGGCGCCTCGTGGCCGCCGTGGGGTCTGGCCAAACCGGCTCACCGAGTTTCGTCGCGTGCTTCTCGCCGGGTCCGGTGTCGCTCTTGGCCGTGGGCAGACAAGGTGACGAGCCAGCGCCAACCAGCGTCAGCCAGCCCGAATGTGCCCGATCGTCTCGCTTGTCTCGCAGGCCCATCTCCACCGCTGCGACGACATTGAGCAAATTTTCAAGCCCACGAAAACGCATCATCCCTCGACCGGCACGCCAAGTGGAGCGAGGGCCGACCTTCAGCTGGGCCCCCGGCATAATCTTATCAATCTGATCAGTCGATCTGTGATCCGTTCCCATCTCTGCCTCATCCCACACATGCCCACCCGCGCGCAAACCCCTCTCATCGCGCCGGCACTGCGGCAGCTCCTGACGCCCGCGCGCTCGTCTGCACATTAATAGAGCCCTCCCCTGCCGCTCTTTCGGGCTTATCTTTGACCCTTGCTCCTCTTTGGTCGTACCTGGGCCTTGTTGCACTGCACCGATTGCCGCGGACTGAGCGAGGCACTTTCATTCGGCGCCGAGGACAGCTCCGAGTTGAGCACTGGGGTCGGCACGCACCTGGGCCAGGGCTGCGCATAGTCAAACAGGCCACCATCCGTGCTGTTTTGCACCACATTTGCACTCTCCCACAAACCATCGACTGGCGTCAGTCACTCAATTGTTGTGGTCGTCGTCGTCGTCGTCAAAAACATCTTATCGACGGGAAGCCGGACTCTCATTGGACCCGACGGAGCCGAGTACCGAGCGTCTCGTTTAACCATCCGGACAGCCGCATGCACGTTTCCCATAGTGCCCAGCGAATGAACCACTTCCACCGGAGGCTGAGAAGTTAGGCAAAATGGCAAGTCCTTCTGTCATTGCATCGTCTGGTAGGGCTACCAGGCCAGGCAAGCTGGCCATTCCACCCGTATCAGCCGCCTCGTCCCCTGGCTCGGCGTTACAAATATCACCGGGCTCTGGCGCATCTACGCCTACATCATCGACTCCCCAACTGGCCATGAAGCCGGCAGCCAATGGTCCTGTGACTATCGCGACCATGGCGTCCACCCCAGGGCCGCAGTGCCAACCGGCCAAGAACTCCATCACCAGCAAGGAATGGGTCATCCCGCCCCGGCCGAAGCCCGGTAGGAAGCCCGCCACGGACACACCTCCCACCAAGCGCAAGGCTCAGAACCGTGCAGCACAGAGGGCATTCCGCGAACGTAGGGCCGCTCGAGTAGGTGAGCTGGAGGAGCTGCTCGACGAGCAGCGCCAGGAGCACGAGCGTGTCGAGCGTGACCTCCACGAGCACATCCAGGGTATGGATACCGAGGTTCACAATCTGCGGGATCGATGTTCGGCCCTGGAAGGCCTTCTCGATAAGGAGCGTGCAGAGCGGGGCCGAGTTGCAAACGAGCTTGAGGCCATGCGGAGGCGACTTCGTGATGAGCAAGCAAGTGCATCCGCTCGGAATAACAGCCTTCCCGGACTGCACGCTGCCCTCTCCCAGCACCACACACCACGGAGCAGCATCGCCAGCACCCATTCTGGCCACAGGAATTCCGCGTTTGCTATATCCCAGTTGATATCTCCTTCCAACCCTTCTGATTCGTCCTCGGACCGGAGACCCCACGACGCCGGCTGCGGCGGCTGTGACCCGAATGGCCCTTGCGTTTGTGTTGACGAGGTCCTCTCCACTGCCGGTCACGTCGTGGACTGTGGCAACTGTAGCCTCGGGACAAGGTGCGAATGCCTCGAAGCCGCTCTGAACCCATCAACCAATACAGAACCAGACCTCAAGCGAAGACCATCTTCAATCTCGCCTCTCGAACCAGAGGAAAAGAGACACAAGCCAAGCCACAGTGAGAACGAGATCGACTTCACCGCCATGTTCTCTAAGAAGGGAGCATCGGCCGTTGCAACGATACCAGAGCCTCTCCCTCCGCCCATCGCCATTCCGCCGCGTGACTCATGTGGCTTCTGTACGGAAGGTACATATTGCATGTGTGCTGAAGCTGCCGCCGCTGCCGCCGCCGAGTCACAGTCATTAGCACCTATGGGGTCGCAGGTCCAAACACCCCCGCCATCAGACGGCGACGTTGGTCCTCCGCCAATGGAGTTCACCTCTACGGGGGCCGTCAAGCTTCCACGCCTCTCCAGTCTCAACAGGCCCGCCCCGTCCCGCTCCTCCAATAAGAGTGGTGGATGTGGACCGAATGGCCCCGGTACTTGTGCTCAATGTCTGGCCGATCCCAAGTCGGGTCTTTTCTGCCGCAGTCTTGCAGCCAACTTCGAGAAGCAAGGCGGTACTTCCAAGGCTGGCGGCGGCTGCTGTGGTGGTTCCGCCGGCGGTGGCTGTTGCAAGAGTAAGCCCAGCGTCACGTCTGGACCAAGTGTCGGTCTCTCGTGTGCAGACGCGTACAAGACTATCTCCAGCCATCGCAACTTTGAGAGGGCCGCAGACGATATCAGCTCCTGGCTGCCCAGGCTACGTGCAGTACCACGACCTCAGGAGGTTGGCGAGAGCAGCAGCCGACGCCCGCCCATTGAGGTCGAGACGGCGAGTATCATGAGCGTCCTCAAAGGATTTGACGTGAGGTTTGGTAGAGAAGCATGAGTGATATCTTGAGATTGGAACGTTGTACATAGCGTATGAAGGGTCAATATCAAAATGCAGGGGAAAGGTAAAAGGGGAACAGGGTGATACCATTAACGGCTGGGTGGTATTCTGCTTTGAGGCGTTCTGAGTACAATGCACAATAGGTGCGCAATGGAACCAGCTAGATGTACACTAGCGAATATCATGGTCCGTGGAATGACTTGCGTGTCGGAAACTTAATGATCATTGCCATTACAAGACAAGGAACTTAGAAGTGGAATTCAGCGCAATCTCTTGACATGAAAAGTGATACACGAACTTCAATAAACACGAACACCAGCATCAAACCATCCCATATCTGGCGAAGCAAGATTCTATTCCTACAAATCATATTTTCATCAGCCCCCCGTTTCCTCCCATCAAAAAAATTGTTCTCTCCGAAAACATCGCAGCTCAAGTCTCAGGTAAACCAGAACGCCCAGATCAGTCCAACCCACTCCCCAAACCACACCAGCTGCGGTACGGGAACGACGAAGTAGTGCCAATCCTCGGTATACATGGCTCGGCTAACGTCGTTGGGCCGCATCCACGCCGCGTACTTTACGCCCTCGGCCAGGACGACCGCGACGGCGAAGATGTACAGCGGGATCAGAACCCACCAGGTCACCCATTCGGCCGCCGTATCGCCCTGCTGGCAAGCGGCCGCCGGCGGAGGGACTGCGCCATCCCCCTCCTGCTCCTTCCCCCCCTCGCCAATATCATCATCGTCGGGGAGAGGCACCATGTGCGGCGGCACGGCTTCTTTCTGCTGCCCGGCGGGCGCCTTCTGCTCGTCGATGTACGACTGCGAGCGCTTATAGTCCTTGTGGATGTTCTTGAGCTTGTACTCCAGGTACACTACCCTCTCCTGGTAGACCTGGTTGTTGCGGTCGTAGAGCGCCTTCTGGGCCTCGGTCATGGTGTCCTCGATCTCCCGCATCCGCCGCGACGAGATGGCCAAGGCCAGCGCCGCCCTCTCCTCCGGCAACGCGTCCTCGACCGCGTCGATGGCCTCCAGGCCGAGTTCCTGCAGCGTCTTTTCCCGCTGGACTTCCTCCTTGGGAACGGCGGGCGGAGGGGCCAGTTGCGGCCTGGCCGATGTCTCCGAGTGCCTCCGCGGTTTCTTTCCGGCCTTGCCCATTTCTCCGTTGCGTATGTAAGTGTTCTTTCGGAAAAGTTTGGTGCTCAGTCTATTCCTCTGGAATCTGATGTATCGCCTGTGAGGCAACTAGTCCAAGTTTTTGTTATGTTGATGCTGTCAGGGGGCTTTCTTGCCTGGTGATAAAACAAAGAATGTCTTTCAGGGTAGCTAGACCCAAAGCATGTTGTTTAGGACAAATGGTTCTTTGTTCAACATGTACCCCAATATCCCCTTTGTTAGCGTTATTTCGCGTCTGAAACATTGTATATCCTTTTTTGTGTTCAAAGGAAGCATCAAGATGAAAGATAAAAATTGAATTCAAGAGTACTATACTACGCTTTTCAAACTGGTTGGTCAAAAGCCCAGTTGTCAATCTGGCTCTGATGACCGGACTAGGAGTCATCGCTACTTTCTTACCTCGACACTTATTGACGTCTACTTATCAAAAAGAGGCTCTGCGTGTAAGTCTCACTCTAACCCTATGGACTGGGTGGTCAAAGATGCCACCAGTGTGTGGGGACGGGCTAGTATCACGCGGCACCGGTGGCATGCCTTTCTCAGCGAGGGCGCCAATGCTTCTCATGAGCTTCAACGAAGCCATTTCACCGACTGCCTTCTTATACTCCAGCTCGAAGAATGGAACATCAGGCAGAATCTTCATCAATTTTCCCATGGTGAACTTTAGGAAGGCCCAGAATGCCATGCCATGGCCGTCAAGTCTTTTCCCGAGCACGTCATACCTGTAATGACTTGAGCGATTGCTCCATACGAAGATGGCCATGAAGGCGTGGGTTAGTTCGTGCAAGAGGGTCTTTATCACGGTGCCGAATGGGAGCTCCAGGTTCCCGGCATCATTGGGCAGGTTAACACGCGTATACATGCCTATCTTACCTCTTGCGGTGTGCCAGAAGGCTGTGATCAGCGAATCAGGTCGGGGATCGGCCGAGTGATGGCAGCATAAGTCGAACAGATTCCGGCCCTGGGCCCACGGCTGGCCGAGCTCGGGAATGGAGCGCGAGAACCGAGGATTAGTGAACAGACCCTGGAAAAAGAGGCCGTCGAATGCCGCCACGTACGTCTGTAGCACTCGCCCGTTGAGGTCGTTCAGGTTCCCTTGAGACTCGAAGTACGCATTGTCTTCGTTGAAGGCGTCGCGGAATGCGGCAAGTCGCATGGCACCCATAGGCCCCGAAAGGTTGGCATGGGAAATCATCAACTGGACGGCCTCTTCCCCCGACCAACTATGACCGCGAGTCTTGTACTTCCAAAAGTCTATTGGGAGAACGGTCCGCGTCTCTTCATGCTCATTTGTTGGGTAACATACGCGGCGGTAGACTTCTCGCCGCGTGGTCATGCCTTCGATAAACCTTTCGTATGTTGGTGCCATGGTTGTTGCAATATTACTTTGGACTTCCAAATGAGACTCACCACTCGACGGTGCCTTCATCAGCAGCATCTTATACTTTGAATATCGTATTGAAACGCCAATACATACTGCTTATCAAAAACATATTATTCCCTTTATACCCCAATTCAACGCATTTGTTGGATGCAAATCTAGTGTGCAAAACAACAGGACTGCTCATACTTTCTTTGAAGCCATACACAAGGCCATTGTCACAAAGAATAGGCTCACGTGGTGGAAGAGATCTTCTCCACAGAACAACTCATACCCGCGATCATGGGCTGACTGTCAATTAATTAGCCATGCAGAATTTCCAGTGCAAGACAGTCTCTGCTAACTCATTTGGAGCTGTGCGGTCCAGTTGCGGGCGGCCCTGACTGCCCCAGAGCAAAGGTTGGCAACCCGTTCCAGTTCCCAATGTAATTAAAGCGTTGAACCTTGATATTAGCGGCATCCTCTTGCCCCGTCTACTAGCCAGGGTTGCTGTGGGGCTCGGACAAATTGGAACTGATACGCACTTGTCACTTCCCTAGACCCTGTGATGTAAGCGGAGGGAGGTACTGATTAAGACATACACTGTAGAAAGTGATAAAGGAAGCATGGGTTGGCTTTTTGTTCTCTGCCTCTTCCTTTGCAGAATAGATGAAAGGTTTCCTAGACTTATTCAAACTATCGCGCGGCTGTTACTTTATGGTCTTTTTAATGCAACATGTCTACCTTCCCGGCAGGCTTTATAATGGTACATTATTTAGGGGTCTCCAGGCTAGCCATATCTGCCAGAACACACCATGGTGCGGAATCCTGCGGTAGTTGCTTCGCATGTCCATACATACTCTTTGCACCCACTTGACAGGGGATGTCAAGGGCCCGCGAGTCAGGTACCTTTGTTGCCTTGTCAGTTCGTGCCTGAGCTGCAAAATCATTTGATTCTCTTGCATCTGCACCTGATTCTTACTGTGCCAATTGGCTTGTGGAAGACGTCTGTCTATAGTACAAACATTTTGTTCCCGGAACCGTTCTCTGTCCTCTGCGTAGTGAAATCTCGCCTCGTAGATAAGTGGATGGGTTGGGCTGAGGAGGTGCTGTCACTTGTGATGCCAAATTACGGGTGATTCCGTGAACTGTCTACACGGCTCCATAATCTACCGGCCACAGACCTATATTGAGAACATCGACCGGAAAATCGCTTTGCGGTCCTTCTCAGGAAATCGTTGCGGCCGGCAACACGCCGTTCGGCAGACCATGTGTCGTGCTAGCGGGAATCTCCCAGACCATCCGGGCCGCTTGCGACAAGCCTGATCAGCTAATTAACATAAGCGTGAACGAGCAGGTTAATGTCACTATTGAGAACGGGGAAATTCATTACGTTCGATTCGTTTCGTTTCAATAAGCTAGTATGGCATTTCCATCCTGCTACGTGCGGCTCCAAGGTCCAATCTCCGCTCCGACAACGCCATGGTAGCCGCTGATCTGGAAGTGAGCAAAACCCGCTTGGACGCTGATCCAAGGTGTACCGCCAGTAACTTTCATGTGGGTCTCTGGCTTGAAGGCAAACATCGAACCTGGGGTTGACGAGTACCAATTCGCTATTCCAGGCATGATGTGTAGTCCAGCAGCGACTATTGGCCGGGAACGGAACCTGTCCTGCCATTCATCGTGGAGACCAAGCCTACCGGATTCTGCGGGCTTGTAACAATCTCGTGCTCATAAATAGGTACAGGTGAGCTCCTCAAGCTCCGTCGACAAAAGACCTCATTGCTGCTATGACATCTCGCGCACTCTCCTCAAACCCGAGTGTATCACCAAGTAAGAAGGTGTCGTGGAGCGCAGCATCTTCCGCGTGGAAAACGACCTTATTTCCTTCAATCTGCTTCATCTCCTCGGTCCAACGCTCAACTGGATCATAAAAGATCTCGGCCGTACCTGCGCTGGCGAAGATGGGCACTGGCGTCGTAAAAGGGCTGCCCAACGGTGTGATGTACTTGTTTGATGCGGGCAAGCTTCCGGCGTATGTGTGCGCACCCCATCTCAGGAATGAAGTGGGCAGAAAATCCGAGTTCCTGTTTCGGGCTTGCTCTGTCACATAGTCGAAGGGCGCCACCCACGGGGCCACCAGAGCTGCGCACCTTGGTTGACCAATTCCTAACTCGGCGCCGAACTCCTGGATGTAGCGTAGCAAGGCGATCACGATGTTACCGCCGGCACTATCACCGCAGACAACAACTTGCTGCGGTGGAATCCCAAGCTCGCGGATGAGGAACAGGTAGCCTGTCAGCGCATCTTGCAGTGCAGCTGGGAAGGGAGACTGTCCCGACCAACCGGACAAGCGGTACTGAAGGGAGAAGACAAAGTCTGCCACCTTCCCCTGGACCATGTTGTTTCCTGCAAAGCCGGCAAATGCGTCCCTACCATCTCCCACTACAAAAGCTCCGCCGTGGATATAGTAGACAACGCGCTTCGAAGAAATACCGGCATCTGGGCGCTCTGGGAACCATGTTCCTCCAATAGTCTCTGGACGAACCGAAGAGGCCAACGGTCCAATGTAGTTGTTCGAAGTCGAAGGTTTGACAACTTGGAAACGGTTTCCCTCCTTTCCAGGCTGTAGAGAGAGCTTCTCAGTCACGCCGACACGCGAGATTACGTCCTGCAGCACGTAGGCGGCTCGAGCCATGAAGGCCTGCTTCACCGTCCACTTGGGATGTGGCCTCAACGGTCGCACCAAGGCCACCACGAGCCATAAAGGTACGCGAGCAACGACTGTGCCGGCATATGCCAGTTGAAACAGAAGTTTGAATGGCTGGTAGGCAATCAGCGGGTGACCTTCGGAGGCCGGCATCATAAAAGACCTGGAACGAATGTATTTGAACAGAACTCAGTGGGAAACACCCGGCCTCCAATGCCCCGGTCGGTCATCACTTTATAGATCTCACAGCAAACCTTGCGGCCACCATGAGCACGACCCTTGGATCCACGTAGAATGGCCTCATGCACAGCATCCCTGGCCCTTGGTATCCAATATGCATGCATATACTATATTGAATGGAGTACACTCTTTCAACTCTGCTGCGGCCAGGTCTTGGTGTTTGACGCATATCCAATAACTAGCAGGCTTGGGTTTGGCCAGGCTGGCCGCGACTGGAGATTACTTGCCTTACTAGGGTCCGCAATGGTTTTCCGACCCTGGACAAAATTCCCGACCCAGCGGGCCGCAAGGTACAGCATGTGGCAAGATTCCACAAATATATCCACACAGCTAACACATTATGGTACCTACCTTGCCTACCGTTGGAGCTAAGAAAACTGCCCCGAGTCGCCGGACCAGCTCCGGTACATATAAATCGGGAGAGCACTGGCCAATACTTTTTTGTTTGGTGAGAGACCGGTAATAGCGAAGATAATAGGGATTATATCAAGGATAGTGAGAAGTTCTTGTTCGTTTAATTGGACACTCTGTAGAGCCCGGTCTGTGTCAACTCGTAGCAGTTTTCTTAATTTGAACAGGTGATCGTGAAGTTCGAAAACTGTCGATCAGGAAATCTTCGAACGTCTGCTCGTAGTTAAGCCTGTTTCAATACCCTGTGTTGTAGTGGCAGACCCGCCAACTACGCCGCAGTATCTAGCTTCATGGAGAGCAGGCCCCCGCCAGCCTAAGGGACGCCTCCCCACGAGCGAGTCATGTAAGCCACCAACATGGCAAGTCTTCAAGACACCCAACGTTGGGGATCAATGTTGCAGTCAAGCTCGTCGCGCGTTCTAACCTCCCTGCCGTCCATCTACTGCTCATGCTTTGAGATTTCAAAGCAGCTGCTGCTTCTTCTCACCTGGAGTAGCACGACGCAGACGTCGGCGAGAGGCAATGTCTTCAACGGAATCCCCATTAGATCACAGCAACAATGGTCCAGGAGCCTTGATTGGCTGTGCCATCCTGGGCTTTGTCACTACGATAATCGTGGCTCTTAGATTCTGGGCAAGGCGACTTGTTGGAACGTCTTGGGGTAACGACGACTGGTTGACTTTGGCAGCACTTTTGGTGCATCATTTGCTGCTTGTTGCCTTTGGGGTTATGGTCGTGAACGGAGGTCTTGGGCGAGATATTCGAGTCATCGCGGTTGAGAACCCAGGCGACATTGTCGCCTTGTTTAAGGTAAGCACTGGTTCCATTCTCCCCAATAGGTGACACCTCCAACCTAATATCATCTAGGGACTTTTTGCAGCCGAAATCTGCTACGGAATCAGCTCCTCGTTGGCCAAGCTCTCTATTCTCGCTTTCTACTGGCGCATATTCCCGACTTCACGAGTAGTGATCAGCTGCAAGATACTTGGAACCGTATGCATTTTGTGGACAATCGCCATCCAGATAGTGAATGTGCTTCAGTGCAGACCATTGAGAGCCTTCTGGAACACAGAGCTGCAGACCGCACCGGGCACCCAATGCCTTGACACGGTGCTGTTCTTCCTCGGCAACTCCGTCGTGAATTGCGTTATCGATCTCGCAACCCTGGTCCTGCCGATCCAAGAGATTCTCAAGTTACATACGACAAACAGAAAGAAACTTGGTATTGCTGGTGTATTCCTACTAGGTGCAATGTAAGCGTCACAGAAAACACAGAGCGATCCTATATCTTGGCTAACGACACGCAGCGCGTTTACCGCCAGTCTCCTGCGCACGATATTCACCGCAACCATGTACAATGAGGGCGTCACGAACTTCACTAGTAAGCCACTGAGAGATCGATGCTCTCCTTATGTCAAAGGGGCAACACTAATCTCCTGGCAGAGCAATTCGTGGTTTCCGGCGTCGCGACTGTGGTCGAAATTTACGCGGGCATCATAAGCGGTTGCCTCCCGGTCATGGTACCCGTCTACCGACGCATACGCTATGGCGATGCTCTGAAGTCAAGCAGGCGCGCGGGCTCCGAGGGATACCATCTGAGTACTCCTGGTAACGGCATGGGCAAACTCTCAGCCAGAACAAAGACGAGCCGGATAGGAGGCGAGGGTTCATTCGAGAGACTGAGCACCAAGAACGACGATTTCGCATCGAGTGAATACGCCAGCGACCGCCATATCAATGTATCGAGCACGACAAGAGACGATGGTCTGGAACATAAGCAGAGCGGCAGTCGCCCACTTCAGGGAATCGTCGTGCGTTCGGATCTAGAGTGGCATGTTTCTCAAAATCCCAAATAGCCTAGCTTTCTCAGGAGCTATGTTTGGCACCGTCAACCAACACCTGCGTACACGAGCTTCTTAATGCACCTGCCCTTGGCTTACACATCCCCGGACTAGGAAAATAAAGGCATATGGATGAGTCATCCTTACCGACAAAGCCTTCCTGTTCTTGCAATGTAGTGGACAGGTTGGCCTGTGGCTGGGGTCTCCTTTTCCTGTCTCATCTGCCGAGTGGCTAGGATATAATTCTTCTCTTCTCTAGACTTAGTACACGCGTATATAATAGGATTACGGTTGCTGTGCATAAAGCCAGCTAAAAGTCGATACCGACTGACCTGTCTAAGAAACTATCTTTGAAGTATGTGGTCAGAATATCCTCAACCCAAAGATTTCGTAAAAGCCGTCAGTTTGTCACGTTTGCACAGATCTGGCCAGTTCACGGGAGAACATGTGGCACATTTGGAATCACAAAGATAGAGTAATTCGCACCAGCTCATTTGCCTATGACACAACTTCATTGCCTTCGCATTCAAGTACACGCCTGTTTCTGCCCTACGTGTATCTCGTGCGGAAAGGGGACTCTGCTGCTTGGCATTTAGCTTCAGCTTTCAGGCATGCCTACGTGTCTAAAAGAAAGCTGATATCGAAGATCTATTAACGGCAATCATCTGAGTGGGAGGTACGTCTAGTCAGCAGAGTAACACGAAGCCTATATGTAGCCGTCGTTGGTGATCAAGCTACACTGGACATGGAATTTCAGTCTTCCAGAAGAAAGAAGTCGCAGTTGGCATAGTGTATAGAAGGGGGAATCCCAAAGATGATATCATTATAATGCAGATACCCTTCACTAAGGAAAAGTCTGCACCCGACAGCCTCTAAGCAATCTGCGCTGGCACTTTCTGCTTGGCTGCCAGAGACGAGGTCTTCCGCTGTGGTAACATCGTAATACGTTTGTCAGAGTCAGTCCAGTCTCAGATTTTGGCCTGTTGAGATCATTTCAGCCAAGACATCCGTTGTTTCGCAGGTATTCTGTCAAGAGAGACTCGGAATAACAGAGCAAGCCAGGGGTTGTTGTTTATTCTGATTTCGCCCCGTTTGTGCCGAAAGATCTACTTGAAGAAGCAACAATCAATTATCTGTATCTACTTTCCAGTATTAATAGTTGTCTTGGCTGGAAGTGCATCGCGGCCTAGGCACTTCCATAGCCACCTTCTTTCATATGCTCGAGTCCTCTCGTTTCGTTATCCATACAAATGGTTCAAATGATCCCTCCAGCGGTGAAATGATACCTTACCTTGCACTCTTCCATCAAGTAAGGCCCATTGATGTGTCTAGTGCTTTTGCTGCGGGTTGACTCTTGTGCTTTGTGGGCGACAGGCGCGGATTCGATATGGCTCAACCACCCAACATCAACTACGTACTCGTAGACCATTCGAGGCCATCCACGTGTTCTTGGAAACGCTAGTATGGTGTGCAAGATAAGCAACTCGCTAGCAAAAGGGGTCGACGATAGTGAGGTTTGATGTTGCGAACAAGTGTATCTAGAAGTACCTGGTTCCAAACTATTACCATTCAAGTTTAAAGAAGCAATCACCCGACTCGGGCCTTGTGACCTGCAGCTCGCTACGGAGCCGGGTTGATGCTTGTAATGCGGCGGTGTTTCTTGCAGCGACAGTCGCTTGCTGCGGGCGTCAGGCAAGTGACGTAAAACTACAAGGCGGCTTTGAGCAGGCTCGGGCCGTATTATGGCAGCCAAATGGGCCGAGGCTGTCGACTTTGTGACTGTTTCGTTAAGGGCCTGGCCGAACCAACTTAACGATTTGACGGAGCCACTCGTCTCCGTAATAATCAGACCTCATGAATACGGAGTAGCTGCTACATCACGACACTGGCACAGAGCTAATCGTCACCCATTAAACGGAGTCATATGCTTGCTAGGTCTCAGAGTCTCAGAATGCAGAGGGAATGCAGCAGCCAGGTCGTTGGTTGGGAATATGTTCGACGATCTCTTTTCAGCTATGCTGTACGTCCCTGCCCCAACAGATCCACGACAGACTGCTGCTAGTTGCGTCTGACGTGCAGCGCAAGGAGACGTACAAGGCTGAAAGGGGTATGCGACCAAGGAACGGCCAGCGAATGCTTGCCACCGTTCATCCGGGACTGAAAAGAGCGGAGCGCACAGCAGCAAGTTGCAGTAGATGGTCGGTCACGACTTGAGACCCATCGTGAACACCTGCGTGAGCCCCCGCATGCTGATACAGGCTGGACGCCTGGCTCTCTGCCAGTCCAGCAAATCACCCGCCAGTCGAGGTGCATCGACGGCCCAATTATCGAACAGGCGCCGGAGAGAAGTGGACTGGCTGCAAGAGGGCCAGCCAACCCGATCACGAAGGCAATTGACGAGAGACACAATTGGCTGGGCGGAAGGCGAGAGCTATGGGTTGTCCACGTCGAAGATGGTGGTCGGCTGGCGGCGGCGATTGGCCTCTGGATGCGTTGGCAGACTACTCGGCCCCTTGAAGCGTGGTGGCCGCGGATTGGCCAGCGGCACCCCCGTTAGGCGGCGCGGCGGGCAAGCGTCGCCCTTTGGCTGCGGCTTGCGGAGGATGCAGTTGACTTGACCTGCCGGGCTCGACTCTGCTGGCAGGACTGGGGCGCGCCAGGGCACGAAAAGGCGGAACGATGCGCGGCGAGAGAAATAAGTCGACATGCATTTGCCATCTGATTGCGCCATGCGAGATGCAAGGACAGCTCACCGACCGGTTCCCAAGCCCAGCCATGCCATGCGCTCCCGTTGCCCTCGCTAGCGAGAGTTCGGATGCTGGCTCTGGCTGGGGGGGTAGAGAGAGAGAGAGAGAGAGAGAGAGAGGGAGACAGAGGAGGGGCGTTTTCTAGCCGTGCGCTGATAGGGAGAATCTGTATCGAGGCTGCATGAGTGAGGACACAACAACGCGGACGGCATAACCCGTTGGCATATGTGACTTGGTTCCAATGACCGTTGCATTGTTGTCGTTTCTTGTTTGGACGCGCTCTCTCGTCGGCATGCAGTTTGTCTGTGCAGAGCCGGATCGCAGGCCACCAGGACCAGCAACTCACAGAAAGCAGCGGACACATGCTGGCCAGCTCAGTTGCGGCGGCGGATAATCGCGGCCGAAGCTATCAATAGTCCTGGGATTTGGATGCTCGACGCATCGCCCAGTGGTTGGACAACCCGGGGGGAGTGTCCAGGATGTGTGGGTGAGCGACCCAGCTGAGGCTCTAGTCACCCGACCGACGGCCACAACCAGACCCCATACCTGGGTACTGGGTAGTTGAGGGCATCGCGGGACTGAGCGAGGCCAGCACAGCACGGCCAGCTCCAGGAACCCCAGCCCACGTCCACCCCATCGCCAGCCTCTCAAGGTGCAAATCAGTGAAACGGGCTGGCCAGCTTCCCTGTCTTCCCTGTCTTCCCTGTCGTCTGCGTTCTAGTGGCTGCGCTCGGGGCTGTCCCGCCCGCCAGGCCTTGACTTGTTCAGGCATAGCCGGGCACGCTGCATTACCCCACGCCGGCCAGCGCCAGCGCCAGCGCCAGCACGACGCCCACATGGATGCTGTTGTGCTGCTGGCCACCCGTGGACAGGGTTGAACGCAGCACCAGGGCGAGCACGAGAGTGGCTGCCAGCACCTCGGACATCGATGGCTGTCTGTGGGTTGATTGATGACCGACTGGCTGACGGACCTGTTTATGTTGTCTTGTGTGTCTTGTATAGTATAGTTAACTAGCCGCTACCATCCATTTTTGTTGATCTTTCTTCTTCTTGCTCTCCCCCCCTTTCCGTGAAACTCTCCTGCAGACTATATACCGAAAGTTGCAGAGCGACGACCGAGCACCTCGACTCCCCAGGGACGCGCTACGTTGGGCTTCTGTGTGGACGGACGACGCCCAGTCACCTTCCGTTACTCGCTCGCCGGGACCCCTTGCGACAACGCTGATCTGTCGCGGCGAGAGACAAGCCCTCGAGCTCGATGCAACGTCCGGCCAGTTCCCGTACCGGCGGATAAATGAGACACACACCTCGACCGAATCGCTCTCCTCCATGTCCAAGTGCTGTGTAAACGGGCATCCCGCACCACCAAGGCCAACTAGCATTGCCTGCTAGAAGCGCTGGGGTGACTGCGCGCTCGCGACAACCGCATCACATGGCCCATGATGATTTCCATGCAGCGATCCCTCTCCTCGCCTGTCCGCATCCGGTCCTCGCCGCGTAAGTTGACGACATTCTACCCCTCTGTCGCTCTGCCCGCACGCCTGCTGCCCGCACCTCAGGTAGCGGGCGCTTGACCCAGGACACAACCAACTAATTCTCGAACCGCCAACCCATAGCTCTGTCGCCGTCGGATGCGCAGCTTCCCCCAAGACCAGCGACCCCTACTCCCGAGAGTCGACGCCCGGCCACATCGCGACAGCCCCGCCGACTGCGCTCGAGGAGCCCTAGTCCGACACGCCTGCTACCAGAACCCGTGGTCCCTGCTGGAGTTTCGCTCCCCATCCGCCGGAGCGAAGAGAGAGAACGTCACGGCCATGGAGCAGCCGACCACCACAGGGGCGCAAGTGCGCAGAAGAGGCCGATTATAGCCCAAAAGTCGACCCCGGCTGCTCTCGCCAGCAAGGACCGCCCGCCCTCACCACTTCAACCGGAGCGACCAAGCCTGGTACGCAAAAGCGAGTCCACGCCGAGGAACTTCCCCAGGCCATTATTGGGAGACTCAGCCATGTACTCAAACCCGCAGGTGAACTTTGAGTCCGAGGGAACCACGTTGGAGGAGCTTGCGCATCTGGTCCGCCTGTCCAAGTACCAAGAGCGCAAGCGCGCCATCACCCGGATACGACTACAGAGGAGCTTGGTTTCAACCGCGCTCTCCGCGCGGTTGACCCGTTGTGGTGAGATAACACAGAGGAGCCTTGCAGAAAGCTTCCGAGCCGAGGACAAAAAGGCCTTCTCGAACCTGTTCAGCGCAATCCACGATGTCAGGAACAGCTGTGACGCTACCCGCCGCTATGCCCTCTTGGAGCCTGAGATGGAGTCCCTCCAGTCCCCTGGACTGATCTCGTCGGAGAGCCTGGATACGCCGACGAGCGGTGTTGGAAGCAGCCATGGTGCCAGCTCCGTGGCGCCTTTTCTCAACGACATCTCGGCTTCTGCGAGGGAGGCGTTCCTCAGCTTTTTGACACAACTACGCACGAACCCAGACTACTTGGCCACCAGACTCTCTTCTTTGAACAGCGCGGAGCTCCAGGCCCTCACTTCGTTCCACCAGCGGCAGGAGCCGATTGAATCGGTACTACCTTACTATAATCGCCCCAGTGGGCGAGGCCACCCCGGCAGCACCAGCAGGAATTCCGGCCAGACGCAAAACGCAGTCGAGCGACTTCTGTCTTTCCAGCGACACGATCCCCTTTCCGCCCTAATTTACACCTGCTTTGCGAACTCCGCTGGACCAGACAGCGCCGAGGACAAGCGAAGGACTGAGATCTGGGCTACAGCTTGTGCCCGTCTTATCACTGAAGCTAAGTCAAACTCTGCTAATGAAAACATCCTCTATTCTGTCCTTGATGTCTGGTCCTCCACGCGAGATTGGTCCGGACGGTCCAATATGGAGTGGTACCTCATGAAAATCCTGGAGGACGGCGCTTTCTTGCTCGACCGAGCTGAGGACCAGAATGGCACCCGTTTCAATATATCTGAATGGACCCACAAGGACAACATTGCTGCGGACGAATTCTACGACCGGGCGATCAACGACTTGTTCGAGATAATCGACGATGAAGACGCCACGGGAATTCCAGAGGGTGTGATCGAGCTTGCGAACGAGATTTTGAAGCGTCTTGACACCAAACTTGTTGACAGCGTTAGGAAATGGTTTGTGTCCAAATGGCTCTTCTCCCGCTGGCTCATCGACGTGGTTGTTCACCCCGAAAGCTATGGTATGATGTCTGAGTACCATATCACCGAGTATGGCCGACAGAAAATCCTCAAGCAGGTTGCCCAGCGTGCCCAGGCATTGGTCATGGATATGACTTGGACGAGTGCTAAGAAACCGGTCTCAACGCCGGTGCAGGTGAAGACTCACATTGAGAATATCATAGGGCGCTTCAAACCGTCTAGGAGCCAAAGGATCGGACGCCTCCTACCGGCCCGGTCTATCACCTCCCTGAGAGAGACGGCTGAGGTTCATCCTTATCTGGTTGTCAGCCCGGCTGACATTCTAACGCTTGTGAATGCCCTCTTTCCTGAACGGAGACCTCAGTCTGCGCAGTCCAGTAGCATCCGCTCGGGCGCGCCCTCCCTCTCAGGCTTCTCGGCAATTTCTCAGCCAATCTCTATCGGAACCTCACGCAGTAATTTTGATACTGCCTCGGTAGCCAGTTTTAGTGCCTCATCCGTCCTCAGTGACGCGACAACATCGAAGGAACCGTTGCTGGATGATCAGATGGCCGGTACTCCCCAGCGTTACTCCCCGCCCGTCTCCGACAGCCCAAATCAGAAGAGACTGAGTAACTACGAGGATGATGGGTATCGCCTCCGGCTGGCCATGCATGAAATGGTTCAGATCCTTGGCCATGATATCGTCGGTGGTTCATGCCATCCATGTGCCGAACGGTGGGCCGTGCTCTTCATTTCGGCTGACGGGAAAGGCCTTTCTCTGCAAATGACCTATGACCCAGACGACGATCTCGAGGAAGAGAACTCTTCGACTACGAGTGATACCGAGGATGACGATCTAGATGAACGGCCGGAACTGGACAAGGACTACCACCAACTAAGAGATTCCATCTTAAAGCTGGTCGAGGACTTCGAGATACCGCGAGGCCTTGGGGATGATGGCGCGAAAACGACTCTCAGTAACCGTGCTACAGGCTTGAAGAAATACAAGTCGAAAAACAAGGTCATCACGACGGAATCTTCGATAGGTAGTCGAAACCCCTATCGGAAATTTGAGCCTGAGAAAAAGGACCAGAGCCAGTCTCCGGAATCTCCTGCAAGTCAATTGCATAGAGTAGAAGTTATTGCACAGGAGCCCGACCCACAACCAGTACTGATCACTATGCTCTCAGCTGCCTCGTCGCAGTCCAGGGTCCACTCGGATTTTGTTTCCGCGCACCTCTACTGGAGGACCTTGCAGCAGTTGAACTCTCTCGCATCGCAATCTTTGCGGAAGAATGGATTTGCGACGCTTCTCAATATCTTTTCACGAGGTCCCAGGGACTCGATCCGTCGGTCTGCGGCTGCAATTGAGGAGTACGACGCCTGGCTTGTTTGGCTCAAGCAAAGCCAAGAGCGTCACGAGGGTCTCATAGAGTCGATGATGAAGCGCCTCAGGATCCTTCGTGACAAGATGTGGTACGTTACTGATGTGCATAACTCTGCTCCCTACGAGCATACGCGGAGCATCTGTAGCGCCCTGAAGATTATGGGCGTTCCTAGGAGATGGGGCACGTTCCAACGCACGCGGGCTCAATTGTCTCGAGGCCCAGCTGCGAACTATCTGTACAAGAACGAATCACAGATGCTCGACCTACTTGCTGCAACGGAAGAGCAAGGTGGCCCGAACAAGCTCAGTGATGATCAGGCAGAGAAGACTAGCAAATGGTTGCAGCAAATGCACATCGAAAACATTTGCCAGGGCGAAGAGCGGATACACCGTTTCTGCTGCGAGCTTGACAGCTGTGTGAGCAAACTCGTCGGCGAGAACATTGTCGATGGCCCTGTGCTCTGGTCGAGCGAGTTGTATCTGCGGGACCGAAAAGCCCTTGAGGGGACTAGGGCTGGGAAAGATCGAGACAGTTTTTGGGGAGGCGATGACGCCGCCAGCGTCATGAGTGACCCAGAACGTCGATATACGTCTTCATCAGGCCGACCCAACTCCATCGCCCGAGACCTCAGATCGATGACTACCCACAACGTCAGTCAAATATCTTTTGATTCGAGGTACAGCTTCTCGAGGGCTAGCACTGCCATGTCCGATATCCTCGATTCCCAGGACTACTTTGGTGCGGCATCCCCTCTACACGCAATCGATTCGAGCTCTACATTCTGGTCTCCGTTCCAATCCACGATGCCTTCTACAAGCTCAGTCATCTCACGAGCTCACTCACCAACTACGAGCATATCGAATCTCTCTAGCTCCTTCTCCCACCCATATGGCCGACCTCTTCCTTCCCATCAGTCTGGGGGCCGGCCGACCACATCTGCTTCTTCTAATGAAACTGTACATATGCAACGTCAATCAGAGGAGAAGCAGCGCTTCCTCGACGAGCTCCGTCAAACCTTGACCAGCCTACTCCTGTCTGACCTTGGAAACTACGTATTTTCGGTAGGCTCGGAGACCGATGCGTGGTTCGAAAACTTTGGCCAAGGATGCATCGAACGCCACGATGCGCAGGAGCGTCGCAATCGTCGACCAAGCGTCAAGAAGGACCGAACAAGCAAGAACACTCTCAAGCAGCGCGTCATTGAAAAGAAGAAGAGCTTCGGTAACCTTCGCGTTGCTGGTGAGAACGCTGCCGGCGAATCAACCTCGGAGCAATCAGAAACCCCGACTGTTCTGAGCAATGATAGCTCTACTTCTGGCAAGACCATCTCCGGACACAGCCGGCGCTCAAGCAAAGAAAAAATGCCGGACTTTCCTTACAAGAAAGCGTACCAGCGCTTACTGAAGATGTTCTGCGTCCACCCTAATCCCCATACCAAGTTGAACGCTCTTGTCGAGCTGAAACATCTAATCGAAGCCTCATTGACCACGACTAGCCGCCGGTCCAAGTGGACGCTACGCAATCATTTCGAGGCTCACGAGGACGACCTTGCCGGTGTTGGAAACGCGAGAATACTTGAGCAAACCATGGACAATGTCCGAGAGCGTCGGTCGCAAGCGTTGCATTCGCCCACTCTGTCACCCGCCCAAACACGGTCAGCCACCAACGCAGAAACGCGATCGATTATGTCTGTCAGCCCTGTCAACACGGATGCTGTAGCTGCCGCCCTTCAGGCTCTCTTCAAGGACGCCGGCCTTCGGCCCAAGACACTGTTCCGTGATCTACAATTTATTGCAGCCTTCATCCCAGAGTCCACGCTTGACAGGTCTGAGAAAGGCAAGGCGTTCTGGGATACCAGTCTTGCCGCGTTGGCACTTAAACAGGGCGTCTGTCGAACCATGGTTGAGGTTGCGGACGAAGTCATCAAGATGGACCAGCAGACGAGGAAGCCCGTCAATGGCATCGGTGAGAGAAGCGAAGCAATACGATCGCCGTCTCAATACTCACTTGCCGATGCTGCAAGAATGCTGACCATCACCGCCAAGGAGGGCGATCATACCGCTCAGAGAGAGCTGGCTCTTTTTAATCTGAGCTATCCGGAGCATGTAGAACGGACTATCATGCCGCTCTCTAAACCGCGGGAAGTCTTCAAGCAGGCTCTCATGGAGAAGTTTGGCGCACGTCCCGGCAGTAATGCTCGGCACCCAGGAGATCGGATGAGAGGCCTCGGGTCTGCGGCTTCGACTGCCACCGCATCGGACGGCAGCAAGGACGTCGACGTGAAGAACGACCCAGCCCTGCACTGCGTCGCCTTCCACTGGATGGGTGCTGCTGCGCAGGGCAACGACGAGGTTGCCAAGCTGTTCCTGGATCAAAACGAGATCTTGGGGCTGGACTAAAGGGGGGTTTTTTTTTTGCGCCTCTGGACGGCCGCGAATAGCAAAAGTCTACATCCTGTTTCATACTTTTCATTGATATACCCAATACGCAATACGTTTACTATATATATACAACGGCACATACAACGACGGAACACAGAACAGACGGGCGGGCATGGGTCAGGGAATACAGGATTTCTTTGGTCTTTTTCGTTGGCCCTCTGTTCGCTTCGTTCCGATTCTCTACTTACTCTTTCTCCACCACTTCTCATGTTGCTGGACAGCTTTGTGTGTGCTTTGGCTTCTTCTTCTTCTCAACCCAGCACCATTGCCCTGTCACCCTGTCGTTTAGAAAAAGTCACAATTTTTGAGGTCAATGATATCCGCATGAGGCAAGACACTTTCTGGTCGTTCTGGGGCAATTTCATGTACTCAGGCGGTCGCCGTGGGTCTGGGGAGGAGACATACAACCATCCCGTGTTATCTGCTTGGATCTTTTGTTTCATGTCCGGGATTCAGGAAGGAGCATGTCGACGACTCCAAAGCTCTCACTCATATAGACCATGTGCCGCGTTTTGTTCGTTTACTACAGAGATGGATATACCAAGGACTGAGCGGGAGGCATTTCCAGGAGGGCTTGATTGGTGGAATATGAGAATTGAACAATATTCAAAGTCACCGGATGTTTTATGATGTCCGAAACGTGTGATGTCGTCCATGCTCTGTTCCAGTAAGTGAGCAGGCCCACCATCATTTCACTCAATTCACTTCAATCACCAGGGCTCATGTCACCAGTGGCGAAGATTATGCTGTCACGTCGTCTCTTGCATTCTGATACTCGTGGAAGCAGCATCGTTTGTTCATCAAGTATCATTTCAGCCGTAAAGTCTATGATCTATGCGCAAAGTCTATCTTCGCAAACGCGATCTTCCGCAGGAGTGGGGAAGCGAAACAAAAGGTATTGTCTTTCGGTCTTGCCATGTGTCCATTATAATGTGTACCCATCGCGATCATCCTCTTTCTCCCAGCTTACAAGACCTTGAGCATGGCCTCGGCGGTCGAGACCTCCTGGGCCTGCAGGTGGGGCTCCAGCTCCGAGTAGATGACCTTGCCGTGGTCGATGATCATGCCGTAGCGGTTGGTGCGCTCGCCCTGGGTCCAGCCGAAGGCCGAGGAGAACTTGACGCCGTCATCGGAGACGAAGAGCTGTAGGAGGGGGAATTACAATGTCAGTATGAAGGAACTTTAAGGGATAAAACGGTTGGGGTGAAAGGAGAGTGGGCCTAATAAAACGTACGATGGACTCGTCCTTGACGCCGTTGGCCTTGCCCCAGCCGGACATGACGTAGGCATCGTTGTAGGCGACGCAGATGACCTGGTCGACGCCCTTGGCCTTGAGCTCGGGGAACTTGGCGATGTAGCCGGGGACGTGCGAGGCCGAGCAGGTGGGGGTGAAGGCACCGGGCAGGGCGAAGAGGACGACCTTCTTGTTCTTGAACTCTGTAGATTACCAAGCGTTAGCAACAGTTCATAGGAAGTGAGGATATCGAGTGCTCGGTGGGATGGAGGGAGGGAGAGGGAGAGAGAGATGGGGGACAAGAGTCCAAGACTCACCCTTGCTGGCATCGAACTTGATGGGCATGCCGCAGGCGGCAAACTCCTCAGTCTCGGGGCTGGGAGGGATGTAGGTGAAGGAAACACCCTCGGGGAAGTCGTCGCCGGCCTTGAGAGGCATCTTGGTGAGTTTCTGGCGGATGGTTTTGTGGTGTTTGGAGTGGGGGAGGAGGTGTGAGGTCGACAGGGTGGGCAACCTTGACGACGAGCTTCGGGGGTGGTATTTATGTCGTGAGAATGGAGGAAGTGAACGAAAGGGTCCCAGTCCAGAGGCGCGATTATCGCCGGGGATACGTCAAATATCTACATGCGGTGGTCCGCCTGCCCATGCAAGCCAGCCAGCCCGCTCAGCGAGGCCGCTTTTTTTCTGGCCCCTCCTCCACCACTACGAAACCCATATGCCCATACGGATCTCGGTCCTCTGACTAAAGCCAAACGGCCCTGTTCCATGTCTTGCAGTGGTTTCTGCCTTTCCATCCGACGCTGCTCCGACTTCGATCGCTTTCCAGACCCTCTTTGTGCTCCTGAGGGTGGGCCGGGAGGTTCGCTATCGGTGGGGCGACGGGCTCCGCCGTCTGGGCTGCCCTTCCTTGGATGGCTCCGAGTGCGTCGCCGATAGCTAGCGTTTCGAGCGAGGGGGCCAGAGGGGCAAGGAGTAATGCTACCGCCCATTTCTGGGGGGCATTGGGGGACGGGAAGGTCGCTTACATGGCAGACATGGTGGGTTGACGTGGGCAGACAAGGGCAGATGGGATGGCGATGCCGAATGCGGCGCGGTCAGCTCGGCTCGGATCTGATAAGAAACTTTTTTTTTTCCCTGTCGGTTCTCCTTGCCTCAGTCCTTCTCCAAATTTCCCCTACTGTATGACCTAAGCACACTCAGAGCAGGTAATAGTTTTTGGAGAAGCGCCCCTGGCAGCTTTGCATTACTGTGGTACGGCACGTCTAAGTTGGTGGGGTCTCAAGGTTGCCCCTCGCGGCGCGTTGGTGGGAAGCGGCGGTCTACGTCACGCCTAGACAGGGGGGAGCTTTATCAGATCGACCCTAGATTATCGCTGAGCAGTCGGTGTATGTACTGCACTGTACCGTACAGATACCACGGTACCTGAATCTAACACCGTGATGGCACAGCAAGCACCTCGAGGTTCTCAGGAAAGTCAAGGCCGGAATGCGTGCACGAGACACACTGCACGTTAAATAGTCAAGCCAAGCCAGTGACAGTTGGAGGGACAGTGAAGTGAGGCGAACCCAGCTCGCGGGCCAATGCGGCACCACCAGCAGTCTCGTGCGGGCACAGTCCGCACCGCATGGTTGCGATTTGAATAGAACAACAGCCTCTTGTTGCCTAGACGACTTGGTGCTCCCCGATGTTTCTGCTCGGTCTCAGGAAACGCAGACATATTAGCACGATGAAGTGGTGCTCCGGTTGGACGGCATTAGTAGGTGTCAATTCACCGCGTCTTCGCATTCTCGCGATCTCATTCCCTCAAGGTTGCTGGTGTCAGCCAGTGCGGCCCCACTCCCGCAGTTCCCCTTACTCAGACACTGTCGGACTAAGAACCGGCGTAGTATGGACGTTTGATGCTGGCTGATTTTGATGACTCTTTGAAATGTTGCCTCGTTTGACTCACTGCACAATCACACAAGATGATGCCATCGCGAAATGTTACTCCGAACGAGCAGATCATGTCCGATTGTTGCCACATGGATCTGATGTAGACCAGCTATGCAAGTGGCACCAGGCCCTAGACAGCTATAGACCAAAGTCGGGCACACTATAGCTCGGTTCGCAACAGTATAAATCAGTCTAAACTTTGTTGGCGTTCGCGAATTACACTCTTGGTTCACACGGCCGGTATTCTAAAACAGGTAAGGGGACATGGGAAACAATACCTCGGCAGGCTTGCAACCCCGCATCAGGGGGCTGTTCAAGATTTGGAGAAGGCAACGAGAAGGCAATGAACTTAATCCCATCAGTTAAGTTGTCGGCATCTCGAAAGCAGTTGACACCCACGAATAATAGTGCCAGTAGAAAAGTGCGACTCGTGCATATTTCATCACCTCCCCGTCGCAATGGCTCACACGTCCGCCGCCGCCGATCTGTCAGTGGCCAACCTCTTCGGTTTCCAAAAAGATGTCGTCCTCGTGACCGGCGGAGCCACAGGCCTGGGCGAGATGGCTGCCCAGGCCTTCGTCCAGAACGGCGCCCGCGTCATCATCGCGAGCAGAAAGAAGAGCGAGCTGGAAAAGACGGCAGCGAGACTGAACAGCCTCGGACCGGGAAAGTGCGACTACGTCGTGGCGGACCTCAAAGACAAGGCGGGCTGTGATGTGCTCTGTGCGGAAGTCAAGAAGAAGACGGACAAGTTGACCGTGCTGATCAACAACTCGGGTGCCACATGGGGTGCCCCGTACGACGACTTCCCCGAGTCCGGGTGGGACAAGATCATGTCCCTCAATGTCAAATCGATATTCTACGTCACTGTCGGCCTCCACTCCCTGCTCACCAAGGACGCGACGGCAGATGTCCCCAGTCGGGTCATCAACATCGCCAGCACGGCCGGCGTCGCGACGGGTGACGTTACGAGTGGGCCCGAGGGCGGGCTGGCGGCCCCCGGCACCGGCACGTACAGCTACGGGCCGAGCAAGGCGGCCGTCATCCACCTGTCCAAGATCCAGGCGTCCAAGCTCATGCAGGAGCACGTCACGGTCAACGCCGTCTGCCCGGGCGTGTTCCCGAGCCGCATGTCGAACTTCGGCCTAGAGAAGGCCATGGCGAGCCTGCTGAGGCAGCACCCCAGCGGCCGCGTCGGAAAGGCCGAGGATTTCGGCGGGTTGGTGCTCTTCCTCGCCAGCCGGGGTGCGGCGCACATCACTGGTAATGCGTTCGTGATCGATGGTGGTGTGACGGTCAGCGGGGGCAAGGGCAAGGCGGCAAGGCAAGAAAAGTTGTAAGGTCTGTGCTGCGCCGGAGTTTTGGTGCCTGGTATGATTCCTCTAGCATTTTGTCACCTCCCGCGCCATTGAATTCGGTCAAAGGCGTCAGATCGGAATTGGGTAATTGGTGTATGTAGATTGTGCATTTGAAGTTAAGCACCTCAGATGTGGAAACCTACTGTATCACTCAGAAAAGACGCCAGCCATTGTGATTTATAAAGATACGCCTCGAGGATATCAAATCTCAACGGACACGTACATACTCTGGTATTCGCTAACGCTAGCATCAAGAATGCGGATAGTATCCAGCCTCGGAAGACCATCTATTCAGCTTTCTGCTTGCGGTCTTTACATTCCAGTCGATATGGTTGGCAATCTCCACGGCCATGCCCAGCTCAGTGGCCAACGCGTGAACCAGGCCAGGATGCGCTTGGAATCACTGACCTGCCAGCACTACCTCATGCTAGAATGAACCACCTCTTGAGCCAGGTACCTTGCCCTTATTTCACCGAGGGCCGATATGAACAACTTTTCATATACAGCTTTCTCGACCTCTTGCGCGAACTCGCTCGATAAGCATGGCCACGTTTTATGGCTATCGCCGACTCGCATGTACACCGCATAAATTAAGGTCACGTGGAGCTGTAGGTTTACCAGAGTTCCGATGAGGCATTCATGGGAGTTATATGTATGTTTCCCTAATTTCCTGATTCTTGAGAAGATATGCTGACTTGAATCTCTTCATATATGTGCTTATATTGTATACTACACGATTGTACCTGGCCTTGCTTAGCCGTGACATTGTCGACGACTCTGGCAACGCGGGCTGTAGTGATTGTTGGGTCGGGCTGTGTTATAAGGCAAGCCATGAACGTCAAATAAAGTCAATCCATACAAGCTCCTTACTTGAGCAGAAGTGCCAATCGAGTCATTGCTCTTGATGGTAATTACAACTGGCGGGTATGGTATCAGGCCACCAACACCTGAATTTGAGGCTTCAGTTACGTTGTCATCAAATTGATGAGACACGCGACTCAGCTCAAGCTTGCCGGTGGAAAGAAATGGCCAATTACCAATACTAGCCTCTCGTAGTTCCAGTTTTATTTTCTTTTGAAGAAAAGTTGTATCGATTGCGGGAGAGTTGTCTTTGCCAAAGCTTGCTGTTTGTTGTACGTGTTTTCTGACTCCCCCCCGAAGGTCTGTGCGCGACCCGATCTCGCGGTACATAGCGGAATGACACACATTTTTTTTCTGCCCCTCAGTGCCCCTCCATGATTTTACCCCTCAACACTACGACTGTCTGCGACTTGCCTCCCATCACCCATCACGACGAAGACCAGCATCATGGAAGAGTCGAACGCTCCGACGTCGAAGAAGGGCGCCAAGAAGGCCGAGGCCAAGGCCAAGAAGGAGGCCTTGAAAGCCCAGCGTGCTGCCGAACTCGCCGCCGCCGCCGCCAATGTCACCCTCGAGGACGACCCCGCCCAGGACAACTACGGGAACAAGCAGACCACGGCCTCGCTCTTCAGCAAGGACGCCGAGGAGGTCGAGATCCGTTCCCTCGACGAATCCCACAATGGCAAGACGGTCGTCGTGCGTGCATGGCTCCAGAACTCTCGCGTGCAGAGTGCCAAGATGGGCTTTGTTGAGCTCCGCAAGGGCGGCAACTGGAACATCCAGGGCGTCGTTATGGCCTCGGAGGAGGAGCCCCTCGTCAGTCGACGCATGGTCAAGTGGATTACCGGCATCAGCCCCGAGAGTTACGTAGCGGTTGAAGCCAAGGTCAAGCAACCTCTCGAACCCGTCCACAGCTGCCGAGTCTCGGGACTCGAGCTTCACATCACAAAGTGCTACGTGCTCGCGCCGGCTCCCGCCATGCTTGGCATGACCATGGCCGCTGCAAGCCAGCCCATCGTCAACTTCAGCGACGAGAAGGCCCAGGAGGGAGACGCTGACGCCGGCAAGGCGGCCAAGCCCGCTGCCGAGACCACGACCCCGTCCGCAAGCATGCTCACTCACCTCGATAACATTGCCATGCACAAGCGCGCTCCTGTCCAGCAGGCGATTGCGGTACGTTGATGTAAAACGTTGATGGACCATGATCTGGATACTGATCAATTCTGCCACAGGATATCCGTATTCAAGTCAAGAGAATCTTCCGCTCGTACCTTGAAGACCTCCGGTTCAAGGAATTCGAACCGCCCTGCCTTATCGGCGCTGCGTCCGAGGGCGGTGGGAATGTCTTTCGACTCCCATATTTCGGCGACGAGGCTTTCCTCGCCCAGTCGCCCCAGTTCTACAAGCAATTCGAGATTGCCGGAGGCAGGGAACGTGTGTTCAGCATAGGCCCCGTTTTCAGAGCCGAAAACTCCAACACACCGAGGCACATGACCGAGTTCACAGGTCTTGATCTGGAGATGGAAATTAAGGATTCTTACACCGAAGTTCTTTCCGTACTGGAGGGCGTCTTGTTGTCCATCTTCCGTGGAATCCAAGGTCAGTTTTCACCCACCCACCCTGTATTTCCGCGATTCTGCAAAAAGAAGAAGCATCTCTCTCCATATGTATGTGTTTTCTAACCGGATTATTCACCAACACAGAGCGATGTGCGGACGAAATCGAGACGGTCCGAGCCGTCTACCACTCGGAACCGCTCCTCCTTCCCGAGCCCGGCAAAGAAGTCCGCTTAACTTTCGCCGAGGCACAAAAGCTTTTGCGAGAGGAAGGTCCTGCAGAATTCGCAAATGTACGAGACGATGAGGATATGAGCACCCCCCAGGAGAAGGCCCTTGGCGAAGTTGTCCGCGCCAAGTACAAGACAGACTTCTACGTCATTGACAAGTTCCCTGAGACGGCGCGACCATTTTACGCCAAGATCGACGATGCTGGCACCACGGTTGGAGAAGGTGTCCGGGTTACGAATGCCTTCGATTTCTTTATCCGTGGGCAGGAGGTGCTCTCCGGTGGCCAGCGAATTCACAACCCTGTTGAACTCGAGGAGCGTATCCGCGCCAAGGGTGTCGACCCCGAGAGTGCTGGTATCAAAGAGTACCTGACGACGTTCCGACAGGTTGGTGTGCCGGCGCATGGTGGAGGTGGCATCGGTCTTGATCGTGTGGTTGCTTGGTTCCTCGCATTGCCAAGCGTCCATCTCGCGGCGTATTATCCTCGCACGCCCAAGAGGCTGTCGCCATAAGGCCCTCTAAAAGGACACTGACTTTCAGTGAACCAGAGAATTGGCGTTGTGCAAACTGTGCAAAGTGGTTTATAACGTGGGTGGTGGATCTTGTCATCTTCGGACAGCTCGTTGGACGCTGGCAGTAGAAAGTTGAGAGAGCCCAAAGTCTAGCGCTAAGACCAGACCAGACGTATAATATTCAACTATCATGAACAATCATACTGAGTCTCTTGCAAGAGGTGCTACTTCTATACGCGCCAATAATCTGATCTAGCAGGGAATACGACCCGATCCTACTTATGACTAGGCAAGGAGGTAGCGTTAAGGAATTTTTATCCTGCACCATTGAAAGCCTGTCGCTAAACGCACTTTCAGCGAGGCGAACCACGCCCACCGCTTAGGAAATCAATTAATCGTTCCTATAATTACAGTAATGAGCGAGGTTACAGGCAAGCCATAATGCGAAATCTTGCCCAAAGAAGACCGGGTTGTTGCCCCTTGAGTGTCACAATGTCTAGGTACAGGATGCTGACGACACTGCGGAACTTGCAGGGATCAACCTGACTGTTGCCATCACCCCGAACCGTACCACAGAAGGCTCTTGTACATCCGTATACACGTCCATCGTCCCAATTCTTATTACCTTTATTCTCATCCTATATGATACTCAGGCTGCCGTGCGTGCAACTCATCAGATTTGTCCGTCTAAGAAGTTCTTCGCTCGTTCTAGAACCGCAGATGCCTCTTCCTTCGTACCGAGGATCGGGTACGTCAGGAAGAAATCATGCGGCATGCCGACCGAGGTATTAAAATGGGTGCTGTTCCCTTCTATCTCTGCCATCTGTCTCGCGAAGATGCTTATGGACTCGTAGAATCCCTCCAGACTGCCGGAGTCGATGAAAAGGGGTGTCTCGAGCCGGAACGGGTGGTTCAACGGCGATACGTACGCTTCTTCTTCCGCCTTCAGTGTTTTCCCCCGTGGTCGGTAGACCTCGAGTGCCCACTCCAGGAGTGGCACGTCCAGGATGTCGTACCCTCTTGCCGTTGATCGGTTATATCTCTGTACCGCTTCCGATGTTACTTCCACCCAGGGCGAGAAAGCTGTTGTGCCCCCTATATCAAGTGGTAATGTCAGCGTGCATCCCCTCAATAGCTGAGCTGAAGCAATGTCAGAAAATTACGAACCTGGTTGCGGGAGGCCATGTTCAGCTAGATAGCGAAGAAGGGCAAGAACGAGGTTCGCCCCCGTCGAGTCTCCCATGACGACGATGTCCCTCGAGGCTACACCGAGGTCGAGCACGTACTGGTAAGTGGTGAAAAGGTCCTGGACCGCAGCAGGAAACGGGTTCTTGTCCGAGGCCAGCCGGTACTGCATATACAGCACGTTGGTAACCCCGAAATGCTTGGTAGCCACCGCCGACACGTTCGCGGAGTTCTGGTCGGGGTCCCAGCCCAAAACGAACCCGCCGCCTCCGGCATAAATCACTACCTTCAGATTCGGATCCGTGCTCCCCGGAGAAACAGGTGCCGGGTGCCACACGGCTCCCACGGGGGCGGGCTTCGTAGCCGCGGCCGGGCTGCTCAGCACGCCTCGGATGAGCGAGGCTTCAGGGGGCGCAATTAGGACGAAGCGGCCCCCGGACTTGCCGGCGCTCAGCTGAGGGGGCTGCTGGAAGCGGACGACGGCGAGGTAGCGGAAGACGGCGCGTAGTATGGCGGCGCCCATGCTGACCTTGTAGCTCCATTGCGGCACGGCGCGGAGCGGGGGGACTGCGTACGGAGCGAGAGAAAGAGCAGGTGGGGATGTTGATAGCCCAGAATCCCAGCGTGTAGAGGGTCTTGAAGGGCTGAGGCGACCAGGTGGAAGAAGCCATCGTGTGCTATATGTTTGTCTAGGTGTCAATCTGGTGCGGGATTAGGCAGGTGATGGGAATCACGAAATAGTGAGCCTAGATAGGACGATTGCCTTCACAGATGTTGGTTGTGCTATAGTGGCCACATACGGCTTTCACCAAGATACTCACCTAAGAACGACTCGTTCTTGAGTCAAAGGCAAGGGGAGCAAAGTAAGGGCATGGGAGACGAATTCAAGGTTGCCAACTAGTTGATGCAGAGTCTAGCTCCCTCAACTGATTCTGGCCTCCCGTGCTTACGCCCTTGCTTTGTTACTTTGAAGGGCTATGTATGGATGCAACCTTGCTTCCACCCCCACCATTTCAGCAAACAGCTCGGGATTTCAGGGGTCCCATCTTGCACTCCGCATCGAACAAGACATCCCAAGGCCTATGATATGATCCAAGCCCGCGTGATGTGACCGGGTATATATCAGCAAAAGCTAGCCCAATCCTGCATCTGAGCCGTGCTAACAAGCAAAGCTACCGATCAAGAACTTACGTCACGATGAATGGTGTGATTCTTGTGTTCAATACTATTTCACTGCCGTGTGCTGCTAATAGCTACGTCGCGGTGTAACTAACAAATTATGCTCGACCTAGACCCTCTGTAGGATGTTGTTTCCTACACGACCAGGAGGAATACCTAGTATTACGCATTCGGCTTAGACAATTTTACCTGTAGCACTGTGCTAACATGACAGGAGAGTGTAGTTTGCGAATCTCAATAACAATTTGAGTTTCGTTCGCTTTCTGTTCAGAACTAATCATCGATAACAAAGGTGTTCTGCCACGTTCCACTAGACACAAGCACGCAACTGTGGAGATAACTAATCAACAATCCTCTATAACTGACTTCATAGGCGTCCGTTCTGGACTTGTGACTAAATATAGAAGAACAGTATGCGATTATTGCAAAGACTGTTGCCAAGTAGTTCTAAGGCGCTTGGGACACAACTGGTATGGTTACCGTGTGGACGTTTACTATAGATAGTTAAGGGCCCAGGACCCACTGTGGCCCCATTTCACCAGAGCACGGGCCGCATGACCTTCGCAGCTGGGCCAACGCGGTGTCACGTGACTCTGCGCCAGAACTACCGAAAGGCTTAGCCCCCCATCAGCCCCATCTCGAACCCAACCACCGCCAACATCGTCACCACCCTGATAACATCGCCGCCTCACCGTGCCCTCCTTCCTCGCGCTCCTGCTTTGCTGCCCGTGACTTGAGCCGACTAGAACTCGCACCCTCGATCATCTATAGACCGATTCCTACTCGGCGAGTGTGCGCGTGACCAAGCAAGCACCCTCGTTGAAAGGATTGGGATCTTGGGCAAGGAGCCTTGACCGGCTACCGGCTGCGAGCCTGGGTTGTGTTCGAGTCACAGACCGAGGCCATCTCCTAGCTTGCCAACGCTTTGCGCGACCCTCCCCTCCCCTCATCGACCCTACCTCTCCGCTCGTGGCCAGCGACAGACCGACCAGCACTCGCACCCTCGATCATCTATTGACCGACTCCTACTCGGCGAGCGTGCGCGTGACCAGGCAAGCACCCTCGCCGAAAGGATCGGGATCTTGGGCAAGGAGCCTTTACCGGCTACCGGTTGCGAGCCTGCGTCTTGTCTTGTTGTTGGCTTTCGGGCCAGACGGCTGAGCGAGAGGAGGAGCTGCCACAGACCGCCTGACACTGACTAGGTCATCGTGGACAGACTTGCCAGCGTTTGTTCGTTATCAACGGTAAGCCTTCTAGTTGACTCACTCCCTGCCATCACCGCTTTGTGTTAGGTTTCCATATCATATGTCGATTATGCCTCCCGCCAAAGATGCTACAAGTCAACTCGCTGGAACGAACGAGCCTTTTCGCAAGGCGGCGTCAACTGTCATAGTCACGTTCGAGGTGGCAGCCGATGCACGAGACCCTGGCCGCGAGGATGATGACGAGTACGACAACCGTGAATTCCACCGGCAGAAACTGCGCATGGGCTTCAAGGCTTGCTACGAACCACCCATCGTTACCTTGAGGTTCAACGTTGGCATCTTTGGCTATGGCGAAGATAAGAAGAAAGAGAAGACAACATTATACTTTGACGTTCCTCGACACCACATCTCATCGCTTGAATCGACCCACCATGTCGACGTCGCCACCGTCCCAGAACTTAGCCAAGATGATATTGCCAAGCTTGCAGGTGGTATTACACGTCTTCGTTTCCACCTCACACGCCCTGGCAACCTCATCCAGCCTAGTAGAGAGCTCTCCCTCAAACCTGCCTCGCAACACACTCTCGCGTCTATGACTTTGTTAGCCAAAACCCTCGATTTTGTACTTCTCATGCCACACACCACATTATCCAAACAACAGCTTCAATGCCTTCAGCAAGCCGTCACATCACCCATCACTTTCCACGATCAGCTGCAGCAGGATAAGGAACATGACTTCTGGCTGGCGGCTTTGTATGGCGGCGCCGGCGGCAGGCTGCTCAACACTCGCGCTACCGCTGCTAGCCCACCACCAAACAAGATTGACGACGTAAGCACGGCTTCCGAGTCAGGCGACTCTACCGTTGCTACGGCTACTCCACCAGCGTACCGCAGGTCAGCGGCACCTAGCGATCACGGTGTTGATGCTGTTGGCGAAACCAACGGCTTGATCACGGCGTCTGATTTTGCGGACGAGATCACCGCAGCCGGTCCACCCCCTTATGACTCGTTGGCGTCTGGGGACAAAACCTCTGCTCCAGCAGCTGATATGACAAGTACGTATACCTCTGCCTTGACAAGTCGAAAACCTGTCCGGTCTTTCAGATCATTCAGTTTGCTGACTTCATTGCGCCCATTCAGAGAAGCAGGTGAGAAAACGTCTCCAGGATAGCGTCAAATTCGACACCAGAAATTCCCGTAGGCGCCTAGGCAGTGAACCTTTGTTTGCGGGCGGTAAGCACTTGCACGCCGGGGACATCGCCGGGACCTCGACATTGGAAGATGGTAAAGAGGCTGGCATATATCTGCCATATCCTAGCGCACTCATACTGGAAAAACTGGACGAAGTGCTGAGGAGAGCTCAGTACCTTGAGAAGGAGAATGGGCTACTCAAGGCTGAAATATCTGCAATGCGCGAGGGCCAAGACCAAATGAAAGCTGAGCTAAAGGAGATGGCTGATCGAGACTACGACCGCTCCAAGAGAACTAAAGACTTAGAGAACGAGGATGCAAACCTCGAAGATCACATTACGCATCTGAGGCAGTGTCACGACGATATCGAGGAACGCCAAGCAGAACTCGAGGATCGTCAAGGGAGGATAGAGGAAAAGTGTGATAATATTGAGCTCGAGATCGTCGATCAAGTTCACACTGCATTAAGGGAAAGGCTTATAAGTGCCCTAGAAACAATATGAATACAAACATTACAAAATGATCTATTCTTCTACTTGATGAAGGCCTTCTGCTCAAGTTTCCGTTACAGTCTTCAGCTGCATATATCCTTGTATAAGAACGCCTGGACCGAACCATATGTAGTCCTCCTTGACTGGGAAACCTCGCCTGGTTCCCCTGATGCGATTGAATGTTGGCAGATTCTGAAGACAGCCACTGTCAAGTAAGACAAACCGCAAAGCTACCCCGCACTCGCACAGGGGAAGTCATCTGCTAGATGCCTAGGTACCTTGGGTACATAGGTATATATATCTTGTTTCTGTGTTGGTCTCTTATTGCCTGCCACCCTGGAGGAACAGACATGCAACACTCCGGAAGACGTCATCGTCTCACTCAACCTTCACATCAGCATGTCTGCGCCCTACGAACTCATCTACTATACAGGCGTCCCAGGCCGCGGTGAACATGTCCGGCTAATCCTCGAGGAAGCTGGCGTTCCGTATAAAGACGCTCAGTCTCTCTCATTTGATGAAGCACGGGAGACTGTCACGACCTGGCTCGCTGGCGGCGGACATGGCAATCCGCCTTACTTCGCCCCGCCTCTCCTGAAGCACGGCGACCTCGTCATCTCTCAGACTCCTAATATACTCCTGTACCTCGGCCCCAAGCTCGGACTTGCTGGCTCGCGTGAGAACGATCTATACAGAGTGAACGCTATTGCTCTCACTGCGCTCGATGGGTTGAGCAACGAAGTTCACAATACACATCATCCAATCACCGTCATGCTGCCCTGGGAAGACCAGAAGGAGGAAAGTAAAAGGCGCAGCAAGGAGTGGGTTCAAAACCGCCTACCGACCATCCTTGTATACTGGCAGAGGGTATTGGAGAATGAGGAGCGCGGCCCAGGCCCGTGGCTTTTGGGAGACACGTTCACGTACGCCGACTTGGTGTTGTTCCAGGTACGCTCTCTCTCTACTCTGTAGCTGGCCCCGTTCTTGAAATTCTTCCCTCCGTATATTATAGCCGCCAAACGCTTTGACCTAACTGATCTATCGCCGTAGTGTCTCGACGGTACCCACTACGCTTTCCCCAAGGCAATGAAGCAGGCCAGAGAAACCGGCAAGTACGACAAGGTGTTCAAGCTGTGGGAAGACGTCAAGGCTCGGCCAACCATTGCTGCGTACCTTGCCAGTGACAGAAGACAGAAGTATCAGGATTGGGGCGTCTACCGGCACTATGATGACAATGATGTTGTTGCAGAGTAGCCTCCGGTATAAGGCATGGAAAGTCATATAAATAGTTCGTGGGATGAGTATTGAGTCCGGAAAACGGTGGCATGGTTTGAAAAGGAGGTTTTGTATGGAAAATAGTGTATGCACTACAGATCAATTCATGCAAGAATTCATCACGTACCGAGCTCTCACAATTCAAAGTGAATTCCTGAAATGAGGCTGTTCATCGCGGTTTCAAAAGACTTCCTTTGCTTCCTTTGAGTAAACGTTGGGTTGAGCTTCCTGGGCATTGTTCAATGTGGTACCTCACGGGACAATTGATGACTGATATGTAGCTATGCATGTCGCTTCTCCGGCCCTTTTGGAGGTGCTTCATACAATGTGAACGTATCGAAAGGCGGTCAGCAGGAAAAGTGGAGTCCTATCTATCTCCCAGGACATAACGCACATGGCGCATCCGATCACCCACGTATCACCGGCATGCATCACTCTATGCTCACTGTCACCTGGGTTCTGCAGGTATTGCGCCTGGGTATTCAGCTGCAGCCTTTCGATATAATCAGCAACTATTCGTACAATTACCACATACGACCACATCTCCTAGAGAACTCGGGATCCCGTCCGCTCTCCCTTAGATAAACTGGGAAGAGCCAGATTAGTAGTTGGGTGGGTGACCACCAGCGAATACCTGGTGTTGTATGTTTTTTCTTTCTTTCTTTTTTTTTCTCTGCATCTATTATTATATTCTAGATGTGTATGTTCCTTTCTTAGTCTCTTGTTTGTTCTCTTCCTACAAGCGTCATCACATCATGTAGCTCTCTTTTGGCCGAGCTGAGTATCAAGTGACCTGTAAAGGATGAAATAAGCCGAACGCTCAAGGGGATGCGATGGCCCCTATTACATTATCTCATCCTTTATAACGAACTATTCTGACGAAACCATGGATGATCGAGAGCCTTCCGCGCAGTGATCCTCCTCGCTGGATCCAAATTTGTCATCTTCACAACCAAGTCTCTGAGCTCCAGGTCCACATAATGCCACAGTGCAAAGGGCTTTCGCGGCTTCTCGGCATCAAAATCAGCCGCCACAGCGATAAAGCGCTGGAAGAACACATTCTCCTCTCCAATATGTTGAAGGAGGCCCTTCAAGCCATCCTCATCTGCAAAGAAAGATACATGTCTGCGGAGAATATGCCACCAAACGTCCCGGCCACCAAGCTGCTCATCAGTAACGCGAAGGACCATGTCATTCAGCATTACGTAGATGACGACCAAGCCAAAGGAGAATATATCGGATGGTGTGTTCTGTCGAGCGCCTGCCCAAGACTCGGGGCTTCGCCACAATTGGTTCCCACACACGCAGCCACCGATGTTCTTTCCAGGTGGGAGGCGCACCGCGTCCTCTAAGTCTGATATCTGGACACGTGTGATAACAAGACCTTCACTGGTCGTCTGTTCGTAGTCACAAAGTATATTGTTCGGTTTGATGTCTAGGAGGACGTCAGCTCCCCGGTGGTTTCCTGTATAGTACGCAACCGAGCCAAATCTCACCTGTATGGATGATTCCTTTATCGTGGAGCTCGGCCAGTCCAGCAAGAGAACTCCTAAGCATGCCTTTCTTCATATCGGCTGACAAAGCTTTCTGGCTTATCTGAAGGAGGTCGGTGGCTAGAAAGGGATAGACGAAGAGTTCAAGGTCTGGTACGATATCGACCACTGTCCTCAGATTGGGACTTGACGCCACGCTTTCTTGTAGATCCCTCTGGTACTCTAGTTCACCGGGAATCATGTTTTTGACAATAAAATCCTCTCCTTCGTTGCTTGGCACGTGAACTCAAATCAGAGGCTGAGTCATTGCTAAGGTTCAAGTGTCACATACCTCGCCCGGTACACACATAATATCGGATTTATTCGTTCGGAAAGAACCTCTTGAATGCGGTATGTTGATCCTGAACGGCCTCGAACCAATTCTCCGATCGTTAGAGGCGTGATTCGTGTTTGCGGCAAAGACGACATGGTCCGGTGATAAGTGCGTTGGTACGGCTGTCTGAAACAGAAGGCACGGGCGGCAAAAGGGGGTCTTGAATTTTTTTGTGCCAGGAGCAAAAGAGTCGAAAGGCGTCTGTGATGCCTCGGTGCTGTTCTCGGGCTTAGCAGCATGGCGTAGATGTGTCCCACATGGGGAGTTGGTTGTGAGCAGTTGAAGTTGCTTTAATCACCAGCGCCTATGCGCACGAGCCAAGTTATCTTCCAGCCGCCATCCTCTTGTGGACCAGAAAAAACCACCCGCTGTCCGGCAACTAGTAGCCAAGCGACATGTTTTCATTGGTCACAGCCCACGTGAAGTGGGTTCTCTCCTAAAAAAGACAGTCCCCACTTTCAATTTTAGCTGGTCTGCATCTTGAGGCGCGCGCCTAAACACCTGGATAAGCCTTAACTTCACGCTCGGAAAAGCTCACGCGATGATCGCAGCCAATTGTCTTGCGAATCTGATCATATTAACTTTCGTGAGGTTTCAAACGACTTGGGTCATGAGTTTTACGTCCAATTGCAATGTATGCATCACGCAGCTTCGAAGGTTAACGTTCGAGTAGGTGGAAGCATTGGTAAATTGCAGTAGTTTTTCACCAAATATAAATCTGGGCTTGATATCCTCTAGTGAGATTCAGGAATGATATATTCAACAACCTCTGTTTCTTTTGACTTCACGAGCCGAGCATATTCTCGCCCGCAAGAAATTCCTGTCAGCGTTGGGGTTCACATTATCGTCGTTTTTGAATATGTCCAACGCCAAAGTTCTATCGACCAAGCTTGTCACCACAATTACCAAAGACAGCCGAGTGGTCCAAATTGGTTTTGTAGATAAGACAGATATATGGAACAGGACGGTGCTCAGCGCCGAGGTTCAGCAAAAGTTCACAAAGGTGGCAGAGGGATATATCGACACTCTTCGTCCGGACACCAACACAGTTGCTCTCCAGTATGCTCAACTCACCTTGGTTTTCTTCAACCTGGCATTAAGGCTTGAATGTTCTGAACTAACTAGAACTTATGCAGAGAGACTCCTCATAAGAGTGAGTCCGATAACCGGACACATTTTACGGCAGTAGAGTTAGACGGGTCGGGTAAAGTCACAGCCAAACGGCACTTTACAGTCGATTAGGAGCCCGAAATCGTTTGGGATTGCAGCAATCAACTAGCGAGGTAGCAGTTCGGTAAAACTCGTATTTACTCCGATAAGTGTGACGATAGATCATCAGAGTGATGGGTTGGGTCAGGTGAATTGAAGGATCAGGTTGCGTTTCCTGGCCCTATTAGCTAGATCGCTAGGCTTGTTAGACTAGTTCGTCCCCTTCCCCAACGTAAGAATCGAAGTACGTAATCTCAGATTTGAGGGCTGGTGTGAGGCATAACCTAGGAGAGAATTCCTATTACGAATTGCTTTTTCTATTTTAGAAGCTGAGCTCATGTAGCAATCTTCCTGGTGCTCAACTGAGGAGGTAAGCCTTGTCTGAAGTCTTTGCGGGTTGAGACTTCGGGAGAATAGTCGAAAAATAATGTTGTATGAAAAACTAGTATCCAAACCAGTCATGGCCCTAACCCCAAATCAGCCCTGGCACTCTAGTTGATCATTCCTGATGCAACAACCAGCTATGGGAGGCGTAAAAGGGGAGAGGAGATCATCGAGCTCGTATTTAGTCTCAATTTTTCTCGGGCATGACCTATTCATTACCAATAAATGAATGAAATGAATAGCTTTAAGCTCAACCAACTACTTGTAGACGTTTCACTCCATATCTCGAGAATTTTAGTCTTAATGTGTACGCGTTTGTCACCAGCGTCGAGAGATGTGGTCCCGCCATCCGAAATTACAAGATCATTTCCAAAGTGAAGTCGATGCTCGATGATACGCAATTCGTCGTTGACACAAATGACATGCTGTTCTGGACTGCGGATAAAAATGACGTGTTTGGATGTACCGCCGTGTCTAACCGAATCATTCACATCATCTTCACTTACCGCCAATTGACCCTCTTCTTCATTTGATTCCAGCTCATTTTCCTCTTGCTCTGTAGCACTTTCCTCTCCGTCGACGGAAACTGGGTTGAAAACACCAACTATGAATTTTTCGCCCATCGAGGATAGACCCCACATGACCGAAATACTTAGGTCCGGCATCGTTTCCATAGCCTTGACCAAAACTTCACTCGTGGGCCGGACGCCGGTGCACCATTGATGAGCCCTACCAAAGTTTTCAAAATCCACTTCTGGGTGCAGGGGGGTCTATCAAGTCACGGGTCACACACGCGCGGGACAACGAAGTACATCGATATGTCATACTTAAGTCCAAACGAGACTGGTCTCTAAGAAAAACATGCTGCTTGAACTCAACATCCGGCATTACTTATAGATTAATTTCGAACTATCCTTTCGCAGGACTGAGATACGAATAATAAACCGCAGACTTCTCCATAGATGGCTGCGGCTCACACGATCAGTATGACTGGTGATATGACGCATTTCGGGCTATGAATGTATTGAGACAGGGTATTACTAAAAGCTAGTAAATGTATAGCCACTAAGTTAAAAGCCTTATCTGTCTTTCTAGAAAGGCAATCTTGGGTCTGTCCGACTCAAATGTTAATTTCTTCTCTGCAAGGACAACCTCTGTCTCTAGATTTGCTACCCGAAGAGTATACTTAGGAAAACAGCCATTTACATCCTGAAATGTGTCCACGACCACTTGCTCGTACCATAGGTGCCTACCGTACGCCTTGCTGAGGGCTTTTATGAACATCATCTCCACTGAGCACCAGGCACGGCTAAGGTAGGTCTCGTCGACTAGGCTAATCATGGCATCGCACTGCACGATGATCAAAGGCAACGATTGGACGCCCGATATGGGGTTATCTTGGTTGACACAAGCGAAGTCCTGCTGATATTAGCAACGTGGCGTTGTTCCGAAACATGTACGCTTACCATCCAGATTCCAAGACTATGCGAGTCAACGCGAGGATGTTTGATTAGGAATTCGTCAAGCGCAATTAACATCCGCCTGTACTGTGTATGCTGGTCGTCGTCTGGAGTCACATGAGTCGGTTTATTGTGGCCATTTGGTCTCTCATTGATCCATCTATACGAGAAAAATATGAGGAAGTTGGCGGTTTTGCTCTGCGCAGTTTTGATAGATTGACAGCAGGCCAAGTTATCGCTTGAACGAGGTAGCCGTTGGATACGCACGAAATCCCTGTAAAGGATGAACTTGAGTTGATCAAACATCGTTCGCTTCTTTGGGTCAGAAGCCAAGCTATTTGCATATGCAGCCCGGACTTCTGAGAAAGCACCCAAACCGTGGGTACGAAGCAAAGCAGGTCGTAGGCTTTCTTGCAACATTTCGCGATACCCCTTCCGAACATGAGCTTCCGTCAACCTTTGGAAGACTAGTGAGTCTGCGTTGCCAATTTTCGATAGAAGGACATTATTCCGAAGACCGTCAACAACCAAACTTTCAGTCCTTGAATCTCCGCTGAACACTGCGTAATCAAGAGCTGTATAGCCCTGTTCATCACGCATATCCAGGTCCGCGCCAGCATTGATCATCTCTTCTAGATAACCTTGATGCTCTTCGGAGGGCTCTTTGCATAAGGCCATGGCTGGTGTACACGTGCCTTTCTGATTGAACTGTTCCATGGCCTCAGGTCTGTAAGCTCCGCCAGCTAGGAGCAACGCGCGGCCGTAGAAAAATCGGGACATTGCGATCACTGTTGCATCCCCAGAGCCTGTCATTATTTGAAGAGATTCCTTGGCGGAAGCGATAGCTCGAGGGATTTCGCCCTTGGCACCATAGCAAAGCGACAAGCGAGCCAAACCAATTGCCTCCCATGTGATTGCAGATCGCACATCTTGCCGTCCCGCTCTTGCTGCATCAGGTTCTAGAGTAGTGCTCGACTTGATTCCCCGGGCTAATTGAACCCTGAGGAGCAACTGTCGCGTCGCTATGTCCAAAATGTCCTTCCCACCATCTCGCCTGAACAATTGATAGTTCACCATCCCAAGATTGCCGATAGCACGACACATGGTGCGGATTTCGTTGAACTCGCACGCAATAGTGTATTGCTCTCCAAAATGTTGCTTGGCCTCCAACAATTTGTTCATATGCCGATAGACAACGCCTAACTCACCACTGAGCTCGGCCCGTTCCATGCTTGGATCCATATCTCGCAGCGCGGAAACCAGATATTTCTGGGCCTCGTGGTATCGACCGAAGCGTCTATTGACGTTGCCGAGCTCGATCAGTGTACGAGTGCGGTAATGCGGCGGAAGACGGATACCCTGATGCAAATCGAGTATATGTAGTGCTTTCTGGAACGCTCGGAACGCGTCTTCCCATTTCACGTGATACGCAAGCTCCCGACCCTGGGTTACTGAATCTTCCCATGAACGGAGAGTGCCAGCAAGTCGTGCTAATTCAGCTGCAGTTACTCCCGCGGGATCACGCTGCTGGGTCAGTGCTTCGCCTGCGACTGGTCCGAGGACGGGAGCATCCCTCTGGAAGCCGCGACTAGAGTCGAACACGAAAATCGTGGCATGGATCGCGTTTGGTTGGACTTCTGTGCGATGATAATTTGCCGACGGAATAGTATAGTTGTTGTCTCGCCTGTGCGTTTCTGATCGAGTCAGTACAGTGGAGACTAACTCGCCTGTATTGACTATGCTTGAAGAAATTTGATGCGTCTTATATTTAGAGCCATTCTTTACTCCATCATTCCACGACAGACGATAAGTGGCATGGGTTGCCGCCGACTCGCTGACAGCAGGTGTTACAGCATAGCTATGATCTATGCCCTCACCGGCTAAGATCCAGCTTTCAGCAAAAGGCTGATGTGAGTGTAGGGCAAAGTCTGCATTGCCACGCTTTCCATCCGGGAGCCAGACGTGAAAGCGCCATAGTTCCTCAATGTTGCCATCTGTTATTAAACTGCAAAGGGCAACAGATAGAAATCCTTGGGCGCTTCTTGAAGGTGTGCAAATCGGATCTCCTAAGGTGAGCGCTTGGTGAATTAGGCTCCAGGCGAGAGTAATATCGTCAGGCAATGTATTCGACGTGGCGACCTGGCGTCTCTCCCGTAAGAGGGCGACCGCCAAGGCTACTGTGATGACCTGTATCGCTGGCTGCTGTTCCTTTCCAAAACTCTGACGGGCAGCAAACAGCCATTGTGTCACAGTCCAACAGAAATCTTCGCTTGAACCTCCGTTATCAACAAATGACTTGGCGGTGGTGGTAACCCAGTCTATCGTCATCGACAAGAGGTCCACCGAGGTATTTGCAGCAACTGAGACCCCTCTGAGAATGCGACAAAGAACTGCGGGGCTTATGTGAGTTTTAGACGTTCCATCGCCACATTTTTCCATAGCAGCTCGACAGTTGGTCTCTGTTGTTTGCTCAGTAAGATGACTTGAATTTTCCATGCTTTCGGTGCTGGATATGCTCAATGACATTCTATAAGTGAGGTAGAATAATTCTCGACGAGAGAAAAAATCAAGAGGGGGTGCCCCACTAATATTGAGGATTGAGATTGTACATGCTATTTCGTTTTCTTCGGCTCATAGCCCTTGTCTGGTTGCCGCTTTGCCGGCTTTCACCGCAACTACGCGCTGCCACCAAATGCAGTGACTGTGCGGCTTATCATATGACTAGGTGGTGGACATTACAAATGGATGTAGTTACCGGTTGGACAAGGGTAGCCAATAAGGGTAGTCGACAAGACTCGATAGGCCTCAGCTTTTTGTGAGATCCACCAATGCGGAGTCGCCCTACGACGCATGAAAAGAATCGCAGGGAAAATAGCACGTACACTGATCAGGCTTACATACCACCAAACCGCATCGAAGTGTGGCCACGTCGCCGCCTTCAGCCACAGCCTGATTCCAGCAAATGGGAAAAAGTCAGAAGCAGAGCTTCCGATTAGGTAGATGCCGCAAAGACTTCGAATATCCGCGAGTTGATACCCATAGAGTAGAAGAAGAATCTACATGAGGTCAGATGTCCGAACTAGCGGTGGCAACTCAGCTGTGAAGTCTTTTAAGCGAGGCCCTCTGCCGTCGTCTCGGAAATCTAAGCGGGACCTCTGACTCAATTTTCATGGTTTCCTCCTCAGAATTGCGTAGTCGTACCCAATCAAGCCATCATCGAAGTACGGCAGTCGGCCCGTGGTTCGTGGCTTTCAGGTTCCTATACGTTTGGAAATGCTCATGGGCTCCCATTCCCCTGTGAGGCTCTTAGATTCGAGTACCCTTAACCTATTTCACCCATCTAAGTGCCAGAGCCCTAATATGCTGACTTAAGAACTTAAGCGGCAGAACATGAGGCGTCCGATTACCCCCCTAATCGCAGCCAGGCTTCCGACCTCAACGCATCTAGCCTGAGTTATCATTGGGCAATTCGATGATCTCTGTGAAAATTGAACCGCACCCTTCACTAGCCATCAGCGCCAATCGATTATACTGCCAGTCTTATTTACGAAACTTGTTGACTGAACGCACGCACGAAAAACGTGCCACGTAGAGATAAAATTCTGATCTGGAATCTCTAAAAGCTAGGCCGTAAGAAGCTTCAAGACGCTCATTCATAAAGTGGACCTAAAAGACTGCGTTGCCAAAAAGAATAATAAATCGCCATGCTAGTGTGATCATCGTTTCTTGTATAATGATGAGTGGAATGTATCAAGATGTGAGGGACGATATGGATGGAATAGATTGATTGATTAATTAGAATGAATAGAACAGAGTAGTACACCTGGAAGTGTAGATATATACGTAGTTAATAGAGTGGCTGGTGAGTTCGTAATATAAGTGGCTGGTCCACTATTCCAATAGAACAAACTTCAGTATTGATGTGCCTTGAGCTCGGGATGATTTGTCGTAAAAAGTTGTGACTTTGCTTGTGGCCGTGCACGTTTGGGGTAAGCCCATTGTAGATTTCACAATGGCAATGCACTTTATCGAGGCAGCGTGTACAATCATATTTTAACGGTCTACAATCTTGATGCTGTCTGAAGCAATATGATTATATCTTTTTGGGCGCAATGTGTATTGCTTAGCTATTGGCAGTCTATTTCTTAATTCTATTTTCGACATACCATTTCATGCCAGTGGGGAATTGCTCTTTAATAAGTGCCGATAAATCACGAAAAACTTGATAATATGATTGAACCCACTTTACGTCCTTTGTCTCACTTAGGATTGTGAGCAATTATCTTTGATATCTTGGCATGGAGTGAGATGTTCGACTTACCTGTCTTTGTATTCTTGAATTATTTTATTCCCGAAATACTGAGAAAATTCGAAGAATTTATTGACGTGGTTGAAGGCACGCATTTCGATACCTATCCACCCCATGACAGGCATACTGTCCGCGACACAGGTCAGATGTTTATGCAAAACGTCAAATCGGTTGGCCTCCTGAATTTCCACCACGCGAGTGGCTGCGTTGCTCATTGGCCTGATCATCTCTTGCCATGCCGCCACATCTGGCTTCACAGTCTTGCTTGCAGCAACCATGATATTCAGTTGCTCCTGGAAGCAAGCCTTCACGGCGGACGCCTGTTCTGCGACAGGGCCTCCCAAGTCATTACTGAGTTCAACGTAATTACCAACGCTTGTTTGTAGAAAAGCTTCGAATTCTTGGATGGGTATGGGCAGATCCTCGGAGCTCTCCTCGGCGGCTAGAGCTGAAGTGTTAGCCTCGGATTGCTTGGGTGCTGCACCAATCCCTGATATGAGTCGTTTTAGTTCTTCACCGGGAGGACTGATTCCTGAGCTCTCATACGCCTCCGCGATGTCCTCTAATCTGGAGGCAACAGCCTCGAGCCTTGGCATACGGTGTCAGATCCATTTTCTCAGCGTGTACGGGCAATCACACACCGTTTAATTAAAGTCGTTTCTTTGTTCATCTTTCCAAAGATGTTGACAGAGGAAAAATAACTCATGAAAACTTATGCTCAACTCGAGACATAGTAGTAAAATACGAATATTTATCTTACCATTGTGTTGCATCAGGCAGCAACTGGTTCAGGCATTTTCTGATCAAGATTAGGCACCTGGTTTTGAGAAAATAATTGCTGCCTGTGGCCACGCCTCCTTACGTCAGCCGTTGCAAGTAAGTCCACACCTGATAGCCAGAATAGGCCCACGAAGAGAAGAAAGTTGAGTACTAATGATTGGGCAGGTGTCGCAATGAGAAATGAGTAGTATATGGATAGTCGGATGCGAATTGACTTTTTCCAGCGGGCGCCAAGACGCGATGTGCGAGCTCAGAAGCTTAGGTTTAGTCAATCTTCTTGTCGCTTACTTGGCATTGACCTAGCTACTTGGGAATGGATATAAGTATGCACCTATTACAAAACTATGGGAAAGATGGGCTCATGCTTCTGCTTCGTCCGCCGAAACCAAGGAAAACTGCCAGCCTTTGAAATTCTAGCTTGGCGTGCTTAAAGTGCTCTCACAACCTGTGGAATATAGGTGTCTCTGCTGTTCCACAAATTGGCGACACCTGGACAGTACGGGAAGGTTTATGCAAACGCAGCCTTTCTCCGTAGTACTCTGCTTCGAAGTTTCCTCCCGTTTCGGGTATGGAGCATAGCGAGAGACTGTAAATGTTGATAGAAAGACTAACCACAGATTACAGCCATTGGCCCTCTCTCCAAGCTGATGTCAAAATCCCCCAATGTTAGATTTCCCACAATACCGTCCTCCAGGAAGCCAGACTTCTTATTTCTCTTGAATAACAGTATATTGTTGCTGACCTCGTTAGCTACTGCCACCCACTTGTTCTCCGGATCCTGACTGAGCGAAAAGTGCCTTGGTATCTTCCCAAGCGTCGAATTCTGGCCCAAGTAAGTCAATGGCGCCTTTGTATCCGAAGGTTGGAGAGCGAAAATTGCGATGGAGTCAGCGTCGTAAGAGACCGTGTTTCTGTTCGAGACATAAAGAAAGCGACCGTCGGTAGAGATTGCTACTTCAGATGCCAGGTGTTCATTATTTGGATCCGTACGTTTGGCGCCTGGTCCGAGGGTTGAGACGATCTGGAGCATTGTGATATTTAGTGTTAATGACGAGGCGGTATCACCAATTAGGAATGCTCTGATTGTATTATCAAGTTCGCCGACAAGATACATTATTGTGGCGCGGTCGTTGATAACCTGAAAAATCGCATGGCGGGGACCACTCCCCGGTGGAAGCGTGATGTTCTGCGCTAAAGCAACATCAAGTCCAAGATCGGAACTAGAGGACACCCGATAGAAGTAGACGCGATCTGCACCTCGATCGGGTACTATCATGAGCTGTCCAGAAGGGTCAAATACGGCCTGGTGTGGGTTACTCTGGATCTGGGATCCGTTAGTCCCAGGACCAGGCTGGGCCAAGCTGTATCTGAAAATATGCGACGATGAACTTATTATCCCATCTTTATCACGAGGGTGAAGCGATACAGTTGACCCATCACTTGGTTTCAGGAAGAGATGTCAGTGAACTTCGTTACTTGATCACCTTTGTGGCATTACCTACATGTTGGCGACAGAGAGCACACGTCCATCCTTACTAATGTCACAGAACACACCGCCTTCACCGTCTGAAGTTGTATCGCCGATACCGAATAAGCCACTGGATTGTGTATGTGCGAACGCGAAGATCCCTCCGGACGGCGATGAGCTATCCGGGTATTTAGACCTTGAGACGGCGTACAGGTTGCTATCGTGAGTGCATAGCCACCCAGGCTGGAATCCCGCATGGACAGCCTGCACGATTTCGAGGCTTTCTTCAGGTGCTTTAGTCGGGTCGAAGTGGACTGTCAAAACACTTCTATTCTGGTGCGCCACGTACAGCGTAGGAAATATATCGGCTATAGAGCAAGAGGAGCACACGACGCTCCTGAAACCGAACAACCAAGCGCTCAGAATTGAAGTGTCTAGTAATTTCCGAGGAATCATTCTTGTCGCTGTCCTGTAGTGCTGTGCCACTTCGAAAAAAAACGAGAGGAAGGAAACCTGCGAGTTGGGAATGAAAGAAGAACGATAGAAGATGACTACATGATCTTCACATTGAAGTTACGCATGTGATATATATGTTTGAGTAGGGACGGATATTGCGACTTATATTCAATGTCCGATTCATTCTGCGAGAAGCGGAGATAGCTAACTATGAGGCTATGTTCAATAATGCTAAACCTAGAAGGCTGTGCAAAACGCTGATGCCGCCAAACTGCGTTCATACTGTAACTTAGCGGTGATTATTCCCAAAGTCCGGTTTTCAATTATTCGCCGACGGACCAAAATATATTTCAAATTTAGACAGTGCTACGAATAATGTCTCTTTCACAACAAAGCGAGGATGGTATCTGCAGGAAAAGGAATATGTACATATTATTTGTAAGATTTATACACATTAGACTGGATCCGATGACTCTTTATTTGGCGTCTGATTATGCACCAATGATACCGGCAGCAATCTTCTCAGCCAAAGCGTAGATGGTACTCTGGGGGTGGCCAGGAGGCAGGATAGGGAAGCTGGACGCGTCAACAACCCTCAGCCCCTCAACACCGAAAACCTTCGCCTCACTGTCGATAACCGCCATCTTATCAGTCTTCTTACCCATCTTGCAAGTGCCGGCAGCGTGCCAAACCGTCATAAGACTATCCTGGATGACAGCCAGGATCTCCTCGTCAGTTGAAGTCTCGAGGCCGGGCCAGTATTCGTCGCCAATCACGATCGACTGCACCGTGTCCGTGTTCCAGACCTCGCGCATGCGGCGCCACCAGCTGATGGCAACCTCCTGGTCGGCCTTGGCGGAGAGCCAGTTGGGGTTGACGAGCGGGAGGTCAAACGTGTCGCTGGACTTGATGGTGACGTTGCCCCGGCTGACGGGGGCGACCATGGCACCCAGGATCGTCGCGTACTGCTTGCCGTCCAGGGGCTGCTGCAGCGCCGGGAAGCGGAAGTTGCCGATGTAGCCGTTGCCGCTGATGTGCTCGACCTCGGGCCAGTCGTCCGGGAACTGCGACAGCGCCTCCTGGGTTTCGGGAGACCAGGTGTCGCGGTACTTCTGGGGCAGCTTCTCCCACCCGATGAACTCGACTACGTTGGAGGACAGCGCACCGGTGCCCTCGGCTACGTAGTCGACGAGGGAGTCCGCAAGGACAATGGGGTCGTGGAGGACGCGGTCGAGGGTGTCGAATTTGACTTCGTAGGCTGGACCGAACATGATGTGGTCCCACATGTTCTGACCGACACCTGGGAGGTCGACGATGAGAGGGATGTCATTCTCAGCCAGAGTAGCGGCGGGTCCAATGCCGGACACCATGAGAAGCTGGGGGGATTGGAAGGTTCCAGCGGAGATGATGACTTCTTTCGCGGCATGGATGTTGTAGTTAACGCCGAGTGAGTTGACCTGAACACCAGTGGCGGTATAGTTTGGCCCAATGTTGATGCGCTTGGCGGTGGTCTGGGTGTACACTTTGAGATTGTCCAGGTTCTCATTGGTAGCCTTATAAATATACTCCGCCGATGTGCTGCGTGTTTGGTCCGAGCCACGGATAGTCGATTGTGAGTAGTGATATCCGAGTAGATTGCCGCTGCTGAAGCCGGTGGTGCGGTCCATGCCGATGGCCTGCATACCCTTCTCTAACCAGGTCGCCCAGATGGACACCCAGTTTGTATAGCCGACTTGGACGGGGCCTTCTTCTCTGAAGGCATTGGGGTCATACTGGGTCGAGGCGTTGGCGCGACGCTTGGTGTTGTCGGGAGGGGTAAAGTTGGTGGACTTTTCGAAGTATGGGAGCAAGGCATCGAATCTAAAGTGTATGAGCATCGCAGCATGGTAGCTGGTGGTCAAGGGTTGAATGCTTACTTGTAGCTATCATCGCCAACTTCCTCCGCCCACATATCGTAGCTGCCCTTACTACCTCTGTGATGGATCATGAAGTTCAATGCCGAGCTGCCACCCAGGCACTTGCCTCGGGCATAGTGCACTTTACGGTTGTTGGCACCAGTCTGTGGCTCCGTGAGGAACTGCCAGTCGACGGTGGGAATGGAGTCGAGCAGACTAGATCCGATGCCGATGATATCACCACCCGGTGTCGTTCCCAGAACCGGCTTGGCGATTTCATAGTTGAGGCCGGCTTCGATAATAGCGACGGAGTGGCCAGCCTCCGCAAGACGGTAGCCGATGGCGTTACCGGCGGTGCCTCCACCAACGACTACATAGTCATAGGTGGCTTCAATACCGAGAGCACCTTCTGTGACTCCTAGCACGCCCTGCACAAGCCCTTCACCAGAGAGGACTGTCTTTACGGACGTCAAAAGGGGGTCGAGCACTGGCGCTCCTATGCCACCCAAGAGGTCGGTCAATTCACCGTCCAAAAGGGGTATAGATAATCCATTGACGGCAAAGAGGACGAGAGCCGAAGAAGCAAGAGAAAAAGGAGAATTGTGGAAACGCATCTTGTGGGTTGTAAAGGAGCGACTCAAGACCGAAAGTTGTAGGGAGCAACCGTCCCGGGGACAGACACATGCATGAGTAAATAAGAGAGAAATGATACAAACCTCCTCGACTTAAACCAAGTCATTGCGGAACGACGCAAAATGAGGTCTACGAGCATATGCAAGGCAGTGACTCTCCGCCGCCCCTCTGATCTCCAGCGAATATTTGCAGAGATCCCCGGAGAGCACGCTGAAAGAGGGGTCCAGGCAGAGGGACAAGACGGCTACAAGGTCGAGCTGCCGAAACTTACATGAACGCCAGGGAGGTAAACGGATGCTTGGGATGAACTGCTGTCCAAAAGGGTATCGCGAGCTGCAGTCATGAGCTCGAATGTGGTGAATGTCATGACGATCTCTTGGAATACCCTTACACGCTCGCCCGGTAGCAGGGAGCCAATGGAGGAGATGGGGAAAGGTTGGTGAAGTGACAGGTAGATCACAGCCTGAATTCGCCAGAAAACTGCTGCCAGAGATTCGGGTTGCAGGGGGGAATAGGGACGGAAATTCCGACAGCCTGCTGTTGTGCGACTTGAACCTGGAGAGAAGCCGCACGGTAGTTGCTGTCAGCAGGTACAATGTCTGGTTGACTAGGACAAAGGATGGGGGGGACAACCATCATATTATTTATTCTCTCTGTCCTCAGATATTGGGTTTTCCTATTTCTTAAGGGAAGGGATTACGAGGAGCAATGCCAGTAAGTTAGAATAACACTGCGGTACACAACTGGGTAGTAGACACTCCTGCCCGCAGTGTACCGTAATAATGGTATGTTGCGCAAGAGCAGACACCACTCCAATGTCGTCAGTCCTGGCCGGGTCGCCTGCAGGGTAAAATTGACATACTTGGCGCTGCTTGAAGGATGCAAGACATGCAATTATTGTGGAACGTCTAACCAGTGAGCGTGGGCGTATGTGCCTCGATGTTGCATCCGCAGAGAACCGCTATCCTGGAACTGTATCCCTGCATATACTCTTTTGGAAATAGCCGCGTACGGCGCAGGCTGCATATTAGTAACTGCCTTTCTCCCCTGACCTGACTGGAACAGTGCTGTATTCGTACACCATAATGATTGTTTGCCCGGAAACTAGCAGTCACTGATTTGGGCTGTAATCTTGAGTATATCCTCTCACAGTTTAGACGCCGCCGTAGTTTCCTTCGATACTAGCTACTTACCAAGTCTCCATCTGCCTCAACTCGTACGAGACGGCGCACCGGGGGTCTTCCGGTACAGGGTTTAGAGATAATGGACTCCACCCACTGTGGAACGCCCCAGAGGAGAGGGCTGACAGGGTTGTTACGAGTGGGCATTCCTAAGGCATCTTTGTCACACTGTGTAGTTGCAGGCGAGCCATCCCTTCGGAGTGAAGATGGACTGCGCGATACCCGGGTTGTTGATCAGAGTTCGGACTAGGTCCATCCTTAACGGCGCAGCATACTATGTAATAAGAATTGAGTTCAGCGCCCCGCAAGTTCGGACAGGCTTGCAAGGACGAGGCGCCGACTTGTACCTACCTATTACAGCCCGATGGATGCGACGACATCATGATGCAGGTATCAAGAACAACACTTCACCCTGTGAAGAACAATTGTGGATTTGCCAAGGGATTGTTCTTCTCTCAAGTGACGGGAAGGGCTAGTCTATCTTGCCTGATGCTCGACCGTTGGCAGATCCACGGCCATTTCGAGTCTGATCAGCGGCGACGACGCTCATGTCCGATCTTACGCGGAACTCTTTCCCCCGCCAAGACACAGTCGCGCCTAGAAGCACCGCCCAGGTCCATATAGGCATCGCGAGGCCTTCACGACCCACCCAGGCAAGGAGCCACTGGCCGAAGGGTCTTCGCTCCGCGCCGCCTCGTTTGGAGCCCTTCGCAAACGCAGGGGTATTCTCGTCGATATCTATGCTGTAGCCGGCGTGTAGTCGATTCGAGACCATCCTGTCCAGAAACATCCACGCGGCTACGCCCACGGTCCAGCACTTCAGTAATGATCCCCAAGTCTGCGGTATGCCAAAACGCTCGTCAAACCAAGGAACGGTGGTCAGACCGAAGGATAAGAAGAAGCAGCAGAGAAAGGACTCTATGCCAGGTTCGACAAGAGTAGCCAATAGCACTGTCCATTTTCTAGCGCGTAACCATCGGACCCGACGGCCAGCATACGCCTTGACTGACATGCCAGCCACAGGCTGCACCACAAGACCGCCCCAGTTTAGGCCGTGGTTTCGATGGCCAGGGATGGAGGATTTCCAAAGCAAGTCGCCTATGAGATGATCCTCGCAGATGTAGTTTGAGAAGTAGTCCAGGCCGGTGAGTGCATTTGAAGTCGATGACAGCACCGGATTCTGCGACGGGTCTGTGACAATGTCCAGATGCGACTTGCGGAACATGTTGCTCTTGCCGACGATGCATGGAGCAACTCCAACGGTGTTGATGGCCGAGTAAAACTTGGCATGTGTGGTGCACATGAACATCTCCTCGAGCCGACCACCGCCCTGAGACATGATCGAAATATGTGCCCTGTGATCATCGTCGGTAGAGGCCTCTATGGAGCCAGACAGGAGGGCCTGTGTTTCTGAGCTATCCTGAGGAAGAGAAGAGACAGTATCGACCACGATGGGCAGTTGATGGACAAGCTTAAACGGCGTGCTCCGCTTTCCATCAGGGCCAAAGCCACACAGTCGGTCGACCATGTGGCCAGCGGTGTGCCTGCTCAACCACACATTGCAGTCGGCAACCCAGACAATGTCGCCCTTGACCTCCCTATAGGCGCGACTGAGGTTGCGGATCTTGGGATTCGGGCCCATGTGCTCCATTGTAGTCCCATCTTGATGCAGCGCGGGGTCATCGTCCTCGACGAAGATCCTAGCATCGTATCCCGGGTGCTCGTCGACAACTCTCTTCATGACGGCGTACGCGGCATCATCCTTGGACGACACACAGAAGTATACCGTTAACTTGTCCTTGGGATACGTCTGTTGGAAGGTGGAGAGCAGACATTCGTACAGGTAAGGCTCTAGGCCCTTGGCCGGGCGGATGACAGTGACATGCGGGATGTCGTCTTTGGGTAGAGACGGCACGGCCGGCGGCTTCGGGACTGATGAGTAGCGCTTGAAGCTGTGTACAGGCTGGTCAGTACGCGATTGCGATGCAGGATATATGCGACAGTTTATATTCGTCCTTACATGTTGTACACACCAACGCTCTGAACTAGAAGCACGAACGTGCCCCAGCCGAACCAGGCATAACCAAGAGCCTGGATAGCGGGAATCATATCGACATGGCGAGGGCAGCGGGCGGTCAGGGGAAAGGGAGACGGTCTGGGCTCTGCTGGGCTGGCTGTACACACGCCAAGCACGGAAAGCTACAGAAAACGAACGTGAAGGGCGCGAGTTGCAAGACAGCACGGGGCCAGGGACACGATCACGAGCGGACACGAGGGCGCGCCGCCGGTCAGGGAATGGCGATGGGCGTTCGGCGCTGCTCCATTGTCATCTTGGGCCAATAATTTCGGTGGCTCCATCGGGGGCTGCCATCAGAGCGGATCGGAGCGTCGGGCGTGGGCCCCCGTAAACAAAATTAGTTGACCTTGAATTGACTTCTGGCAGTCCTCTAGTGCTCTAGGTGCCTTGCGCACGAGGCTGCAAGGCTACGAAAGCCACCACACCCCGCTAAGCCCACTGAGCCCAGTAATTGGGCCGCCCACTACGCCGAGTTTTTCCGGGCTGGCTCAGCAGAGGCGCCGGCCCACTGCGAGAAAATCCAGACAGAATCCCATCCGCCCGAAAAATTATTTGAGCCACTCCGACCTTGCTTCGTTCGCAAACCCTTCCACCCACCACATGCAGCTGGCTACTTGACAAGCTGGTTGCTCTGAGAGCTGCCACTTTGCGTTGAATGGCCTGGTCAACCCGTCTGTCCCGGTGGCAACGGGATACAAATCCCTCATCTGAGTAAGTTTTCCCCGGACGGGACGCACGCGATGTGTCTCCCTTCGCTTCCTTGCCTCTTCCCATCTACCATCCCCCCTTCAGCCAATCTTTCGCGGTGATGACAGACTTTATACACTGTGCTTAGAGGATTCAAACCCTCGATGAGTGTCACATTATAGACTACAACGGTATCTGAGCGATTGATATCACAAAACCTTTGGTTCGCCTACTTGGCTTGTACCACTTTGTGTGTCGGACGGCGGCTAACCAGTGCCCTCTTCAGACCAGGATGATAGCTTGGGTATCATGACAGATATCAGAACAGCAACCCACCCCGCCTCTTCCAATGGGGTGGTAGCCACACCACCTGCCGCGGAGGCATCGCCGAAGACGCCCGCGGAGGGCTCGGAAGCTAGTAAACGCGTCGTCCCTGCGGCGCCGAGGGGTCCGCCGCTCTGGAAGATACATGAATTGCCAGTCCCCGTTCGCACGTTTCCCCTGCCTAGCTTCTACCCAAACAACCCGCTGTCGCTCTTCCACGTTGCCTACGCCTGGGTCACCCAGGTGCTCTCGCCGCCACGAGAGCCCTCCGCCGTGCACCTGGGCATCTGGTCGCCCAAGACTCGGTCCGTCCACATCACCGATCCCAAGTCGATACGCGCCCTCTGGGAGCAAGGCTTCTATGGAAAGGGACACCTGAGCAGGAGTGAACCAAACTGGCTCAAGCGCGAGCAGGCTAGAACTGGTGCCCACAAGGACCATGTCGCCGAAGTGTTTACCATGAAGAGGCGTGAAGAACGTATGCAGATGAAATGGGAACGTGCCAGAAAGGAGCAGGAAGCAATCCAGCGCACCCGCTACGAGGAGGCCCGCATTGCCCCCATTGGACCTAAGGAGTTGCTTGCCCTGCCAAACTCGTCCCAGGAATTGGATTCTGTGATCTACGGCCTCCTGCCGAATGGCCTGATTGGCGAAGCAATGTCCAACGACACCTTCTACCAGGAGCCCTCGCCCGTTGTTGAGTCCAATGTCGTATCCCTGGAAAACGGGAATGCCACGTTTCCCTTGCTGAACGGCGGCCACAAGAGACCGCAGACCCCTACAAGTAAACCTGCCACTTCTCCTAACGAGTCTCCCGAGAACGGCCAACCACCCATGAGACGCCGGAAAAGTGTACGGTTCTCGCCCAAGGTCGAATCGACCACGTTCCAGTACTCGGACCCACCAAGTCCTAAGCAGACTATGATGGCCGTTGGGAACGGCAACGGGAAGGCCCTAGACGGCATCTTGACCAATGGCGCTTCACCTCTTTCTCGGGAGTCAAGTTTACTGCTGGGTGAGGTTCCGACCATGTCACCCATACCCGAGGCAGACATGCCAGCCTTACCTGCCGAGTCTGCCCCTATCCTCGATAAGGAGCACCTACAGCTGACGCTGGAAGAGACATTCTGGCTCAGCTTCGGCCTTGGAGTGCTGGAGGTCAAGGACGAGAAGACAAACGCATCGCTCCCTACCGAGGCTTTGTTCAGGCTTTGCCGAGAGCATTCTTACTTTCCCCCCCGGACAACGGGGCTGCAACCGGACGACCCGTTCCTCATCCATTATGCCGTGTATCATCACTTTCGATCGCTCGGGTGGGTCACACGCCCGGGTATCAAATTTGGTTGTGACTGGTTATTGTACCATCGTGGACCTGCATTCAGTCACGCCGAGTTCGCCATCGTCGTTCTCCCGTCGTATTCAGATCCTTACTGGAAAAAGCAAGGCCGCGACAAGTCGGACAAATCTTGGCATTGGCTTCACCTGGTCAATCGTGTACAGAGCACTGCTTTGAAGACTCTGATACTGGTGTACGTCGATGTTCCAGCTCCAGCTGAGGTCGACCTGGATATCCCGTCCACCTTAAAGAGGTACAAGATCAGGGAAGTCATGGTCAAGCGTTGGTTGATCAACCGGAACCGAGATTAGGGTATACTATAGAAATGCGTCTGGATGGCGTATGTGCATGGGAAGGGCGTTTTCGGTTTTTCATCTTTCAATACTTTGTATACAAGATGTACAATGTGTATATGGAATAGGATGGCTCGGCATGTTTACCGAGCTCGTGTACACGGTTACCAGTGATACCCCTCTACTACTCTTTCGGAATATATAAAGATCGTGCTGTATAAAAATGTTCTATTTGTCAGGATCACAGTATAGATGCGGACGCTGGTCACTGGCAAGTGCCAGCTGCTCTTTCGTACGTGCCAAAATCCGGCCATAATCTTAGTAGAGCCGTACATGGTTTGCATGGACTATACAAAACCCGCAGTATTTCATGCTCTACTTAATACAAGGACCAGCGGAATCTTTAGCCATCCGGCTTTCCTGAATTGATACTCAATTGCTCCCAGCCGACTGGCCTCGGTCATTGGCATCATTGCCGCCGTTCGCCTCCGGGTAGGCCGCCGCGGCTGCCGCTTCTGCTTGTCGCACAGCCTCCCGTGTACCATCTTCGGGGTAGTCCTTCTCACTCGCCGCAGGCAGGTAACGTACCGCGACGGTGAACCCAACGGCCAGCAGCACAATGACCAGCCAGGCAAGGTAGCCCCAGAGGAGCTGAGTGCCCGCGCCAACTAGATCTAGAGTTAGCATGATAAATTTGTCAGGAATTATTCGACAAGAGACGTACTGGCAAAGATGCTCGTAAACAAAGCGGGCGAGAAGCTGCGCAGCGCACTTGCCAAAGTCAGAGCGAGGGCATTTAGTGTGCCCAGCGTCTCCGGAGACGGCGACACATCGTTGATACAGAGCTGGGCGGCCTGTGGGCACTAATCAGCAAAACTGGCTCTACAAGCCCAAATCCCACGACGTGTGGTACGAGATCGACTTACGGTGAAGGCCATACTGACACCCGGGGCGATGAGCAGGAAAATGGGGCCCACCACCCAAAACACCGTGTCCGACAGGCCGGACCGGAGGATGGCGTTGAGCACGGGGTTGAAGCCCATGGCGAAGGGGTAGGCGAGGCCGCAGGCGCGCATGACGCCGTTGGTGCCGAGGCGGTGCTGCAGCGGCGGGAAGATGACCAGCAGCCAGAAGGCCTGGCTGAAGCCCGTCAGCGCCATGAAGGCCGAGATCTGGTACGGCTCGAACCCGAACCCGCCCAGCGCCACCGGCGTGAACCAGAACACGGGCACCACGGCCGTGTACGCGAACGCCAGAGTCATCACGTGCCCGTACACGTACAGCGCCATGGCCACCCCCGGCGCCCGCAGCAGCTCCCACGTCCCGCCGCGCGCCGGCTTGGACCCGTTTGCGTCGGGTACATGCCCGTTCTCGGCCTGCCGATCGTCGCCGCCGCCCCTGGGCCTCCGGGGCAGCGTCTCCTCGATGAATAGCGCGCTCGTCAGTACGGCGGTCAGGGCGATGCCGCCCACGACGAAATTGGGCAGAGCGTAGGGATACTCCCTGAAGAAGGCGCTGCCGCCGAAGACTCTGGGGTACAGCTTGGCCGGGTCCGCTAGGGCGCCGCCGATGAGCGTGCCGAAGAGGAGGCCCAGGTTGCCGGAGAAGCCGAACCACGAGAAGGCGCGGGCCTGGGTCTTGGCGGACGAGTGCTCTGAGATCAGGGTGCGGATCGTCACGATGGTGCCGGCGAAGACTCCGGCCAGGCACCGGAAAACGATCATCTGCCACAGGTTCCGGGCCAGGCCGAAGATGCCCGTGCAGATGGTGACGCCGAACAGGCTGAAGACCAGGACGGGTTTCCGGCCCAACTGTTATCGATGGTCAGCATTGCTTTCCGAGTCATATCAAGCGGTCTCTTCCGCTTTGTCAGGGGCCAAGAAATATTCCAGGGGGTTTCCAGCCTCACCCTATCAGCTGCCCGCCCCCAAAAAATCATGACCAGCATCTGGGTCAGGCTGAACAGCGACTCGATCAGCCCCGTGTAGAACCCCACATCCGCCGACGGCAGATCCGCGTTGCGCTGCAGCATCTGTTGGATGTACGGGAAGATGGAGAAGAAGGCAATCGGCTCCACCAGCCGCGCGTAGCACAGCAGCACGATCTGCATCTTGGGCAGGGGCTTGTCCGCAGCCCCGGACGCCGCGGCGGCGGCGGCAGCGGCAGCGGCAGAGCCGTCACCACCGGGGCCGTCTTCACGCCCGACCAGCGTCTCGGCGACCTCAGGATCCTGCTCCGGCGCCACGAGCGCGGACGCTAGCAAGGGCGTGGTCTCGCTGGTGCCATTGGCGCCGCGATGGGAGGGCATTGTGCGAAAGCGCCTTTTCGTGAACCTAGGCCGTGGCTTTCCAGCGAGGTTCCAGGAAGTCAATTGAGGCACTTCGTTGACGAGCGACGAAGTTTGCGACGAGATCCTCCCGCCGGCAAGAATTTCGCGCTCATAGACCCCCTCGACCCTCGACCACGAGATTGCCTGTGGTACTTTTCGCACCGCTAGCGCGCCGGTCAGTTACTAGATGCCGCATTGACGCTAGCGGCTGGCCGGGATGAGAGCGGCCGTCTTGGGGGCCGGGGAGAGAGAGGTGCGGAGGTTGGAGATGTCTGTTACGTATGTACTCATGGGTTCTTGCTTGTTGCGTGGAGGCCAAGATGGCTGAAGTCGAACCGATGTCATTATTATACCCTTTCTATCTATTCGCTAAAGTACAGGCCGTGGTTATACTGCATTGAAAAGCATCGCTGGCAACTCCCCCGCGCAAAGAACTCAAATATTATAGCGCACCAATCCAAATTAGAATTTCCTGCCCAAAACTCTCTCCAGTATCTCCAATGTATGCTCCCAGATCAGGACGTCCGACTTCTCTTCCCGGAGTGGTTTCAGAGCCTTGTCATTGTGCACGGCCTCGGGCTTCTCGTTGAGCGTGTAGGCACCGCTGCCCCGCACGCCATTGGACCCCACGGCCAAGTCGTCACCGGTCCCCTGGGCGCCGAACTGCGGGCTCGAGGCCGCGTACAAGATGCGCTCCCCAGACACCTCTGGCGAGATGAAGAAGAAGCGGCCGATCGTGGGCAGAAGGACCCAGTTGATAAGGAACCGGGCCACCGGCCCCCAGTGCTCGGGGTTGATCAAGTTGGTCTTGACGAGCCCCGGGAACGCATGGACAAAGCTGATCTTCGGGTTACGCTTCTGTAGCTGCTCCAGCGTAAGCGTCACGTAGGTGCCGCTGGCCCCGGCAATCTTGGGCAGACTGTAGTTCTTTGGGTCCTTGAATTCCAGGTCATCGGTGAAGATAGGGCCCTCCTGGCCACCGCCTAGAACACTCACTACGCGCGGAGATGGCGCGGCATTGAGCAGCGGGAGCAGGTTGAGGATGAACAACGTTCGGCCGTAGTGACGGATAGTCGTCAGCTTATCAAGTCCCTCTACGCTCTCGTCACGACCGCCTAGCGATAAGTAACCCTGGGACATGAACAGCAGATCCAACTTGGGCTCCTTCTCGACAATCTGGGCCGTGGCCTTCTCTACGTCGGCGAGCAGCGTCAGGTCTGCCACCGGCACGGGGATGTAGGTCCCGGTCCGGTTCAGCGACTGGAGCTCCGACACGATGGTCGAGAGCGTGGTCGGGTTGCGACCCACTATGTAGATCTTGGGGCTGTCGCTCTGCGCGGCCAGGGCTGAGAGAAAGCCCCGCCCGATGCCGTTGGTCCCACCGACGACCACGGCTGTAAGTCTGGAGCGTGAGGACTTGAGCGACGTGTTTGCCGATCTGATTTCAGAGAGCTTGACCATGGTGGTTTTATGCTGTACTGTACGGTATATTTTGATTGAATATGCTTTTCGGGAGTTATATGCTTGCGATCTTGATCTGCAGCGGTTAAAGGCTCGGATCGAGGAATGATAGAGCGGTGCTTGTTTGATTTGAGTACTGGGATCCAATAAGCACACCTCCCTTGGTCTTTATATTTGAAGGCCCGGGCTACGTCGTATACCAGTTCTCGGCTATATGTTCATTTCTGCTTACACATGTCGGAGCGTTCCAAAGCATCTTCGCCGAGCTGAGGACGGCCTGTCGGTGCCGTATGGCCGCGATGTGGGGGTGGGCTGGCGGTGATGTGATTACACACCCATAAGGCGAACCTGCGCGGCTCGTAAGTTAGCGTAAGCCACCGCGTTTAAGCCACTGTCCCCAAAACGCGAGGGTGACAAATGCGCGAAGCCTTGCATGGGTGGGGTTGGGTCAGTCCGAAACCAACCTGATTTCTATAGCTATTAATAGAGTATTGGGTAGTCAACTAGCTACAATATCACGTTGAACTTCAAGTAGAATGCTCTCGAAACTGAGTTACTCGGAGTATACAGTATGACTAACTGCCTACACTAATTCCGGTAACAGTACATGCATGCTATTCATCTCAACCCGCCCAGAGACGCTTACGTGTTGACTGGTCCACGCCCGCTATGCGCGGCGAAAACACTACGACACTTGTTGACTGATCACTAGCCGTGCCCATCGACGAAGCACCGCAATAGTCATATAAGCTTCAAAACCGGTAGGTTTTGCGATAGACGCGTTTGACTATCCTCGCTCTAGGATCCAGGATATGGTGCAGAACATCGAACAACCTGATATTGAAAGTGGCTCGCAATCGCTGCTGCGGAGTGATTGTTCTGTCAGTTGCCTTCAACTTCATGTCGCGTCGAGATGCCATAATGATAAACTTGGGGCGCTTCATTATCACGTTGTGGTTTTTGGGGACCTCAGCCAGTTGCCAGTGTATTTGTTGGAATCGGACCAAAGTGTCGGGGGGTATTGCAGACTGTGGGTTAAAAGTTTTGCACCCATTTCAGATTTGAGACCATATATATTTGACACCGATAGGAGGAGATTGGGGCAAAAGGCCTGAGCATCTTCCACTGAGGCTAACTGTTTCCACAAGAAGTTTCATGTAAGAGTGATTCACCAAGGCAACGACATGAATTGCCCGAGACAGAATGTTTCGGGTCATACTAAGGCCGGACGATAGGATATCATATTACCACCAGCAAGGCAATGGGCGTCACTTAGGGCATATGCATTTAGAAGTCATTTTCCAATCTCAAACTTCGATTGCACACCATCTCACAGTCCCATGATGTTTCCTGCACCGTGCTCAATGCTGCGCTCCTGTCCATCTCGTCTGTCGGCGTACTCTGTCAGGATCAGATAATAGATAAATTCACGCACACATGCTCACACGCTCGAGTCAAGTTATGTTATATCAAATGTGTAAGGGGGCAAACAATTCCGCAGGTTTATCCTGGTCTTCTTCTAAGCTTATGGGAGCGCCAGCTGGCATGTCTAGGTTGAAATACTTCCCACCGTGAAGTATGAATAGCAGATCCGGAAACCGTATGCTAGTGGCTTGCAAATGGGGGTGCAGTTGAAGGCTCTAGTGATGTGGCAATATACTTCACCTGTACCATTATGCTACTTCTGCGGTCTTTTCCTAAGATCATCCGACGGAAGCGTAGCTCCGGGATGCTCCACGATTATAACAGCTTCAACAGTGTTTGGGTCATCCCGCATAAATACTCTCAGCTGCCGCATTTCAACCTTATTTGACTTCAAGCCGTTAAACTGAAGTAGTTGAGCAGCATGTGGCTTTATCGCAAGGCTCATGAGCTCCTCCAAGTCTGACCAAGCCTTGTGTGAGTATGTCTTCTTCCTGAGCACATGTTCTGACACATGAACGATGACAAGTACTAGGTGGATCATCACCATTACCCAGGCCATTGACTGCGTTATCCCATGTAGACCATATCCGTGCTGTAAAGAGAAGTAATCAGAAGTTACCCGTATATAGTTTGGCAAGTCCGAGTCAGCGACTTCAATCTGGCTAGCATTGCCATTTTCCACTCTCTGAATCCCTTCGCAGAACGCTGGCCGCAATGAATTGAGAGGATCTGTATGACATCCATATATGTCCCAAAAGTACTGAACTCGCGAGATGGCGTCTGCGAAGAAGAGAGATAGCCCTACTGAGAGGCATCTGGTCGAAGTGTGCCCTTCGCATGCCATTGCGAGACCAACCAGGCCGGGAACACTCTTCTCTAGATTGGAACCAGAATTTGAGTCCACAAATTTGACGGTGCCGTTCATTAGACTAGTCCACTCCTCAGAGATAGCAATGATATTCGCCATGTCTTCAAATTCCTTGCTCAGTGATGCTGAGGGATCGACGGCAATATTTGTCTGAGCACCGCTGCTAAACGGCTTCAATATCCATGCCTCTGACTTGATCCACTGCGCAGCGATGATGCACAAACTCGTTGTATTGGTCGACTTGGAAATAAGTGCAGCCGAGGAACGAAACGGGAGTGAACCTCCAATGTCAATGTATGATAAACCTTCGAAGGGTTGAGACCCAAAGTGTTGGTCGACGTGAGTTCGTTCCAAACGGAGTCTTGAAACAGCTCTTGATCCGACTGCTATTGATGCGGTGTACCATTTGTCGTCCTTTTGAAGAGTCACACAGTTCACCTCTACCGCAGGGTGGCGCCACTGTTGGATCGTAGCAACCGTAAGTATTCGCAGTCTGTCGCTGGGATCGATTTCCGATTTCTGGGAGTAAGTGACAGCTTGGAACATAGCCTTCAGTGGGGTGTGAAACTGCTGCCATGAATGGAAACCTTGCGTGGTTGATTGACGGGTGACAACATCAAGGGGCGTCGTTGCATAGGCAACTGCATTGGTCTTGTCATCCGTAAATTGCCATCCCACTGATATTGACTTAGAGTAGTCTCTATCACTGATTGTAATATTGGACACATATTTGTCGATATAGCTCAAACTAAGGACTTGGGGCAGAGTGTGAAGTATCTGGCTTAGTCCACCGGAAGAACATTCCAGGGTGTCGGATGTGACGTACACATCGGCCTGTGATTCTTGCATACAAGATGGGCGGTTGACTGAAAAGTTGAGGGCAGTCGGGTATATCTCATCGAAATGTGCTTTAAGTAGAATTGCCCCAGAGTACCCATTCTCCAGCGGCTGCATAGAAACCGGGGCGGGCCACCAATCGAGTTTTGGCACCATAATAATTCCACTGCTCGGTCCAATAGCTAGAGCTAGAAATATTATTGCGCTGGTGAATATGTTCGTTGTCAAATCGTTTTTCAAATTTAGGCCACGGCGCGGCCCGCCTCCCCAGAACAGACGGCTAGCAATGAAAGAGAAGGGAGAGCTGACTTGGAAAGGTGTAGTCAGAAATCCGAGGGGAACTCCCCGGGAGCTTCTGAGTCCTGACCTGATGCGGTGAAGTAAGATAGATGAGAGCGAGCCCATGAGAAGGTATTCGTATATCTTTGCTGCAACGAGAATGCCGTTGATCTCATTTGAGTCTGGATTCCAAACAACACCTTTGGCATAGAGAACGACGAGGCCAATTGTAATGGCGACCGGCAGAAAATGGATGGCGAAGTCTCCGACCCAAACCAACTGCTTGGTCAGGCTCTTTAGGTTTCGCTGCCATGGTACAGTCTTGATCGAATGGGTAACGTCGGAACACTCACACGGCTCCCATTCGTCGGTATTATCTTGATGTGTGATGGTAGGCAACGAAGCACATTTGGTTTGGTGTGCTTTGTAGCCGTTCCCATGAGAACTCTGAGAGCAGTCGAGGTCTTCCATCTGTGCCAATGAGCCCCGAGCAGCAATTTTGACTAGTCATTACGTTGTATGCCGTACCATAATAAGTCATGGGAAAAGAAGTTGATAGGAAATAGATACTAGATCCGGCCTGGGAAATTTCGCCGTTATTCACTTGGCAGCCACATGCAGCGTGCTCTCCGTCCCCAGTCAGGTATACCACTACATGCACGATCCTCCGGCTATTCTACCCCTTCAAGGCCTTAAATCAGTGGCTGAGTTGCCCTGGCACGAATATGCAAGCCATTATTGCATTCCATTGGTCCATTTCGCAGAAAATATACTAATTTTAATTGAAATCACCGCCCCCACCCTACACTGCATTGCATGGGTTTCGTGCCATCTTCACCGTCTTCGTGTCTACTGATGACTAGAATTATCCAAACTCTCAATGTATAATGTGATTGGATATGAAAGGTTCCACATTCAAAGTTCACTGACGTATGCACCATGTCTTCATTCTCTTGTCGACCAGACCTCGATTAACCTCGACCTGCTGGAACACTTCAGCACGGCTTCTGGCATCCCTGGTAAATGGGACAGAGCGCAATTTGCTGATATCCTGCGCAAGCGATTTGGTAGGACAGTGGTGATAGTACCGCCCATCGTGGTGCATACCGATATGAGAACAGCTGCCTGAACGCACTGACTCGGACTTCTACAGGACGCGCCGGTGCAAATCGTTGAAGTAGACGACAAGACGGAACTTCAAGCCTACGTCAGGCTTAAGGAGCAATTTGAGCCTCAACTGCAAGGTCGCACAGGGCCAGATCTTGACCAGAGCTCGAGAGGGGCTGCTAAATAGGATCTACAAGATGCGTTGATGACCATTTTCGGCCCAGGCGAAGTAGCATCCGCAATGAAGTCGGCGATCATGTTTCGCCTGTGCAACAAACGATGCGGAAGATGAAATGGTACAGAACAAGACAGATATATGGGCTACTAAAATGTCTCCTAACTCCAAAGGGCACTCTCCAAGTTAGAAGCTGCTCAACATCAACAAGCGGTTTGTAGTGCATCGCCTACCAATTTCTCTAGATAGTCGCACTGTCGAACCGCCAGACAGCAGCTCCCTCTAACTTCTTGTTTCTTCATCGCTTATAACCTATAAGTGTTAAATCCTTTGATATTAACCATCTGTTCTACTATATTTTAGTTTAATTCTTGTTCGACGTTATTCAATAGTTGAATAGCTAGTTAAAGTTTTTGGGATCCACCCTTACATGCACGCTCGAGTAACTACGACGTTGCTCGTATCCAAGGGGCCGACTCACCCGCCCAGAGCAGACGTGCGTGCCAATGCCTGCGACTGAATGGTGGACGGCCCCCGAAGGATCCAAGCGCATCTGGGCAGCTTTGTGGCGGGGGCCTGGTAATCCTGCAGTCATTCGTCAGGGCCAAAACCGGCTTTTGACTGGACCACGCTGTTAGGTCACGTTGGCTTTTGCGATGACCGGGATTGGGGACGCCAAGCAGGTCTCCATGCTACTCGCACCGTGGTAACTCACACTTGCTCGTACATACAATGCTTTTCGTGCCCAATTCGTTTTGCTTCAGCCATGCTGCGAAGACATGATTACCCAGTCCAGCATACAACCCGCATTAGGGTCTACACCCGACAGCTCGGTTGACGGTTTGCCAAGCAATGTCGCAACCCCGCCTTCAGCGTGCGACCTGTGCGAAAGACTGCTACAGCTGTTTAACGAGTCTTCTACGATACGCTGCTTTGATTTGGGGCCTCTAGACAGCGCAATACTGACCGACTGCCCGATACACAAAAGACTACTTGAGAGCTACATCTCTAGATGTATTCAAAACGATCCAGATCCGGCCCATTGGGGCGACGACGTGACATTCACAACGCAGGGCAACGTGGTGGAAGTAGAAAGATCTCACATGGGCAGAACTTTCTCCTGGGAACTTCTCCTGGCCAAGAAAGATGCCGATGCCGATCATATCGGCAAAGGAGTCATTTTAGACCCAGATTGGGTAAACCTGGATCTCATCAAACAGTGGAAAAATCAATGCCTTTCGTTCCATGGTGATAAATGCGACAATCCCTTGAGGGTTTGGCGCACAAAACCAGCTTGGCTAGTTGATGTAAAACAGAAATGCATCATCCCGGGATTGAAGGCCGACTCATTTGTTGCCCTGAGCTATAGGTGGGGCGATGCTATTGGAGTGAGCATGAACGACGAGTCATTGGTCAAGCTTCAAGAGCCCAATGCCTTGGATGACCCGGCGTTTGCAGCATTTATGAATCCAATGGTGAGGCATGCGATACACTTGACATCTCTTCTAGAAGAGCAATATGTCTGGGTAGACAGGCTCTGTATTATCCATGGCCATGATGATACAGCTGAGCAGCTCAGCCTTATGGGGTCGATTTACGCCAGCGCCACAATTACCATTGTCGCAGCGGACGGGGTCGCGGAGGATGGGATATCTGGCCTGAGAGATGTTCTTCACTCTAGACCTCGCGACCTCAAACAAACAAGGGTGCCTTTTGGCAATGAGCTTATCCTTGGCAGAAACACGAGCCAGTTTTCCATGGACAGTGGTACTCCGTATTATGAGCGCGGCTGGACCTACCAAGAACACATGCTTGCCAGAAGGAAGATATTATTCAATCAGAAGGAGGTCCACTGGGAGTGCCAATGTAGTCAGTTCCACGAAGAGTTGCTTCCGGATGCGGTACTGGACATCTATATTGAGCCGCGCCTGCAAGAGATCATGGCGGGTTTCCCGATTTTGGACTCACTTGGACTCATCGTTTCTCACTATAACGGCCGGAACTTACGTTATGACGAGGATGCTCTTCCGGGGATAAGGGGCCTGCTTGCGATCCTAAGCCGTTCGTTCACGGGGGGCTTTCTCTACGGAATTCCAGAAATGTTCTTCGACAGGGCACTGGGATGGGAACCGTCCTTTGGCGACACTAATTTGCGTCGGAGGGACCCCTCAAAACGCCCTAAACACGAACAACTACTTTCAGATAGCTTGCCATCCTGGTCATGGATCGGATGGCAAGGTCTTGTTGAGATTGGGAGTGAAGCTAGTGAGATAGATCACCGTCAATGGGGGCTTGAGGAGACTATCCCCGTCACCGAATGGTATACAGGACACTCTCCAGATACCCCCAGGACATCCCAAAGGAGGATCAGGTCCTTTTGGTATGAAAATCGCGAGCTTTGGAAAAACCCTGAGACTGCACTGCCGGCAGGCTGGAGCCGACACACATTCGACTCAGAAGAGTCAATCGGTTCCACAGAACAGTATTTGTGGCCTGATGGATGTAAGGATCATGTTTACAGGCATAATCGTTACTCTGGAAGTATACTACGACCTGGAGATACCTGGTATTTTCCTTTTCCCGTCGCGGAGATTGATGAGTCCACCCAGCCATGTATGCCAGAGCAGACGCCGTATATCTTTTGCAAAACACAGGTGGTGGAAGTTTGGACTTATCGGACTAGTTACGGCAATATGCTGAGCCTGCATGGCCGACTCGGCGATCAGGTAGGAGAGCTTCACCTGCATAATGAGGACCATCTTCAGCGATTTCCAACCGCTGAAGCAGACCGAACGGGGACCTTGATCAAACTCATATCAATAAGTTTGTCGTACTCTCATTCTAAAACCAGGGACAAGAAAACAGGTAAATGGGGAAAGCCGCATTTTAGAGAGTCCCACTACAGAGTATTATGGGTAGAATGGCAGGGAAATGTAGCCTACCGTCTTGCGAGTGGCCTTGTCAACGAAACAAAGTGGGAGTCACTACAACCTCAGGAAATAGACGTAGTTCTTGGGTGAACCCTGACACAATGATCATTCAGGGACTCTGGGCTGGGGACGCCGATTCAATTATGAACCTGTGTTGGGAGGCACGTTTTCAGTCTCACAATGTGGAAGTGCACTCTAGCACTGGATTGATTGTGCTTTCCACCTTACGTTTTGGGCTCGTCTTGGAGAGCAACAGTGCTCTAGTCTAACCACACTTACCAAGTCCGTTTGGCGACTTGTGTCGCATGACTCGCCAAGATAAAAAAACATTCATGTTCCTAACGAGAGCTCCAAGTGCCTGGCAAAGATTTTCCGTCAGACGAGGCTGCTGCTGAATGTTCGAGCTGCGCCATTCCAATAAGGTGCGTGGCGGTGTCATAAGCCATCTCTCCAATATATCCGACGAATGATAGCTATCATCTGTGCACAAAGATCCTCCATCAACGTACATTGCAAGGCTTTTAATGTCTCGTGTAACTGACAATCGACACCACATTGGGAGATTACGTCCTCCAAATTTTGCGGCCTTACTCAGGAGTTTTGCCTACGTCTGCACGCAGCGTGAGGCTGTGCAGCAAATAAATAAGTGAAAACCCGTCGCTTTCGTTTTTAACAAGTTGGACACACTTCAGTAGTCACTGCACTGTCAGAAATACAGCCAATTCTTACTCTCGGGATGGCGGAGGACCGCATATCCGACTGTTCATCTACGGTCTTCAACGATAATTCTATGTCTTCGATACACTCAACCCCTTTGAAGACGTTCTCAATTCATACTACAGCCGTCAGCAGGGGTAGTGAGGAGGCCATTCGATCCGTGAACCAGGATTTACTTTCCGTGTCCGACAATCATTCGTCCATTACTCACCAATACCCTGTGATCACTGATTTGGCAGCACTCAGTGCCTGGAAATACGTTAGACTGGTATTAAGTCCGTGGAAGTGGCCATTGATTACTTCAGTTTTTTCCATAACGTGCTTCTCTTTTCTCTTCTACCTCGCTTCCGTCTGGGATGGCAAGCCATTGGCCGACTGGAAGATCAAGTCAGTGTCGATTAATGCCATTGTTGCAGCAGCAGCAACAGCACTTAAAGGCAGTTTGATGGTCCTTATTGGGAGTAGCATTAGTCAGGCTCGGTGGGCTCATTTCTCGTCCCGCCACGTACCTCTCCGTGATCTGGAATACATTGACGATGCAGCCCGTGGTCCATGGGGCTGTTTCTTATGGCTTCTTCGCCAGCCATTGAAGCCATCTTTGATAACCGTTGGGTCATACTTGACGTTGATAGCAACAGCCTTTAGTTTCTTCGCTCAGCAATTCGTAGCGATTGACTTGAGGTTCATCATCGACCCGGCAGCCATTGCCTACTTTCCATCGGTCCAGGACGTATCCGTTTGTGAGAAATCACCTTGGGCCAGGGCAGTCTCCGATGGATTCCTTGGTTTAGAAAGCGAGGATGGCCTAGCTCAATGTACTGCGAGCGAATGTACATGGTATGTTAAACCTCCGACAGGGAAGTCGTGTGAGCTAACAATGCTGGGGCTTAGGAATGGCCTATTGTCAATGGGAGTGTGCGGTTCGTGCGCTGATGCAGCTCATCAACTCAAGAGTCAGTCTTGTTCGGACTTTGTCTCAGGAGACTACAAGAATTCAACTATTTCACTTTGCGAGCATCGTATTCATACCGCAGGCAACGACAGCAAACTTTATACGATTCCTGCACCAGGATCAGCAATGCCGCTTGTAGTAGTGGATGCGCTTCCCCAATCACTTCCGCTTCTCGAGGTTTTCAAGTACGGCCCGAATGTATCTCACCCTAAAGAGGAGTGTCAGCGGTCCAGCCCCGTAGAAGTTGGCACGTTTGGAATCTTTGAGATGTCAGTAGGCGTCAATAACGAAACACAAATAGTGCAATTCGGCGCACCAAGTCTCACACGATGTACCTTCCAATTCTGCTTGCAAAACTACACAGTCCAAGTTAAAAATGGCCGGGGAATGAAGAGCGATACTATCGATACGACTGGGCATTGGTGTGACGGCAATGGGACAGCATTTTTCAATCAGACCCACGATGGTCCGACCAGCTTAAACTCGTTTACGGTATCAACACCGGATATTCCGTTCGGCTTATTATTCGATCAATACCAGCTTGGCGCATTTACAATTGACTGGCATGCTGGGAAGTGGTACCTGCCACGAAATGAGAGTTATATACTTGCAGCTCCACCTTTTACAGGCAAACGTCCTAGCGGTAGTCTTAAACCTTATGTTCGCCCGTCCCGCGAGTACCTAAGCCGATTAATTCGGACCAGGGACAACCGAGAGGAATGGATCGATAAGTTCGCTTGGACAATCACCAACGCCGTTCGTTTCGTCGTGAGAATTCAGCGTCAAGACTCGATGACCCTTACAGTGGGGTAGCATACTCCGAGCAGGCGTATATCAAGATATCGTGGCGGTGGATTGTATATCCAGCGACACTTCTAGTAGTCACGCTACTTGTCTTCGCGACAAGCGTTATTTCAACTCATTGGAAGGGCCAAAAAGTTTGGATTACGGGAAATCTCGCATTGTTATTATCAAGTGTTGATAACGATATCTCTGTCCAAGCGCAAGCTTTCCATGAATCACACGATGCATTGATTGATGCAGTTGGCCAACGACAAGTTCGTCTGGAAAGGGGCGACAATGGAGGTTGGTTATTCCGGCAAGCATTGTAGTCAGTCAAACGAGCTGGTCTATTCCATCTTATACAAGCTCGATTGGTCAGATTTATTCTATAGTGGGACACATCCTACAAGTTCGGAAAGTAGGTCGTGAAGGTGAATTCAATCCAATCAAATGGATTGCCATCTATATTGGATCGATAGTTAAGAGTAACGAGAAATGTAAGGAGGAGGGTGGTTGGTTTCCATAGGCTTTTGGATAAAGATGGATGGGGAGGTGGAGGGTTTTACGTAAGGTATATACCAAGTGGTATGCGACACAAAAACTGCCGATCTAGGCATTAGAATAGCATCAATTATTATTACTAGACATTCTTATTTTTAGTGCGAACTAGACTTTCCTCCCATGCAGTCAGTGGTGCATAAAACATGGCTTGCTGGGTTCGATATCACCTGCCACAATTTGGCTGAAAGTAGGAGAAATGGACCGAGTGGCTTGCTTGTCACAGCTTGCTAGTTTTAAAGAGCTCATAGGCCATGAATCAAGCTCTGATGTGCTTGAACTCATCATAGCATGTGCTCTCCTAATCTCTCTTCCTTCTCTCCGCCTCTCTCGCTGCTTAGACCCCTTACGGGTCTTAGAAAGGTATTCAATAGGACAGCTTGGCTGTGTTCTGCTGTATGATGCGGCTTGAGCATATGTCGGTCGGCCATCGGAAGGATTTCGCCGGCCCATAACGGGATCTTTTGAAGTGATGAGTCCAGGGAATTCTGGCTGGCAAGGGTCACTCTTCTCAGGAATCCTGCGCTTGCTCAGGTGAGCGGCGCGGTGTCGCTCAATACCATCGCCCGGGATCTCACGCACTACAATTCTCATTTCACTCTGCACAAACTTGTCCTCGCAACACTGTTCCAGCCTTCTGAGACGTCTTTTGCGGGCCTGGTACTTTTTATCAGGAAGCTCGCAAATTCGGAATGCCTGTGCCTCATACTGCTTGCCGCCAAGCGAGGTCACAAGATAAATCATCAAGTCTCCTTCTTCCCATTGCAAGGACACAATCTGGTACTTCTGCTTCAGGAAAGCACCAACATGACTCTCATATGGGATTTTTAGAGACGGGCCATCACCGTATCGGGTTGAGAATTCTGCCATCTTCACCTGGTAACAGTGTGAGTTTCGGAGCGGTGAACGGGTCCCAGGTCCAACTTACACAGAGCCACAGACTCGACGCATTTGATGTTCTCAGGCCCGCGCGCAGGGCATCAATATTCGGTACACAAAGATGTAGGTCAACTTCCAAGCAGTTTTGGACGGTGCAAAATCCCTCTCATTATCACCTGCGATTCACCAGCGAAAGCAGCCAGCCACAATACCTAAGTTGAGACCGGTGGAGTGATGAGAAGCCGATTTTTATCGTGGAAAAGTGTGCATGAGATTCCGAGTGATCTCGGTGCGAAACCCAGTGTTTCCAATGTCTTATATAGATCGGCTCGCTCTGAGCCTCCTGAAAGGAGAACATCTTCGATGATGCCTACCGCATGCATCCCAGCTATCTCAAATCATGGTTTGGTGTTGGGAGCTACAATGGGCCTCACCCCAATCGGGCAAATGTAATACATGCTTGACGACTTGGCCCCAACGAGCATGGCACTCACCCCATCCCACATATTGAAACAGTTATCTGACTTCCTATGGCTGGCCTCATCAACGTCATGATACTAGTAGGCCAGGACACCCCAGGTTGCTGACTGGGGCGGATTGCATGCGCATTTGCACAAGGCTGCATATAAGTTTGACCATGTGCCTTGTTGGATTCTCATGTAGAGTTCGTGTCTGTGTAAAATGGCCTCATAGCCTTGCGAATTGGGCCTCGCTCGGCTGACTTTGGGAACCCGACCCTGTGACAGCATGAAAATAGGCCTCATCGTCAGAAATAGGCCTCGCGTTGGTAAATTGGCCTCGTATCCCGAGTGGACCCTGTAGTCGCTGCAGTGTCTTAGAATGCCCTGCATCGGCGCGGATGCAACCTTGCAAAATGGCCTCGCGCTTGGCATTGAAGTGGAAATAGGCCTCAGGGTGGGCGTTAGGTTAGTGCCGGATGCCATCCTGCGTCGCGTTAAGCTGCATGCACTGCCGCAGTGACTGTCCGAGACAGTTACCAATGACAGAGTGATAGCCTGAAAGGATTGGGCCTCACCGGGCCCATTGTGCGGCAAGCGGGCTGCCTGTATTGGTCATCATTACTCAAGGCTACGACAAATACGCGTCACAAACTGCAAAGAATCTAACTTGGACAGGCTGAAACTGCAGCTGATTCCGGGTTGATGACTAGCGACCTGAGACTTGTGGTGAAATGGGAAGAACGTTTGGACGCTGCCACGAAATAGATACCGAGAAACTTGCCGAGGCTGCCTGGTGAATCGCATATAATAGAGTGCCGTGAGCCGCTTCCACTCGAGGTCGAATGTCTATCTGTCATCGTATGTATGTCTGGCTAAGTTGGGATGGCATCGTTCATTTTCCGAATGTTGATAAATCAACGTATTGGGGGTTGCAGGGCAGGAGCATTGCTAGTACATGGGTAGCCAATGTCAACTCGAGGGCCAGTGCACTTATGCAGCTTGGGCGTGTGTAAGTCAACTCTCAGATCCAAGCGCCGGTTTACCCAGCTAAGATGATTAGTACATGGATAGATGGGACATAGAGGCAGCAATTTTACCATCCATCACATTTATACTCTGACTTCAACCTAGCTTCGGCCAGGCAAGAATGTGATGCAGCGGTCCAAGCGTAGAAGCGATGGGAAGTTGCTGTCGAACCCTGGCCAATGCTTCCATCTTATCCTTCGTGGCTGGCCTACGGCGTTCGTTTGCATCTAGATCGACTTCTAGAGTAGCGCAAAATAGATGTCATCAAAGTGCTCTGATTTTGCAACGAAGGAATGTATTTGCAAAAGATGAGTAAACGAGTGACACGAAAACACAAATATTGTTTGCGATGCTGAAAACACTGCCATCTCTGATGTGGCGAAGAAAAGTGAAGTTGCCCTGCTCTACAGGCCCAACTTAGGCTGCATCCGATTCTTCCCTTCAAGTCTCAAAAACCAATCCAGTTCGCCCAAGTGAGTGAATTTCCCTGCTCCCTCGTATTCGCGAGTTTCAACTCTCTTCTTCTAAGCTGTATATAGACTGTAGTTTTCTTTCTTATGCTGAGTTTTGGGTGTCTATACCCCGGCCCACGGCGCTGTTAGTGGGTGTGGGGACGTTTTGCGGGGCCGGCCGGGTTTGCCATAGTACCATTTTCTGCAATGAGTAATATGCTCCAAATGACTTTCTATTTCCTCATGCTTCTGACCGCATCTGCAAGCGTAGTGTCCAATGGCGTCAGACCTGGTACATTTCATGATGTGCCTCTTATAGTTATCCTTGCGCTTGTTGGTATGTTTACCGCAGTGGCAGATAAAGAATTCTGTTTCGGTGGAATGAATAGTGTCTTTATGGCGTTTGAGGTCATTGCTCTTGTCAAAGTGCTTGTTACAATTTAAATGATTGCATATAAACTTCCTCGGCTTTGCATCTGTCGCTGGAGATGCGCGTGAAGCCTGGGGCGCGGGTGTCGGGGAATAGGCAAGCTCTGGAGTGTGGATGCTAGAAAGACCGGGATCAACTGATTGAGAAACACCCCAGGCGACAGACTGAGCGGCAGTTGGCGTAATAGGCTCAGGCGCCTCATACGTATTGCCCGCGTCTACGGCATAGTAAGCTGAAGTCTGATAAATTCCATTCCAGTCAGGTGTCGAGCCGAAATCACCAGGGCCCAGATCCCGAGTTTCATTGTAGTCAAAGTAACTCCACTTTCCTGGTGACTGCCCGGCCGTGCTTCTTAGTGGATAATCGCAGAATATTTGGTCAAAATCGTATAGCTCCAAATTGAATCCAGTCACAAGCGGAACTGGCTCCCTAATGGGGCCCGATTCCTGTGAGCTTATTTCTTCCATTTGGTCCGCGGGGTTGACCTTATCAGCCAATAACCTGCATAGGGTCCATTCGATTGCCCCTTGTCACAAGCCTACCGACTATGCTTGAGGGGCACTGGTGTTGCCTTTCCAGTGGATAATAGTGGTTCGCTGTAGCGTATTCGCAGCCCGAAAATCTGTTCCCGCTGCAGGTCAGTGGCTGTCTGACGACGCTAAATCCACAGGCAGTTCATGTTACAATTGAACTACTGTGCTTGCAGAGTCCGCATTGTGCTGTGTCAACATACCTGACATTCATTGACATGGAATATGTGTGAAGTAGCAGATATGGCAACCAGAGCAGTACCGAGACCTGCTTAGTTGCTGGTCAGGTCCCAGTATGGCACACCGAAGAAGTTGTTATTCGTCGGAAGAGGGTTTGGGTGGGTTGGCTCACAGGGAGAACAGAGAAGAATGGTTGAACAATGACACGATAAAATGGGCGAAGCAAAGCATTTTCTCAAGTTTGAGGCTCAATGAGGCCCATAACCCGAAGGGGTGGTGGTGAGGCTCTTTTCCGCTGCTGCTTTCAGTCCACGCGCGTGCGAGTGGGCAGGAACCCCGACTTACGACACACCGGATGGCTATTCAGCTATGGCCCGGATCAACGAGACTCCAAGCCAGCAATGTACCGCTCGAACTGTGGTCATATTTCTAATCCATTCGATTTTAGAGTCCTTACTTTTGCTCTTGACATAACAATCTGAGCCCGTTAGAACTCATGACGCTCACCTGGAAAGGTGACCAAAATATAGTAACATCGAACTTATAGCTATCCTACGGCAAGCTAGCGCATAGGGACAAGTGGGCGCCTGAAGTTGACGACGTTCGCGCACCATGACTCCTGGCGTAGCAGGGCCAGCCCGGAGACATGATCGGTTCGGTAAGACAAGCAAGTGCCTCGAATTGATTAGGAAATACCACCTTTTCTTAGCAGAATCCTGCCGCGTGCTACGTGGACGCCTCTGCGCCGACGGCGTTTGACTTGGAATCCAACTCCCACGGCACCCAAGCAAAGAGATGCTTCGGGAAAGATATAGGAGGAACCGCATCATCTGACTACGCAGATTAATCATACATATACACATCTCAAGTCTGGAAACGCCGATAGACAGATAGACAGCAATTGATCCGTTTCTTCGACCACATCTCTCCCAAATCGAAGTTGATCTTACCAACCGACTGTATCCAACACCTTGCTACTTTTCAGGCCTTTCTAGCCCCACGAAGTTTCTCTCAAGGCAATACAGCAAAGGCGCATACAGCACATCGACTGACTAGCTGCATCCCACCGAACAAAACCCCGTATGCATGTCTTCGCTTAGCGGTATCTGCAGTCGAATAGTCGCAAAATCCGCCTAATGAGGCTGTGTAAAAAAGAGCAGAATCGGACTGCTAAGCCACAAGGCAAGGAACTCCCATTAATCCCGTACTGCTTTCATCACAAGTCGAGGGAGCCAAGGTCGTTCTCTAAAGGTGGAAACGTCGTTCGGAAAACCCCGGTCAATCTCAACAATGCCGACAACTGGTTAACTCAAGTCGGTGAGGCGTACGGTATCATTTCCAACCTTGCGACATGGCTCTTGAGTTCGAATGGTCCACTGGGCACTCGCCTGGTGTCACTCTCACCTTGGCGGCATGTCACAATGGACGCCTTCCTTGGGGCCCCCGAGAGCTGCGATCGTCTCGTTGATGTCATGGTGCATAATGCCTTTTTTAAATGATGGAAATCTGCGTGAAGTGTGAAAAATATGCGTTTTCCTATGCGCTAGCCAGCGCCTGGTGTCCTTGCGCAGTGCATACCTCAAGTCGACTGTCACATTTCTGAGTCCTTGACACACAATAATACGAACAACCACAAACTCAATTGCCAATCTATTCATCCAAACTCGAAACCCTCGCAGTTCTCTTGCCAATATCCATCGCGAAGCGACAACACTCTAGCAAAACTCAACCCCCGTGATCTCTCTTCCATATTTGTTCGACGGCCCTCCCTGATTCAACACATCGTTGTAGACCCACCCAGACTGTGCAAGACACTCATCTTGAACCCATTGCAGGTCGATTGACATGTTGCGGCCGGTGCAGCTCGAAGGATGCCCCCGAGCACAGATATAGACGATCGCAGTCCCCTGCTGGGACGCCAGATGCTGGTAGGCCGGGAGCGCGCCATCCGTATTGCAGTAGTTCCACATTCTGTCCCACGCCTGATAGTAACTTTCGCTGTCGATATTATTGGAGCCACAACGACCACTTGCACGGGGCACGACCGTGTCTGTGGTAGTGGTTGCTGTATCGGGCTCGGGGATGAGTGTTGCACTTGGAGAGAGGTGAGGTTCATCTTGGACCTTTCTCCAAGGCCAGGCTGCACGACCGGAGCCACCTTCATATCCAAACAACTCGGGGTTGGTGTCTAATAGAGCGGCCTTCGTATTGCCATTCTCATCCCGGCCGAGGATCCATAAGCCGTTCGCAGCGTTCTGAGGTAAAGTTACAGCTACTGCGGCCGCAACGAATATGGCGAGTGAGAGTGATTGATGGTAATGCATTGATCTAGTGAATCAAGCTTTATCAGAACGTGTGCCTAGGAGAGTCGTTTCCGAGTGCCACTTACAAGTTGTGGGATCAAACGCAATCTGGTGCTTCCCCCTTTTAAGCAAAATCAACCACAGACCATATCGCATGCTCGGCGTTTCTATGATCGTCCCAGTGGCCAACCAAACACTCCTTTCTGACCTGGCATGAAAGTGACTCGGGCCGGATATCCTGTGCAGCGTCGCGCCCGTCGGGTTCGTCCCACAGCAAAGAATTAGGCCGAGCTCTCACCTCCACCGATGGTCAGCGATTGGATCGCAGTCCATATATCGGCCGCATGAAATTCGTCCGTAAAACGTCCCACGACGTAGTCAAGATTGAATTGTATACCGACATTGCACCGTATCCAATTGTATGCGGCGTATTCGAATCTGCGCCCGAATGCTGCCAGAGGATCGGCGAGTCGAACCTACGTATCTGGCCGGGCGGGTCTACCCTTCGCCTGTACTGATGGGCGGTATTCATCATGATGCGCCGGTTTCTAGCAGCTCCTTGCACCGTTCTAGCCTATCATGCGCTTCTCGGAGAAGTTCATAATGCGACTTGGCAGCAAGGCCGCCAACGGTGTCCAACAATATTGGCAATGTGTCTTCGAGCGTCGTTGCAGTACTGGAGTCCAGCTCCTGTAAGTTCGCGACCTTGGATAGGTAGTCGGCAAGATTTTCCCTCCGCCTAGACTGAGGCGAGTGCGATGGGCGGACCGTGGATGACGAGGCAGATCTAGAGCTGATGGCCTTGACGTAGGACCAAATAGTCAATGTCGCGTAGTACATGATCCAAGGGCGGTGGGGGTCCGGATCAGTTCGGCACGAGTATTGCGCACCGTATGCAGAAGAGGCGGTCCCATTGTGATACGCTGACAACCTTCTCTGTCGAGGATCTATGAGAACCGAGTGGAGCAGCTTGAAAGCATGGAGCACAGCGTGGCGGGTTGTAGCATGCGCAGCCCAGATTCTCATTCGCGACACAACGTTGCTGTGATCACGCATCGTAATTTTTCGTCCGACAAGGCGCTTGGCACCCGCAAAAACCTGACAGTCGATCATGTCGACGTATAGACTCATATGAGCGAGGTGATATAAGACTGCTGCGCTCTGGATGAGGCCATTGGAGCCATGTTGTTGAGTCGATGCGCCGAAGCCAGAACTGCTGGAGCCCATGGCGTCGTCAAAGCTTCGTTTCCATCCGTCGAACGCCTGTAGCAGCATTTGGGACCATTTTTCCCTTGTATCAGTAGAAGACGATGACATATCGAGCCATTTGAGATGTGTTTCACGGTGGTTTAGATGCCAACCAACACTGAGTAGCCCACACATGATGATCATTCGCCCAAATGGATGCGTCTGAACTTCTTTACCATGAATCGCTCTTTTCAGCCCATCTAGGAATGTGACAGGCTTAACTCCATACATGCGGAAACTTGCCTCAAGTTGCCGAAGCTCTTCTGGCGAAGATGCAGACCAGAGGTTGTCGTCGCACGGTAAGGGTAGACGAATCTCATGGGGTGCCATATCTGCTGTATGTTGGAACATCGCAGCATGCACGATATCCATCATGAAAGCAGCAAACACGACCCTGTGCATCGCTTCAGTTTCAGCCCATCGTATCCACCAAGCTCTACCATCAAACCCCCCTTGATCTGCAGAAGCCGGCACATCTGGTGGTGATTCACTTCCTGATCGCCCAATAAGAGGGCTGCCACGACGGAGTAAAGTGAGAGTTGCTGAATGATATATGTTTGCTCGTTCATGAAGTTTGCGAGTCGAAATCAACTTCTCATAAAACTCGAGAAGTAGTAACGCCTGGGCTACCCACAAGTCAACTGGGGGTGAAGCATCCTCGGCAGTGAGAATTTCCCATCGGACACAGGTGATGATCAGATCGGCAAAGGCTCCATGCTCTTTTAAAGCCATGCTGGGGCTTTGGGCCTGTACTGACGCCGCTCCGAGCGCAATCATGACCAGCAGCAAGAACACAGAGCAGCTGGCTGGAGAGAAGGTTGGTTGGTGGACAATCGGTAAACGTGGTGCAACGTGATCCCAAAAGTGCCGTAAGCACTCTCGAAGCATTTCAGGGCTGAGGCCCGGAATATCATCTCCTGAATCATGAAGTAACGTCGCATACAAGGGATCGGTCTTCATCTGCTTCTGGCGGAACATCCGAACCCATGTCAGAATCTCTTGGCGGCGAAACTCAGGCATCGTGTCGTCGGGCATGTCGGTTAGGCGTGGAGGTGTGAGATCCATTTGGGATCGACTAGTCAAAGACTCATTCTCATAGGTGATCTGGTTGTTGAATGGTGACTCCAAGCCTCCTTCAAAGAATGGCAGGTTGCTCATGCTGAAGTCCGCGAAATTCCGTTGAGAATCGAACAGCCACATGGCGAAGTTGTTTCTTGCGAAGTCATTGGGGTCTGTAGGCATATCCATAGTCGAAAATGGCGCGAACGATGCTTGAGTATGGTCGTGCATTGTGGGTTGGGGTGCATAGCCGCCATTCCGGGGGCGGATGACATTCACAGGGTCGACGGGCTGTGACCAAGGTGTGCTGGTAGTCACGGGGTTCCCGTGCCCATTGAGGAGGGAAGTTGGTGGTATTCCAACAGGATTAGACTCGGGGGAGAGGAGGATGGAAGAAGTCCTTGGTGGGCCAGGCTGGTATGCTGGTTGCCCCTGACCATTGGTACTGGTTGAAGACCCGGGAGTCATCATCGTTACATCGGGGCTCGACACCTTGGCCGATGTGCTGAAGCTGCTTGTGCGGTTCCTGGGAACGTAATTTGTGCCATGGCGCTTTTTGTGTCGCTCGAGAAGATCGAAGCGGACGAAGCTCTGGCTACAGTCGGGGACATCACATCGGAACACCTTTTGGGGGTCATCTATCACATGTTGGTCAATTACCTCAGATATAGTAGAACTACCCACTTACGATTCAACTGGCTGTAGCGACATGCACGTTAGAAACCTGGGTATTCAGCGAGTTGGGCATTGGGCTGACTTACTGTCTCTGCAGATGTTCCTGGCGCGTGTATGCCTTCCCGCAAGTTGGGTGCGTGCACACGAACCTCTTTGCGGCCCCCTATCACTACTTCAGTTCATGAGGCATGTACATTAAGCTATTGAGGGTACTGACCTTTCGCGACGCTCGTTTATAGGGATGAGACCCACTGGGGCTCTGCTCCGTGGTCGGCGATGCCATCTGTCCTGCGGTCGTAGTCCACGGCCATGATACAGCGCGCACAGCTGGGGAACGCCACGCGAACGGTGGTCAAAGTGTCCAAGCGGTAAGGTTGGCGTCGCCGTCAGATATAATGCTGTCCCATCAGCGCGCTTGTCAAGAATGATCGGCCAACAGACTGGAGAGTTTCGATACCAGCAATGTTCACTGCTCGGTCTGGCCGGTCGGTCGGACAGGAGGTCCCGAGTGACTTGGTCGGTGGGTAGCGTCGTTGAGTGGGGGGGCTGGAGTGGATGCGGGGGTGGGGATCTCAACACTTCAGACCACGTGCACCAAGCCTCGCTGCTTAGTTCTGATGGCAATAGAGCTTCACAAACCACTCCAAATGCAGCCCTGGAGATCAATGAGTGACTGGCATCGCTGGTTCGCGTTGCGCGAGGAAAGTCTCCTCCTCACTGGCACAAACTCAGCTAATGTTCTTGACCCCTACGCAATCCAATTCTCGTCGTGGCTCCGATGGGGGTCAATATGATCGTACAAGAATTGCCTGCCAGGTTTCAAGACAATTCGTTTCTGCCGCTCGACACTAGCAATGTTGCCGTTGAAATAATGACACAGCTTGCCTTTGATTGGTCCCAGTCCTGCTCTTCGACATTCTTCACGGACTCAGAATTCGAAAGCCTGCGCACTGGCTGACTGGATTCGAGATAAAAACCCCACGTGGGGGCTCCCGGTCCTGCACTTCCCACAGCTTGCCAAGTATGGGGGAGACATGTCTTATGGGCGGACCGAAGTGCTCCCGTCGAACTTGACCACCACCTTTGCATACGTAGGTGGGTACACACGCTCTAGACAATCTTGCCAATATACTAAAGATCAGAGGTTTGATGATGCCTTACGTTGTTGTGAATAGCCACCTAACAACTACAAGTCAATCCAGCCTGCTCAATAGTGTGATGTCTCCTTCCCTCCATATCAGAGGACAGGAATTATCAAATAATGGCATGCCTTGGGCCAAGAAGGAAGATGGGTAGTTTAAGAATTTGGTCTCTCCACCAGGAAACCGGTGAAGGTTGACTTCGGGTAATTTGTCTCCAGACGCATGCCGATGGACAATGAATGGGTACATTCGCACATGTTCATGGAGTGCGGCTACATTCGGCTACACCTGGCATGAGGCTTGGTAGCACAGGCGCTTAGATCTTCCGTATCGGTGGATTTGGCAACTCATCGAGTCCTCTTCCATAAATGCCATGTTTCAGCCACGGCGGCAACCTATTTCCAAGGTTGACAGAAATCTAAAAAGGCATGGCAGTTCTTGTTCTGTTTTGCAAGTCACGCCTGTATCGCTGAATCTTCAAGCCATTCTTTCCTCCGTGGCCGGACGTTATGACCAACGTAGACTAAAAGACGCCTGCGCAACGTCGAGGCGAAGTGGCATGACATCAGAGCTATTCTCATTCATACTCCGTATGTGATCAATAGCCATGGCGCTGCAGGGGCCAACATCTGCAGGGAATACAAATTGCGCCGACCAGTCCGTACCCAAGGACAGTCTAACTTCTACCTCTGTTTTTGGTCCCTTATATCAAGCCATCAAACGCTTAGCCGGGAGCTTATACAGGAATTGGCTCGAGGGCTGGATTATACAATCTCGTTCGAAACTGCTGTTGGGTGCCGCCAACAAAGAATACAGGAAATTCACCGATCTCTGTCGGCTATCAAACAAGGAATACGTGATGTTTGCGACAGTTGAGGCTCGGGCAACGCAAGCCATACATGGTGCAATTGGCAATCTTGGCCTGACAACATGGATTCCTACCATGGTAGGAACACTCGATTCGCACCACTGGCATATTGGGGAACAACTCATTTTAGAGGATTGCGGGGATTTCTCAAGTCCAGATTCTTTTGCGTTTGGAAAGACACAAGTTATCGCGAGAAGTGATATAAATACTGTCATGGACGACTGGTTTACACACAAACCCAACCACATTCGACATGTATGTTTCGTTGTTTGGGGAAGTACTGCATTAAAGTTACTCGAGCCCTCGTGGTCTGTTCCCCCTGGGGTTGTCACCCTAGATGCACAGAAGATTTGGCAGTCAAAATATGGCCTGTTGGAGACTTCACTTGATGAAGCGATAACTGCTGTCCCCAGCCTGGACTTGGTTGATGGTTTCTTTACCAACCTCGGTAACAGGTCTCGTTATCTGATGAAGTTGTTGCAGTGGCTTCATCGGGGAATCAAAGCCGATGATGGTACGGCTGTCAAGAAGGTTTAGCAACTGATGCATGGGTTAATCATTAGCCAGACTTGTTTCCTTCTCACGAATATCGTGCCTAATTGACTTCTGGACCACTATGTATATTAACTCAAACGATGCCATAGACTCGTCATCGACAACTGAGTTGAAATTCCCTAAAAATGACTTCTACTGCAACCATTGAGCGCCTATTATGATCATAAAACCGCTCATCCTCTAACAAGACCACTGGGCCGTCTGATTCGTTGGCTATAATAGCCTGAGTACTATAGTGGGATCTCTCTTTTCTATGCGTTGTATCCACGCAAGAGCGAGCTGTTGAGATATCCGTTTCAACTTCCTGAGCTTTTGCAAGACTCTCTGATAGTTCCGCGGCGATTTCCCAATGTGGGTCGTTGAAGCAAGTGTAAATCTGTCTCTGAGACTCTCCGTGCTCGTCCCAAGATACCGAGAACAGAACGGTGAAGTTTCCGCTTGAAATAAGTGCATGAGACTGGGATGAGGGCCTCCAGGCGCATGGGAAGGAAATACAAAAGTCTGGAGGGTCCCATGCTTCCAACCATGCACCACTGATCTTTCTCATTCTCCCAAAGCCAACTGTGACTAGAATTCCTGAATGTTGTGTTGAGCCACTCGCTTCCTGACCTGGGCTTCTGGAAATTTCATATCTACCACTTTTCGTTGAGAGCATGATGTCTTGTATTCCAACAGCTCTCCCAAGTGGATATGATCTATGGAAATGGAAAAAGGAAGACGGGAAATGCCCTCTCTCGAAGTTGTTATCCGCTTTTTGACAAATGGATATCCAGATTTGATACCGCCTGCAAGAAGGATATTGGAAATTGGACACCGTCGAACAAGACCCGTTGCTGATGGGCTCTTTCCTCTGAATCTCTAGGGAGCAATTCAAGCCAATGAAACAAGCTCCGTGATTATTCCCAGGTATCAGGGAAGTCTGGACTTTCAGTCCAAGGTTTGTACTTGAGTACGGCAGCCTTGTTAAATCATAGTCCCGTACGATAGATCCGCAATCTTGAAAATACGATGGGGATTTAGCTAGTGCTCCAGTCCAGATATTCCGATCTGGTGCGGCAAGTTTCCAAGCGAAGATACTTTGATCGTCTGATATCTTGATGATTTCTTCTTGAAGTTTCTGAAAGGCCTGAATGCCTTGACCATAGAGCATTGGCATGTTGATACCGAAAATACCAAGCAGGCAATAGGCCATATCTTCGATGACAGTCGTTTTCCTGTCTGAAGCCCATGACATTCTTTGAGCAATTGAGAAGGTTGGAATTTTGTTTCGATCAGCTAGGACCTTCTCGTGAATGTTCGTAACTCTCGCAATAACCGTCCTCAAAGAGGTTCGAGACCCTAGTGGTGTCCAGTCCAGAGCATAGAATTCAACTTCACCAGGGGCAAGTAGCTCCTGAAGAGTCCATCCTCTAGTCCACCACCTGCTGCCGCTGAATTCGGCAAGTGTTGAGACATCGTCATCATTTCGGGCGAACCAGTCTTCTAGTTGACTCAAGCATGTCTGCCTGAAATGATTGCGTGGCACCGAAACATCGGGCAAGTGGGCATAGCAGATTCTCGAGTCATGATACCACGCACTGATATATCAAATGTCAGTCTACAAATACTCTGTGTGTCTTGACATGCACCAGGATAAAGCAATATGCTTGGATGGCTTCATAGCGCTACTCACAACATCGAATTGATGGCCTCACTCAACTCAGCTGAGCTCTCCTTGTTGATGCAGTTGGTATCACACCAGAGATACTGGAGTCCGTCCCGTTGAGCCTGCTCGCATGCACCCAGGATCTTTTGATAGCCTGACTTGGCTTTTATCTTATTGGTATATTCAGACTTGTGGACGTGTGGACACTGTCCCTTGATCGCACCGGAGGGGTTGACTTGCTCCCATTCCTGGAACGTGACTTCCTCGGAACCCCACGTGTGGGACAGAATGGCGTACTCTGTCTGCTGTGGGTTGAAAATGTTGACGAGGCGGAGAGTCTGAACATCGATGAGACGCATCTTGGCTGAGGTACAACGCAAGGGAAGTTATTCTAAGCAATAATATGGACACGGCGGGAGTTACACTTGGTGAGGACGACTTGTGGTTCTAAGCCTCAGGTGGTGTCTGTGTCCTTCAAATAAATTACCAGGTCAATCTCCCACACAAATATGCCCGAAATGTCATCATTTAGTCCACGCAATCCCCATTGACATAGCCCCGGAATGGAGTTCGGACGTATCATAAACGAGGAACAATCACGACAATCGAAAATGATACATGCAATCTCCCCTCATCTCACCGCCGTTGTGAAAAAGCGACAAGGCCATGTGTCTGTCCGCAGTGTCTAAACCAATGTGCACTAGACAATTGTGCGTGGACATCACATCCAATCCAGCTTTCTCATATATCATCACCCTGTCAAATCTGATGCGACTTCCCCTGTTAATATGAAACATCGATGTTGTGGCTGTATATGGATCCACGCAGTCCAGTTGACAGGCAATCTGTGGACAACTGCATTTCAATAACAAGGAACTGGGGCTGAGTGATGATGTGGCTTGAACCAATACATCAACTCATGAAAATCTCACTATCCAGTTAGTGTGATGCCTGAGCCATCCGAATTTATTAAACATGATGCCCAAGAACTAATAGACAGGATCGTAAACCCCTATCCGCCATCCGTCAAGTCGACGCTGCCGCAATGCAAGAGATGCGTACCGATTTTTAGACTTTTTCCAAGAGAAAATTAGATCATCTGGCGGAACCCGTATGAGCTTGTGTAGATACATCATAAGTGACGTGTCCAAGCCCAGCGTGTGAAAGCCAGCTCGGATCCGATTGGCCAATATCCGCGACTCTTGACCAGACTGTTCCGACCACGATATAATTTACATCATCCAGGAACTTCAAGATACACCAAGTCAAAGAGCTTCTCCTTGAGAGACGAAGGCGGAGGATCATGACACATCGAACTGACCTGAGTTGTCTGGGAATCGAAGGCTGGGAGCCGCCAACAACTGACCGCTATATCACCAAATCTTCAAGAACCAGGATTCAAGACATCATTTACTCGCATACATACTGCACCCTGGCTGGTTTGCCTGTGGTGTCATTCCGCAGTCAATGGCTCCGGCAGGCCACGAACCTGATGTCCTTTGTTCTTACCATGACGCCAATCCCAGATTCAGCGGGGATCACTCATGAGATTTGATCTCTCGACCAGTGCGTTCGGGTTTGTCATTTCTCTAATTCATATCACGCAGTACGATTTTCCAAATCGCTTGCTTTTCTCTAGCTCTGGCTGCGCCGCCCCAGATGTCGTTTACCCTAGTCCTACTTCCCTGCTATCTGCCTACATCCGCTCCTCACGCCACGTCGGGCAACCTCACCGCAATGTCGCCCGACTGGGTGATGTACCGCACCCACGGCAGCGAGGGGTATTGTAACTGGTCACTTGTCAGTAGAGGCCACGGGAGGCGAGAGAGGGGGCCTGAGACATACCTTGGGCTCCGTAATCTTCAGATACCGGACCTGAATACCACTTGTCGTAAAGTAGGGGATCTCAAACTTGACCTGGATGGGTCTCTTGGCGCCCTTGCCTGCATTGACACCACCCATACTTCCACCGAAACCACCGGTCATACCGCCTCCATGCTCATCATCACCACGGACGCTGGGCAGACCCAGCTCTGCGCGCATCAGGAACTCCTTGGACCCACCGAACTGCTTGATCTTCCACACGATGGCGCTCTTCTCCGGGGCGTAGTGTACACTGCCGATGTTGGTCCTGAAGCGGGGCGAGTCGGCGTCATCGGGCACGGGGACGATGATCTCGACGTTGTTGGCCGTACTCCTCCTCTTGAACTGGGCACGCGCCTTGAGCATGTACTCTATTCTTGAGCCGGAATGGCTCTCGACAACGCACTCAACCCAGATCAGGGGCTTGACCTGGGTGTTCAACCGGTAACTCATGAGCTCGAACTCGCCATCGGGAGGAATGAAGGAGATGGTCCTGTCGTTTTCGAAACGTGATAACCGCACGCACTGGTGAAACTTGACATCCTCCATCTCGATGGCCTTGCCTCTGGTTGTCCTTCCTGTCGTCTCAAACATGACCTTGTCGTTCAAGCCCAGCCGCAGCTCGGGCATACCGGACAGGTAGCACTTCATCTTGATAGCACCCAAGATTTCTGAGCGCAGCACGTTGCCGTTTGCAGAGACCAGCAAGTTCAAGCTCTCGACGACGTCCAGGAAGACCTCGTTTTTCCTATATCTGATGCCTTCGGACCGCCACGACACGGCGTTTGTGACGGCGATGGGCGGCCTGGCCTGCACCTCGAGCTTGTGTGATTCCTGCGTGATATACTCCTGGAGGATCTTGGACTCGGTGGTCTGGGGGTAGCCAAAGTCCATCATTTCGTCGAGCAACTCGTAGATGATGACAAAGTTGTCGCGGATGGATTCCTCCTCGAGGGCCTTGAAGTACTCGGTGAAGACCTCGACGACCTTGTGCAGGAACAGCAGGATCTCGGCGGCATTCGTGTTTCGTTTCGTCAAGGCGAGCAGGTACAGGTTGTTGTGTCGAATGTAGAGGTACTTGGTTGGGTCAGCCGTCAGGGTAGCAGCGCAGCAGGTGCAAGCAATATGCCTACGTTGATGCCCTCGTGCGAGAAGCAGGGGGGTACGGCGGATGATTCTTCTTCGGCTTCGCTCAGGAGGACGGGGAACTTCTCGACCGCCGACATGGGAATGTCACCTCTGTAGTTGCGGGCAAGCAGGGTCTATGGGAGACTCTGTGTTAGCAGGGCGGGAAAGCGCCAAGGCCAAGGCCCCGATAGCATAGGAAGCTCACCTTGCCCTTGAGGTCGAGGAAGAAGAGGGCGGAGGCCATGATGTCGGGAGCAGCAGGACAGGAGGAGATCGGGGTACAAGGGAGCTGATGTCAATCGGCACTGGGGCCAGACAGCGCGACTCAGAAGGTCCTGTGCATGCGCCGTGCCGGTCGGAGGTGCAATGCAATGGGCGGAACTCAGGAGCCTGATCTCACGGTGGTCTGTCGTCTCGTTGGACCGGCCACCTAAAGGAGGCTCAGGGACCCCTCGTCGATGATGTGGTAAGGTGTACCCTCGCCTCTGCGGTCGACAGCAGCTGGCAGCAAGGACCGACAGCTGGGGATCCCGGGAGGCAGGTCAAGGTGAACTAGAGTGAGAGCTAAGACGCACTAGGCTGCTTTGGGACCCGACGTATCACTTATGTAAGCATCTGGTTGCCGCTACTGGGCTGGGTCACGTGAGAGTGGATACCCACGCATTTTCTGAATTTTCTAATAAAAGTCGACGATGGCTTCGGGGGTTTCCCTCTTCTTCCCTTCCTTCTACCACGCGCCCTATTAGACAGTGCTGGGAACTCATGCACAACTGGAGCTGGCTTTCTGTCAGTCTTCCGACCGTGTCCTCAATTGATTCTCTGCGATACTGCGGCGCGGAGAAGGATTCAACGAATCAGGTACCATAAGAGCTGCCCGAGTATGTCACATCGGCAAAACTTCCGTTGCTTTGGCGGCGTCAGAGGAACCGTACATTTTTTTGTTTTTTAATCTTGCGTATTCTCTGCACGAGATGGAGAGAGTGTGAGAGACAGATAGCCGTGACTCCATCCATCGTGCCATCATGTGACTCTTCTCGGATCTGATGGCCTTCTTCGACTGTCTTCAAAGTCTCTACGCGAGCGCTACGCTCTCGAATGATGCCATGTCTTGGCTGGACCACCCGCGATACCACAGTCCTGGTCTGGAATTCATGCTGTCGTCCTCGCGTCTCAGCTGGGGCTCGCTAACTGGGATCGCTCGTCGGGATTTTAACGATGGAAATTGGCGTGCCGTCTGTCCCCAAGCCTGCCCCCAGTCGCGCAGCACGTGTTTTCCTCCCAACCCAAGCCTCCCACCGAGGCTCACCTGCTTAGCTGCTTTTCCCCAGCGCGCCCAGCCCGGGGCTTGGGGGGCCTCACTGCCCAGCAATCCAGGGCTGCCAGGCCGGCCGCCCACGACGAACGGGGGGCACCACAGCGCGCAACTTCTAACTGGGTGCCAACCTTCCGACTCGCTGTTCAGCTGAAGCTTTCGGCGGACATCCCATGGATGCTTACCAATGGAACGTCGTTTGATCGTGGTGTGTCATTTGCACCTTTTGGAAGCCCCTCTGCATGCCCGGACTCGACGTTAGACGCTGTCTAGCAGCAAGTCAATCTGCTAGCCCACCGTTAAACGGGCTCCCAGCTTTTGTCACATGGTAATCCTGATGTCAATTTTGCCTTTGCACCTCCCCAGCCAGCCCAGCAGGCCCAGCTCGCGTCTCGGGTCCGCTCGTTGGCCCACGCCTTTGGTCTGTCGCACGGCGTCCCACGGCTAGCCCGCGCCTCAAGACGGTAACGGAGAGGATCTCCCGTACATAGGCACCCGGCACCCGATCCCCTATTTTCCTGCAGACACCAGTCGACCGGCAGTTTTTGTCGCAGCCCGTCGTCCAAAGTTGCTCTGCGCTCGGCCGAGATTCTGTTGGCTGCCATTTGCAAAACCTGCGAGCAGAGCATGGGCCTACAATATCTTTTGCAATCGTGAACTCGCCGCTGTATTTCGTCTGATCTGTGTTTCATCGCGAGGGGTGCATCGCACGCGGCCCTGGCATGCATTTGGGGTGCTGTCGCCATTATCACAAGCTTGCAGCCAGCCCGCCCGCCCGCCAGCCTGCCAGCCAGCCAGCTAGCAAGCCCACCCGGCTACCAACCCTACTCCGTTCGAGACACTAGCCAATCAAGGCGTTTTGCATGTGAACAGACGTCGTGTCGCACTGCGGCCAGCGATCATGTGAAGACGTCCCTCGTTCCTGTGGTTCCTGTGGTTCCTGGCCAGTTCCTGCGCTGCGCCAGCCGCTACGAACAACCGGCCTCAGGATGGATCCTCTCCTGGAACCGACCGGGCAGAATCCTCTCATGCACTCCTGGGCGTCCTGAGCACGTCTAGTTAAGCAGTTGCATGCGAGATACAACGCAATTGTGGCCGGGTCATGGGTGGGCAGCAAGGGACGGGCGAGATTGATACGAGTGTATGAGCTTAATTCCCCAGAAACATGTCAAACAGCAGGCCATGGCGATACAGGAAGCAATCAAGGTTTATCGGCTCCAGGTGCCTTGTCCAGGTGCCTGTCCATCTGCCTCGCTTCGCATGGCAGCAGCACAGCAAACAGCACAGCACAGCATAGCACAGGACAGGACAGCGCAGCGCGTGCATCGTGACCTCTCGTCGTCGGACTCATGAGACTGTCCGCCGGCAGTCGGCCTATTGGCAATTGCTTTGCCCGCGACCAGGCGGCCAAGCGACCAGACGGAAACGACCCCAATGCAGGCCAACTTCCGCGGATGACGGCGGGCTTTCTGCTGTGGTGCTGGAGTCCTGGAGCCCTGGAGCCCCAGTGGAGCCGGACGACCCCCTGTCAGCGTGCGCGACCCTGTGACCACTGACGACGAGCCTTGCCCTCTCGCAGCCTGACCCCGGCTTTTGGATGCAAAATCAGCGAGGGCGGCGAGCTTGGCGTTCATCTTGCACCCAGTCCCAAGCGCAACAGGCGCCACGCTATGGCCCCAGCCCATCGGGAATGGAAATGGAATGATGGCAGCTCACACGCTCTCTCACTCACAGACACAGACACACACACGCGCACACACACACTCGGGGACCCTGGTTAGGATCGATCCCCAGTCTTTGCCTTGCCCGCTGCTCTGCTTTTGCTAGACTGCTTGATTGCTCGATTGCTCTGCTGTGCCCTCGGTGCGAGACCTGCTCATCTCATCCGTCGTCCAGTCTCATTTGCTCTCTCGCCGTGCGAACCGCCACACTCTCCCGTTTTCATATGATCCGTAGTCTCTCTGCTTCTTCCCCCAATATCTCCGCCTCTCACCCCCCCCATATCCCATAGCCATAAGTCCCCGAGTCCCAGCTCGTGACGGAACCTTGCGCCCCAGAAGCATAAGGCCGCCGTTAATGCGAGGGACTGTGGATTCCGGATATGTAAGACGACGGCCTGCGATCTACTAGTCCTACGTACGGTAGCAGTCTTTCTGGGACCCGGCGAGTCAGATTTCACATTCACGTTCACTCTACCGACCACGCCAACGTCGTCCACTTCCCCCGTTCAGCCCTCTCGTTGCTTCCCACCCAGCCCATCCGGGACCGACCTCGTCCAACCTAACTTACAACCCGCTCTCCGTACTGCTGAGCAAAGCAAACCTCCGCTGCAGGGGCGCCCTCCATACTTGAACGGTGTCAACTCTGTCGTCGTGGGCCCCCTTCTTCTACGCAAATGAGTCGCGCTATACGTGATCCGGACCTCTCATAGCCAACGGGCCCGTGGAAGCCATCTCGGCTTCCATTTGGTTACAGCTCACGACGATGGAGCACAATCACATGTTGCCCCGGCCGGCTAACCGCGCGCCCTCAGCCGGCCTCGATCAGAAGCCCGACCTATACCAACAGGACCGTCGCCAGACACCCTCGTCTGATGTCGCAGCTGTCTTCCAACCATTCGATCGCCAATTCAAACTCCCCTTGTACCCGCCGCCGCCGTCGTATTCGCAGACGCACGCCGACCGCAAGTCGCCTCTGCCCTTCCCGGACGCTCCCAAGACGGAGCTGCCTCCCATCAAGTTGATGCGGGCGGGTCAGAATGACAAGAAGAAGGAATACAACACCTTGCCGTCGCTGTCGTCCCTGACAGTCTCATCGCCGAAATCCATGTATACTAGTCCATCACCACAGCCTCAGTCCCGGCCGACGATACCGCCAGCGCCGACCTACGCTCCTCCTCCACCACCCCCGGCGCGGCTTGAACCCGTCCGGTGGCCGACGCTCAACCCCTTGTCCGCATACTACACGCCTAGTCATGCGGAGGGCCTGGAGGCTCCGCTGCGCATGGACGAGGACTCTCCCAACAGTAGCGCCGCCAGCGCCGCATCGCCAGAACAGGCCGACCCCGGCCGGTCGAGCAGCGTCAGTCTCGACGACCCCGATGTCAGGCTAGCCGCCGAGGCTTTAGGGGACTTGCGGGCAGGTTAGTATATGCGTTTCTTGTCAATTACCGGCCATATCTGGCAGGTCCCTCGTGAGGCAGTGTTGCTGACAATTGAATTTTCCGTCTCGCAGACTTTGTGTCGTCACCACAGAACAGGAGTGATTCCACCCCGGCGACTCCACGGTCACGGTCGCGAGCAACACCTGAGCCGCTCCTTCAACTACTCACCACGAACCATCCTTTAATTGGGAACGTCATCGAGGGCACACAGTCGGCGTATGTGGCATCTAAAAACTATTCACCACGGTTCAGGACGAGCGCAGAGTACGTCGAGGGCTATGTAACACCAGTTGTCAACACGGTCGGATCTGTGGGACGGGTCACTGGCGTTGAGGGTAGTGTCCGTTGGTTCTTGGGCGGCGGCAAGAGGCACAAGTCCCAAAGTTCGATGGATTTCGAGAATGGCTCCAACAAGCGAAGAAAAGGAAACGCCGGGTCGGAAACCTCGATGGGAGACGATGAGGATGACGAGACCATGTCTGGTGCAGCAACACCCAGACCGACGGACGATGTTGACGACAGGCGGTTATCTCTCGCGAGTACCATCAACACCATCGACACTTTACCCGCCTATGACGAACACAGGTCGCCGGCGTACGAACCCACAGACACACGATCCCCCACTGCTTGGCAGTCCCGGCTCATCATGTCAACGTCTGGCCTGAGTATCGCCATGAGCTTTGAGAGTTTGCGCAGCCTCAAATACTGTCTCGGGTGGCTGCGATGGGCGAACACATATATCAGCCACAGACTCAACTCATTGAAGTCGGCACTTGAGAAATACGACAGCCAAGATGCGTCGGCAGGCTCCAGCTCGTCGGACACCGAGAGCAAGCAGCAGATTGCCGAGAGAATCGCGGGTTACAAGGCTGACGTGCTCAGGACCCTCCAGCAGGTGATCAGCACGGTTAGCAAATATGCCGGTGGAGCCCTCCCTGACAATGCACGGGCTCTCGTGAGACGCCATCTCACTAGCCTGCCGCAGCGCTTCCGCGTCGCTGCCATGGCCGACGAGAACCAGCAGGGACTGGAAGCCCAGAGCGCAGCCGAGGCTGGCGAGGCTCGAGACAAGGAGTTGCGCGAAGGCGCCAACAGAGTCATGTTGCTCGCCAAGGAGGGCCTGGACATGATGTCACAGGTGTCTGGAGTCCTGGACGGCACTATCGTGAGTGCCGAGGAGTGGTGCGAACGACTGGGCAAAAAGAAGCGAGAGGAGAAGGAGGCGTTACTAGACGGCCGCCCAGGCTTTCCTCAATACCCGTTGGAGGATGTAAAAATGGGTTGATCTTGATCAAAAGCAAGATGTTCAAAAATCTGATTTTCTGTTTCTGGAGTTCAGGGGGCGAAAGACAAAACCGTGGATCGACGCAAGAGGAAGGTCGCGACATAGCGACGCCACCCCACACCACACACTAACTAATGTCTACGAACTATTCGGGCATTGAGCTACGCAACACAACACAATGCAGAGGCCGGATTCCTTCAACTGGATCTGGCTTTGCAGACGGTGCTGGCGACGGCTCTGGCCATCTTCGGCCCAGACGACATAACACTTTTCCTTTTCCTGTTATATCTACGCGCAGGATGCAGCTTATACCCCTGATATGCGAACATATACGGACCTGTACATGTATTGCGATCAAGCTTGCTGTTCCATCTTTGCCGTATCATACCACACACCACACAAACACAATCGCTTCTTTCTTCTACCTTTCTGACAATTTTCACTTCTCTTCCGGTTACAACTTAGGGCATACCACACGGGATATGGGATCACGGGAACGGCGACGGATTGATGCTATCTACGCAGAGGGAAGGGGAACCCAAAGATGAGAAAGACGGGATACGGGAAACACTTTGGGCGCGCAACAAAACCAAACAACTGAAATATCGCTCTTGAACTTGCCCTCTCTTACTTTTATTTGTCGTCCTTGTTTGCTTAGGATCGCAGAGGAGAGATGGATTGGGGTCTGTGTATAGGCTTGATTGCAAGGGAGTTGTGCTCTTCTTTTTTTTTTTTCGAGGCATCAGACTAGCGAGTTGGGTAGGATAGAAGCCGTAAGCGATTGCTTGCTTGCACTGCGAATCTACTTTGAAGCCTATTGAAGATGATTGTTAATGTTTGACTAAGTGACTAGGTATTGGCATGGTGTGCTTGTTCGGGACTTGCTGACAGTGTGTCTTGTCCACCATACTCTGCAGCCCCCATACTCTGCAGCTTGTCTGATTATCAAACATGAAACCTCACTTTATACGCGGTCCAAGCTGTAGTAGCAATGCTTGACTCAAGTTGGACGACATGACTCAGTTGACTGTCTTCGTATCAGCTGCTTCACATACGCAATTTCGCCATGCATGTGCGACGCCAGCTTGAGATGTTTGCTCAGAGTCTTGTCCCCGGCCAAACAGCTGTCAGACTTCTTCCAGAATCATTGAGATCTAACTCCTCCACTTGATTGCTTCGTAGCAAGCACAATCTGTTGAGCCAATGCGGGTATTGATACCCCTATATATAGTCCGGGCTCGCACTCTGCAACTACGCCTCTACACTACGTCTTTCTCATTCATCACATTGCATTCATCTACGCATCTCATAACATTGAACCCAAGCCGGAAGAAACCGGACTTCTCCTACCTCACCAAATCCAAATTCCCTCTGGCTCTCTCCTGTCCACCCTATGTCTTGACACACCAGGACGCGCTGACCGCGTCCCCTACACCACCACGAGAATAATCGATCGCGACATGGATGGTCTGTGTGGCTGACCAGAGGTGAGTGTTAATGAAGGAAACTACATCGTCCGGTCTTGAGGGTTTCTCATGATACATACAGACCGAAAGGCTGATGCCATACCGCGCCTCACAGCACCCCAAGCTTCGATCTCAGGGGATAGTTTGCGCAACTCCACCGGGGCCACAGATGCTGCCCAAAATCATGTCGAGGTTCTTTTCAGCCGACATCTTGCAGAGTTCATCAATACCTCTGCTCAGGCATGGAACACCACTCCAACTGCTGCAGAATCGCCGGCTAGGAAGAGGGTTTGTCCAGCTGCCCGCTGCTCTCCCAAACGACGCCTCCCCGCTCCAAGAACGGTCAAAGAATTGCCCACAGAAGAAAGACAAGAAGGTTGAAGCGGACTGTTGCCGAATATGCGCTCCTTCTCTCGCCGAGCTGTACCGCCGTGCCATAGGTGATAATAAAGACACCCGTCTTCGGACTCGCGGTGACCTGGGTGACGCACGTTTCGAGACGGGTAAGTCTAGAGAGCCTTGGGAGGTAACTCTGCATCTGCTTCCCTTAGTTAACAATCCAAATGCAGAGCCCGTCTTCGACCTGTGCGTGTGCTAGGTATAAGCAACACAGACGATGAGATCGTTTGCTAAGGGGCCGCCACCATTGGGGGCAATTACTGCAAGATGAACAGATGACCATGTGCTTGTGGACTACGCTTGCACGAGCCTACTGATTAAAGTATGACGAGAATTCAAGACAAGGATTAGATTATGGTTGATGGTATACGATGCACGCAAGGCCAGGATGTGTGAGTTCGAGCTGCCGAGCGCCGACGAGTTGAACCCGGAGGCACAGGCTCTGATCGAGGAGATGATCCGGCAGCAGCGCATCATGAACAGCCTGCAGAGTGCCAAAAATTCAATTCCGAGGATGTGTTGCCCGTCCTATACAGGACTATCTATTCCAAGGTAGCCGATTCGCTACGCAAGGTGCTACCCAAACGTGGGACATCGAGACAGACAGCCAGGCTGTCTAGCTGAGAGCACAAGCAGGGAGACTCTGTTGCTCGTCATCTCTAGCATTTAACCAAGCCATGGGAAGGAGAAAGTCCAACGGTGGACTTGGTGGTATAGTTTTATTGAGGGCTTACGCAGCGATAGAATGTGGCGACCATCCTTTGCGGACACATTGATCTCTGCCACTCTATACTCTCACTTTCCTAGCAGCTCTATTATGACCGCAGAACTATCGATGCTTATTGTAGGCGTGAGCAATATGATCGCATTATAGAAGAGGCCTTCGCGGATTCAGAAAAGGTACCAGAGGAGCATGTATAAATCTGCAGTGCCTTGGCGTTCACGGACTGTTCTGGTGAATGTAAGTACCTCGATTATATATAAAGACTCTTTGCGTAGCTCGTGAACCCAAGGCTCCATCGGGTAACATGTTTTGTCTGGAAAAACCAGACCATGAACGGGTCTCCACTCTGGACTTGGGCATGCGGCGGAAGCACAACCACCTAGTGGCACGATGATACAGACGCTCTGGCAGCCTATGACCCGTAGAACAAGGGCGATTCGCCTACTTTCTGGTGTAAGGTTGTTTAGAAAAGTAATAGGTTTAACCGGTTGTACGAAACCTTCACATGCCACTACAGCGAGATATTTGATCTAGATTGAGAAGTTCAGACTTCCCTGTTCCAGGCTCTTGAGTAAGTAATGTAGCTAAACGCTGAAGCAGCAGGTGCCACTGGTCTTAGATGCAGACCCCGGTATTGAATATGCTCTGGATGGACCCCTGGCCCTTGAGTGAGAGTTGGGCACAATTAAGATACTAATAATCCCAACGTTCCAAGGGCCTATGAACTCACGCAATTAGCGATGATCCTGTGTTATCATCTAAAACGCAGCAGTTTTCGCCATCTTCTCGACCACAGCCTCTGTGTATCACCATCTGCCTTAGACTTCTTCTCCGCCCAGTCCCGAACAAGAGCAATGATGGCCTTATCCCCCGTCTTTTCTGCTTGTTCGACGTAGTCCTCAGCCACTGCAACCTCGAACCTGACTTTCCCGCTCGAAAAGAGTAACGTAAGGATTTCCTGGTCACCACGATGTATGGCTGCGCCCACATGACCCTGGTTAAGTGGAACATGTTGCGATGAATGGCATGCCAGCACATTCTCGATAACGCCTCTGGGTTGACCTCCAATAATGGCTGCGTATAAAGCACCAGCATTCCCACCCCATCCGTCAGCAACATCGGCATCGTAGTCCAAAAGTACGTGTAGCACTGGAGCAATCCTCTCTGGTGGCTGCTCACATGCTAGGGTGAAGAAAGTGTGAAAGTGGTAATCCATGGTTAAGCTGGCGAAGGCGTGGTCATGGTCACAGATTCATTTGGGAATAGCTGCGTCGGGGTGCTCAATCACAGTAAGAGCAATGTTTTGACCCTGGGCCAGACTAAACGTAGAATATAACCGAAAGATGAATTCAACTATAGCTGACTGTCTCGCGGCCACAGCTGTCTCAAGAAGCTCCGAAGTTGGAGGTATCATGTGGCCAGGCAATCGTCCGGACTCCACCCGTGACCATGTACGGTCGACACTTTGGGTGACAATGGGCTGACTTCCCGGTTCAATTCCACGTATACTGAACAGCCGCTATAGAGCAACCACATCCCCTGACGAGCATGCGTTGAGCATGGATTGGTCTTGGTCATCCATAAGCGATGAAGTCACCTTTATTAGCATAATGAAAGTGTCAAGATATTTGTAAGGAGATCGAAAGAAATAAGTCGATGCTTCTGCTGAGCGGGATATTTCAAGTGGCGTGTCTTCATCCTGGAGGTTTTGGGGTCGTGCTGTTGCCAGGCTACATATCACGCCGAATCCTTGCGCTGCACGGGATCCTTAAAGCGCTAATGCGACCAACAGCATATCAGATCAGGCCGGAGCCTGAGCTCTAACATTGAGGCGCAGTAAATCAAATATGGCAAGCATCGAGATCGCCACATGAAAGCGCCCGAAGATAAGAATAAAGATGTGCAATGAAGGCCGGTAGGAGTTAGAAGGAACAGTTTATCATCAACACATAGCTTGACGGCCCCAACACATGGTCATCCTGCGTACACTTTGAGAGCAAGCAAAGGTGGAAGAACATCGCACGACACTAAAATAAGATATATAAACCACGAAGGGGCAATGCATAGAGAATGATGAACAGGCAGCATCAAGAACGAACATCATATTGGTGCGCACTATAGCACAAGATATTGGCTCCTAACTAGGCTATATTGTATCATCAGAGGTCCTCGAAGTCTAGATCTATAGGGACCAGCGAACCGAAGATACTAGACAATCTTCTCCGATGTAGATAGCAGCCGAACCGAAGGAAGCCTTAGCTGTTCGTTTCTTATATAAAAGCCTTGCCGTGACTGTTCTCCGATGCCATTACACAGCCTGACTGGGTTAACGGTCCTAGTGTCTTGTCACGGGTCCTAGTGTCTTGTCACGGGGTTGTATTTCCACCTGAGAGACGCAGAAACTGACCTAGGTTTCATAACCAGGACTCCTTGCATTAAACTAATCTGTACTATATGTTTGTACCTCTCGAATAGCCTGCTTCATTAAAGTGGAATTTTGAAGCCAGAGTGACGTAACTTTTGAAAGGCGCCTGTAGGATCATACCGACTGGCAACGTCCTGGATCAAAGCAATGTTCTCTGCGCCATAGTCGGAAATAGGATCCTCGTCCACCCAAGCGTAGTTGAGGTAGTTCCAATCCTTGTTGGCTCCTATGGAAGTGGCATACTCGTTGATAGCATCTCTGTATTCCAGAGCAATGGGCAAGATCACCTCTTGGTTCTCAGGTGTGTCCACAGTAAGCGCGATGAGCCACATGAGAGTTGGACCAGTGGAGATCACATCTTCGAGTCCAAGAACATTTACGCCATTTTTGACGCTGTGGTCCACCATCATTGTCGTGACCGGCTGGAACTCTATGAGGACGCTGAATTCCGAGTCTGGTGCTGCAGCTTGCATTTTGGTGGCGTACTCTTTGAGGGCCCGGTCGATGAAGTCCAACACGTCGAAACTATTGGTGGTCATACCGACCATCCAGTTGGCGTACTGGCCCAGGGGAGTGGGTCCGGTGAATTCTGGGACCAGCTCGGCAACGGCGGCGGTTCTCAGTGTGCTAGAGATGTTCCCAATCGCCATGTACTCAGCGAAGGCCGGTGCATTTTCTATGCCTTGGCTGTTGGTCAGGATAGAACGGAGAGCGAATCCCGTAGAATCATAGTAGAGGGCGACGATGTTCTGACTGGCTTGGTCGTCGCTGTTCTCGGTGAAGTTGATGTAGGCGTTGAAGACTTCATCACGCTTTGTCAGATTGTACGAGGTGAATCCACCCCAGATCTGTGTTCCTTCAATCGTGTCTTCATGTTTAATTGTAAGCCAATGACCCGGGTACTCTAGACCGACCCGTGAAGGAAGGAAGGGGTGAGGGCCTTACACATATCAATTCTGGTCACGAAACCAAAGTTACCAGACCCCCCCTTTTGTGCTTTCCAGAGGTCTGCATTCTCTGTAGGGTTCGCGTTTACTACGCTGCCGTTCGCTAATACGATCTCGAAGTTGGCGACATTGTCACAGGCGAAGCCGTGGGCGTTGCTATGGAAGGAGTATCCACCGCCGGTGGTGAAGCCTCCAACACCAACGACAGAAGCTCGCCCACCTGCGACAGTGACATTATAGGTGTCGAGGGCAGTAAAGGCATCGCCCCAGTTAGATCCCGGCTGGATAGAAGCAATCTTGGTGTCGGCATTGTAAGTTGTGGTGTTCAAATAGCCTATAACGTTAGCTAGTCACCCTGCACAGTAACTACAGTAAGTGTATGTCCAGGTCCCCATACCAAAGTCGACGGTGATTCCGTCCTGAACACCGTTTGACCCATTAAAGGCAGAGTGAGCGCCACTCCGCATCCCAAATGGACACTGATTCGCAGTTATGATCCCTGCAATCTTAGAGACATCATCGGTACTGGTGGGCAACACCATGCACCAAGGAGGGAGCGCAGAATTGGCAGAGTAGTACGCTGCTAGGCGTGCGTCGTAGGCACTGTCCTGAGGAAAGATGACTTTGCCAGCCAGGATTGCCTCTTGTGCAAGAGCAGAGCACTTGGGCTTGAATTAGCACAGAGACTTGCATAGGTAAATAAGATCAGACGTTTGACGTACACAGGCATCTTGGGGATTGTTTGCTGTAGGGTTGGCACAGACTTGGCGCGACACCAATGCGAAACCTACGGCGCAAGTAGCAACCTTCATGGTCAATGCTGCGAGTTCAGTTGGCAGGATCCTTTGTGAACCAGCTACAATGAACTGATTCGAAGAAGATCTCCAAAGACACGGGGAAAAGAGAAGAACTAAATGAAGTGAATTTATGTCAATCGGGAACTCCGCTCAGCACAGCGAAGGTCTTCCGCTTAATTGGCTGGCATCGGAGATTCGGCCGCTCCCAGCTCATGGGCATAGCATGGGGCGATGAACTAGCAATCGGTCCTGGCAACTGACTTCTGCGTGCGTGGGTCTCTCCATCTCTCCAGGCTCTGCAAGGTTGTCCATATTTGAGGGAGGCCAAGTACACGGGTAACTAGGCAAGCGAACGGCTCTACCTGGCACGGACGTCCCCGCCATCCTTGCTAATATCTGCCGACTTTGTACGGTCTGTCGCTAGTCCAAATTTCACATGACAGACCGGGCCGGGCATAAACGCCTCTTTGCATCCGGTCTATACCTGATCGGCCAGCCGACTCATCTATCCTCTAGCTGAACCGAAGCACTTGACCCGATTGCGCCGAGTCGGCACATAGACAGGTCGCACATTGAATGAATCAAGTGGCATAGCTTATGGCGTGCCATTTATCTCGCTACCAAGCAAGCCAAGTATTCATTGCATGGGACTCATCCTAGGTAGGCAATCTACTCCATGCGGGGTTCACCAGATACCAAGGGAACACACCACGCACCAATCGGAATCAGTGCCAGTGAGCTCCAGCCCCAGAAGAAAGCAAACCCTAATACATGCAGTGTGGATAACATCTCACAGGGGTTTGTAACCAACCATTGACCATACGAAAATTTGTAACGTAGCAAGATCATTATCATAACGCTTAAGAATCGATCCCTGACGAAAAAGTATGTCGTGCTAGTGATCAGATCATTACCATGATGGCGGAAAGGGAAGTGTTGAACGACAACATTGAACAAGTACTTGTGGCTTTGAGCGAGTCTCCGCGGGGTTGTGTTTTTATAGACCCGTAGCACTCGAAGTATTGTTAGCAGGAAGCCTCGTTGTCACCATACTACGCGCAAACTTTTTCGATACATAGTCATGTGTCCCAGGAACATAGTACGGGGCTAAAATTATTCACGAGAGAGTTGAGCGCACAGTTGAGCACACATCCGATTCAAGATTCGTGGCGAGACCCGGAGATGTGTTTGCGAAGCTCCCTATTTTCGTGGCCTTTCACGCAACCCTACCCATAGCCGAGATTTACTATGTACTGGGGTGACTCGCCCCGCACGGCGCCGGGGTTGCTGCAAGGGTACAGCAGGGGCGTCGAGTCAGGGTACTGCACGCAGTAACGCAGGGCACTGGATTTGCCAACATCCCGCCCCTGTTGGCCTGCTGGCTCCGGTTTTGTTTTTGTTTCTGCGATTGACCTTGTCTTACATGCGTTACGGCATTCTCCAGCTATGTAAATTGCGGCAGAGGCCTGGGTGGGGAACAACTCAGCGAGCATGATGTATGGGGGAAGACCTAAGCTTCTACGGTACATCTGTGCCGGACGTTGTACTGAAGGATTCATACCATACCTTGGATTTCTCGTGTAAGAAGAATCTGAGAACTCGATGGGAGAAGGTCACGAATTTGATAGCAGAAACGCCCCAGCAATAATAAGCATGATTGCATCGATGATCAGACTGAATCCCATAGTACACAGAAGACTCGTGTGCGAGATCCTAGTTATTTTAGATACAAACCTTGCAAGAATCTTAGCAGCCAGGGATAGTGACGGAGAAATCATCTGCAACGGCGCATAGCCGAGGCGGGATTTGCAATGCAATTGACTTGAATCACACTAATGGCCTATTTTCTAACAAGGGCAAGGTTTCATTCAGGGTAAGGTGAACCACGTCAGAACACGAGGCAATACATGGGAAATATCACTGTCACCATTTTGGCCACCCTGGAGGAAGATATACAAGCCATGGCGTCTGCCTTTGCTTTGCAGGCTTAATGACAAGAAGTGTCTGAAAGCTTCAGCTTAGCACGATGTCTGGTTTCCCAGTCACGAATGGAGTGACCACGTTCAGTGCGCCGCCCGAGGGCTACGTGGTTGATTTCGACAATCCGCAACAACAAAAGGTGCTGGAGCACTATTTGTTGTTCGGCATTGGGGGCAGTCTTGCTTTCATAGCGCTTTTGCAAAGATTTTACACCAAAATCTACCTTTCGAAAGGTTTACACATTGACGATGGTGAGTATATGTTCTATACTATCCGGAATTCTCAGAGTAGCTAGTAGGCTGACGCTTTTCTGATGGGCCAGGTTTCATGCTCCTGGGTTGGGTAAGTTCTCTGAATGGCCCGCCGCACGATGCCATCAATGTTATCGGCGCCAGTAGACTGACTTTGGCAAGATCGCATCGGTGATCACACAAGCCATGCTCGTCCGTAAGCTATGACCTACATCTATGATTGGAAAAAGATCGTCGGCTCAGAGACTTTTAGAATCGATTGTAGAGAAGGGCTTCTGTACCCATTCCTGGGAGATGCCTCTGGAGAGATTTGCGCGGTACTCGGTGGTAAGTCAACACACCACCGGGTCTTGCTGCGACTGACGTCCGATATATTTGAAGACCACGTATGTTACGGCACCTGTCTTCATGCTCTGCAATGGCTTCACCAAGCTGTCACTGTTGACCTTCTATCTTCAACTGTCTCCGCAGCTATACTTCCGCGTAGCCGTCTGGATAAGCATTGGGATAGTGGCCACATACACAGCAGTCATTACGCTGCTTATGATATTCCATTGCAATCCAGTCAAAAAAGCCTTCGACTTCACAGTCACCGAAGGCACGTGCATGGATGCTGGTATACTGTACATCGCGACTGCTGTGTCCAACATCATTACCGATGTCATATTGTTTGCCCTTCCTATACGCACAGTCCTGGGGCTCCGTATGGGTCTAGAACAGAAGCTTGGAGCCATTTTCATCTTCGCTATAGGTTCTGTGACAATTGCAACATCTATCGTTCGCCTTGCACTGCTGCCTCCTGTGCTTAGAAGCACTGACCCTTCTTGGGACGCGGCACCAGCCAACCTCTGGACGTGAGTTACCCAGTTCTTGCCCCTGAACACAGAATCAAACAGTCACTCATTAATATATTGACCAATCACAGGTTTGTTGAAGCGAATATCTTTATTATATGCGGCTCGATCCCTACCCTTCGCAAGTTTTTCAAACACTTCGCACCGAGATTAATGGGGTCATCCAATGCAACATCAAAACCATCCTATATTGCAGAACAATATGCCTCCAGACACACTCGAACAAGGAAGCAAGGAAATCATTACGAGCCATTTCCGGATGATACCGAGATGATGGCATACTCTCCCCAACGCGATGCAACGGGCAACAAGGCAACAGGGACATCAACCGTGGTCGATATTAATCCGAGGAGGGCAGCAGACAATACCAGCCAGGAAGCTATTCTACAGACCAAATCGTACACCGTCCAATATGAATAAAGTAGTACACGGAAAGGCTGGCTGTGATCTTGTTTGAGGAAGTTGTCGCCCAAGAAGATATCCCTTTGCTATGGTAGGGCAAGACGTTGAGTTAGTGTTACAACAATGAAACAATGTATCGGAAATTCTAGTCTTCGGACATTGAACATAGTCTCAAACGCTCTTGCTTCATACTCTAACGGCAGCTATGAGTCTAGTCGCTGCTCTAATTACTGCGGTCTGGCATCTGCTGGGAATTCCTGACTATGGCAAGGTACTACCACGGCTTGACTTTTCTTTTCAGGTCTTAACGGCTCTCTTGATCCATCGTTGACTTGTATTGTATTCAATACGATTCCCAGAGTGGATAAATTCAAATATCAGCCCCCGCGTCGACTTGTCTAACAACTTGACACTGTACTGAACAGCTCGCAAGACACAATTGCTTCCCAAAAAAAAAAAAAACATTTCTAGCATCCCGCGTGGCAGGGGCATGTTTCATCTTGTGTGTTCCGTGTCGAGACCCCTGCACGAGATGCCTAGGGGCTTCACGCAAGCACTTGGCGACAATACGAATTATTGGAGCCGAAAACTTTAAAGTCCGCGATGGATTGTTCTGGCCCTTTGGGCCTTGTCCCCCGCCCAAAGCGAAGCAAGTACTCAGATTACAGTATCTCACAGGAATGGATTTTCAAATTTTAGACTGCTATGTTCAATCCAGGGTGATATGAAATCAAGATCAGGTCTGTCTGGTCAATTTGGTTCCATGTGGCCTCATCACAATTGGCTAGGGCATCATGTGATAGCTCTCAATCAAGGTATGTCACATCTCCTTCCCGCATTTGAGGTATTGATAGAATGATTGGTCTATACAGCTTTGGCGTGATCCTCCTTCAGTACCAAAGCCGCTTGAACGTCGTCATATACTGGGTTGCTACCTCAAATTGCTGACATAACCCGAAGCATCGACTGTGTGCGTACTTTCAATTAGCAGACTGGGTACATATTTCTATGAGAAACTCGCCTCACGATGTATGCAAACCACTGGCAAGTGCATAAAATATTTAATACATAAACAAGGCAGGGAGCAATGCGAAGCGGAATTGTGTACAACTTTCACAACTAGCAACTATTCTATGATTGAAGTCAACTTTACCCAGTTTCGTTATTTATGTACATCATAGCGCCATATTGATAGCTGCCTCTTAACTCCAAGGCCTGGCAGTATGACTACAATATTTCACTAACGCTATAAAGAATTTGCACGTATGCGGAGCGCAGTAACTCTTGTTTCAGTTGTCCATGGATAGAGCACTAGCTAAGTATCTATACTGCATTGCATTGACTTGCACTAAGTACAGGACCATCTCATCAGAATCGTGTCCCCACGGATAGCGCAGAAAGCTGACGGCGATGCCATAGGGTTGCTGCCAAGTATTCGTACCTGGCTTTCCCATATCTGGGTGTGGGGTCGGCACCAGCCAACTCCGCAGAGTCGGCTCCTGAGTCCTCCAACCAGCGAAGAGGATCTTCTGGTCTCGGCTCCAGATCTCGCGAGAATTCCGCACCCCACCACACATTCCCGTACTAGGCCAATGTCTCAATCCCAATGAGCAAGGTAGATTTAAGTCGCGGAAAAATCGTGACAGTAAATTGTCAAAAACGGAAAAGCGAGATAGATTGAGCGACGATGCTGGAAAAATAGTCTTCTGAGGTCATGGGACGCTCTGACGACATAGATGCATTGAAGTGATTGTATATAACCCGTCAAGGCCGTCTTTAGTCATTCAAATAACCCACATAATCTCCATGGGATTATCCAAGAGGCTATTAGCAGGCCTCCGTCTATGGACATGAAATACCTCTTCTATCCACTTTGGGCCTTCGTGGTGGCAGCCTCTCCTGCACCATGTCACACCAGAAGCGAGAAGCCGCCAGCGTTCATCCTTGCCGGGGACTCAACCACGGCAGTCCAGGCAGCTAATGGAGGCGGATGGGGCAATGGGTTCCTATCATTCCTGAGAGACGGTGCATGGGGTGTCAACAAAGGGCACAATGGAGCTACGACAGTGAGCTTCGTCAAAGGCGGTGACTGGGCAACTGTCAAAGGATACGTGGACTCGAAGAAAGCAGAGGGCTATGAGGTCTATGTGACAATACAGTTTGGGCACAACGACCAGAAACCTGCTGCGAATATCTCCTTGGAACAGTACAAGACAAACCTCGAGAACTTGGCGTTGGACATCAAGTCCCGTGGCGGAACGCCTTTGCTGGTGACGCCCCTCACACGCCGTTCTTTCACCTCCGAGCATAACGCTAGCGACTCCCTGCACAACGAGCGCCTCTACACTATTGCTGCTGCCGATGCTACCGCGACCACGTATTTGGATCTCAACAAGTACTCTCTGGAGTACGTGAATGCGATTGGCAATACTTCAGCCCAGAATTATGACCTTAACGGGTATGGGGCTGACATGACACATCTTAACAGCTACGGCAGCGTGGTTTTTGGGCGCCTGGTAGCTGATCTTTTGCTGCAGAAAGAGAAGGGCCTGGAGAAATACTTCACTCCAAACGAGACTTTGAGCTATGATCTGCAGCATGGAATAGCAGCATAATTACAAATCATCTACTGTCAAAATATGTGGAAAACACCATATCAACCACTGTATTTTTCGTTCACTCTGAAGTTGGCTCTCAACATGTTTACTTTGCAAATGTGCAGTAGTTGAGTACGCAGCAGGGTTGGCAGTGAAGAGTTTTATGGGGCATCCATTGTCTACAGTATGCTGCTAGCTGTTGACCAGGCAATGGCCTCTTTAGAGCGGATTAACTTTGTCTTTGAGCTATTGACTTGATGATTTGTCAAACAAAGGAGGCAGGACGACTTATAGACGCATTGATCCTATATGTTCTGCTACCCAGTGCTTTTCCAGCCTCGATGAGGCTGATCAACAAACTCACACATCGCTAAACACCATGGCAATTGACACGAGAGATCTCAAGCGTCTTAAGCACCGAGCGGACCATTACCAATCACGCCGCAGTGGCCACGATGCCGACAGAATAACGCAGGAATGGAACATGAACCCTCGGTACTTGACTCTGCTGGTGCGAAACGACTCCAAATCGAGCCTCGGCGAGGAATCGAAGGCAGTGCGGCGTTTCCAGGAGCAATTCGTTCAAGACTTCGCGCAGGACATTGAGACGCTGAAGCTTACCGAAACGCTGAAGGATTACATGGAACGGCTAGATCAGATCTTTTTCTTTGGCCTATTGACGCGCTGTGTTGCGAAACCCGACAAAATGTGCAAGGCCAAAAAGCTGGTAGGCCTCAGAGTAAGACGCACGCCGAACCGGACGAAGTCGGCTGAGTGGCACCCAGATCGTGGTGAGATCTGGTTATGGTCCATGACTTACCGACCACCTGGACACCCAGAGGATGAAGAAGGGCTGAAGGATCCGGTTTCGAGAAACCTAGACGATCTACTCATTGAATTGGTTGAGGTGATGCAGGTGGCCTGGTTCGATATCTTCTCTAAGCATGATACGACAGAGTATCAGGAGGAGATAGAAGGTCTATCGGGGGATGGGTGGAGAATCCACCACCTCAATAGCCTCGTAATGAGTAGGATTGTCAAGTGGTTACCCAGCCCCCAGGACAGCTTGTTCTACGAGGAGTATCAGCATGCAATCTATTCCAGAAACGCTGCCGTCGATGAGCTCAATGCGTTATCGCCATAGTGTACGCCCTGTACTCGATGCAGTTGGAGCCACCTCCAGGGCGGCTTATACAGGGTCTCCAATTATTTCTTCTAAATTATTCAAGTATCTCTTGATTTTTTGGCCTGCTGTCTAAGCAGATTCGTGAGAGCTGAATCATTTTCTCCCTTAAAAAGAAAACAGGGCATTGTTCTTCCGCCCAAACGGATAGACCACCAACGCCGAGATGAATAATCCCACCGCAAGCCCGACGGCAACCTGTATCATTTGGGCACCAACGCTAAAAGAATGGTATATCGTTTGCTCGTAGATGTCTTGTGCGTCAGTTGATCCATTGTTGAAAAGCGGAGTAGAAATGCCTAGCAGGAGGCCGCCCTGAGCAGATAACCCTGACGGAACCAAGACCATAATGCCTGCAACGACGGCAGCAAAAGCGAACGCATGTTGTGAGCGTGCCCAAAGGTGGCCTAGGACGCCGAGAACGAAGGCTGAAGCTGTATTGGCCACTTGCGCTGTGGCATACTGCGACACGAAATAGTTGACTGTGTATGCAGCAGACCCGAGGATTACTTGGATTGGAATCTGTCGAGGCCGTGAACGTATGAGTACAGCCTGTAGCACCAAGTAACTTGGCACAAGAAGAATCTTCCATCGAGGATCGACAGATCGTGGGCATGTGCTAGATGTGACAGCATCAGGGTCAATGACTGCCCATAGTTGCGCCCCGACATTGATTCCGTAGCCTAGCAAAAGCGAATACATGACTGCGTAGAACAGCCGTGTAGATCCTGCCGTGATGGACTTGCTCTGTAGCTCCAGTGTACCACACAGTACAATGTAACCGGGCAGAATCGTAGTGATGGAAGACTCGGAGATGGCACCAAAGCAGAAGTATTTCTGTGACGGACCCCCGATAGAACTGAATGCCCGAGCGGCGAAAGCTGTAATAAGTGAGGATGTCACTTCCAGAACGTTGTTGTAGAGTGGGTTTCGGGAAGCAACAATGACCTGCAGAAACCCAACAATGCAGCCAAGGAAGAAAGAAATGGCCATATCGCTCCACCAGCCATTGTATGCCCAGATGGCAGCAAATGCGGAAGCAAACCCATAGAACGGGACGATGTGCCAGGGGCGGTAATAGGACGGGCTTTCTATCAACGCGACGAGGCTCTGTGTTGCCTCCTCGACTGTAATCGCACCATGCACGACGTCCTTGTAGATGCGGAATGCGGTCTCACATGCACCAATATCAAGCCCTTGAGCTTTGACCAGCGTCGTGTAAGCACTTCGAGTCATGGGATCAGCAGGATCGACCGGGTTGATGAAGGAAATTTCGGTACAGCCGACCGTGTAGTTGACGCGACCCTCCATGTCGAGGGCTCTAAGAAGGGCAAGTGTATATTCCTCAATGCGGTGTGACGGGGCACCGTAAGCCATGAATGCATATACCTATATCATTGTTAGGCTGTGATTTAATCGGAGCGCAATGAAGGAAGGCAACATACAAGCAGCAAGACAACATTCCGCCTATGTGCCAACTCTGCTTTGGCCTGGATATACTTGGCACGCTTGGAGTCATTGCCATTACCAAACTTTTCTTTGAGTTTCCGCAGAGCACGAGTGACTTCATGCGGATCAACGCCAGCGTGGCTTTTCCTGAATGGTGTTGCGGGTGTAGATGATCCCGGGCTTGAGTCCCTCGACATCGACATCCAAGGTTGAGTGGGTGTCGGGATTGCTGTGCTGGTGTCTGTATGCTGTCCAAGGCCAGGGCGTGCCAACATCATCGACGGCGCGACAAGACTAGAAACCCGCCCGTGCGACTTCATTTTGCGGAATATCTGCGGGTCGATCCCGGCATCGCCTATGATATCCGCAACATCTTGGTGCTTATGAGGAGCACCAAAATCCTCCTGCCAACTCTCGCACCAATCCCGGAATGACTGCCAGACCCCTCGATGAGATGCTGGCTCGCGGTCCTTCTCCCCTGCATAGCGAGAGGAATGGGACTCTGTCGGGATCGGACGTGCAGAGTAAGCTTGGGCGAGCTGCCCTCCATCCTCGGGGAAATGGGCCCTGGGGCCAGGCGTACTGCTTTGCGTGTTGTCCCGGGACGGCGAAGGTGCACGTGAAGCCTGATACAACGGCCTCCGTTCGTGGTGCTCGCTGTCTGGCGTGTCGACCTGGGTCTCTTCGCTGCTGATCTGGGTAGAGCCCCCCATACTTAGGCCGGCTACTGGGGGTGGCTGGTGGTAGAAATGTTCGGCGCTGTCTACACCCGAGATCTCGGGCGCACCCGGCATAGCACCTTCAGCCATATTGACGCCAGGCCGTCGGCTCCGGTGTTCGACTTCAACAGCAAAAGGTTGATAACATAGATAAAAAGACGGAAGAGAAAGTACGACGTGAAGACAGTACCGAGAGTCGTAGTACAGAGAATATGTTATTGGCCTTCTAGTCCATGAACTGGAATAGTCGGCATGACGTGGCGCACGATGGCTGGATCAGTGTATTCATTCCCCTAGGGACTAAAGTATCGCCGCCATGTTCAATAGAGGGATTAAGTGGCTCCTGATGCAAACAGGCGAGTGGGATGAGAAGGAAGAGAATTCTCTTGGCACGAGTTGCTATTAGGCAGAGCGTCGCGTCGCGACCACTGTGCCATACCAACTCACTTATGCAGTCTTGACTCGGCCATTGGGACTCTGGGATCCTCCTCGGTACGCGCAACGCTGCAGGCCGTTCGTCATAGTGGGTACGGGGTGGGTCGTTGCCCATGTACGCTCCCGGCACACCCGATGCCAAAGGATTTGGACTGAGGGAAGAGGCCGCTGAGATGAACTCCTGAAAATCCGCCGATTGCCGAGCGATCGAATCCATACCTACTAATATTACCGTATATTGCTGCCAAGAGAGAGTAGATATTTGTGAGCTGTCTATTTTTAAAACCGTTTACCAAGGCCTTGCCGCCTGCAGTAGCGTGTTCTTAACGTTTGCGCTCCCATGCCCAATTGTCTTGGCAGGGGCAGCACACCCCGTTGGGCTACCGACTAGCCATGGAGCTGGCTATGTCTCTTGGGGGCGTCAAGAACGAACACATGATGCATATATACGGGATACATACGAGATGTTCTTTGACGTGACGTTGAATTCTACAGGTGGTACAGATGAAACATCTCCTCTATGCATAGTCAAGTGACGGGCACGCCAGCTCGCCTCCCGAGTGCTAGCACATGTAATCTGGGTTGTGTTCTCGTCCCGCCAGGTTAGCCGCGTAGTCTTGAGCATATGTTCTCAGATATCAGGCCGGAAAGACGTATGGAAGTTGTATCAATTGCAGGTGTTTGGCTCTTGTATAACTGACCGTCCACTTCTAGACCACAATCTCCCGGTAACCATACCATTTGCGCCACAGAGACCCCGCCAGAAGATATCTCCCAAGGCTTATTTCCACCTTGGGCCACTTCGCTACTGATGTCGCGACCGTCCTTGTCCAGCCAGTATTCCGTATTATCCACAGAGCAGAAACCCAACGCAAGTTAATAGAAGTCGATGCTTTGCGCTTCGCCAATGAAAAACACTAGCATGTTCTAATGCGTGGCCTTGTCAATCCCCCTGCGGACAAGTAGCGTGCCGATACCGTGCCCCTGATAATCCGGATGGGTGGTTAGCTCGTTGAGCTCCAAACATGGTGTAATGACAGCCAAGGAAGCTGGACCGCATGTCCGCGCCTTCTTCATCGCTGCGAATCGCTCCTTGTACGGCTCGAGTCCTTTTGCGGTGCATGTTGGCCGCAAATCTCGGGCAGAATCGCTGAGCTCGGCGGCGTTGAATTCTCTTACTGGGCCCGGTCATGTTTTGCCAGCGGATTTAAGGCCAGGCTCCCTGTTCGTCCATGTGGATTATCCGAGCACTTTCTCGCGAATGTCAATCGGAAGAGCAGCCAATCTGATGAGGGTAGAGGCATCTTGCAGGGCTGGTGGAAGCCATCCTATATGCAGCTGGCGTAGAACTGGCATGACATGGCTATTCAAAATGTAGACATATACAGTAGGGATGCTAATTTTCGACCCGCATCCCTTTTCTCGGTAGCTTACGAGGCAAAAGCTTATCAGACGAAGCATGTATATAAACTCAGATAATCTCTATAGTTGTCTCCCTCATGGTGAAACAGCGCACTAGCAATCGCCACAGCGCATCACTGACATTTTGGATCAAGGGCTCAGGAGTATGATCACTGTCGCTGTCGACGTCAACTACCCCATTCATCCTGTTCTCAAACCTTCCAAGTTCTCCTGAGTGGAATTTCCTCATCCAGAGGCCTTCCAACTCCTCACCAACTGGTGGAAGGGTTTCCGTAAGCAATTTGATATATGGCACGTAAGCATCTCTGTCAAACTCCACCTCGTCGTTACGCATTGCGGTTTCCAGGTCCTCCTCAACTAGGTGTGCCTCGATTGCGTTCACGAGAATATCCAACTGTTCTATATTGTTGGTTACCATGGTGAATACCTGTGCAGCAGCTGTAATGGAAAGGCATGAAAACTGCGATACCCAATTGATGTCGTAATTATAAAAACCGTGAAGCGAGTGCTGTCCCTGTTTCACTTCGTGCATTTCGAGACCCATGCCTTGCGTCACGAAGTAGCCGAAGGGAAGAAGTGCGCCATTCCACAAACAGCGCTGATCTTGCCGCTCACAGAAGCTGTCGTAAAGCTGCAAAACCACCTCTGTGATTTTTCTCTTCCGAGGAAAGCAGAGATAGTGCGTCCCGAGCGTGGCTAAGCTTGGCTCCCATGCGCGCCACGGGGCACGGAGGCCTTGTATATGAATAATCTTCAAGCTGATGCTGTTATTGATCTCATTGTACATCACAGTCTCCCAACCGGCATTGGGGATTTCCGTTTCTTGAAGCCTGTCCCTTGGTCGGTCTTTGCTCCAATTCCAATCCGGAACCCACGTAGGCAATGCCACTGTCTCGCCTTGTCTGTCAGCTCCAGCATGCACTAGAACGCGTGGCCACCCTACTGCTTCTGCAAGGTGCAGGGCAACTTGGATATAAATCTGTCGAACCGTCAGATTGTAGTTTGCCTCAAGATCTCCTATCCGACCCGATGGTAGTAGTCCCAGAAGCGCGAATACCTTGTCACGAGGGTCCGTGGCGCTGCATGACTGCGCAAGTACAAGAAGATCTAACAGCTGGCCTGGGCTGGAATAGATCTTGTAGTCGAAGAAAAAGACTGGGGGAAGTATTGGGCTTCGCCGCAGATGGCTTGTCTCTTTGCGAACCACCTCCCACGGAACAGAGTCTTCTCCGCAAACCAGCACAGCCTTCCGGGCCAAAGCAACTTCTTGGAGGATCCAAAGTCGTGTGAAGTACCTCCGTGAAACAATGTCGTACCAAACCCCGTGTGAAGCTGGCTGACCACGAAGGAGGGCTTGTGTAATAGCTCGGCTCTCTGGGGTTGCTTCGCCAATATAGCTCAGAACGTTCTTGGCCCTGGAGTAGATCCGCGGCATAAGCCCAACCTGGTGGCCACGCTCGTCGACGTTCTCCTGGTCGATACAAACTGCGTCAATCCACACTCGACGTGTAGAGAACTGCATGCGGACTCGTTTCAGGGCCATCTCACAGTTGCGCGTCACTTGGAACGGAGTACCCGAAACGAGAATTGTCTGTGACGCGCTGGCATTCCCGGACTCGTCGGCCCAAGTGTAGGATATGGCATCGTACTCGGGGTGCGAGGACAGGCTCTCGGTTGTGATTTCACATTCTACAGGTTCTTGGAAGCGCCCGGGTAGTATGCACAGGATTCTGATCTCGGAGAGCTGCTTGATCGGTGGCCGCACAGGATCCAACGCGGGGCCAAATGACCCACAACTCAGGCAACTGGTGCCGTCGCCAAACGACGCGAGGTCGAGCCGCGTGCAGGACTTGTCATGCCACTCCATGGTACTGAAAGTCGCAATAGAGCGACTCGCTTGGAAGGTTGATGAATACTTTCTTCACCCGCTGGCTTTCAAGTCAATGCAGCCATACGTGGCATGGAGCCAATGATACACCCCGCTTGTGGGGTAAAGTAGCCTTGGCGAGGATAGGTGATAGGTAGCCTCAGGGCTATCAGAACTATACAAAAGCCTCCTCCAATATATTGATGCAAATCCTATACTTGGTTTCGAGGGCTACACAGCCTGTAACACATGGAGACTTCCAAAACTCGGCCAGGAGTGCACCTTGCAGCCCGGCATGATTATGTGCCTGTTTCTTTTGTGTTTTGCTTGGGATTACATAGTATATTCGGGCATACTTCTAAACTCTAATCTCTTATTGGGTCCTCCTTTTCATGCACATGTAAATTTGATCTCGAGTTAGGCAGCTAGTTGTACCCAGGAGTCGAGCACGGCCAGGAGTGTTGATGCGGCGGCGAAAGCTAGTCACAACTTGGATCCCACGAGTTGCTGCAGACGACTATAATAGGTCTCCCAGGAAACCGCCAGATGAACACGCGCGATAATATCACCCGTCATTACCTCTATATGTAGTGTCTATGATTTTGTGCGTCGAACCCGGCTGTTACGAAGTAGAGAGCCCGTATTCAGCGAAGCAACTTTCTATCCATCTTCCGGCTACTCTGGCTCCGTATCATTGGGTATCGAATTGGATAATAAGTGAATACCAATACACTTAACTGTGAATGCGTCAACAGTTTGTTACCTCTTTGTTTCGAAGCCATTGGAGACAAAAACGTCACTTACGACAAGGGATTGCCACAGGGCTGAAAGGGCTGACAGCCTGTCAATGACATTATTTGATACGTGATTGAGTACACGCCATTGTCTTCATGATGCATACAAATTGGCCCCTCGTTCCCTGATGTACCGCACTTTCCACGATGCGAGGTCGTTCATGGTCGTCTTTCCCGTCCGCCTAAACCTACACAAAATTGTTTTCTGAAACCTTCGCTTCGAAACGTGGGGCTCTACTTGCAGCGCGAGTCAGAATGTCTTACGTTCTCGGCCGGGCAATGTTCAGCTGCAGGCACATTGAGGATACCACTGCTCCATCAGTCAAGCATCTGCAAGATCGTTTTCGGTGCGACTTCGCCTTTGCGGATAAACAGCTGTACGTGGGTAAAGTTCCTAGGGTTTGTAGTACTTGCATGCCTATGGCGGCAGCTTTGGCACAAGCAGCTCACCATCCAGTCAAGCCTGTGACCGATTCTCTTGAACCCGAGTTGAACTTGGCAGAGACTTGGAGGCTGAAATGGCACGCTGGTGCGCAAAAAGAAGTGCAAAGAGCTGATGAAAGCCTAGAAGGTGAGTACGCGCTGCTATTGAGCTTGCTCGCGCAGCATTACCCCGACTTGACGGGAATCGACGATGTGGTTATACGGAGGGTCAACAGCGCTCTGAAGATCGAAGGCTACACTGTCGGCCAGCTCAAGGAGCATGATCGCATGAGCGATGAGGAGCGCGACAATGCTATGACGACGGTTGCGCAGCATCTCAATATGTGCCACAAAATGAAGCCAACAAAGAACATTGTGGTGCCTGACGCCACTGGAATCGGTAGAAACTCGCTTGAGATAAAAGGAGCCATGATCAAGGACCTGCGCCACCAAATACGCGCTGTCCCCAAAGCAGTCTACTGTCACTCGGGCCGGACCGTGCCTGACTCAATACGTTTGAAAAAGGGTAGCAAACCTTCTCTTTAGGACAATATACAATTCAGGATATTTTATGCCCTTGTGATTGAACATAGCCGGGAAATGTTTATAACGATTCAGCAAGCATACATTTATTTACAACACAGAAAGCAAAAGTTCGTAGGGATGGGCAAGTGTAAGGTTGCCCGCTATCTTTCTTATGTCCAGGCTATAATGTCTTTGCTACTTCCTAAGTACGGCCTATCATGTGCACATGTGCCTCAAGACCCTACGTAAGGGACGCCACGCGCCAGCTCGACATCCCCCACTGTCCCCTAGGCCTGGGCGTCAGGTGTGACATCCTGCACTGCATGTTTCACGCAACATCCAACAATCTCCAATCACATTGAAGGCGCACATTTTGGGGCCTTCGCCTCCGTGGCGTCAGTAGTATCAGCTTGATTCGCTATCTATTGACAGTATACAATGAAGAAGACGCGTGAGTAGGAGATGTGCCAAGCCTGGCTACCAATTGATCATGCACCAGCCGCCAGGAATCAAAGGTTCAATGATGGTATATGAAAGCGTTGCACCCGACCAACTGGTCACAGACGTACAATTATGAGTCGTCATCTCAAACACCGAGTCTGTTTTTGTATTGCCATACTGTTAAATTCAGTCATAGTTCCGACTGCATGCCGAGTGCTATTAAGCATTGTAATCTTTTAGCTGGTAGGCTTCAACTTCGCATTGTTGCGCAGAGATTCGCCAGCGAGTTCCACGGTAGGGGGCACCGCCCTGCTTCATGTCTCAATTATGTCACATTTTGGTCAATAAAATGACTCAAATTCAACATAACAGCAGCCGACCAATCCGACTACATACAGAAAGACTTGAGTTCCTTGAACAACCGGTCTGGATTGTCCAGCCTCAATTATAATCACGCGGTGACCTTATGTGGCTCCAAGGGATCTAGACAATTGAGAATTAGGATGCGGTATGCACCTGTGTTGCCCATAGGACTACGTTAAGCTTTAAGCATGCATTGGGGTCTGTCCCTTCCACTTGTTCAATGTGAATACCCACAAAAAAGCTGATTCGGGGCGAGCGTGGTTCCACCAGACGCATGTCGCGATTGACCACCAGACCCTTACGGCACAATAGTGGCAACGACGATTATTGATTCAGCCATATGCATAGATCAGTCAAATGACGGATTTTCTGTCCTCCAAGGATCTAGGAGTTCTAAAATTCTAGTCGTAAAAGGGGCAAGTGACGAAATCTCACGGAACTGAAGAAATGTGGCCTAGTACCAGTATTTTGCTTGCTTCTAACGAAATTCTTTCGCCTGTTCCGAGCCGGGAGATGAATATTCTTCGTTAATAAATGATAACTACCCTTCTATATACAGAGCACTGAAGTTGTAGCGTTGCGTAATATTCACGTCAGGGGCTCTGCGGAGCTTTGAATGGATGCTGGACTTTTTCGCCCTTATTCTGATGCATTGGCTGTTTCTCCTTTTGACTTACAATATCTCAGATGACCGACGACGTTGGCACTAAGCGCGAAGGTACCCGGTCTTCAATCCCATTACTCGCATCTCGTGGAGGGTTGATGCGAGGAGCAGGAGCTGGGTGGGGATGCGTGGCTGGTTGGCTGATATGGACGGACTTAAGCGTCCGGATGTGATCTTTCGTGGTTGTCTCTGTCTCGGGGTCCGCAATATCTATGTCACAACTAATTGCGATATCGTCAATTCGATTCCACTATATACATTGTATAAGATGGCCATAAACTGAACTCCCGCACATTATGAGGTCGGTGGTCTGGCCTAGACACCTTTGAAGACTCTAATAGCTTGCCACGATTTCTTGGCTTTTGGGCTTGGTACTTTCAGAGGCAAAAGGGTCTAACTATAAACTAGCTTCTAGATGCAGAGTCCGGTATGTGCCGCTTACGAAAGCTAAACAGTATTGGCCAAACGGGTTAATTCCTGTCTTCCGGGCCGCGCCTTTGACGTAAGGGGTCATTAAGCTAGAACATTTCGAACTGTCTACTTGAGAACGCCTTCTAGCCCTGAAGCTTCTTTGAAGGTCAATCTTAGAGTTGCTTTTTCTCCCACCTGCTGCGCGTCGTCCGTATTAGGATATCCGCGCTCTGGAACCAGCTACTGCATGTCTAGATCAGCCAGCTCGACTTTATATGCACCTGTCAACTCTATCCGACAAACCCCTTTTCTTTCAAACCAATAAAATTTCTCCGAAGGGGCACTGATGTAAATGGAGGGGAGAACCTTGGTTCGGAGTCATTGAAACACAACCAGTAGCACTGCGTTGCAGGAGTATTCGCAGAAAGCGTACAAATGAAATTTGTCGCGCATAGCTACTACACAAGCCTCAAGGATCCCCACGGATGTCTCAAACACGGAGAAATCACCCGCGAAGTGAAGACAATCGCAGCCAGGCGAGTCATATTACTGCTGGAGCAGAGTAAGACAGCCGACGAAAAGGTTGGCGATCACCACGCGAAAATTTTACATCCCAGGGGTAAAGTTGGTCAAGTTAAGATGGGAAGATTTCACGAAACACTAGGGTCGAATATATAAAGGCTTTTCACGTCCAAGAAATTGATTAATATGAATTGCAACACAACAAATCTGGTCACTCGTTTTACCTTTACATTCATTTTTCCTAGCGTTGAATCAGCATCCGTTGATCTAACCCGTAATTCAAGATGCAGTTCGAGGTCCTTTTACTCAGCATCGTCGCAGCTGTGGCCTCTGCGCAGTCCGCTGCGTCGAGCAGGAGCGATGGGGCATCATCCCGATCAGCGTCCGCCGCATCCAGCGTCTCATCGGTCGGTGCTTCTGCGGCATCCAGTATCTCATCACGTTCCGCTTCAGGGGCATCCAGTGCATCATCTGGCTCCGCCTCTGGTGGTTCCAGCGGAGCTAGCTCCCTCTCGGTCCGGACCACATCCACTATCAGCGTCACATCTAGGCTCACGACGAGTGTCACTATTCGGTCTGGTAGCTCCACACAAAGTGTCATGGAGCCTGTGTCCTCAAGTGCACCAACCACTTCGGTCAGCAAGATGGAACCCGTGACCAATTCTACTGGCCCATCAACTGCAGACCGATCAGGATTCACTTTTAGCAGGTAAATGTTCTGCATTCAAGGTGTTAAACATGGTCATGCTAACTTCAGATACTAGTTTCCCCAACACAACCCACACTAACCCACCATTTGTCAACAGCACGATCAGTATTTCGCCGTCTACGATTGCAAACAGCACGAGATCGGGTACCAGCAGGCTCAGCACAGAGCCAACTGTCAGCCCAAGCAGCAGGTCCAGCTTTACCCCGAGTACCGCATCTCCCAGCACCCGCTCCAGTGCCTCCTCTGCCAGTTCGCGCTCGAGCCTAAGCAGCGTCAGCACGTCTTCTCGATCCGGCTCAACTTCCAGCGCCGGGACGACATCCTTCAGTACCCGGACAGTTTCTTCGAGCACGAGGACTAGTTCTTCGACCCGGTCCTCCGCCAGCGCCCCTGGTGCGACAGCCTGCCCGGGTACGCTACAACGATGCTGTGAAGACGGCCTTTTCGGACTATTCGCCTTCTGCAATGCTCGTGAGTAGCCGTTTCTCTACGCCTAGCTTGAAAATTTGTGTTAACCTCTTGTAGCCGCCGGTGGTCCATACACCGTGGCTCAACTTGACGCCATTTGCGCTGCTCAGGACAGACACGCCCGCTGTTGCTTGAGTGACCCTCCTAACAACCCCTTCATGATCAACTTCCTCTGCTTTGCTCCTTGAAACCGTGTCGAATACGTTGGACTGCGCCTCGCAATGTGAATTCGGGTAGATTTATGATTATCATGAGACTAGGATCTAGTGGAGAAATGATGAGAGATTGGACACCGTCTAGGGTCATACAGGGTATTTTTTTCAGTGGTTTGATATTGATATCATATATGTCTTAGTTTCTCTTCCAACGCCACGTGTGGTCACACTTCGGCACCGCCCCTAAAACGTGAAGGGTCTTAAATACAGTCAACCTGGTCCGAAACCAAGGATGATCCTTTACACCATAGCCTTGTACCATTGCCAGCGATGCCTCTATGCAGCCTTTACCAATAGAGCTACCTTAAAACCGACTTCAATTACTTCCGTGACAATCGATCAGAGAAGACCTATGAGGAAGTGGAGACTCTGCGCCGATGGTTTCCAAAACATGCAAAACTATGTATATTCTTCATTCATATTTCTATATTTCCAGTCTATGTTCTAATTTGACCGGACGCCTTTCATGGAGAATCTGATTCTGACTGGCCGCCCTGTTCTTGATGCCTGGAATGGTACTTGGTGTCTAAGCGAAATTGTGCTTCCTCTTCTCTAAGCTGGGCCATGAGCGTCGCATTGGCTCTCCAGACCGGTTTGATCTCAAACAGTCTGTCAACCTTCTCGAGCGGCACGCCGCTGGTTTCAGGAATGAGGAAGAAGGCAAAGAAAAAGGCCAAGAACGACAGCGATGCGAAGAAAAAGTAGACGCCGTAGCCCATGGCTGCGAACATTTGCTCCGTGAACCGAGAGACGAGGAAGTTGAACAGCCAGTTGCTAGCTGTCGTCGCACCGCCAGCCAGGGAGCGGAAGTTGGGGTCGAAGAATTCCTGAGATGAGTATTAGCAACTGTTAAGGTGGACCTAGCTGAATGTATGGAGTGGATACGCACAGAGTTGATGACCCATGGAGTACCATTCCATGTAGGAGTGTAAACAGCCGTCCAGAGGTAGAAAAATACAATGGCAGCGATGCCGCTACCAGTCAAGTGGTCCTGAGGGTTTTTGGTTGGCTCGACCACGCAGACGTATGCACCAATAACCCACATGCAGACTGAGCCAGTAACTGCACCAATAAGCAAGAGCTTCCGTCTTCCGAGCTGGTCGACCAAAAAGAGCAGCCACACGAAGGTCATGATGGCTTTGACGACTCCGAAAATGCCAGTCATCATGTTGACCGTGTTACTCTCAATGCCAATGCTCTATACACATCATACTTTATTAGCGTCTTGGCGGTCATGGTTATGGAATAGACCACAAGTAACTCTAACTCACCGAAAAAATCGTGGGCGAATAATAGTTGATTGCGTTGATGCCTGAGCCATTTTGCCAGAAAAACAGCATGCAACCCAGGAACAACCGCCATTGTAAGTTCGGACGAGCACCAAGCGCCTTGAACGGCTGCCAAAATCCGAATCCGACGGTAGACTTCTGCATCTCATAGATCTTGTCGATGGCTGCAATCTCCTCCGTGATGTACATGTCGGTTGGTTCCAGTTGGCGAATCCAGCACAAGTTCTTAATGGCCTGATCGCGGTGGTTTTTGAGGAAGAGCCAACGGGGCGAATCCCGGATCCACAGGGAACCAATCAGGAGGAGCCCTGATGGGATCAGTTGAACGGCAAAGGGGATAATCCACTGTGTGCGGCTGGGAGCCATATGTTGTTCGATTCCGTACTACGACGTTGCGTCAACAGAGGTTAGAAGAGGCACAAGCGAATAGTAGGTTATGTTGGCAACTCACGTTGATCCAAAAGCCCACAAGGCCACCTATTTGCCAACCCAATTCGTATAACCCGACTAGACGGCCACGAATGGCTGGTGGCGACAACTCCGAAATGTAAATAGGAATTATATTCTATATTGCTTTATTAACATCCGGCGTCGATGATGCTCATTGTGTTTAGTTCGCAACACCAAGACTATAACTCACAGATGCAACACCAGTTCCCAAGCCTGTCAAGACACGGCCAGCATAAAGGATACCCAATCCACGGGAGCTATCGGCACCGCAGTTAAGACCAGCTCCCAGCGAGAAAGTGGCCGCACCAATTGCCAAACAGTGCTTGCGTCCAATGAAGTGGCTCAGACAGTACGTGAAAAGAGCGCCAAAGAAGGCACCGGCGACGAAGAGAGACACGATATTCTCGCTGATCAAGTTGGTTTCCGACTTTGACATCTTGTCAAGGCCAAATTCGCTCTTAAATGAGTCGAGACCCACGGTGGTTCCGATGAAGGCACTCGTGTACCCGATCATGCAGGACCCACACGATGCGATGGCGGCGAGCACATAGATGCGCCAGTTGTAGACCGACGGCGGCGTCGGCCGCTCTTCGACAATGGTGAGGAGACCCATGGCCGTTGACTGCAACAGCGTGAGGGAGTGTGTGTGAGTCGTAGAACAACGGGTGACGGTCGGGGGAGGAATTTTCGAGGATGAAGGGGGACGAGACAAGTGCAGAAAAACGTGACTCCGGGGATCCCTAAGTATCTCCTCTAAGCGGAGCATCCCCATAACCTACATCTTCAATGCCCCGTACCCCAGGGCCAGCAATCTGGGGGCTCGCGACTCGAGGGTTGGAGGTTTCCATCTACAAGAGGATCCGATCGTCAAATCCATACTGGTGACTACTACTGTGTGAGCGCGCACGCCGTCATATCCGTCACTATCATCCGTAACGTTCCCTAGGAGGAGATCCTGGGTCCCACCCAGGAGTGTGATGAATACGGGGCGGAATGGCTAGCCGGGGATGCGTTTTTCCCCGTGGAGACACCCAATCGGCGAGCGAATAAGCTCCATGATATATCTCAGAAAGGCCCTCCTGCTTTCTGCTCCAAACGTTTTGGCCCTCCGTGCAGCGACAAACTCCCATTAGCGAGTGGCTAGATGACGCACCATGCTGCGGACTCGCGTCGCGAGCCCACCGAATCAGACTCGTCGTGCGGCTTGAACCGAAATTTTCAGCCTCCGGGCATCTGCCGGCAGGTGGGTCCTGCGCCCAAGCGGCCGATCGCGGGAGGCGGGCAGCCTGAACCCAACCCGAAAATGATGTGTGTTTATCCGCCAAGCTTCAGAAGGGGCATTTCCACACGCGGCCCGCAGTCTATATAGCGCGAGGTCTCCGGGTGTGCTGAGGGCAATAAGCTCTTCCGATTTGATCTGCTTGCACCAACAGCGCTCATGTCGGGTGGGAGTTCACTCAACGGAAATACGTTCCCCCGATGAACGAGCTGTCTGTCGGGAGAGGGAAAGAATGACAGAAACACGGAGTAACAGGGACCTGATTTTAAATCTCTAACTCTATTAAACTCGTATCGAATTCGTGTGATAGCAGAAACGCTGAAATCAGATAGATGTTGGGAAGCCATATGTCTATGAGGTTGCACTGTGGGCCACCTGCGGTTGTTGGTGTTTGAGTCTTATAATCAACAATTCGACACAACAGACTAGGTTGCACTCATAGCTGTGCATAGGATCTGATGCAAGATTTTAGCCCGAGGTAGTCAGATTGAGGACGGGTACTAGTGTAAATACCTGTTTCTAAATCCGCATGTTTCTCAGCTATCACGATGTTATCGCCTCTGCTTCCTTGTCTGGGGTCAGCCGTCTGCTCATATCAGTGTCTTCAGAGCGTCAAAGCCATTATAGCGACGGTTAGATACTGATATGATTGAATCTGTTTCGTTGCAAGTAAAATAGCCCTAGGCAGTGCCGCTCGGAGTTCTCAGGGTTGTCACGGGCACCCGCATGTGCCAACCCAGAATACCGCCACTTCGCACACCTTGCTTACAGCAGCCGCTTTTCAAACATGCTACTAGAAGAACCATGATATTTTGAAATGTGAATCTAAATATAGAGAAATAATTGATTGCTTGGAAAGGCTGTTTCGGTGCTTCCTAGTCATGTTGCAATGTAAAGTATTTAGTCGATTGTGACGAATTAGGCAACGCAAACAGATGAACCTGCAGGATTTCCTTTCATGTCTCGGACACGGGACATCGCAGGCTGCTAAAGAACCGGAGGGCAAACGCCTAGGTCTTTGATAGGGAAGTAAAATAGGTTATTGCTCCACGGCCTCCTTCTAATCTTCTAGACGATCGCTCAACTCAACGCTCTCAGCAAAGTTGTAACAGACTCACATCTTAGTCCCGTTGGTGACGGCTCTCGCAATAGCAGGAGTCATGGCCAATCGCGACAATACTGAGGACTACTATGCAACCTTGGAGGTGCCTCCGGATGCCTCCGAAGCCACAATCAGGGCGAACTACAGGCGCCTGGCCTTGCTCAAGCACCCGGACAAGAATCCAAGCAATCCCAATGCGACGGTTGATTTCCAGAGAGTGAGTTGCACCGCCACTGTTCAGCTGAGTTATTCTAATCAACCACTTGCATAGATCAATGCAGCGTATGAATGTCTTAAAGATCCTCATAAGCGCTACGCTTACGATCATTGTCGAAAAGAGGCCCAGTCAGAATTCAATCGCCGCGCACGAGAAGGAGAGAATGAAATCAACCTGATCAAAAAGAAGATAGCCTTTCTGAAGAAGGTCTTGTACGCCCTCTCTGTTAACATTGAGGCGATGAAGAAGGATCGCCGTGAGAAACGGGCGAGACTTGGTGCGATCATGATAGAGTTGGGCATCGCTACTCCATTCGACACCCCGGCTATACCAGCCGCCAGAGACCCCGGAGCCGGGGCCAATGATAACGAAGCCCTGGTCAAAGAAATGGGAAGACTGGTCTACAGTCTCTCGCAACTCGATGAGCATCTGCTCGTATTCGAACTCGAGCACATTGACACAGAGTTGCGTCTCGTCCTTCTCACTCAAGAGTTCCAACGCCAACAGTGGCCCACCAGAGCATCGCCACAAACAGCCCGCCAAGCCGAGGCCGAGGCAATGCAAGAGGATCAGCGACGACGCACGGCCGAGCAGAAATAAAAGGATCTACAGCAGAAGCGACAGGCTAGAGAGAGTCAGCAGGAAGCCAATCAGCGCAAAAAAGAGGCTAGACGTAGAGAAAGGGAAGAGAAGGAGGCGGCGAAGGCAAAGGCCGAACGTTGCAAGCATACTCCGATATGGCATTCGCTCAAGGGCAACCACACCTGCCAGTACTGCTACAAAGCTGCACGCAAACATGCCTGGCGGTGTCCGATCTGTTTGCAAATCGCGTGCAAGGAATGCAGAAACAAGCTGAAAAATCAAAAGTAATCGTTTCAAAAGCACGTAGGCGCTTGGTAGATCATGTGATTACACAGGGCTAGGGCGACCTAGGAACTCTGTTGTATTAGGGGAGGTGGCTGTCATAGTCAGGAACAATCAGTGTCCTTCCTGGGTCTTGCTAACACGACCCATATTGGGACATTATTTGAGGCCATACATGGTTTGGCAGCTAGGTCGCTGGATATAACCAAGGTAGTTTATTACCGTCAGCTTTGATGCGCGATAAACTCATTTGAAAGTCATCTCTCTAGTAAGCTTGTTTCAGATATCTCACGACGACCGAATATAGCAGACCTAAGCTTTGTAAACGTCTAGCCTTAACACTATGTTTTGATGCTTACTTGAATCAATTGTTTGCACTGTATTATTAGCAGCGGAGGCAAAAGTCTTGGCTGTCTATTTTGGGCTTGCTGACGACCTCAGATTGCGGGTGAGCCGGAAAGTACATGGTAACATCCAGACTCACTTTTGATTGGAGACAGCGAATGAATCTACATAGAGGCAACATATGCACAGCATGTGCCTACGAATTCTCACGCGATGGATGGTTTATGCAACTGTCTCGATGCCTCTATTGAGAACATCCGGGAGCTTGGCAAGGTCTGCGGACGACACGTCATGCGCAGGATGCGACTATCGTAGGGTCATTGGTAGGTAAGATCGCAATAAGATGCTGACGGCGACCCGGGGATTTGGCGCCTAAACAAGGCAGTCAGCTTCCACAGCATATTTGGCGAATTCTGCTGACGAGCAGTGAGGCTTAGCTGAATGTTTGCAAGGCGGAGCGACCCAATCAACAAAGCCGGATTCCATGGTGCCGGCAAACACCACACCCGAGCCGAGAATAACATCATAATGCGACGCCTTGTTGTAAATGATGTGGTACGGTGTCTAAAATAGGATATTGTATAGAATTCGCTGAACGCATCGTGACTTTGGACTTTGGACGGGTATATAAGGACCCAGCATGGCCCAACCTTGAATAGATATCAGAATCAACCATTCCGTCCACACTACAAACAGCAGTCGCAAACAAACCACAATCTCCATATTTCGCTTCTTCAACTTTCGAGTTCTCAACAAACCTCAGAATGCAGTTTGCCACTTTCTTCATTGCTACCCTGGCCACTGTGGCCGCCGCCGCCCCTCTCGACTCTGCACCCGTCGAGGAGCGCGCCGGCGTGAAGGCGACCCTCCAGATCGAAACTGAGCCTGACACTTTCATCGGTAACTTCGAGGTCCCCGTTCCGGGCCAAAACAACTTCAATAGAAAGGCCGTTTCCATTAGAATTGGAACCGTCAGCGGCAGCGTTGCGGCGCGGGTGCAGTGCCAAGGCTTCGACAACAAGGGCAACAAGGCCGGCCAGGCGTTCGGCGGTGACCAGGTGGCTGAGCTGCGCAAGGGTACTGTTCTGGGTAAAGTTGCTTGCAAGAAAATTTGAAGTGCGGTATTCTAGATCTCTTAGGCTTCTCACAAGCAGGACGAAGACGTAGGAAATGCGTGGGTAGGGAGGTCCTAACAGAGTCAGGCTTGGTTTGGCATGGTACCGGCGCCGGAATTTTGGAGCATTTGCATTAAATTTCATTCCCTTCCAAACTCTCTTACAATATAACGGAGATCATCCAAAATGAAGCAGTTGCAATGGAATTTGTCGTCATCGGTGCCACATTTTGTGAGTGCAGACATTGTAGCATCCTCTGGTGCTGTAGCGCAACCGCTTCGAGCAATCTTCGTTTGCCAGCGTGGGTCTCGGCCCGAGCACCTATCTTAAACTAGACTGCCGGAGCTCTGAACAATGAATGGGCAGCCATATCTGGAATAGCGACAAGAATGCAACGGCGGGCGTGATTCTGTAGAGGCACAAGCAGTAGGACCTATTTGGACAGCGAGACTACGGGTCGACGAGGGTTTATTTGACTTCATGTGCTTGGACTCCCATCATCATACATTGTCACATTGACTTTTTTTTGGACAAAGAACTGCAGCGGTGCAAGCGACTCGGAGGTTGACGCGAGGCGAAAAGCAATTCGTCAGCATTGGCTTCACACTCATCACCTTGTCATATGATTTAGTGTTGGTCCGCTTTCGAGGTTAGTCTGACAGTTGGGCCGCCCGCCTGACTTCCGGTTTCTTTGTTTGACTGAAATGCGGGCGCCTTGCCCCGTCTGCCCCGAACCAACAAAAACTGGACCATGCTTGAGACCATCGAGGCACCAACCGAGTAACCGTTGAATCAGTCTCGTGCAAGGTGCTCTTTGTTCCCCTTCATCACGCTACTTGAGTTCTTGCGATTTATTACGACTCTGGTGACCAAATGAAATGTGCGAAAAACTAACGCCTCTGTTATTCACATCACTTGAGCTGTAGTTTTGTGGCGAAACTACATACTCACGGCAGCTGGTATCTCGCTAACACCTATGATTTGACTGATGCCACAATTGTGGTCATTTCATCGGCTGATTTCGACTCTGGATGTTAGTCGTGATGGACATAGCCTCTTTCTTTTCAATTCCCCGTGATTAAGTTCGTAGTAGGACTCCGATGTGCACAATATTTCGTATCTACTACTTCTTTTCATCTTGTCAAAATTCAAACTATCATCAATGAAGGACATGGAACTCTTTGCTCAATTTCATTGCTCGATTTTGCCCCCAAAGAAATGTATTAATGCAAGTACCTTGGAAAGTATCATCGTCAATGCTTCTTACACTCAATCATCATGCATAGTCACATTGACATTTTCAACAAAGAACACGTACAAATATGACCAACTCCACGTACACATGACAATTATGAGATTCCCTAAAGGTACGTTCTGATATCCAGTAACTTGGGTAATGTATAAAAAAAAATAATATGGGCAAGCAATATCTCTCTGATTTCCTTCATTCCCTGGCGACATTTAACATTACTATATGATCCATGATCAGTCAACCCTTGATTAATACCGATTGATAAAATATTAATGTCTCCCAAAACACACGTCTCTACCAGCCAAGACAATGCCTTTGTTATGGTAGATGTTGGTACATCGGGAGCGCCTGTCGATAACACCGCACGAATATCCGAATCCTCGAAGACAACGATCAAATGTGGAGTCGATCAGAAGCTGATAACTGATCTAAAGCTCGAAGGATGCTGCCGTTGTCGTCATATCTGTCCGGAGAAACGCCGAGAGAATTTCAAAGGTCTCATCGACCCAAATCTATGTTTATCATGCCACGAACGATCAAGAAGGAGTTGGCGCATGGGTCATATGGCATAGAAAGAAGCATTTCTCGAGATAACTGGTTTCTATTTGCAAAATTTGTAGATTGGGTATTGAACTGGAGTGGTGCTCCTGGGCTATATTCCCCAAGTAACACAACCTCAACCAACGCAATCCTCCTCGTCAGTGTCGACAAATCGAACGTACATTGTTCGTGTGACTAAAATAGACGTATAAATCGACGGTCGCCAAACCGGATAGTGGTAAAATAAAGGCAAAAAGTGTGATGGTGTATTAAAGTCTATAGAAAAGAGGGAAATTAAATAAATAAAACGCGAAAAGCACAGCCGCAATTTCTCAAACCACAATTCTATACCACGTCCCACCAGCCCGAGCTCAGTATATTGAGTCTTTATATTATCGTGCGCCACTTGATCATTTTGCTGCCCCCTTCGAGTGGGTTCGTTAGCAGATTAGCATACGAACAAGAGGTCCTTCATCCCATGAGTCTTTGAGACTCTGTAGAATTTTATCCGAAATTTTTGATAGTCCCAGATTGCTGGCATGGAAGCGGTGTCCAATGCGAGTTCTCTGACAATAGCCTATCAAAACGTATCGATCCCCGTGAGGTCTTAGGATAAATTCAGAGGATGCTCCCTTGATAGAACATATTATATCACCCTCAATAGGAGAAACGCACTTCTGTGCGACTATACCTAAAGATCCGTCCGCGCAATAGAAAATGTATCTGTCCGTTGTGGATTCCATTATTTCGTGCCACATATCGTCTAAGGATACCAAATCCACCAACGTTGGTGATGAGTGCAATCTGGTGTCCACAGCCCGAAAGCTGCGCAGGGACGAGTATCCATGTTCTCCTTTCAACACCGTCTCGTGTAAGTTGACATCTTGTACGAAATTTCTTCGAACGTTAAATTGAAAACATAAATTGGCCATGTCTTGCTCAACTGGATGGTCTTGTGTCGCAACGTCAATCGAGTTGGCGGTATTCTTAATGACATCGTCCAGCCATGCCGAGACAGAACTGTGATGCTGGTACTTTGGCACCTGCAAAACGACTTTTAAAACGTGTGCGAAAGTGAACGTTTCAACCTCAAGACATCGGCGCTCTTCATCTACTCGACAATGACCTCCAAAGCGATCCTTTTCCTCCACCATTTTCCAGCTTTTGGGTGCATGGTGCTGCCAGTCAGGGACCCAAGAAGGAAGACCAATAGAAGTTCCAGAGTTGAATTGAATGATGTCGATCAAGTCTGGATCCTTGAGAAGGTATATAGCGTACTCAAATAGAATTTGAGACATAGGCTTGCGGTAGTCCGGAAGGAGCTGTGCTGGAATTTGTCCACTACGGAAGAGACCCGTGAGACTGTATATCCTATCTCGTTCGTCAGTTGCCTGGAAGGATCCAGCTGTGAAACTGAGGTAGCAAGCTATCTGGTCAGCCAATGGTCTGTCCCGCTCCAGCATATCTCCGTGTAACTCTGAGACCGCGATGATTCTCCATAAATTATCTTCCGGAGGATGCAAATCGAGCCGAAATTTGGCGCGAGGGTCCCGATCCCAGTAGAGGCTCAAAAGGGTGAAGTGAAACCAAGGAAGTTCGTATACGCCACAGATCACGAGTGGAGTTATTTCCGGCGCATAATCGTGCGGCACAGGGCGCACCGCAACTTCTTGAAGAATCCAGACACGAAACAACCAACTCCTACTTTCTAGAAACCTTTTCAGCTTGCCTCGCAATCGCCACATTGCTTCAATGCCCAGATTAGTGACATACTCTGCCTTACGTTCTTCTTGGCCGGCTAAGAACAAGGCCTCAACGAAGTAGAAAACCAAAGATACGTCTTCTTCTGTCATTGGACTGTAGTCACCAAGCCAAATCAGAAGTTGGCTGGCGGAACAATATATTTCTCTCATTTTGCGAACCTCACGGTTCCTTTCGTCCAGGTCGGTTTGATTGATGCAAATACTGTCGATCCAAAGTCTCCGCGCCATGTTTTCATTTCTTAGGTATTGGAGTGCAGTGAAGAGGTTTGTTGTGACCGGATAGATGCGATCATTGACCAATATCGGCTTTGTAACAGTTGCATCCCCCCAAGAGTATGATACGGCCTCGTAGTCGGAGTTTGGTAAGAGTTCGACATGTTCGAGGGCGCACTTGATTGGATCGTCGAAGGCGCCTGGTAAGAGGATCACAACTCGGATATGATTTGCTTCTTGAAGCGGAAGTTGCGGGGCAAAACCCACAAACTGCTCCATTGCAGGCACTATCGCACGTCGTGTTCTTGCTGTTCTGAACTCAAAATGATGAATCGGAGGAAGAGTGCGGGAATTTTGAATCAGATGTGGAACTGAACGATTTTGGCTGGCGCCCGATCGAAAAACTTACCTACGTAGCATGCAGTTGGTGCCTCGTGCAGCATCGAGATTGCTGTGTCGCGATATGATTTGACAGTGAGACTGCATCTGTGGTGCATGGCATGCACCTCGAGTCAGCCCGGCCCGGCAGCGTGGAACAGTACAGCCAAGGCCGGTTTTAAGTCGCGTAGAATCGACGAACCAGATGCAGCATCGAAGCAAACTACGTTTTTTGAGTGCAGGGCGAGCTAGTATTCTCAGTGTAGTGAGGCTGAGCGACGTCGATATCACATGGCGCCCCGGCTCCCAACGCCATTCCGTCGGGAGCCAGGGTGCGCTGCAAGAACCAGGCCACAACTGATCAGTAGCCGAGTCAATTACGTGCGCGAGCGAGGGGCACCATTAGTACAAGCCACCCACCTCTTTGAGCTCAATCCCTGGCCACGACGAGTAACATAATCACAATCTACCACATGGCCTGTTATTATTGTTACGGAATACGAAGTATCTTCCCGTAGTCGCATTCTCCTATAAACGATAACGTGTGGGTCCAGCTCAAATTAAGTCGAGATTGTATCGTGTACCCTATTTAGACTTGGCGGCAGACCGATATGTTGGCGATTGATTAATTCTGAATTGACGATACCGCGAGACGGTCCGTGGCGGTGCTGGCCTCTAATGAATAAACTTGCCCCGTTATATACTGTTACAGAGAGTTTTCTATTTCGTTAGGAGCGAAGATTCGTGAAAAGACCTTAAACTCATCCCGACACATATTGACTTCTATATCGCACCCGATTATATGGAGATTTGACTTCAGGAAAAATTGAACTTGGGCACGACAAAGGCATAGGAAGGCTGTGATATTATAGCAGAGTGGGATGCAGTAGAGTGAAATCCAGCAATTCAGAGTAAATCATCCAACTTTATTGCGCAACCTCTTTCAAACTCACCCAGAGCTCTGGTTTCATCGTAGAATGAAATACTTTCACAGGCTTCATGTCACCATCTAGGCCCCATATATTGTTCTTATCCTTATACGATGCTCTGTCCAGCTCCATGTCAAAATGCCATAAGATAAGTGATATAATGAGGCGCATCTCCATATAGGCCAAGTTCCTCCCAATGCATACTCGAGGTCCCGTGCCAAATGGCAAGGAAGCGTTCAGATGGTCCTTCGAAAATTTTTCATCCTCTCTCAGCCATCGCTCAGGTAAGAACGAGTCAGGTTCGTGGAAGTTTAGTCGTGATCGTGTGGCCGCCCAGGGTGATACTGCGACTGTCTTTCCTGCCGGTACGTAGTAGCCGTCAATAGTAGCACCGCCTGGGGGTACCATTCGTTGCTGGCTGGCTGCTGAGGGCGGGAATAGGCGCAGAGCTTCATTCAGCGTTGCTTCTAGGTATCGAAGATTTCTGACTTGGTCCCATTTGATATCCTCGCTCGATTTGAATGCTCCCCTGATTTCATCCACTAAACGGTTATATACAGACGGGTGCGTGCAAACGTAATAGGTCCATCCCGTGAGAGCTGTTGCCGTGGTATCAGTTCCAGCACTGATAAAAAGCGCCATGTTGAGAATGACCTCGGTTTGGGAGAGCGTTTTCTTTGACTCATTATTCAGAATGTGGAACATGAAGTCAGGATGATCTCGATCCCCATCCGCGAGGCGGGCAATAGTCTTCTCCCGCGAATTGTTGAGGTGAATTCTTCTCCAATCAGCTGCTTTCGCTGGCACAAAGAGCTTAACTAGAAGGGTCTCAAGCCATGTGCCAACACCAGACAAGCGACGGATGCCTTGAGTCCACGCAGCTGCTATGAATACATTGATGACAGATGTAGACCACTCCGTAGCTGAAGCCTGGTCTAAGCACCCAAAGGGTTCGGCGAAGCACAACTCGCCCATTATATCGAAAGCAACATACGTGTCTGCGAATTCAGTCAGCGAGATATGCGTGGATTTACTGAGCGTTGAGCGCTTACACCAGCTCGAGAAATCGATGGGCCGGTTCTCGGAAGCCATGGTTTTAAGGACTTCGATCAGCTTATGGATATGCACTCGAAGAAGATTCTCGTGGTGCATCAATGCGCTATTCGTGAATAGGTATCCTAGCGCTCTGCGCTGCCGAGAGTGCTCTCCGTTAAGAGCTAGACTAACTCCTGTTTGTCCGTCCACGTTGCCGACAGCTCCCAAGAATATTGGACTCTTCTCCATATTCAAGCCTCCTTTCTGCGCATCAAGTCAGCTTTGGAACCTCAAGTCAGGGATTTCACCTACCCGAAGGCCATAGATCTCTTCACGGGCTTCTACACTGACGAAGCTAAGCTCATCCGGAGATACCCTCACCACCGGGCCGTAATTATCATGCAACCACCTATAGTAGATGTGTTGGTTTCCTGTGACCAAAGCCAAAGTGGCAGGCAGCTCTGACACGCTATTGGCCCATGGTCCAGGAAGAGACCGGAGAGGATGAAATAATCTTCTGTGAACGATCTGAATAAGAAGCCCAGCAAAGGCCTAGCAAAGGTAAGTAGAGGTCATTCTCCATAAGTGAATAACTCACAAGTATGGCGACCGTTCCGATCAGTGACGTGGCAGAGTATAGGTAAACCGCCATCGTGGGTGTTCAGTGAGCCAAAATGTGATATTGGCATTTGTGAGAAGGAAACGACCTGTACAGTTTACATGCTTATGATAGGCACGGTCAAGGACGCTTTAACTAGGCACTCATTGAGTTTTTTGCCAGGAAAGGATTCCCTGTATTTCAGTGGTGCACCTAACTTGGTTCATAACCAGTATGGCAACTAGAGCATTCGTTCGCGAAGTCACGAGCGCGCGAGCTTGTTTCAAACAGGTAATACACTGTAGTTCTAATTGAAACGTGTTCGGAACAAGAGCGCTATCCACCATAGCGCCAAAGATGCCTCGAGACAACACTATACGTTGCATCAAGTACGAAAATCAATGTGCTCAAATTCGCGCGGGTTGGTTCGTACCTGTACTTCCAGGGAAGTGCGCAGCTCTAACCGGATGAGGCACGCTTAACTTACCCCTAAGTATCCGCACGTCGATCGCCTCACTGCTGTCTTAGACCCACCATTGCAGCACCTCATGTACCACGTGTATGGTGAATATAAGATACGATTTCTACAGATCAACATGCCATATCTTGCAGGTCCAGCAGTAATATCCGACCAACGCAAATCAATATCTTCATACAGCCATGGCCGATACGCAGGAACTGGCGAAAGGGTACACTTTCGTCAACAACACCCAATACGATGCAGGGCTGTTTCTGCTCAAAAGGCTTGGAGTCAAGTCTGGCATGCTTGTTTTGGATGTCGGCTGCGGTCCGGGCAACCTCACGTCGTACCTAGCGGATCTTGTTGGAGACAACGGAAAAGTTGTCGGAATTGATCCCAGCAAGGAGCGCATCGACATTGCACTCAAGCTGGCCACACCCAATCTATCGTTTCATGTGGGAGTCGCTGAAGACCTCTCTTCGTTCAAGTCAGAAAGCTTCGACATCGTCTTCATAAACTCAACTCTCCACTGGGTACAGGACCAGCCTCTTGCACTGAGAGAGGCCGCCCGTGTGCTGAAGCCTGGGGGCCGCGTCGGCATCTCAGGAGGGTCAGGAGACTACCTTACGGCACAAGAGAGGATCAAGGAAGATGTGCTCTCGAGACAGCCTTACCGGAAATATCCCGAAGAAAGCCCTCCAAAGTTCCTGAAACAGCGCGAACTAGAGAGTCTTATCGATAATGCTGGGTTCTCTAAGAGAGACATTGTCATCAACAAAATCGTCAAGTCGGCGAAAGACGCGGACGCTATGATCGACTGGTTAGACACAAGCTCATCCGGGAAGACGTATGGAGGAATTCCTCTGGATCTACGACCGAAGGCAAGAGCGGAGATGAAGAAGGAATGGGACAAGCTGGTAACCGATGACGGTATTCACATGGATATGGAATTATTGGTCACTGTAGCCACCAAATAGAATTGAGCATTACCTACCTTCGGGCCTAGAATCTCGCTTGGATTGAACTACTCATATCCCCGATACCGTGCAGGCCGGTTTAGATCTTAAATCATAGCTGTCTAGAATATCTTCCGGACAGTTACAGATGCACCACATCCGACGTTGACCCTGTACTGCTTCCATCCCGAAATAGAATCTCGTCAATGAGTTGGCGGGAGGGCATAGGGTCACACCTTGGCGTAACAGCGCCAATGGCACCTGAGTGATTGATGAGATAGACATTATGGGATGTGGCGGGGTACTCTTAGCTTGCTGGGCTTTAACTAACTACCGCTCATGCAGGAACTCGGTTAGATCCTGCACAGGGGTTGCTGTGCGCCAAGGGACATGTTTGGTTTGGAGCGGAAGCTCATACTTCGTACGGCTAGACCGGTACTCCACTACTGGACCTCAGGGTATTCTGAGCATATTAATCGAAGATTTGCCAAATGCCGAAGCGGATCTCAAACGATAATTGCGGAACTCGCATCGGGGTATTCAAGTATTGAAACGTACTTTGCAACCTGTCCGTGAACCCCTCCGCGTTTTGAGAAATGACAGCAAACCTTGCTGTAAACTACGAAGTCTAATCACATGATAACAGAACTCCATCTCGCCCACTTAATTGAACAAGAATTTCACAGCGCTAGCTCTGTCCTTCCCGGCGAGGACAATGCTTTAGTAATTTAGGTTTTTGTTATGAATTAGTTGTAATTGGGCTGTCGACTTCAAGAATGCCTCCCTTATCAAGTTCGAGAACGGCATCCTGGGAGTCCGTGCCTGCCCTTGCTCAAGCGCCAGAGGCGATATCTGATGACTCTGAGAAGGGTGTGGACGCGATATATACCAGAAACGATGAGAGCACAGGCGGAGGCAGTCAGTTGCCATTCTTTTCTGGGAAGCCCGAAACCAGCGATGATGCACAGCTTCAGTCAGAAGCTGAGTTCATAGTGTGGTGGGATGAACCAGAAGATCAAGACCCAAGCAATCCGATGAACTGGTCATCGACAAGAAAATGGATCAATATCCTCACGATCTCTGTAATCAGCTTTTCGGTGTGAGTGGATTTCACACCTCTATTGAAGACATTTGAAGGCAAACTCTGATTGTGGTAGGCCTCTTGTATCGTCCATGCTCGCACCAGGCGTTGAACAACTTATGCAAGAGTTCAGAACTGACTCTACACTATTTGCGACATTTGTGGTGTCAATTTTCGTCCTTGGCTTTGCTTCTGGACCGCTGCTGCTTGCACCGCTGAGTGAGCTGTATGGCCGCGTGCTCATCTACAACATCACAAATATGTTATTCTTAGTGTTCACTATTATGTGTGCCCTTTCACAGAACCAGGGAATGATTCTGGCATTTCGATTCCTATCGGGGTTTGTAGGTGTGGCCACCATCACCATAGGTTCAGGCACCATTGCGGACCTTATGCCACGAGAAAAGAGAGGCAAAGCCGTGTCACTCTGGTCTGTGGGCCCTATTCTCGGCCCAATGGTTGGTCCTATCATTGGCGGCTATGTGACAGAGGCTTCTGGCTGGCGATGGATGTTTTGGACCATTTCAATTGTCGTAAGTTTTCATGTTGATACCAACACAGTGTGAATAGTATGGTCCTTACTCATGCAACATAGATCGGCGTAGTCACCATTTTTGGTTTTGTCGTGCTGAGGGAAACGTATCCCGTGGTAGTGCTGGAAAGAAAGGCAGCCACGCTCAGAAAGAAGACAGGGAACTCCAAATACCGGTCCAAGCTGGCTTCGGATCTTACACCACGGGAACTGTTCAAGCACAGCATCGTACGGCCATTGAAGATGCTGGTTTGCTGCCCAATCGTCACGATCATGTGCACTTACGTTGCCGTGCTCTACGGGATACTTTACCTGCTCTTTGCGACATACTCATTTGTCTTCAGAGAAGTGTACGGGTTTTCGACATCCGAGGCTGGCCTTGTTTTCATTGCTGGCGGCGCCGGGACTCTATTGGGGCTGTTTTACGTCGGGAGCTTTAGCGACAGGACCCTTAGGAAACGCGCCGCTGCAGGCAAGACCATCACACCCGAGGACCGACTTCCTCTTGTTATCACAATACCAGGAGCTCTAACGTTCCCAATCGGGCTATTTGTCTACGGGTGGAGCGCACAAGTGCAGGCGCATTGGATCATCCCGCAGATTGGCACGGCCATCACTGGTTTCGGGTCGATCTTGATATTCATCGGGATTCAAACCTACCTCGTCGATGCGTTCGTGCCTTACGCCGCGAGTGTAATTGGTGCCAACGCAGTGCTCAGAGGTTCTGCTGGGGCATTTCTGCCGCTTAGTGGTTTGAACATGTATAACACCCTTGGTTGGGGATGGGGAAACAGCTTGCTCGGGTTTGTCGCACTTGGATTTGCCCCGCTACCATGGATATTTGGACTCTACGGTGCTAAGATCCGCAATCTTAATCGTAGTCAAGTGAGGCTCTGAGCAACTGAAAGTATGGATATGTGTGTAGGAGAGAACATAGCATTTTAGATGGCGTTGGAGATTCAAGAGAATGCATGTGGCAGTGGAACCATATTGGCCATAAACTCAGCCCTGCTTCCGTTGTGACTAATGAGCCACATGATGACCACTTGTCTATCCTCTACTTTCATACAGTCGTCACGAAAATAAAATCTTGAAACTATCATTCAATTCTTTCAAAATACAATTGGTCAACTACCGCCGTAAACCATGTGATATGGGACTAAATCTTTCAATCAGTTCATTTCTGGAGAAATCCTCCAAATGAAGTTTCTGCAAGTTCCTCCCCGTCTTCATGTAGTCCACCCCAGTGGCCATATAGGCAAGAATAATCACGGCCTTGATTGGAGACGCATCAATCCCGAGCTTCTCTGCCAAGTCATGCCAGCTCACCAGCAGGTCTGGAACATCCTCCGAAATATTTCGATTTTCTATGTCAGCTGGCGCCTTCAATTTGTTGTGCGGTTTCGAATTTTGTGCCAAATCTACGAGGTCGGTAAATGTGTGGCCATAGCACTCATTCGACACCTCTATCGCGCTCTTCAGCCGAAGTCCAAATGCCTCGCCAATCTGAATTCGCACTTTGTCGACGGCGATCATGGCGTTGGCCACAGAACGTGTGAGACCGTCGTGATACAGCAGGAAGTCCCCAGATGTACTTTCGATGCGGCCGGCATTCATGAGCATCATGAGCGGGTGAAAGACGCCGTTGACGTTCAGCAACGAGACTTCGATGACGCTGCTACACCACTTAAGCTCCATTGGAAAGATGCCTTGTATCTTGTCCTTGACAGTTGGGCACAAGTCCTTTTCCAGAGACGCAATGAAAAAGCGGCTCTTCTTGCCCAGCACGATTAAGCTTCCTTCGTTCATCCTGCACGAATATGGCGACAGGTTGGTTTCGAAGATGTGCCCAACTTCCATCTCCGCGTCCGCAATGAGCGCGAACAGATTTCCCGGGATTGCAATGATGGAATGCTGGCGCAGGCAGAACTTCTTCATTTCTTGCAGCACCGTTTCCTGTCCCGTGGACGGAACCGTGAGGATGATAGTCGTGGAGAAGTGGACGACATCGCTCATGTCACATGTGACTTTCAGACTCACGGAGCCCTGGATGATACCGCTGGCTGTCAAGTAGCCATTCTTGATCACGTAGCCGGCATGCCGTAGGTGCGTAGGGTGAGAGTAAATCAACACATTTGTTCCACTTCTTTCGAGGTCCGCCGCGAGAGCGAATCCAGCTGGCCCGGCACCCACGATAGATACCTTGGGCTGCATGATAGGGCTACCGTAACTGCCGACTATGGTTCGACGCATGAGTCCGTGTTGGCTTTGTTTCAACTGATATCAAGGTCAAGGGAGGGATAATTATTAATGAAAAAGAAGTTGTGTTCAAGTCAACTCGCCAGTATTTGGGAACCAGGAAAGGTACATGTGAAGTCGTGATGTTGTACTCTATTAATATGTCGACTTTTTCCAGACGTTTTATTTATGTATCTAGGTATGTCCACCCAAGCAAGTGCACTAGACACATAGCCGCAATAGTCTAGATCGGCATCAGAAACAGCACGTACGCGGAGCTCATTTTCAGGACATCTACTACACCTACCTCATAACACGAGACGATGTCGTGCAAGGCCGGCAAGGGTCCCAGCTTCCATGAGTTGCCGCCTATTCGTCCGGCAATCTGTTAACGATTCGGCGGGCCCCTGGTGTATAGGGCCCTGCAGCACATTGACCATATACGCTAGCATGAATCCATGTTGATCTCTGCATTTGAGCAAGTTTGCTCGATTTACCACCTTTGCGGGACGCACGATTCACCTCGCCGACCCGGCCATTTTGCCAAAACAAGTACGGTAATACTGCCTCGATCTTGGCCATGGCCCCGGTAGCTTGCTGCGCATCATGGGTTAGATGCTAGACATTGCAGTGTACCGAGAGCGGGAGAGTTGCACCGTAGTACAGGTACCTCGTTCGCGCTGTAGAGCACGGTCGATGTTTCAGTGCATTGTCGCACGGCATGGGCCACGAGATCTAGGTCTACAAGGGTTCAAACTCTAAATGGCGAAACTCCACAATTCATTCGTCACCCTCATTCCCAGCCTACCCTGAGGACCTGACTGGACGCTGTCAAAGTGCTTGGCATATGGCAAGCGGGTTTTCAGTAGAGAGTCTGCGCTAAAGCACTTAGAGTCATTATTTCGTGGAAAATCCGGTGTGTGCTCAGAGAAGTTACCGTCGTCACAGGATGGGCGTCTTAAAACAATAATTGCTCGTTATTAGCGAAACCAGTCTACCAAGCATACGCCTCCTCCACTAGATCTACCCTAAACCCCTCTTTGACACATTTCACAACCTGCCTCGTGGCTTCGTCTGTGAATGTCCCCGGCCCACATACTAGGACAGTCGTCTGAAGGCCCGGTTCCAGGTGGGACCTGATCACGGTTCCAATCTCCATTCTCCCATTCGTTGCGCCTGCCGTAGTCCGCGAAGCCGATGTCGCCTCCTTCTGAGTCTCATCGTCAAGAGAGTTCGACTTCTGCGAAGCGGCATCGACATCGCCCGTGTACCAGAATTGAAACTCAACGCCTTCGGCATCAGCGAGGAAATTCCGTCTCACGTGCTCGATGAGGCCCATTTCCTTCGCAGACCAGGCCAGGACAAATCGCTTTGCCTTTTTCATGACGCCGCGACCTGTTCTTGAACTCTCACCTCTATGGATGTTGGAACTTGCGTATTCCTGAATATAGCTAAGCGCATTCGTAATGCCAATACCGCCGATCAGGCACAGCACTGTATCGGCAACAGAAAGAGGCTGCAGGGTTGCTCGATGACCAGCATAGCCACCCTCTGTGTAGACTGACACTTCCATCTTGGAGCCAGAAAGCGACTCCAGTAGTCTTTTTTGGAGACTGGAAGTCATCCCAGCATGTACGCGGACGAGGAATTGGATGTATGTATGTCCCACAATTTGAGTCTTGTGTGCGGTAGCAGCCTGTGGTCTCCTCGGTGAAGAGCTAGGTGAAGAGTCAGAGTCTGCTGTGACTGACACGATACCGAAGTCCTTCGGTTGCGAGGCCTTCTCATTTTCACCAGCGACAAGCCCAGTGGTCGCCAGCACGGGCAGCTCCTGGCCTTTTCTCTTCCAGCCAGCAATACTGAAGGGGTGGCTTTCCCATGGCTTGCCCAAAGAGGGAAAGTACAAGAAACTGTGCTGTCCAGGGCCAAACTTCCAATCGGCTCGTGGGAAAACGGTGATTTGCAGGACGTCACATCCTGGTACCGCCTCAACAACACCTGCGGTGTCGCCGAAACGGTTGTAGTAAAGCACGCGAGCAACTCGAGCGGTGCGGTCAGCAGCCCAGAAAGCGAAGGCGATATAGAGCCACACTTGGTAACCGTAGTCGAATCCGAAGTGAGGAACCAGATGGTACCAGCATGCGGCCAAAGCGACAGTAATGAAGGCAACGTGGGTGAACAGGAAAAACTCGTAGAACTTGGTTCGAAACGGGAGAGCCGCAAAGCCAAGCGCCAGGCAAAGGGCTATTGTGCCGATAATTCCCCAATACTGGTTCATATTAGTCAGGTTATCCACACCTCAATGGTCAAGTCGACTCACAAAGAACGGATCAGCTGCTTTGGCAGCATAGGCTGACGCTCCTTCGTATCCGGGTTCGAAGTAGGCAACTGTGTAGGCTATGGAGTGCACAACGGCTTGCAGAGTTGCTACTCTTGCAATCCAACGGTGTAGTGTAAGGAATGCCGTCTGATTCCATCCCGTGATGGCAAGGAGAAGGTTGTTCCGGCCCGCAAATAAGATCGCAATGGTCAGGTTGACAAGACTGAGCGTACCCGTCCGATTACCGACGTACTCGCATAGTTCAAACCCGGAGGAAAAGAACCAGATGTTGGGCTGGAAGCTCTGGAAATTGACGGCAGAGAAGACCACGTTGAGAATGACAAAGACGGTGATGAATATGCCGAGGGCTCTACTAGGAACATAGCCTATTTTCCCGGGCAGAGGCTCCAGACGCCGAGTTCCAACGAAGGCGGGCAAGAAGACGAGCCCTTGAAGCTTTGCCCACAGATTGGAGGTCTGTAACTTTTTCTGAAATCCAGGAAAGGCGCCCCTGATGTGGGCGAAAGCTCCGGCGATGATGCAGGTGCCGATGACTAAAAGATATAGTATTACTCTGATAGTAGAGTGTTTTTTTTTAGCTTCTTCCTTGCAGGCAGATATAGACTGGACACAAGTGTGCAAAGGACTTACGAGTATCTTGTATGCAGATATTCTTGTCTAGCGAACTCTCCATAGGTTCCATGGGTGGAGTAATAGACGTTGCTGTTGACCAGGCTGGTCTCGTTGAGCCACATGGCATCTTCCGCCAGTTCGATCGTAGGCGGCGTGGCGGGCAGACTCTGCTCGAAAGTCGGAGTCGAAGCACCAGCGACTGCCTGCTTGCTGAAGCACTCGGCCTGCTTTTCAGCGGGATATCCGTCGGCGTTGCAGTTTTGTTGGATACAGTAAGCCATTGTCTGAAGCCACGGGGTATTGCTCGCGTAGCACTCGTCGCTGGTCATGCCCATCATTGACATGTCCATGTCCATATCCATCCCCATGTCCCCGGACATGCCATCGTCTTCGCTGAAGGTCGTGCAGTTCAGATAGAGCATAGAGAGCGAATCGTGACATGTCTGACAGCAGAGGTCTTGATATAGGTCGATACCGAAGCCGATGATACCATCTTGAAATGCGCTGGTCATAGGAATAAGATACAAGGCACATAGAGCCGCCGAAGTGATTTTGCCAACCATGGCGGGCGAGTTAGCAGCCAACTGGCAGGTAATGCTGAAGGTGATTGCTGTATGAACAAACTTTCTCAGAGCGCAGCTCGAGATATGCACGTCAATGTGTACAGCATGCAGTCGCTAGGAACCGGAAAGCCAAGGCCCAAATTTGAATGGTGCCGAGAGACAAGGCCCGAGTGTAGATGATATACGAAACCGACCGGGCGGTTGGTCTGCTTTCAGTCGACGGTGCCGTTACCTCGCCTGACCACGAGCAAGATTCTGGTGCACGAAGGACTTCACGGCGTCCAAGTCACTCTGTCGCCCTACGAGTTACGGACATGTTGTAAACCAAAGACGGCTACATGCTATCTCCCATGGAAGGAAAACACCCGCCCATCCCCATCCCCATCCCCAACCACATCCACATCCACTTTAGCCATGGCGCCCGGATTTCTGGGGACGGGCGATTGCAAAGTCCAGACAATCTGACCACGAAACAAGGGTCCAGATCCAGATGCGATGGGCATCCACAGCCAGATGCGGTATGTCTGTAGTGTTTCGGGGGACGGGCGAGCAGGGGGCAGGGGTCTTGAGCGGGAAAGAGAGGTATTGAGCTAGTTTTTTCTTTCGTCTGCCAGGAAAATAAAGCGGGGGTCGATATGCGGTTAATACAAGCCAATACTCGGCGCCGTCCAATCACCACGGCACTAAATCCGCGAAATAAGCTCACCCAAGCCACGGGAGCACGTTCTTGAAGCTCTGATCTCCTCAGCTGGCGTCGCTAACTAGTCCCAGATCACCCAAGGGTCCTCCGCGCCGTCGCCCCAGCTCCTCGGGCCCGGTTTGTAGTAGGATGTTTTCGTCGACACTACTATCTATGGAGGCGGCATCAACGGCTGCAGTTGAGCGAGTTTCCGATATGCTGGGGCCGGGACACTGAGCGGCGCGGACAGGATGCCGCGCGAGAAACCGTTTGACGATGGAGTCAGCCGGTGGCAGTTAGTTGGAAGACTATCGATATCCTTGTCACCTCTCCCAGATCGCCATCCTCCTCCGCATTCCCGCTTGTAGCGAGCACGGGAGGAGCCTGAGTTGAAACTCCGTCCCAGAAGGGACTACAGAAGACCGCGAGAACGATGTCCAATGGTCCATTAATGCTGTACATTTCATTAAGCCTCGTGTTCTCGAGATGCGACGCACCCCGTTGTCATTATCATTTACACAGACATTTCCCGCCAATTACACCACCAAAGTCGCGGCATGAGGTACTTCCGGATTACGCAGCCTCCTTCCGCTCAATATACACCTCCAACCCCTGCTGCACCACAAAGAACGAGGCGTGTGCCTTGAGTTCCCGGTTTGGATAGACAAGCTCGAAATGGAAGTCTCTCAGCAGACGTGGGATCACCTTGTTGATCTCCAGGAGGGCCAAGTTGCGCCCAATGCAGACATGGCTGCCACCACCGAACTATAGGGGGTTCCACCGTTAGCACTCGGCCAGACTATATTGCCGGGGCCATGCGTGACTCACCTGGAACATGTAGCGCTCCATGACCTTGGCCTTCTCGGGGTCCTCGAGCCACCGCTCGGGCCGGAACGCGTCGGCGTCGGCGCCGAAGACCTCGCGGTCGCGGTGCAGCACCCAGCCGTTGACGGCGATGCGGGTGCCGCCGCGGAAGAAGCGGCCGTCGAGCTCGACGCCCTCGGGCGGCACCAGCCGCGTGATGTTGACCCCGACCGCCGGCCGCACCCGCATCGCCTCCTTGAGGCACGCCTGGAAGTAGGCCAGGCCCTGCGCCTGCGTCCACTCGACGTTGCCCGACGCCGGGATCTCGCCCGCGGCCACGGCGCCCGCCACCTCGTCCCGGAGCGCCGCGTGGATCCGCGGCACCGAGAGCACGTGGTGGAAGAAGGACTGCATGGTGGAAGCCGTGGAGTCAGAGCCGGCGAAGCTATTTGGGACTCTTGTTAGCCATGGCCTTGTGTCGAACCTGCTTTCGACAGTGTGGAACTCCTTCTCTCATAGGCAATCACGCGTTTCCCCTTTTTGCCGATCGGCTTTCAGGGAAAGGAAACAGGACAACTTACATGGCTCCATGCGCAACCGCAAACACGTCGCCCTCGGAGAACCCGCTGCCCTCCTTGAGGTGGCCGCGGATCAAGCTGCCGAGGAGGTCCTGGCGGCCGTCGCGCGAGCCGGCGCCGTCCTGGAACTTCTCCTCGACAAAGGGGCGACGCTTGTCCATCTCCTCGAAGGCGATGCGCGTGATGAGGGCGTTGCTGGGGTTCAGGGCCGGCACCAGCTTCCACAGCGGGTTGCGGCGCAGTAGGTGGTCGAGCTCGGGCACCTGGCCCACGATGCCGTTGTACGTCTGGCTCGCGTCGATGGTGGCGATGGCGCCCTCGACGTCGCGGCCCGCCGCCAGGAACCCGAACGCCCGGCTGAAGGCCACCTCGCCCAGCACGTCGAAGGCGAAGTAGTGCAGCCAGTCGCCCAGGTCGACCTTGCCGCTCCTCGCCTGGCCCGGCTGCTGCGCCGACGTCGTGTTCATCGTCTTCTCGTCGGGCGTCGCCTCCCCGGCGTCCGTGCAGAACTCGCCCAGGCGGCGCGCCAGCAGGTCGACGGTCTCGTCGATGAAGGGGCTCAGCTGGCGCATGGCGGCCATGGAGTAGGGCACGTTGGCGACCTTCTTCTTGGCGGCGTGGACGTCCTCGCGGGTCTCGGTGAAGATGTCCGGGTTCTCGGGCGGCGGGAAGACGTCGTAGAAGTCCGTCTTGTAGAAGCGCTTGCCCGCCGACAGCACCGTCCGCGCCGCGGCCGGCGAGGCGATCGACACCTCGTTGGGCGCGATCCGCACCACCGGCCCGTACCGCTGGTGCAGCGCGATGTGCTCCAGCTGCGTGCGGCCCCGCGCCGTCGAGATCACCTTCCACAGGCGCGAGAACGAGGCCAGGAACGGCCCCGGGTAGGACCGCAGCGGCGAGGCGTACCGCTTATAGAAGGCGCGGAAGACGAGCAGGGAGAGACATATAGATATCAGGTGGGATCTGATGAAGGGCAGCACCGTGGCGAGGAAGGCCACGGTGGCCGAGGAGGATTCAGCCATTATACTGCGAATAGTAGGGCCAGGAAGCCGGTTCCTTGTGCTGTTGAAGAACGCTGCTGTTGATATCAATATACTAGAGCCCGAGGGGGACCCGTCGGTTGTCTATGAGCGTTCCTATAGTCCTGTTGAAGGACGTGTACTACGGATCGCTCGGGTAGGACGAGCTAACTTAAGTCTTTCACATCTGGGGGTTTATATCTGGCTCTGGCACTTTGCTCTGGCCCTAACGGTCCCCAAGCCACGGCACACGAGGTGGCTGATCATCATAGACATCACCGCGCACGTCGGGCGCGCCTAAACGCCCGGAAGAATAGATCCTACAGGCCAGGCTGCCTGGCGCCCCATGACCAATCCGACAGGCCGTCCACGGCGCTGGGAGCTCGGCCCTAGAACGCAGCAGCAGATCGTACGTGTGTGAGACGGGACCCCGGTTTACTCAGGCCTTATTAACCGAACTCGAGGCGGCGCGGGCCAATCAGCAAACTGCCGGCTGAAATAGTTCACGATAGTGGGCTTGGGGCGGATCGACGGTTGGAGACTTGGAGTAAGGGCGAATGTGGGGAGGGAACGATCCGAGCGACGAGAGGCTGAAGCGCGCGTCCTGGCGTCCTGGGGGACGTGGGGTCGGGCATAGAAAAACGGCCTTGTCATTGCTAATGGTCGTCGTCTCGATGGGCCGTGGATCATGTAAGCTTTGCGGCGATGTCATGCCACTGTCTTGGCGCCAGCCAATATTCCATATGTCTTGGCAAAGTTCAACGTTTCCAGGGACGATCATATACACACTAGAGGTTGCATGCAATGCAGCAGCAGGATTGCTATACCTGGATGCCTTAGTAATACGACCCTGGGCTGGCCAAGTCTACAATGAAACCAGATACCACTGTCAGACGATTGCGAGGTGCCGAGTTTTGATCGTCTGCATTCACATTGACGGGCGCATTTCAAATTACTAAAGCAAGTGGTATCAATGAAGACAGCGGTATGACTTTTGCTCCACCATCAAATGCACGTTTCGACCCTCATCTCATGGATCATCGCTTCGTAATCGTGGAACAGGAGGAGCCTATCATTTGTCCCACTTCTTGGCCTCGACCCCATCGGGCGGAGAAGTCGTATAGCTCTTCTTCGAGGCCTCCTCCCAGCTCGTGCTCAGACTCGTGCCGTTGCTCTCGACGTAGCTCTTCATCATGGCTCGTCTCATGTCAGGGTCCGCATCCTTGTACAGCTTCTTGAAGAAGTCATCGACGCCCTCGGGATTGTCGTCTTCGTCAAGGTCTATTGCGTCCCAGTTCTTGGGGCCTGACTTGGACGACGTGGGATAGGAAGGGCCAGCAGAGCTGGCTGGTGCAGCCGTGTTTGGAGTTGCATTCTCCTTCGTCACAGCCTCGACTGTTGAGGGCTTGAGCGGCGTGGCATCCGGTGTGGATTGAGGGGGTGCTGGAGCATTTACGGTGTCATACGTCACTGGGGACAGCTTGTCCAGCAAGGCAAGATACCAAGCCCTTGTGTCGTCGCCAAATGCATTCTTAGAGAAACTGCTGGGGCTATCGTAGCCCAGACTTCGAGCGTGGCCAATAAACTCGTCACGCGTGCCGTGTGATGCTTGGCCAATGGTAATGTTGTCAAAGATTGAGGCGGTGGGCGGGCGAAGGGCTCCCCATTTGCCAGGGATTGCTTTTCGCAACACCAATTCCACCTTCATCGACTTGACAGTGTGCGTCGTATCTGCGGGCCTGATCTTGTCCAAGAGGTGGAGTGTTAGAGAGCCGGAGGGGGTGTTGGGGATGGGGCCGAGCGTGACCTAAAAAGCAAGTCAGTGGGTATACGCCATGCGACCAGCGACCGGGCGATGGGACTTACACGTTGCTCCTGGGCATCCACACGGAACTCGTCCTTCGGCACATTCTTGACGAAGAAGCTGACGTTGAGGGTGGTGTCGTTCTGGTAGAAATCGGTGCGAATGTCGTGCTTGGCATGCTCGGCACGGAACTCTCTCCAAACATCATCCCACGCCCAGCTGCCGCTGTCGGACGGCTCGGGCTGTAGGCCGGGGAGTATGTGGGCCGGGATCTTCGGCTTGTTCGGCTCTTCTGCAGGCTCGTCGACGTGCAGGTTGTCGACCTCCTCCACCTGTACCTTGGTCTTCGGGTATCGGGCGACGTTGACCTTGCGACCGGGCGCCCCGGCCTCCAGCTGGTCCATCTTGGTCAAGGCCTGGATGCGCCAAGAGAAGGCAAGGTTTCGAACCGTGGTGGACTTGGATCGCTCGCCGCCCATGGCAGCGCTGAGGCCGTCATTCTTCTTGGACGCCTCTGCTGCTTGGTTGGCGTCCTGGACCTCTTTTGCCGTCACGGTGTAGTCGCCGTTCTCGTTGACCTTGTTCTGCTGACCATCATCTTCGGAGGCCCTGGCTCCCTCGACCAGGCGGATGGCCCAGAAGGCGCAGATGTCGGCGTCTGCGTATCGGTCCAGTCGAAACAGGGCTATGGCTCGTCGGATCTGGGCATCGGCCATCAAGTCGCGGTTAGCCCTCTCGAAGGCAATGGAGAGGGCCTGCTCGGCATCGTTGAGGGCGCGCTGGACCTCGTTGGTGCGCAGGTAGGCCTTGGACCGCTCGAGGAACCAGACCGGGGCTGGCTGGGCCTTCAGGGCCTGGCTCAGCTTCTCGATGCCCTCGGCGTACTTGCTCGCCTTGACGAGGCTGACGCCCTCGTTGGCAAGAATGTTGGCCGACATGATGTGACCGGGGGAGGGGCAGTGCGTGGCAAGCTGGTCGTTTCAACGTCGGCTGTCGGGGTACTGCGATGTTGACGTTCGTGTCGTAACGAAATCCCAGTAATATCGGGATCGAGAACGGAACCGGGAAAGCAATTGACAAGAAACCAAAAGCGCTTCCAATGTTGTGAGCCGTCGGTGGCTTAGGTATGCCCTTGGTGATCCTGAGATCCTCAGGCAGGCAGCTACCTATCGTTAGGGACCTTCTATGGCGGGGCATCGAAGCTCCAGGAAGCTCGCCCTAGGTACCTAAGGTACCTACCTAACTAACTAAGAGCTCCCCGCTGAAATGTATTGCCGGCCATTCAAGGTCGCGTGGGGGGGGGCGGTGACAGCTGAGTTAGGCACCTGAGCTCCCTGACCGCCTGCTGCATCGGCCATAGACTGTACCTAGGTAGGGGTGTCACAAATCAGGGGGGGAAGAAGGTATCATAAAGCCATTATGTTCATTCATTAAATATTTATATATATATATAAAGGTAAGGCACTCTTTTTTCCACCTCGTGCGCTTCGATGGATGGGCTCCTGCACCATGAATTAATGATTCAAAAATGCACATCTGGTACTTAATTCAGACGGCAACGCAGTCTCTCCCCTTACACCACCGTCTCTTCGGGGTACTTGGATGCAAACATGCCCAGCGCCTTGATCGGAAAGGTGAACTTGTAGTTCATGTACGTGATCATGCAGCTCTTGTTGAAGACGCCCTCGATGGCCTCCGGCAGCCACTCCCCGTTCGCCTGCTGTCTGTCCATGATCAGCTTGATGCCCTTCCGGAGCGGTTCAATGTCGGGGTATTCGGCATGCATCAGGCCGATCAGGGCCCAGGCCGTCATGACCACCTGCGAGCCTGAGGTGTGCTCGGTGTATACGCTTCGTTCGCATGACTGCGAGATGTTAGCCTCTTTGCCATATTCACATGTCCGCATAGTGCTGGGCACTTACTCGGTAGCTTTCTGACCATCCTCCGTCTGCCCTCTGCTTGGAAATCAAGAAATCACAGGCCTTCTTGGAGTGCGAGCTGGTGCTGTACGTCTCGCCCACACTCGACAGACTCTCAAGGGCAAACATGGTGGCGTAGGTGAAGCAGATGCCCCAGTTTCCGTACCAGCCGCCGTGGGGGAACTGTGCCTTCTTGATGAAGGCCAGAACTCTGGCCTTGAACTTCTTAATGTCATCTGCCCGGTACTCTGGCCAGTACTTGTTGAAGAGCGACAGTGCGGTGATCACCGCGGTGGAGCACTCGACGTAGTCGTACTCAACCATGATCTTGCCAAACACCTCGGCCGCGTTGAGCATCTCCAGAAGTTCGCTCCCCCGCGTCGGCTCGTACGAAGAGCAAGCCCCTGATGCATTCTGGTAGGTCAGGAGCGTGTCAATGGCGTCGAAGATTCTTTGATCATCCAGCAGCTGTGGGAATCCCGGTGTCTTTTGTAGTAGGATGACCGACTTGAGTGCTTCCGATACACAGTCGCTGACGGCGTAGCCTTGGACCTTGTTGCTGAACGCCCAGGCGCCCTTTCGTTGCTGGCGGTAGCAGATGTCTTGGTCTTTGCAGTTCTCGCGAATCTGCTGGCTGTCCAGAAACTCCAATGCCTTGATCAACATGGGTCTCCAGCGGGGGTCCTCGGTTAAGCCAGCGTCCATAACGGCCTGAATAGCGAAGGCAGTATCCCAGTTCTGCACGCCGTTGGTGCCATTGCACATCATGCCCTCGTTCTTCACCCATAGCGCGTCTTCCAGTCGGTCGACGTGTCTCCGTACTGTGTAAGCTCCTGGCCCATCGCGAATGTAGCATACGACGGTGTTCATGGCCGCATTGACGGGCGCAAGATCGGCAAAATCGGTGTTCTCGTCTTCCATATCCACCAACTTGCTCACCCATGCTTCGGCTTTCTCGGCCAGAGACTTGGTTCGGAGGTAGGGGTTCCAAATGTTGACAAGGAACCAGTTGGCCGTGTTGAGCAGCCATGACTTGGGGTGGTAGTTGTCGATGGAGGCGATTGAGTTTCGGTGCCCATTCCAGTCGATCTTGTCCCACTCCTCGACGAACAGCTCCTGTCGCAGTTCCCGAATCACGTCCGTCTCCTCGCACGTCCACTGCTTGGAGTAGATGTAGCTCATGGACAAGAAGACCTGTCGGATGTGAATCCACCATCGCCAAGGCGCAACAGGCACCCAGTCAGGCAGGAGCCATATCTCGGGCGGAACGGGGTTGACGATAGCCCACTTGCTGACGCCCAGGACGCTCAGCCAGAACTTGGCCCAGTGCGGCGCATGGGTGGCGCCGCCCAGCTTGTGTAGGGTCGCTCGTGCCTTGACCATGAAGGGCTCGTCTGGATCGACGCCGACCAGACGCAGCACCACGTAGTTCATGGATGTACCAAAGACGGTGCTCTCCCCTTCGATGTGCAGACCCCAGCCGCCGTCTTCGGGATGCGCACGCGCCTTCAGGTAGTTCTTGATCTCGGTCGCCTTGTACCAGGGAATCGGCGTCTTGGTGATGTACCAGGCAAAGACGACGCCGGGAAGCAGGAACATCGGTCCGCCATACTCGCTCCCCCACTCTCCCGAGGGCAGTTGGAGCTTCTCGAAGAAGGTCAGGCCATTCCGCACGGCATCGAGGGGCTTCTTTGGCTTGGGCAGATCGGGGAGGCCCTAAGACGGAAGAAATGGTTAACTTGGCAGCGGCTTGCGATCGGGGCGTGGGCTGCGCTTCAGCAGCAACTCACAAGGTCGAGTCCCAGATACCACTTGTCGGCGTAGCTCTGCGGCCAGGCGGCGGCGGCCTTGTCGTCCTCCAGGTACCTCCAGGTGAGACGGCCGTCCTCGTCCAGGCAGCGCCACCGCGTGATGTCGGTCTTGTCAGCGAGCTTCGGTCGCTTTGGTTCCTCCGTGACTAGAGTGTCGTCGCTCTTGCGCTTCGTCACGGCCGTCGATTTGCCATTGGGAGTGGCGGTCATGGCCCCGTTGGCCTTGGAGCGCGTAGTCACCATTTCCTGAGACAGAGTGAGGCGGGCTTCAGCTCTCCAGATCAGTCAGTCGAATCACTGGCTGCGTTGCTTCCAGCCAGACACGCGAGAACAAAAAGGCACTAGATCCAGGCACCCCGTACCATAGTACATTCAGCTCCTGTCGCACTGAAGGAGAGAGAGGCCCTGGCGCGCGCGCTGGTGGGTTACATGGCGGGTGGTGGTGGCTAGCTCACCGTCCTAGCGGCACCCTTGGCACCCTTGACACCCCATCTGGCCCATCTCCAGCGCAAGTCTGTGGGGTAAATTGGTGGCATTCACTGGTGCCCATTCACTGGTGCCCCCCTGCCAAGGTTCGCATGCGCGGTGCCCGGTTGGGACCCGAGAGCCCGAAATCAGGGGCCAGCGATTGCTAAGTTAACTTGTTGGTTCAGTACCCAAGGTTGTGAACTCGGTATAACACTTCGAATACTGAATGCGAGTTGCGAGAGCACGACTCAACCCAAAGCAGCGTGTCCCGGAGGCACACCAGCAGTCAACTTGGGGATCAATTCCCGGGGGAACATTGATTCGAACTTCCAAGTTAGTTACTTTGTGTGTTGACTATCCGTTGCCGTTTTTCCTGTCATGTAGTGGGAGTAGGGACGGAAGGTACGACCTCCATATCTAGGGTCTGGGTCTGGGTCTGCATTTGGATGCAAAACACTGTGCTGTAATACAGTCTGGACTCTTGAACCATGAAACCATCTGCTGTTCGGCGGTGATACGCCCGTTATAATTTTATCAACATCCTTTCTATCTTCGTCTTGGTTTCTTCTGGTCCCATACGCGTCCGAGCATTGTCTACCTTCCCATGTGGCTGTAGATGCCTAGATCCAGAAGGTCATACCCATCCCAACCAGAGCAATGCAAGATTTTTGGGAGCTTCAAGGTCACCACAGTCGAGCTCTTCTCAGCTGCCTAGTCACTCTAGGCCCACACATTCTTAATGAACAGTGAGACTGGCACCATGAACTCGTCGAGCTCCCCTGGCAATCCATCCCCGAGTCCAGGCCAACCTCGAACAAGACTTGGAGCGCAGCCCTCATCCCCGACCAATTACTCAAGCAGCGAAGAAGATGGCGGATGTCAGAGTCAAACCCCAGAAGAGCAAAGCCCGGCTGCCTTGGTTATTGGACAAATTGAGGATATCCTGGAGGATGCAGCTGATGCACTCACCGAGAACCGCCCAATGACCATTCCACTACGCAACCGCCGCTCTGGCAACGAAGTTCCCGTCTCGTTTCCCACACCCGCCGGGACTGGTGCAAGAAGATTCAGTATGTTGTCCATGTATCTATGAGTTTCCTCAAGTCTCAATACCACTCACACTATGCTCGGTATCAGCTGCTGTTCTTCATATCCTGTACATCTGCCACGAGGCACTTGTGACTGGTAATATTGTGACAAAAAGGTTCGTCTTTCTATCAAGAAACCAGACCCAGGTCCATCTTCCAGATTCGCTTAAACGTCAACTGATCTTCGGAAATAGGAACATTTACTACCACAACCCCGGTCTGTTCGGCAGCCAAGCTTATGTCGACTATCTCGTTGATGACATAGCTTTCACATTTGGTGTTAGCAGGGATCATCTGAATATCGTATGGCCTATTTGTCGAGTCCTCTCGGGAGCGTTGTTCTGATTCGGTTGCAGGTTGCAGCCTCGAAAGGGCTGATTGCCGGTGGGCAGTTCAGTCATGGAGATGGCCATCATGTATGTCACCCTTGAAGTATATCGCGGCCCGCAGTTCTCTCATATATTCCAGGGAGTCCCAATTCCGCCAACGCGCAGCGCAGATGATTTTGATCTTCGCGGCATCCAATGGATTTTAATCATTGAGAAAGAAGCAGGTTTGCATGTCCCCAGGAGTATCAGCATGGTGCTGACTCCAGAAAGGCGACTTTCCGCAGCTTGGCTGCGGCTAGTTATTTCAACAGTTCTTCAGCAGGACCTGGGCTCCTGGTTACGGTATCTGCCACAGGGATTGCATTGACTATGTCGTTCGCTAATATGATTTTGCTAGGCGAAGGGATATCCAGACCTGGCAACTCGACAATTTCTGAGCTTATTACATTCTGCCTATGCATACATCCCCATGTATGCTCTTGTTGACTTCGACCCTGATGGGATAGGCATTATGCGCACTTTCAAGTTGGGCAGTCGTAACTTGGATCACGAAGTCAATGCGACTGTCCCCAGTTTGAGCTGGCTGGGTGTCAAGAGCGAAGACATCTTCTCTGTCGCCAGGCCCCTTGACTCTCCATCTAAATCATCGTCGCAACCGAGTACATGCACTATCCAAAGCCAGTCGCCGGCCGGGGCCGTCGCTCCAGCGCAAATCACGACTAGCCATGATAGCTTGTCCCCAGAGAATCCTGCGACTCCATCGACTACTTTAGCAATTACAGACTACAAGATGGTCGCTTTGACCCTCAATGATAGGAACAAGGCCATCAATCTACTAGCCGCCCTGAAAACTCCTGAAGACCAGGATGCTGAGGACATGAATCTGACCAGCGAGCTCCAGCTAATGCTGATGCTTAACACGAAATTTGAGATCCAGGCGGTTGAAGACATGGGCAACATGACGAATTGGCTAGATGCGAGACTCAAATCTAGTTTTGATGGGGATCTGGAATAACCTGGCCTGCCATATCGGCGTTGGCTGATTGTCCTTGCTAGCGATCGCGGCAGTAGAACGAAGGAATACAGCACAATTCTTCTTAATAAAAAGCAACTTGACTTTAAGTATGCCTCAGTCTTCTTATACCAGTAGATATATGTGCCCAATATATGCCGCCTCACGATGTGTTGCTCACGGTTGAAGTCCTGCGACTCGTTGAGACACACAGTGAAGCTTGCATCACGTGATGCATCCACCTACACAGTATGCACCACACGAAAAGATACGTACCTTTTGACATCTTCACACCTTTGCCACTGTATGCAAGCTCTTCCGGTCGATAATATCAGAAAAATCCTCAGGTTCCCATCGATCCAGGGTATACTCGCCAATCTTTCCTCGTGAGAGACTCGAGAAGCGGGCGCTTGCAGTCGTAAACGTCGGGCACCACAACGGCGCCAAAAATTTTCAATCCACCCACTTGCCTAAAGGGTACGCCACGGAGAAGACCTGGAGTTTGCGACGAAGAAATCCAGTACAGTCACACAAAATGGCGCCGAAGCTCTCTGAAGAGGAGATCGATGATCTCATCTACTTGGCACGGGCCGGCGAGGATGCAGAGCTCACCCAGCTGCTCATGGAGCTGGCGGATCGGGAGAAGGTCACTGTCGCAGAGGTGCTAGAGGCGGCCAGGGACGACGGCCAGGCGACGTGTCTGCACATGGCAGCTGCAAATGGGCATTCGAGTAAGTTGCGCGTGTGGCTCATGCCGGGGCAAGGGTTGGTGGTGAAAGAAAAAAGCCCCCCTCGCTCATTTGCGATTGAATCGGATGAGTTGAGGTAGTGGACGACGCTCGGCTCACCTGCCACCCCTGCCCCTCCCCCCTTTTGCAGGACCAGAGGACTGATATCGCGACAGAAACCGTTACACACATCCTCTCGCAGTTGCCTGCGTCCACATTCGCTCCCCCAGCCCCTTCAAGCACATCCCCCTCAGCAGAAGACTCCACCTCCTCCTCCTCCTCACAGCCCAAAGCCTCCTACATCAACCTCCCCAACAGCTACGGCAACACGGCGCTGCACTGGGCCTGTCTGGGTGGCCACCTGGACACGATCAAGCTGTTGCTGTCGCGGGGGGCCAACCCCACCGTCGCCAACGACAAGGACCAGATCCCCCTGGACTGCGCGGCGTTCAACAACCACATGCACGTCGTGGAGCACTTCCTGAGCCAGAGCCGGCAGAAGGAGGAGGAGAACGCCAAGGAGGGTGGCCTGGAGCAGGCCGCGGTGGACATCAAGATGCAGGACGGTGATGAGGAGGTCGAAGAGGCGGCCGAGAAGGCGGGCAGCTCTGCGTAAGCCTGGGCTCGTGAAAGGAGGCGTCTAGGGGAACGAATGCAAAAGACTAAAAGGGGTTCTTGTTATGGTTGTGATGCTGATACAAGCATCACTATATGCGACTGAAGCTGAATGCAAACTGCGCGATGCAGTCCAGAGGGAAGATGGGTAGAGTCATCATTTAGAACATGGAATTACATGGTCAATATCGTCGATATCGCAAAGCCATGACGGCGCAGGCAGGTCTAGATATACAGAACTGTCATCAAAACGGTGGTAAGGTATGCGCTCGCATAAACAAGCGTCTTCATTATCCATCGTATCCTAAGACCCCATTCTGAACCACCCTTTCCATCCTAAGGCAACTCCAGATGGATGAAATTTCTCGATTCATGCATGCCCCTAAGGACCGAGGGTGACTACTCCAGTAGGCGTGCCACCTCTCGGCTCCAGAGCAGCGGGCGCTCCTTCGTCTTGCCAATCTCGACCACGTCCTCCCGGAAACTCGCATCCAAGTCTCCTGCATCTCCCAAGATCCTAACAATGGCGACCTGGCGCATCTGCGGCATGCTCGCAAGGGCCTCGTGGTGCTGTTTCGTGCGCGCGAACTGCACATGGAGCTTGCAGATCGACTGGTCGAGGTTGCCAACCAGTTGTCTCCACCGGTCCTCGCCCAGGGCTTGTATCTCATGGTGCCGGCACTGCATGCTCCAGGGCAGGTCCTCGCAGCTCACGGCGAGGAAGTGCATGTGCTTGGTGTCGAGTGTGTGTATCGACGAGGCGCGGCCATCGCTCCAGTCCTTTCCGAAGCACCTCCTGCGGTTCCGGGCGAAAGGCTTGCCCCCTATTTCTTCCTTGCGACCTTGGGCCATTAGGCAGAGGAACGTCCACTCGGCTTCCACGTCGTCTTCGATGGGGTGCACGCCTACACGGCCCACCCACAGGCCATTTCCGTATTTCCGACGCTGGGGGTACTCGGCGCAGAAGTCTTGGATCAGGGCTGTCATCTTCTCCATCTTGCCCCGGTCCATGAGATCAATCAGGATGTGGCACACCGGTTCGTCGTTTGACATGGTCTTCCGGAAATCGAGGTCGACGCCCCCAAGGTAGAAACTCAAGGTTCCCTGTCCAAGGTTCGGGAATTCATCGCAGAGTCGTCTCATGTCCAGGTCCCAGAGGTCCTCGTGCCGAACCATCAAGTGACGCAGACCGGGGAGCTTGCTGCTTAGGCGCATCAGGGATAGGGAGCTAGAGCCATGGGGAACCCTGGGGCCCAGCGACGAGTTCCAGTACACGATGTCGTCCTGCTGCTCCTCAAACCAACACATACGCTTGTCCTCAAATCCCTTCACGGTGAACCAGTGCGCATTTCTGTTTTCTTCGAGTGTCTTTCCGTTGAGCAGTGTGCGTGTTATAAAAGGGCCGGCGGCACGGAAGACGTTCGGTGCCGGCAGCTGCCGCTGGACTGTGTAGCCAGAGGTCGGATACCAAAGATTGTCATCGGTTTCTGCTGTCTGTATCTCTAGAATGCCACGGTTGGGGATGGCGCTTCTCCAGATTAACATCTGAAGCTCTGCTGGCAGCTTGGAGAATTGTGTGAAGGGGGGCATTGGCTTCGCTACAAGGCTGTGGAATAGCTCTCTGGGTTGTGATTCGGCTTCGAAGGACCACTAGTTGCATTCTGACCAGGAGCCGTATCATTGAAGATTTAAACAGTCTAGCCGTTGGGGGTTTTCACGTTAAATCGTATCTTGATGCTGTGCCTCTCAGTGTCGTGATCTTGATATGGACTGCTAATCAAGACAAATGTTTCGTGGAACGATGATCACTGCCTTTTAAATATATCCCTGTGCCTGAAATGGAGAAATAAAGAATGCATAGTCTTTCACGATGGTCGTTGCAGATAGAGTTTGGTGTGTCGAGGTCGTTGCAAATTATTAAGTTTGGTGAACGGTCTCAACGCACAACCATACTTTTCAACCTTGCTACCGTTCAATCAGTTTTGATAAACTCTAAGTAAATCCCTCAGAAAATTCTGCACTAGAAGACGGTAGGTGGTAGGTGCAATCACATCGCTGGAGGACCGGCAGCAATCCATGGCTAGGTAGCCTCATTTGCCACTTGAGTGATTTGCGTCGCATATTACAATGAGCAGCTAGCTACTGAGGTATTAGTAACACTCTATAGCGAAGAGTGGACCATGTAGGCCAGGGCGGTGGCAAAGTGTTTCTATTGCTCTATCTCTCCGTGCATTTCAATACCATATAGTCACAAATCCCCCATCACACCTAGTGGGGTGGGGGTTCCAGAGGGAATATCTAGTTAGCTGAAGAGCTGACTTCATGGACAGGAGGCAGACTCATGGAGTCTGATTTTCCGCTAGGTGGTAGGGCTGGAACGGCCTGAAATGGTGAAGAATACGTGCGATTTTATAGTTTGGTAGATCCTGAACGTGAGTAGTGATATTTGAAGTGGAACTTTTCGCCAGTGGAAGGATTTTAACCCTGGCGTTTCCAGATCATTAGTGTCCAGTCCGGCTGACCGCGCTGCGCGCGATCGTATGATCATAGATGCTTTTATTGCTGGTCCCAGATACATTCTAGTAGAATAGTGAGCACCAAGGCAAGTTTTGCCGGTTCTTCAGGTATGTCCATGTCAACTTCTCGGATGTGCAAGTTGACAGACAGACTTGAACCAGAACTTGGCACTATTCCAATGAGTTAGTTGCTGGCACTAATCCTTGTATAGCTCGTCCCAACCCCGGCACCATGCTCTATTCTTAGTACTGTGGAGCAAGGCGTGTGTATGCAACCGAGATTGGCGGTTCCTGGATGTTTTACGTCGTCCCTATTTCTAAACCGTTCAAATATATGATCCGAGTCATCCGCTCGCACTTACATCAGTATCCCAGTTTCTGCCGTGAGTTGTGATAAACGGTTGCTTAGTTTTGGCATATCTATTCAATAGTCATTAGGTTTTCTTGTCCACCATGAGATCAGTCCTTCTGGCCGCGGCTCTCGTAGCCGCTGCATATGCCAAGACTGGCATCATGCTTCCCCTATACGAGTATCCGTTTGGTGATGCTGCAACCGTCGATTGGGATGCAGTAGTCTCGGCCGCGGCAGCACATCCACAGCTGGACTTCTACATCATCATCAACGACAACTCAGGTCCGCCGTACAGCCCGAACCCACCAGCCGCGATCAAGGATTTCGCACCATACCTTGGCTCTCTAAACTCCCATGACAACGTGAAGCTCATTGGATATATCGCCACCGGCTATGGCAAGAAGACTGCCACCGAGGTGGAAGCGGCTGTCGACCAGTATACAGAATGGGCCACCGCTGAGGGTTGGGCAGCAGGCGTGCCGCACGATATCCACATGGACGGGATTTTCTTTGACGAGATTGATACTGCACCGTCCCAGCTCGACCACAACACACAGATTAGCCAATACGCCAAGACAAAGTTTGCCGCCTCTGGGGGTCCTGTCGTGTTGAACCCTGGTACCTTCGTGCAGAGCGGAAGCGAATCGCTCTTTGATGCCGCCGACGTGATCCTCGACATCGAGGCTTGTTACACGAACTCCAGTGGCCGCATGGACTTCAACGGCTACGCTTGCGATCCATCCGCCAGCGGTTTCTCGGCCTTCACGCCTGCGACACTGGAGAAGCTCGGCAGCAACCCAACCTATGTGTCCAAGTCATCGGTTGTGGTGCACGACTTCTACGAGAGTTGGAATCCTTACGAGCCGGCTTCCGAGGCCACACTGCAGACTTACGTGAACGCTATCATCGCGAAGGGTGTGCATAGCTTCTATATCTCCCAGTTGGGCTATCTTGGGAACTTCACGGCTGAGCCCGCTAGCATATCCAACGTTGCCAAGCTGGCTGCTGCAGCGCAAGGTCTGTCGTAAGTGAGGGCATATTGATAGACATAGCGTACTACTACAATTTTAGATGCACGATTATGCACTTTGCGTGTAACCTTTGCTCCACTAATCCCGAAGCTCCAAAAAGGTGCCAGCTGCAGGGAACTTGTGTACTGTAGTAACAGAGAGGCTTTCTCGTATCACGTACACGATGGAAGGTTGGGATTCGGGGGTTCGTACGAGTAAAACAGATGCCCTGCGTTCTCTCGCCATATGCCACTAGAAGTTCCGGATGCGAGCCTAGTCACGGGGGTGCCATTGTAACAAGACGTAGAATACTACAACCGGGGTCTGACGAGCCCTTCACAAAGAAGAGCACCGACGTATGAACATGTTCAACACCTTCAAAGTACAGAACTCCTTGGTAGTCTCCGAGGTAACGCATACAAACCCCGCGTGCTTTCTAGGATCTCGCTGCAACTATGCATACAACCTTTCGTAATCGTATTTTTATATGGCCCAACCCCACCATATGTATTGGTGCCTTCGGGATAGGACCACGTTCCGATGCATGCACTGCCGAGAACCAGAAGAATGGCGGGCATGACCGTTCCGGTCCGTACCATGCATCAGCTGCATGAAAACTTCGGTTCTGCGTGCTGACACGTAGCTTGAATGGTTTTTCCTGATTGTATGATTGGATTAAGACTGCCGATCCAAAATTCATTGACCAGTATCTTGTAATCGAACACTGCATGTGGATTATGTGAGTCACTTCGACATGCAATCGACTGTTTCCTGCAACACTATATTTGACATAGCTCGCTCTTTTGGACATTGATAAGCACCCAATATATCCTGTCCTATTCACACAACTTCTGGTCGGTGGCAAGGATTTATCGTACATTGGTGTCGAGTATGAAAACGCCGGTGGGTCTCGGCCCAGCTTCTCGACTTACTGACTGAAATTTCCGGTTGGCGTGAAGCGCAACAATTATCGCCACAATCAATGCATTTAGTGGCTCATGCGTAACTTGCTCAATGCAACACCAAGACATGCACTACTTTAGGGCAAGGTCGGTATACAGATATTGCGGATAGACTGAAAGCTCCGCTGTACGATGATGTATTCTTTCATGTGGATACGAGCCATGCCCACTTGGAGCATAGTCACGCGACCATGATGAGTCAGATGAAATGCGGTAGGGCTGTGCATGGTGACGTCGAGCGCCAATACAACATTGCCATATACCTTTACTCAAGTCAGAAGACCATGTCATCTTGGTTGAATGCCGCTGTTATGCAACCAATAGTATCAAGGCTGTGGTTGTAGCAGCTTTGCATGGTGCTTAGACGGTAGGTAACTCACTCGCCCTTGTTTATTTTACATAGGTATACGCTCAGAAGGGCAAGGGCAGTTAGACCTTACAGCGTGCAGGAGACGTGACATATCGAAATCCTCCCGATTGTCTGTTCATAATGTCCATTGGACTACATGGTGTAATGGTAATTTCAGTGGCTGAGACAAGCCTTCAACAAACGTAGCTCATATATACATTTCAAAGGTAATATAGATAGAGATAAAGATAGTGATATGTACATGGTCTGTCTATATATGCTATTGTCTACCGAGGACGGCGTCGCGAGATATGTTCAGAGATATCAATATCTTCTACTCCTCCTTCGAGAATTCTCAAGTCATCTTATTCATGTGTGATTATCGTTGCCTGCCAATTACAGTTTGTACTGTTCCAACGTTATGTTTCTGACCCGCAAATGGGCAATTGATTCCTCGCTCTGCTTTGCGATTGCAGAAGCTCTCAAACGTAGATTGTTCTGTTGCGGGTTGCATTGCAACATCCAAAATTTCCAGCTCACCCTACAACTGCAATGCCTCCCCACTCAAAATCCTGGATATCGTCCTCATAAGACCCGGGACGACCGTCGGACTCTAGTGCGATATACACCAACACTCCTCTTGGGTCGTGCTGGACGGTTGGCCCTGGGGCAACTTTGAGTGTTCATCCATAATGTGTGGTAATACCTACGAAAATGTCACCTACAAGCTGCTGGATCGCGCTGACCGGTCCATCTGTTGTTGTGCCAGTGAGACCGGGCAAAGGCGGCGTCGATTGCGCCGCGGCGTTGTGATAAAGCCATGAGTGCGATAACAATGCCTATGTGTCCACCAAGACCTTGGGACACTGGAGCATGGGTGTTGGTATTGCGATATGCTCGTGGGAGGAGCCCGTCGATGAAGCCGGCGTTGCGGCCAGCAACGATTTTGTGGCTCCCATTGGGACTTGCCTGGCTGACTCCACCTTCGTGTATGAAATGCAGGGCGCGCCAGCCATAGAACTCATCATCTCCATGTACGGTGACATCGCCGCCCCCAAATATACAGGGGAGGAATGGACCGCAGTTGAACACCGAAAATGTGCTATACGGGTCGAGCGCCTGAAACTCATGGATGGGATTTCCCGTTTCGTCGGTGTTTTGCGACCACCACCCAATAGAGCCGGCGAGCCCGGGCCCTGGTCGGTGCCATGTATAAATATCTTCCACGGTCACCACACCGTTCTTGTATCTGAAAACCCTGCCCTGCGATTCCTCTACATAGCCATCCCAAGTCTCGGGTGGTAGGGGGTTGCCCCATTGATCAGCTGAGGTGGGAAAGTCGAGATCTAGGTTCAGTTCGTTAACAACAAAGAGAAAATTGACGTCAAGGCGCTCTTTAGATTTTGAACCCGAGGTACTCCTCCCAGAGCTGTAAGTCTTGCCCGAGGCCCTTGCCTTCGTCTTGCCCTCGTGGTGAGAACCGTGGGATTTACTAGACCTCGCATGCTATGGCCGTTAATTGAGCATGTCAAGTAATCCGCCCTGCAGAGTCTAGACTTACCGAGCCCGACCTTCCAAACCCTGAAAACATTGTTCTCACCCAAGCGTCAAGCGGGCAAGCACAGACCAGCGAAGGGGAGGCTAGGCAAAACGCCGACTCTCAAAACTGTGTGAACGGTTGCTATGGGCATGTTGCGCGGTAAGCTTACGCGGTGTTAATCACAGGGATGATGGACTGGCCATTGGCTCATATTATGGTCCAGAAGCTATGCAATCGTCGACACATATGCATCGCTGGCAAGGTTCCAGGAACAAGCCATTTGAGTGCCAGATTGTCGCAAGCGGTATTGCCGCTAGTAGCCACATGATATTGGACCATGTGTACTCCCGTTACTACGAAGTCATGCTGAATCCATAACGCGGGACGAGAACTGACTAGCGGACATTGTGAATGCATGCTGTGGGGAGTGGTGAAGACCGGCCCGGTCTTGCTCATCGCTTGGTATCCCTCCAGTGATAGGCAAGAGATCCAGCTAGGGGCGAGCGACAGTTGCAACGCAACGTTGATGCCAAAACCGCAAGCGCCGACTTGCTGCGGTATAATTCGGCGCAAGAACTGTTCCCGTGGCCAGGAATGCCATCTTGCACGCGGTTTGACGGCTGACATCGTCATCTCTGGGGCAAAGTCGAAGGAAAACATCTTGTCGTTCTCGTCATGTGTGCGTGTGCGAAACCCTGCAGTAAATTGCGGAATTCGGATCTAGACGTAAATAGCAGGATGTCATGTCACTGCGTTAACGCTGTGACCCATGCTACCCTATCAGTCCCTTGCCATGCGGATTTGGCCGAGCGACGAGGCTCTTGCGTGGCCACTGGCCAGACAACTCACTGATCGTGCAGGCCAAGCATGCGTCAGCGTAGGTTGCCGAAACAGCATTGCCAAGTCACCATTCGGCCCTCTGTACAGAAGGCCGTTTCAATTGGCCTCTGGGGTGGTCGCGAAAGATGCGTCATATAGGTGACATCCTGCAAACGGACACAAATTCGCAGCGCAACAGTGCAGAGTCTGGTCCTGATTCTCCGCGTATATTACATTGGCCAGCTGTTCCGCGTGGGAGCTTCTAACAGACGGGGACCTAGCTGCGAGACACCTGACTTGGGATTTTCTTGTCTCGAAATTCCCGGCTTATTGGCTGCGGCCTTCTGCCTCAATCATGACTCGAGGTGCCGGCCCTGGCTCTTGGATTAAAGCAAGGGTTAGAGCAATCGTCATGTCGGAATGGTATATGCAAGCTAGTGCGTGCAGCTCCTGCGGTGGTACGCAATTAGTTGTGGATGCCAGTTTCCTCGGAGAACTCTCGATGCTGAAATCCCCATTTGTTGCATGATACTAAGCCATTCCAAGTAATACCCCTTTCCCTGGGGAGAGGGCGGAGGGCGTAATGAAGCTCAGGGCTGATCAAGCATAACGACTTGGCAATAGCTTAACAATTAAAACAGCCCACGATCCAACCGGCAATTATCAGTCGCCAAAAAGGGCACAATGCTGAGGATCGTGAATTCGAATTCGTTCGAGTCATCATGGACCACGAGACAGGAACGAAGCGTTCTTATAATGACTAGGCACTCATCGGAAGCCTAACCTTGCCATTCGTCTCCTGGCCGGGATCTCTATGCAGAGACTTCGTATCGCAGGGTCATAGTGTAAGATCGAGCAGCATTCCTAGAGCAACGGAATGCCTCTGTGCATGACCCGGCCCAATCAAGCGGTTGGTGTCGCTGACAGCTCTGTGCCAACTGTGCCAAAGCTTCCGGTGAAGCCGTTTGCTATCTAGCCTCTGGTTCCGGGAATGCAGCCCGGTAGTGAATGTGCAACGTCATAAATACGACACGGTAACATGGCTATTCTGAGAGAGAGAGAGACTCACGATAATGTGTTTGTCTGTGCTGTAAAGTGGAGAGAACGAGTGTGCGGCGTTTTCGTTTCCGCATCTGGGCGCGCAGACGTCGGAGTTCACACCGCACTTACAGAACTGCATACCCTAGGTTGGCCGGTACAGGCAGACTAGTCGAGGGCCGCTCCCTTCGCAATCGGCAACCATATCAGTTGGTACACTGGTGATCTTGACTGCGAGCGTCGACTTGTTGCTCGCCATGCTGGATGTAGACATGGAGCCACAAGGTCGTCCAGCGATGGAGACTTGATGATTCTTCCTCCTCCTCTAACTCAAAGAGGGAAGAGCACCCCCCAGCCGTTTCTTCCGTCTCCAGGGTAGCGGAACCGCGGCCTAATGCGGGAATCTGCTCAGGGCAGAATGTACACCGACTGAGGCGAGCCTAGACATGCCATCGAATCCCTCGCCAGTCCATCTCGAGAAGGCGAATCATGGCGAGCCCGTAGTGTCTGCCGAGTATGCAAGTTCAAACTTTGTAGATAACCGGTGACACTCTCGGGGGTTTGTCCGACGGCATGGCTTCCGGCTCGTGCCCGCCAGCCACTTTTATACATGTCAAACGTCTCCTGCTGAGCCTGGTACCTGTTGATTGAGGCAGACACAGTTGGAAGCAGGCTCCTTGGTTGGTTGGCGAGCTGTCAGTGAAAGCCGGACGGAATGCCTAAATCGGGTGGCATTCCCGGCCCTGGCTATGTGCCCCGCTCGCATGCTAAGTCGAGCCAAGTCGTGGTCGCGAATCGCGCACCAAGTGCTGCAGAAGAACGACAAAAACCCCCGATAGGCCGTCCCCTGGCGAGGTGATTCCCCAAAAAGGATTCCCAAAAAGGGCCGCTCAGTGGCAAGCCCCAAAACGTGGTGCTGGTGAGTGAATCCGAATTCGAGTTCGAGGTCTGAATCTAGTCCGACGCCGCCCCGTCAAGCATGGTTGTGGTTGACCTCCTGGGCAATCGCGGTTATCGTACCCTTTGGTTGCTGGGCGCGGGGATTTCTCAAATACCGATCCGATCCAACCGGCCCCGATGAGCCCACAAACTCCGTGCATCAACGGCGCCTTGATGCGAGATGACGTTCCTATTCCTTCGGGCCGTAACGTTGTTTGCGATCTGGTGGTGGAGGCTGCCGAGGTCACAAGCTGTGAGTGGGATCTGATCAACGACTTACATTTCCGGTTATGGCGAGACCGCACATGGAAGATTTGTCGTGGCAGCCACACGTTTATGCAGCACCCAGGGACCCTGTGGCTGAGAGCTTGCTGTTTTTGAGATCGAATCCGGAAACCCTTCTACGTGCCTGTACGAAACGGACCGTCCGAGGCTTCGAGGCTTTGGCAAGCCGCAAGACCAGCTTTCGAATAATTGGGCAAGAAATGGGCTGCGACGGCCTGCCTCGGTCAGGTCAGGGATACGCCCAGACTTGTCACGATTTGCAGCTTCTGGGGATCGATCGAGTCAATACCGGATGAAGACACTGAACTTGCGCTGTGTGGATGTATGTGTAGAACTCGAGGGTGACGGTCAAGACATCAACGACAACATCGAACCACGGCAATACTCTCATTATATCCCATGGCCACCCAAGAATGGCTCCGCCAAGCATTGCAGTGGACCGGGCCCCGTTCGTGAACGGTCGGTCCTGCTTGCTAGGTGCAGCCCGCTTGGACCCTGGGGAAGTTGGAGGAGATTCCTTGCTGCGACAACCTTGCATTGCCACACCCGTCTTGCTGGTGTGAGCATTTGAAACAACAGGGCTTCCTGCTGGAGCTTCCCATCGCCCGCAGAGCATCTGAATAATAATATGAATCAAAAGGCCAAAGCTGACCACAGTAAAGCCTGCGGCAGACGACAGTTTGGGGATTGATACCCTACTTAACTACAGCTTTCGATGCCATGAGTCTGACACGCAATGTGTAGATGACCCCATGTCGCTTGTTGGGGGTTTCGGCTTTCTGCATTTATATGCAGGGAAAAAGCAAAAGCTCTACATGTCATCGTCAGTTGTGTTGCCCCAAAACGTTCAAAGCTGTGCTTCTTGCTAGAGAATATAGGAAGCTATAATGGTTTTGCATCAATATTGGCCATGCGGAACCTTGCGCTTGGATGAACAGCAAATCAGCATTGCGTGTACGTCCGGTTGTGTGCACATGATAGCAGTTATATATCTACTACTCGCCAGTCTCACCCATAATTTGCACCGTGATGGCTGAGAGGATCTCATTTGGCATTGCCTACACCGTAAACGCCGTTTCAGTCATCACCTGTTTTGCGCTGCCTTTAGGAAAGAGTGCGTAAGGAAGAGGTCCAAGCTCCCACAAGGCGTTACGCTGTAGCCTCATTCCGAAAGTTCATGCAAGCCGACGCACGCAGAGTTCAACCCACGGCAACTTCATGACGTAGAGACCCTATTATACTGTTTCATAACTCGTAGGGCTGCGTGCGGCTCAAATTAGATCTCGGGATGAGCCGAGTCGGTACTTCCATTCTCTGGACCCGGCAGTCGAAGTGTGCTAGTTAACCTCGGTTCCATGGCTCGGGTTCTGTGATCGGGTTATCTTAAGACCCATGGGGGGAGATCGGAAAGGGAGGCCAGTGCTTTGGCAGATCAGCATTGGAGAACTTAAACTTAGATTGTCGCGCCATCCCAGGGCCATCTGCTATCTTTGTTCGTAGTGTTACTCTGCCTACAATACGAGTCGCTCCAGGCCCTTCAATGCGATACCATAGGCAACGGGCACGTCAAAGTGGATGTCGAGCACGCTCAAGTCAGCGAGATCCCGATTTATCCCCGTCCAGAGATAGAAAAACGAAGAGAAAACGGATCCATCCCACGCGGCTCAGCGAATGATAAGAGCTGGATGCGGCAGCATCTCGGCGGCGAATTTCGGTCGTGATCCACATGTCTCCAGTTTACCCACCGCCATGGCTCGCGCTATCTCGGGGCTTGGGCTAGACGCGCGAAGGCGCGGCCACCGAGACATGCCATCGCTGGCAAGGTGGTTCCTCCGGGTCCTCCTGCTGGCCTCTGCCCATCCGCTATCCGACTTGCGTTTCCGGGACCTGGGACGGCACTGAGCAAAGGGCTATTGATCCGCAATCAAGATGGGGTGTAAAACTTGGGCAGCCTCCGGAAGAGGGAGTTTTGCGTCTCCAGGGCTCGCCAAAACTTTACACTCGTCCACCGACAATTGACGTCTAGTTGACATCTTAGCCCGTGGTTGCACCGTATCGTGCCGTCGCCCCCTAAACCATTGACTGGTATCACTCCACCGCGGAATATGGCTGAGATCCCGGACGACAAGCAGCGCGGCGCCGCGTTCGACGCACTGGCCGAGGAGTCGACTGCTATGGGAGCAACGGGTGTGATATCGAACCCGAACCGTCCACCACCCGACTTCTCGACCCGACCAGATGGTGGGCTCACGGCATGGCTGCAAGTCCTCAGTTGTTGGTGTGTCGTCTTCTGCACCTTTGGGCTGGTGAACTGCTTTGGTGTCTATCAGACATACTATGAGCAAGTTCTCTTGCCCTCAAGCACATCCTCGGCCATCTCGTGGATTGGGTCTATCCAGGGCTGCATGCTATTGGCCGGAGGTCTCTTCTCCGGCCCCCTTTTCGACATGGGATACTTCCGACACTTGGTGTGCAGCGGTCTTTTCTTCATTGTCCTCGGACAATTCATGACGTCGCTGTGCACTGAATTTTGGCAAGTCTTCCTGGCTCAAGGTGTCTGCATAGGCGTGGGATGTGCACTCGTGTTCTTGCCATCCACTGCTGTCCTGTCACAGTACTTCTCTAAGCGTGTGGCCCTGGCGACCGGGATCGGATCATCTGGGTCGCCTATAGCCGGCACCGTTCTCCCTATTGTGTTTAATCAGCTTGTAGACGAGATAGGTTTTGGCTGGGCCACGCGTGTCATTGCATTCATCTTGCTGGCTCTTGCGATAGTGCCCCTGCTTTTCTTCAAGACCAGGCTACCACCATCGAAGCATCGTCGGAGCTTGATTGATACCTCGGCCTTGACCGATGTCGACTTTATGACGTTCGTCGCCGGCGGATTTTTCTGCTTCATGGGGTTGTACATTCCCTTCTTCTATATCGAGCTGTTCACCGTGAAGCATGGGCTGTCTTCGGCGTCGTTTGCGCCGTATATGCTCACTATTATGAACGCTTCAAGCGTCCTGGGCCGTGTAATTCCTGGGCTTCTCTGTGACCTTACAGGCACTCCCTGTTTTGTCATGGCTGCCTGTGCTGGAGTCTCATGCATCCTCGGCTTCGGATGGCTAGGAATTCGCGACTTTGCTGGCATTGTTGTTTTCGCCGTGCTTTACGGTGCATTCTCCGGTGGCGTCGTCGTCTGCCAACCAACGGGCATCTTTTCGCTCACCTCAGATCACAGTCGCGTTGGGACACGACTAGGGATGTCTTGTTTCGTTGCTGGCATTGCTGTGTTGATTGGAACACCTATCGGTGGAGCCATTTTGGGCGGCGGTGAGAGCGAGGACAGATGGAATGGTTTGATAGGCTTTGGTGCAGTCAGTCTCCTGATCGGGGCTTGTCTGACCTTCACTACGGGAATGGTGGTGTTGCTTCGATTGCGAAGGAAGATGCGGCCTGACACTGTCTAAGCCTTCGGTGCACTTTGATTTCCTAATAGATACTGATAGACTCGGAAGACACACGGATAGACTGATACCCATAGACTTATAGAATATAGAACATGAGATATTTTGCTACATACTTCGTAGTCATCTCGCTGAGTAGTGTGAGCTCGACCTGGTGGATTTCCAAGCGTCATGTGATGTAGCCTTTTCGTGCAGATGCCTTATTAGAGACAGTAAAGCATGAATTATCTGGATCGTCCATTTGTGCATGCAACGGTGGTTGGCATTCCCAACTAATTTAGTCACGACCTGTGAGCAGTGTGGATGACCACTGAGCCTGTGCAGCGTCAAATCTATAATTTGACGGTGCCCGGTATCCATATTAATTTTAGAAACCCATAGCTCATATCGTTCACTTCTCGAGCTTCAGTGAAAAATAGAGGCAAGTGATAGTAAGGACTAGAACATGACCTATGCTTTTCAAATATGCTGTGAGTATAATTTGTCTCGGGACATTTTGGTGGGTGGAATAACAAGCATCGACATAAAAAGATTTCGATAATCTGGGATAGTATCAAGGTGTTCTCGTTCTATATTACTGAACAAGGGTCTATCACGACAGTACTACTACCTGCTTTCAAGTTTTCAACCTTGAATCGCATGACCCCCCTTTCCTGAATCTTACCAGAGTTTGAAAGTCCAACCATTAAAGGAAGGAGGCAGTGTCCTCATAAGTGCAAAACACTGCACAAAACTATTATGAGACCGGGTCTCGCCCGCCGTGAGTAGGAATGAGATCCTCTGCCTTCGATTTCGCTCGGCCAGCGCATGGACTGTTCCACGGACCAAGAAGCGCCAGCGTGGCCCGATCATGGTAAGTTTTGTGAAAATGTTATTTCAGTACGGGATTGACTTAATAACAAGGATGGCATAGAAACAACTCCAGGGAACCAATCCGGCTAATCGGGCGGGGAAACTTAACACTGTCCTATGACACATGCCTTGTCCACGGGGCCACGTCGCTCAGACTGGAGCAAGCATTGTAATTTGGCTGTTATAGAGCATGGTGTCGGGGATGGTCAGTAGCACCTAGCAGTATCATAAAGTTCCAACCAAAGCAAGGCGCATGAGCTATAAAATTACTACGGAGTATAATAGAGTGCTTCCAGACTTGAACAGCCGCATTCAAGCAGACACCCAGGGCATCAAGGGAAGAAGTCGCCGGAGCCCAAAGGCAAGAATACTGTTTCTTCATCAAGTTCTTCGTCGTATGATTTCGAGAGGCCAACTCATCGCCAAGTTCTTTCAACACAGACTGCCGGCGTTGCATAACGGAGGCTAGATACCTATCAAGTGGTTGGTTAACAGGCATCGAGAAAAAGACGTAGTTTTAATTGAAGTTAGCCCCCAATGTCTCAGAAATGACGTCGGGCTCCCCCGGCTGGGCCATGGATTGGCCGCGGAGGATCACCCATAGCCCCGCGGAGCAGGGGTGCACCGAAACGGACACCGTTTGAGGATGCCTGTGCTCTTCATGCTCTACCATTGCAAATTTGAACAATTGTCGATCTCCCCTAGTCTTCGGACGGCTTGCAACCTTGTTTTGACTTCTAGAAAAGCCCAGACGCTGCAAGGTACCACGGATGACTGGGCAGCGTTGTATTCTCAATGGACGGGACGCCCTGGACTTTTTCAAACGACGGCGCCTTGCCTTCCCCGCGTCTGCTCTTGGCCATCTGTATTCAGAGGTCATCGTCTGATGAGTAGGCGCCCTTACGCCGTCACGTTGGTCCATCATGTTGTCATGACACCAGCCACTCGAGATCGACGTAATGATGATTGTCTGATATGATTGTCTGATATGAGTTGCAAGCGCGTTGGTGTTGCGGATTTGAGGCACTGGTCGGCACAGTTCATTTCGCCCCCAGAAGCTTGCCCCTATTGGCTGAAGCAGCCGCATCCAGGTCCTTGTCTTAACCTTTACTTGAAGTCCTCTACTCCCAAATTTGGTAAAGAAAAGTTGCCTCTACTCGTCTGATCTGCGGATCCTGGCTCTTGTTCCTTGCAACCCGGTACATCTCCTGGCGATCTGGCGATCGAATCAACGAAGCTTATTTGACGTCAACCATCATATCCAAATTAATGCATGATGTTTTGTCACACAAGCAGATGGCTTCGCCTCGGCATGCATCGTTGGCCTGTCGCTGGGGGTGGCTGTGGACTTCCTGAGGTGTGACACTGAGGCACGATAACCCCTTTCGTTCTCATATAAGACGCTGCGTGCCTACTACCTTGCGGGAAATGGGGGAATAAGCCTTCTCGCCCTATACACCGAAGCTAAGCAAGGAACACCACCACACCGATTGGACTCTTTGTAAGCTACGATTTTCTCAAACCAGAACAATCATGAAGGCGTCAAGCATCCTAGGGGGCCTTGCCTTGGCAGGCACATCTGTGGCAGACTCTACATTGGCTAGCCCTCCTAGCAAGGTGCAACGAGATATCACTGCTGTTTCTTCGGCCGTGGCTCAAGTCTCAGCAGCCATGGTCACACTCGATACATCGGTCAAGGCATTTGATACCGATGCTACCCAGGTCAAGTCCGATTCCGCTGCTCTTATCGAAACCATCAAATCAGCTGCAACTACCCTCGACGGGTCGTCAGACCTGAGCCTCACGGACGCCGTCTCTCTGCAGTCCTCGGTCTCGTCACTTGGAACTGTCGGCAAGTCTCTGATTTCCGACCTCGAAGCCAAAAAGTCACAGTTCGAGAAAGCCGGGCTATGCAGTGACGTACAGTCCTCCTTCACAGACATAAGCACCACGTCGAACTCCCTGATTGAAACCATCATCGGCAAACTTCCGGAAGAGGCTCAGAGTATCGCGAAGGGCTTGGTGGGCGACGTTCAGGATACTTTGCAGAAAGGGGCCGACGCCTTCTCGTCGAGCAACTGCAAGAGCAGCGGTGGATCGTCCGCCCTCATCACCGCCTCGGCCACTGCGACTGGAGCGAAGGCAACCTCCGAGGTGGCTGCAACTGGAGGAGGAGGAGGAGCAGGAGCTGTCACTGTCACTGTGACTGCACCCTGCCAGTGTGCTGGCTCGTCGACTACACGGACGACTGCAGCTTCCATCCCCTCATCTTTCCCAGTGAGCAGCTTCCCGGTCACGAGCGTCAGGGCAAACTCTACGATTCCAGGGACGGGTACGCTGGTCAGGCCAAGCTCGACCACGGCTTCTGCCATTGTCACGGCTGGGGCGTCGGCCAACGGCATCGGACCGGTGGGACTGGTGGCTGGCCTCTTTGCTGCTCTCGTATTGTAGGCTAGACCCTACTGGAACACAAGGACGAGTCACCCCTCTGGAATATAATAGAGACGGTCACGACGTTGTCAGTTACATTGAAGGCACGGTAGAGCGCATGTTATTTGGTCTCCTAAGCACCGGGCTGGAATACCCAAGTTGTTATATATTGATATCCCTGAATTTCATGAGTCTTGAGTGCGAAAACACCTTAATACATCAATGTCCCTTGATCGACTCCATAGTTTTGAGCGCTGCCACACAAGGTGAGCGCAAGTCATTACAATTATTTTTGACGTAGCCAAGAACCCGCCCTCAGTAAAAAGCCTGTCAAGTGTACAGCTTAATAAGTCTCGTACTCGTCCTCTTCGCAACTGTCCTCGTCATATGGTGGCGGCGGAGGTTGCTTGTATGGAGGCTCAGGCTTGTCATGAGGACCTGGTGGCGGCGGGGGCTTCTCATCTGGTCCTGGCGCGGGTCCTGGCTTACCGTCAGGTCCTGGTGGAGGTGCCGGCTTGTCATGAGGGCCTGGTGGTGGTGGTTTACCATCGGGCCCTGGTGGTGGCGGTTTTCCATCAGGACCTGGTGGTGGTGGTGGTGGTTTACCATCGGGGCCTGGTGGTGGTGGCGGTGGTTTACCATCGGGACCTGGTGGTGGTGGTGGTGGTGGTTTACCATCAGGTCCTGGCGGGGGCAATACGCAAGCTTCATAAGGGCTTGGCGGAGGAGGCTTTGCACCCGGATCAGCAGGAGCAGGTTCTGGCGCGGGCACGGGCGCGGGGGGCGGTGGCGGCGGCTTCTCAGCCGGATCGGCGGGGCCGGGACCTGGTGCCGGTGCGGGCGGTGGTGGCTTCGGAGCCGGCTCGGCAGGCCCTGGCCCGGGCTCCGGCGCCTCAGCCGGGGGGCAGGGCTTGGGAGTCGGCTTCAGCTCGGGTTTGCACTCGTCGTAACATGAGCCGTATCTCTCACCGCAGCTGCTAATGCCATCGAAGCAGACGATGTGAGGGCATTGCTTCTCTGGGGTCTCTGGGTAAGGAGCGGGAGGCTTCTGCTGGTAGTTGGGCAGGGCGAGGGCTACGGCCACGAGGGCGAGCAGGGGAAAGGCGTGAGATCGCATTGCGCAGCTGTATTAGCACACGGGGACGGCCTGGAAAATGATCTGTCCTGTCCTGTCCTCCAACTCCCCTACAACGAAAGAGCTGGCCAACCTAGGACTTATATAGAGCCGAGTCTGGTTCACCAAAATGTCTATAAGAACCGCCAAGGCTGGCTGTAAGTACATGAGTTGGATGTGACGCCTAGCCTTGGCAAACATATGTCCCGGACTGGCTATAACATTGTCCCCGTCACAAAAGCTGGGGTTTTGCGACATGTCCGGTTATTGTCCTGGATTGAGTTCCGGGTTGTGTCAATCGGAAATTTGCTCCATGGCCCCCAGAGCCACGGATTCAGCCCTGCAAATGACATGTCTCGAGGAACGTTGAACTCTATCAGTGTCTACCAAGCGCCAGAAATCGCTCTCAGGCCATAGGGCTGCCTAAGCCGTGTTTATGCAGGATCATCGAAGACGGGAAGTTTCGAAGTCGCCTTGAGAATGCGGAGGCTGTCATACCAAACCCAGCAGGATCTTGCCCGATGCTACTCAAGTATGTGGTCTGGAGTTTAGCCTAGTTGCCGGTTACCACGAATACTGGACGGCAGCGAGTTGCGGGGGCAGGGGCGTCTATTAATAGTAAATTCTAGGGAGAGTTGAATGAAATGGCTGCCCGGTGTTCATGGGGTTCTCTTGAACCACTGCTCCATTGGCAAACTGCTTGTTACTTAGACGAGAGGGCTTCAGAGTGCAAACTGTCATCGGATGTGGTATACGCGATCCAGAACGAGGCAAACTGGACAAGGCGAATAAGGCGCTGCCACAGAGTCTCATTGTTCATTCACGGCTTTACCGTCTCTGGCCTGTAATTGTAGTTGATGTTAGAACCTAGCTGGAAGAACATCATCATTCTCTGGAGCAGCTAGTTTGACTTGGTTGTGGCCGATGACTCGGATACGAGGAGGCCAGAACAGCCACAAATGCGGAGTCCAATTGCTCGGCGACAGTTGTGCTTCCGTACATAGCGGCCCGACACTGCGAAATAGGTTCGGGGGCGAGGTACCGCGATATCTGGGCGCATTCTAGAAACCTGGAGGACAAGCCAGGCCAGGCAAGCCCCCCATCTGCACTGTGTAGGATGTCTCGCAACGTTCCACGTCAGGACTAACTAGGCCAGTCAAGATCTCAGAACTCCCAATCACGACACTTCATGATTGTGTGAGGCTTGTCGATCTATCGACCCCCTCATCTACTTGGTCTCGGGTAGCTGTTATGCGAGTATTGGACTTAGGTAATGGAATTGCATTCATCTCGAGGACCTGGTGGGTAGTAGACTCCCGGCTGCTTCCAACAGTTCCTGCCTCCGTTACGTCGATCATGACACACGTGACCTGGACGAGCCACAAGCCTGTTGTGCATAGTAGTCTCGTAGTCTCACAGCCAAGTCTGCTTTGCGAGACAAGCGTTCAGTAGCCATTTGTTGACCACCTGACTAGAGGGTCAAAGAAGGTTCTATCCGGAATAGACTTATTCGCCGATCAGCTAGTCAAGGTGCCCCTCGGCCTTGCCAAGAACTCGGGTCTCCCTCGCCAGTCACCAGCCTGTCAGTCTCTTGTCTCCTGTAGTACGCCGCATCTACTGCTGGGCACTTGGCGATTGGACCTCTCAACATTGTATGCAAAGCAACTGTGGCTTTGAGCAGTCCAACAAGTGACCGTCCATCTCGGCTCCGGGGGCTTGCGTCGTGCGGCCCTCAACTGGTCGCGGGACCCTTCGAGGTTGCTGTGCTGGCGCTCTGGTCAGCCAGATGGATGAGATCATGTGGGGCTTCGTGGTGATTCTGTGTCCAGGGACAGTTTGACAGGGGCCCCAGGAGAGGCCCTTCGCATTTAATCGCCAAGCGTTCCACCCAAATACCTACGCGACAGCCCCGCTGTCACTGGGCTTTGGCTGGTGACTGGTGACTGTTCTGGGCGGATGGGCTAAGGGCTGCCCTACAGTTGGTCCCCGCTAAGTTGCAGTTAGCCGAGTCGGGTCGGGCGATCCAGGCGTGGACCGTGGGGTGGGCAGGGGGCCTGAGGGGCCTGAGGGGCCTGAGGGGCTTGAGACTCCGGCTTGAGAGGCCTCGACTGACATCACCGGTCCAGTGCGGGCCACATGCGCTGTTCCAGGCTCTGGAAGTTTGCAGACTTGCAGGCATGCTGGCAAGCCCCCGTAGGTCATTCGCTACACCGCAACACGATCGCGGCGAGACGGAGAGCGTCCGTCCAGTCGGGCCTTCGCACACATGCAGCACCTACGTCGTGGTGCGTCGTGTGCCGCGTCTGCGTTTGCCAAAACCGTGCCCTGGACCCTTCTTGCTTGATCGCCGGAGATCCCCCTCCACGCCCCTATGCCCGTTGCCCGTTGCCCGTTGCCCGTGGACGAGCACAACCGCACAAGCCGGACGGCCACTCGTAGCCATCGCCAGGGTAGACCTGTTTGCTTAAGTGCCGAGTGTCTGTCCGTCTGCCTGTCTGTCTGTCTCTCTATAACCTGCCTGCTCTGCCAGGGGTTCGCAAGGCTATACCTAGTCGACTCCATCCCTCTTGCAAACCTGAAAGCAGATCGTCCTCCCAAAGAGGCTATTCCTTCCTCGCAGCACATTCCTTTTTCTTCATAATCAGCAATCATGGCGTCCAGGTCCTCGCGCTACGATCCCAAGTACGACGACCCGTACGTGTCCCACAGGGCATACCCGGACTCTCACGCTGGGGTGGGCGACGATGCCTTCGAGTACGTCGGGTCCGATGCCTTTCCCGAGCCGCCGCCTCACACATTTGAAGGTGAAGAGCCGAGGTCGTCACGGCGTCACAGGTCGAGCAGAGCGTCGACCCTGCCGCCAAACTCCAGCGGTGCCTCCCCTCCACCCAGGTCGAGGCGCGGAGGCTCTCCACCCCACCGTTCCTCGAGGCACCATTCCAGCTCGCCCCCACGGCACCGGCGCTCCAGACGCGACGATTCACCACCGAGAAAGTCATCCAAGACTGCCGCAGATGCCGCTGCTGCGGGGGCCGTGGTCGGGGCCGCAGCAGCAGCGACGGCGGCGGCAGCTGGTAGTCCGAGTAGTCCAAAGCAGGACAGGTTTGGACGCTGGGTCAACCGCCCTGCCCTCAAAAAGAACATGAAAACCTACAGTCGCAAAGGCTTAAACACTCTAGGCGATGTGGTGCAGGCGTACGCCGCAGCCCAGAACCCACAGTTGGCACGAGGTCGTTCAGCGGGGCCGGGCTACGGTGGTCGCTACGACGATTACCACGACGACCCGTACGACCGGCCACGCCGTCGCAGACACTATTCTATAAGCCCCTCGCCTTCACCACCACCACCGCGGCGAAGGGCATCGGCAAAGGACAGTGACCGTCGTCGGCCGCCGCTGCACGGGCGACAGAAGTCATACAGCGTGTCCCCCGCCCGGACCAGGGGCTACGATTCAGACGAGGATCGCCGGCATAGGCGTCGCAGCCGCCGATATTCTGTCAGTCCCTCGCCGTCACCCCAAAGGCGGCGCCATCGGTCACATTCCCATCGCCGAGGCTCAGAAACCCCAACGAGAGGTTCGCAGTCCAGACGGGAGTTCTACAAGAACGAGATGAAGTCACCGAACCCCGACGTTGCCCACAGATGGCAGCTGGCAGCCCGTGCGGCTCTGGAGGCGGGCGGCGTCACTGCCTTCCGCCTTCGTAAGGAGCCTGGCTCTTGGACCGGCCAGAAGGGCGCCAAGGTTGCTACTGCTGCCTTGGGTGCCGCTGCCATCGATGCTTTCATCGACAAAGATCCGCGGCGTACGAAAGCTGGTGGTGTGAAGGGCATGGCAGAGAGTGTGGTTGGCGGCTTGGTGGCGAGTAAGCTCATGGGCTTTCAGTCCGCGACAACACGCAAGGGCAAGCCACGAGTTTTCTAGGGGCCGTTGAGCTGACTTTTAGACCCGGCATCTGGCTGAATTGCCCACCACCGCCTCATCCTACACAACTTGGTACTCCACCCTTGTCCACGCTTCGATGCCAGTGAGCAAGATGCACTACAGTATTTCCTTGGGGCATAGAATCCCGGGGACAGATTCCAGCATTTAATTGCAGAATGAAACAGTCTTTTAACGATATAACGACATTGTATGAACAGAATTTCACGGTACCAGGACCTGCGGAGGGACGTGAAAACTAGATAACTCAGAGAGTATAACTGGAGTACGGAACAGGTCTAATTGTCATTGGAGTTCCTCATCAAGATTAGTTAAATAAATGTAAACTAATGCCTCAATACTTCAACCATTTTGATCAAGTGCGTCTTGCGAATGAAGAATGGAGAATGAGTCACGTATGGATGTGATGCTTGACGAGCATACATACGACTATGTGACGCCAACTCTGAAGAATATAGGCTACTGGCCACGTGACATTGAATGTGGCCACTGAATATACCACGTTTTCGTTGAATATGCCTCACCGTGACACTTTCTAAGACGACTCCAAAGTTTACGAAAGTTCGCTTGGGTTGGGTTGGGCCTAGGATTCTTCTCGAATGCTGTAGCTGTAGTATAAGACGCGTTCTTACATTGTCTATGATTCCCGTGCCGACCTCTAGAGGTTTTATCTACCCTGGATGGATGATACAAGACCACTCACAGCCAATGTCACTACACGCACTGCTCGGCTCGCATAATAATTATAAGGGAAGCCATCGAAGAATCCGTGCACCCCCAATGGCCGAAAATCTACCGTACGGGCCCAAGGTTAGGACAATTTCTCTTTTACTTTATTATATATACTAGACTGAGAGGGTCGCCCCCATTTCGGCTCCGCGCTCGCCCATTGCGTCTGCCAAGATGTGACATAGTGTCCGGGACTAGGGCATCATTGGTGGAGATTTCACCATTCCAGTAGCGTGCCAAGTAATTCAGGACTGCTCTCATCTCCATACATGGAGAAGCTCCAGTAACTATGTTCAGGGGCAGGGAAACAACATTGCAAGCAGGAATGATGCAAGTTAGGTTCGATACGTAAGATCACCGGGACTACTTTTGATATGTATAAATAACTAAAGTTCCGTTCGTTCGAAGCCCCCTTCTAGAAATTCATGTTACTCTCAAGGATCTGACAGTACTAAGTTAGCTGATTACGATGCCTAGCAGACGGGCTTTTCACCACGTGGTTCTGGCGACTGTTCTGTGTAGTGCTGCCCAAGCTGCGCTCCTATACGTCTCGCCAACAGGTACCGGCTCGGGCACTATCGATGCGCCCTTTGGTTCCATTCAAGCTGCCGTAAATGCCGCGGCCGCAGGAGACACGATATATCTACGAGCTGGGAGTTACAAGCCGACAACAAATATACAGATCACCAAGAGTGGTACTAGAACTTCGCCAATCACCCTCAGACCCTATGGGACAGAGAAGGTTATTCTAGATGGAGAATCACTTCCAGGGTCAGTCTTGCGAACATTCCAAAAGTCATAATGCTGACTTTACTTATCATAGAACACCATACGGCGTAGGCGAGTCTCTACCCAATGCCGAGAGAGGGATTCTCCACATCGAAGGGGCAAACTATTGGAAGTTCTACAATCTAGAGTATGATTTCCTATACCGGTCGGAATCGTCAATCATTATACTGACCGGACATCCAGGCTTATCAATGGACCGTACGGCGTCTACGCACGTGATGCCTCTCACAACTACTACGAGCTGCTCTCGACGCATGGCAACTACGAATCTGGGTTCCAGATTCAAGGTACGTCCTCAAACAACACGGTGGTCTATCTGGATTCGTACCGGAACCGAGACCCGCGCAAGAACGGCGAGAGCGCCGATGGCTTTGCATGCAAGGAGGGATCCGGCGAGGGCAACGTGCTGCGTAATGCCCGGCTGTGGGACAACGTAGATGACGGGCTCGACTTATTCCAGTTCGGTTCCGCAGTCACTCTCGAAGAGGTCTACGCATGGGGCAACGGCTTCAACCGCTGGGGGTTCACAGAGTTCGAGGGAGATGGCAATGGATTCAAGCTAGGCATCACCAACAACCCGCCGGCAAACCACATCGTCAAGAATTGTATGGCCTTTGCCAATGCCAAGAAGGGCTTTATTGATAACGGAAACCCCGGCTCGCTCACATTCACTCGAAACACGGCCTGGAACAACGGTGACCTTGGGTTCCACATGCGCAGCTCAGCATCGACGCTGACCAGCAATGTCGCAGCCCTGAACGTTGGCAGTGCGCAGGTCAGTCTGGTCAAGGGCAGCAAGTCCTCTGGAAACTCCTGGGACTCTTCGACCACCTGGTCCAACAGCTCTTTCAAGAGCGTTGACGCCACGACGCTGAAGGGCGCCAGAAACGCGGATGGTTCCGTGCGCGGGTCCGACTTTCTGGTCCCGGCGTCGGGTGCTGCCATCGGGGCGACGACAAAGGGCGCTGTCCGATAGAGGACATAATCACATAGTTAATCTAATCAAAATACGCCTTAGATTATTAATATATATTTGAACAGTTCAGATCTGCAACCCAATGAACTTCTTAACTTTGCTTACTACCCTCTCCAGTTCAATTAACCCAACGGTCCACCACTGCCTCTTCTTCCAACCCTCCTGCACTGGCAGGCGCTCCTCGAGGAATAGCGCGCGGACGTATTCGGATGGAATGCTCTTCCTGTCGCCGAAGACGCTCAGAATCAGCGCGATTTCTCCGCATGCCGTTTGATGTTGCTTTTTCTCGTAGGTGACCTCGGGGTTGCTTTCCTTCTGCTCCTCTATCCTCCGGCGCCGGAAGTTTGCCAGGTCCTCCAGCGTCAGTGTCTTTCCTCCATCCGATGACGACTCGAGCAATCGCTTGACGAGTTCCGGCTGACGAGTGTGGTTGTCACCCTGCGCAATGTCCCAGCGACTGAGCGAAATGTCGTGTTCCACGGCACCATGCAGCGCAAATTGGTCGAGGCCCAGGCACTTGTTGCCCATCGAGTCGACCTGGCCGGGTCGGCGCATGCCGAAGCCGGTGAAGGCAATGGCCCAGGGGTTCCGGACGAGATACCAGATCTTGCCCAGGAGCGAGCGACTCGGCTGGACTGCGTCGTCGCCCTTCAGACCCGGGACTACGCGCTCGAGAAAGATCGGGTTGCTCAGTGTCGCACCGAGGACCGGGGAGATCCCCAGCGCGTGCATGGCGGCGGTGAAGTCGCCGACGCGACAGTCACGCCCGTCTCGCGGGAGGTAGCCATGGTTCGCCAGGGAGTTGATCACCGGACAAGGCCCCCTCAGGTCATTGGGCCCGGAAGGGATGTAAGTACCCTTGGCCGCTGAAGTGGGTTTGGCCTGTGTTGTGGTCGACATGTTGATGCGAGCCGTGCTACCTAGTTTGGTGCGCAAAACCGAACAATTGAAGGAGACTACATTGCATGTCTCAGCAGCAGCCTCGAGGTGTAGATATAAATATGTAAATCGGTAGCCTCGGGGGCTGTGGAAGTTGCCTAGAAACAAGGGTGCCGACGGTCACGTCCGACTGATACTAGGAATTTCAGCCAAGCAAGGGCGGCCGAGAGGTTGTACCATGCAGTGGACACAAATGCGGGCGTCCTGATTTGCTGTGGACCGCGAGACTGGGGTTAGTTTCTCAGCGCCATCACATAAGGGGAAGGGCTGAAGCTGCACGCTACTTGCGCCGCATACTCCACTGTCTAAGACAGCACTGTTGGTTGGAACCCTGATGCGGCTGATCGGGATGCAATCGTCGGTGCGATTTGCCAATGAAACGCCGCGTTTGGCTGCTATTTTCCACCTGCCCAAACCCCCTGTTCGTCAGCTTGCATGTCGCACAAGCCTCGGCAGAATTAATAGTCTGACCTCTCGCGACTGCGATGAAGATGCATATATTAACATGTTTTGAAAAATAGTAATATGGATTGTGATCATAGTGGCCGACAGGCACAGGGGCTGTCCTATGGTTGATTTTCAGGATGTGATACCGTCCATTACCCCGGTAACCGTATAGCTAAAGCCAAGAGCCACCATGCAACTTGCGCAATATAATTTAGTACATAACTATGCGGCAAAAAATCCCGTAAATTTGAAATCATTGGTTCGTTGATCGGAAGTTATTCCAACGGATCTTGAAGTTCCTACTCGCGGTGCTGGACTGTCCATCTTTGCAGTTGCCGTACGCCTCGTCTATTCGATTGCTAGAGGAAGGAAAGTCCTGCTTCTGAAAGGATATGGTCTATAAAGCTATCTCATTCAGGCCCGCCGGTTTTTGTATGTCGTTCCTCTCACTCCTTGGAGCATGGTTCGAATGGTGCCGCGAAATTGAGCAGTCAGCCCTTCAGTCATCCGGTCAACATTAGGAATAGTCCACATTTTGTAGAGGCGACGATGTGTGTAGGACACACGATAATGGTTTTGCTTTGGAATGAAATGGTCTCAAAGGTAGTATGCAGACTTGCTACAGCCGATAATTCGAGCTGTCGGGCCGTGAGTATGTTTTTATAGTGAAGCGCTTGGTGGATCTCGGCGTGGACAAAACGGATATATGCTTTAGACGGGCTTGCGTGAGTGGGTATACTCTCTGGTGAGCCTCTAGTCGAAGTCTTATGTGATCATACTCAAGCTAGGGCTTTCACGCGCGAGCACGTATATGCGATTAGTCCCAATTTACTCCATGATCTTATTTATCACGTGCTGTACGACTCGAAAGATGAGCCGGACTGATGAGTCCGAAGCGCGCCTTACTATGAAACAGTGCACATCCTTTTATTATTAATTTTCTGTCTCAGTGTCTCGCACTAGTGCCATCAACGCGAACATGCCGTCTTGCTCATGCCGTACTTGACTGATGTCTTTGCACAAATTGCACACTCTTCTCAGAGAGCACATCATGATTCGATTCTAGGACTACGCCCGTGCCGATTGGCCCTGTGCGGTCGCCGTCTAGCTCATAGAGATGCTGGTTGCTCTTTGCCTTCACAAAATAGACGTGGTGAAAATCGACCTCTGCTTCTGCATGCGGTACAGGCGAGCATCCTTCATTGGCTAAATTGGTATACATTTCTTCAAGTCTCGTCGAGTCCTCGATTACGAGATGACGTTTGCTTGTAGCGGTTGCTGGATAATCGGACATTGGTTCTTCGAGTAGACAACCGGGCGCTAGACTTTGTCAACATATATATTGTACCGCGAGACGCAGTCCTTACGCAGTTCACTTTGGGATAGCTTGCTGCTCGAGGAATGCAGGATAGCATAAAGCCCACATGCGTTGATGATTGTTTGCTTGAACCATACAACATTGTCATGATCGGTGCGCATTTCGTTTGACCCAACCCTCCGAACCTCGTAATCCTGAGTGGTGGGGTAGAGCCGCTTGATTCTTCAAGCGACACAACATCTTCAAAGAACAAGACATGACGAGGCGCCGAGCGAATATATAAGCTGATTAAATATCTCAGGGTCGGACTCGATTGGTAAGAAATGCTTGCGATAGCTTGTATTCATGATGGCGAAAGGGTATCAATCGTTGCAAGATGCATTGTGGCAGCTCCATGAGCTTGTGAACGATATGACTTACTGTCAATTCTGTGCAGGCAATCGGATAAAATTATGTAGTGGTGCCTGTCGAAATCTCGGTACATATGAGTCCAAATGTCCAGCCGATTACCAAGTGGCGCAGCTGGCAACCACAAAGTGGTTCATAATTCCTTTTGGCATGCTTTTGATCTTTTGGAGCACCAGCGCCCAACGGATCTGCCAGGTCTTAATCCTCAATCTAATTGGGAGAATGCGTGCACCCTATCCAACGCTGAGGCTTGTACGCGGAGGTTGGCCGCTCGCTACGTCCCGTCGCGGGGGTTTCTCGTAGCACATCTCTTGCAAGCCAGTTCAGAGGGTGGAGGCCTCAGTACAAGTTGATGTTAGACATTGGCGTGAATTATTGTACATGGGCTTTCACAACGCTTGTTGTCGTTCGTTGCCGAGCTTTCTGCAACTTTCTCCATGTGCATCGCATCTGAGGGTGGACGTACAGTAGCGTATGTATTGTCTTAAAGCCCGATTCGTGCGGTTGGAGAAAATCCCTTCGGAAGTATTGGAAGAAGTATTAGAGAGCTCAAGGCAGACGAGAAGTAAACGGTTTGTCCGGAGTTTTCAGTTCACTCCTGGAGACTATTGCTAACAACCCCGCTGTCGGTTTTCAGTTCCTCGAAGGACCGAAAGCTTGTAAGGAGTATGGCACAATCATCGCTCGATATACCAAGCGATCTCTTTACACGTAAATGAGATCCAATACCAGAAGAAGTTCCGTTATGAGAAGCACATAGCCTTTGTCTCTTTTCATAGAGGCAGTGGTAGGTGAAACTTTACAGCAGCTGGACACGAACTTCTCCGACTTATGACTGAACAGCTCTAATCCAACAGATGCTCTAACATGTGTGTCAAGCAAACAATACTATACTCCACCTCTGGTGTCATATTAAACATTAAAAGTGGAACGCCTCAACGAGGTCGACGTTTGATTAATCCCAAGTTAGGTAGACCCACATGCTCCCCGCCTCCACATCTTGACACTCTTGATTGACATTCCCTTCTGATCACCGTCGCCCCATGTGGGAAGCCAGATGTCTTTGGCACTCCAGAACTGCTGCGTGGCTTTGGTCGAGGAATCGCTCCACGGCTTCTCTCCTTCGCCATCACTGAAAACATGTCAGTCGACTGCATAGAGTCTTAGATCAGTGACGTGCGCACCTGAAGAAACCAGAAGTGGATCCGACAGCCACATTCAAAATGAGGTAGAACGATTGGTCGAAAGGAGCGTTTAGTGTCGATGAGTTGGAGGTAGCCCAAAGATTTGCCTAATATGATGTGAGCTATCACATCCTGCTTTTCATTAGGAACCATAACGTACCCCTGTGTATTCAAAGTGACCGCGGTTAAATAGGCTGCCCCAGGAGGAGCCGAAAGGCACATAGAGCGATTGCTGTACTTTCTTAGTTCCAGACCTACTGCTGTGATCCTACCCTTTTATCACTTACCAATAGGCGGTTGTCAACATAAGTGTAGAGGTAGCTATCGCTCCACTCCATTCCATAAATGTGGAAGTCATCTGAATAGTCGCCATGCTTGATTTGACGAGTATTTGATGTCCTCCAATAACCGTCTTCTCCAGTATCAGGGCCCCAGTGAAGGGTTCCGGATACTTCATCACGACCACCACTGTAGCCACGAGCGTTGCCTCTAGACTCCATGATGTCAATTTCTCCGCTTCGGGGCCATTCACCGTAGACGCTGTCCTCTGGCATCATCCTTGTCATAGCCGTCAGCAGTTCGTTCAACGGAGTGAATGTATAAGTGCTTACCAAATCGCGGGCCAGATCCAATCACCTTTTGGAAGTTTTGCAACAACTTCAACCTTTCCGTAACGTATGTTATGCTTGCCTTTGGTGTTGATCCTGCCACTTCGAACGGGATTGATGACAGTACCCTTGGTCGAGTTGCTAGTTATCACGCAGTCTTTGGCATCGGTGCTAGTACACGTTCCCAGCGCAGTAAGGTTGAGAGTGTAACCGTCTGTCAGCTGGGCCTCGGTAATGTCAGTGACTTCAGTAGTCAGGGTAGGCACAATGTGCAATCCATTTGAATCTGTGTAGATATTTTTGGTGTCGTTGGTCGTCCAGTCAAACGACTCCGCGCCGAAGCCGCCAAGCTCTTGCTCAAACGACCAATTATCAGAACTAATCCCGCCGGAAAAGTCGTCAGTGAATACCAAACAGTAGTCTGGGTTGTCGACGGATGCCCAGCCTGTATAAATGATATACCCTGCGAGTAACAACCCGAGGAAGCTGATGCCGAAGACGATAATCATATCCCACTTTTTCCGAGGAGTACTCCGTGCGAGCCATGGCTTCTCATAGGGGCCGATGAGGCGAGCCGACTTGAATTTCCGTTGCTTTCGGGGCCTGGTGCCAGACTCTACACAAGAATATTAATCAAGGATGAATGGAGGATGATATAGGGCAGCGTACGCGAGAATCTTGAAGAAGATACAGATCGTATCGACAATGGCCTCCCCACGGATGACCTGTTGTCTGGCGTGTCGAAAGGATTATTGAGGAACTCAGTCCGGATCGATCCTGCTATGGAGCCAGCCTTCTCCATTGCTGGTGAAATAGGGACCCTGTCCAGCTTCACGGGAGTCCGACAGATTTTGCTTTCTTAGTAAACGAGACGTGGGATGTGAGAGAGGTGGGTTGGTGTTATTTCCAATAGTCTTTTTCGCGGCCAACGCTTTTCAATGTTCGAGAGGCAACTTACTGAGTGTCAGAAAACTCAGGGACGGGGCTCAAGAGACTTTCGCTCCCATATGGGCTACTCTCAGGAGCTGTCAGCGACTTCCATTGTCCGAGCCTATGATCCTAGCTTCAGTCCATGGCCCGGCCAGACTCCCATGGTGGCTTGTATCATGCAGCTGAATACAGCGTCGGATCTAGACGTGACACAGGAAGAGGCTATCGGGCATGGCATTCACTAGCCTCTGTTCCAATGTCAGTCTAACATGATTGCGTTCCTACGTCGGATTAGACCCGATACAGTGGCGTTGGATGATATCCTGATTGCCTAGAGCCTAGGAATGAGTTGCTTGCAGCTGCTCCAGTTTTTGTGCTTGTGAATGATATGTTTCGAGTTTTCAAGTGGCTGTTTGATCATCAACCGAATCAGTGATTATTCTGATATATCCTCGAATTATAGCACAAGAATTTGATCAGACAGAGATAATCTCTGCTGATGTAGTTAGAGCTCTAAGCTCTTGCATGTACCTCAAGTCTAAAAACTACACGATAAAGTCCGACTCACAGACACCTTACGCCAAAGAGCTGTGGAACCAAGGGCTCTAGCCAGCAGCATTAGCTGCCAGTGATAAGAGTTACTGTCAGTGTGCAATCCTTGCAGGGATAAACGTGGTATTAGATCCAGCATGGGTGTGCTGATAAATATCTGGACGCTTTCAAGGTTTGGCCTCTTGGGCTAATTTAGCGAGTCATCCCAATATTCGGCTCACGGCAGCGCATTGTCAGGCACGACAGCCGCCGTTTCTTGGCTGACGAAAAGGTCTGGCCCTGCCCTCTAACACCACAGCTGTGCATTTCCGTTTTTGCGGCTTTATGGTACGTAATTAATGCATACAATGTTGTATTTCGGACCTCTCTTTGCTTGTTGCATCCATACGTATGTCTCATGGAAGCACCACAATCTGCTTATTTTATCTTGTCCACGGTTATGACCCCTCGTCTGGCTACGATCGGGGCCCGATGCAAATAAACCTAACCCCTTGACCTGAAATCGGCGAGAGGTTTCAGGCCGTTACTCTTCTCAAGCCCAAGCCGCCGGAAAGTGTCGTAATCAGTGAGCTAAGATGGATTTTGCGCGGCGGGAGCTATAGGAAGATAAGAATCTTATCTGGCCAATTAGATAACTCGTGTACGCCACTTCTTCTTCAACATTCTAGTTCAACTAGGGACTAGGCGGTGCGCCAAAGCAGGAACCGCGCCAAGGAGCTCTGGTAGGGCAAAGCTAATGTAAGACCAAAGCATAACATACAGCCACCATGCAGCCACTATCGCACATCTTTAGCCAGCCAGGTGCGATAGGTGAGGGAGTTGATAGCGAACGAATTCGGTCCGGGCTGATTATCCGGTATCTACAAGAAGAGGCAAGCCTTTCCCCCCCTATTTCGGCTGTAGAATACATGGTCATCCAGCCGCATAGCGCACGAGTTGTTTATGACATCCCGAGAGGCTTGGGACTATTGCGTCCGGCCTTCTCCAAGTGGTTTGCTGCGCCTCAGACTTTCACCAGTAGATGCAGCTAGTGGTGTCCTCGTATTACAGAGCTGCCAGTGCAATGTGCAATTGGTGTGCTTGGTACGAAGTAGCCGGGATATTGCTTGCCTTCAGCGTTGTTGAAGCTCAGCTTTCTATACCAAGGCTGTGGAGTGGATATTTTTCACCAAAGATATGACAAGAGGCGTTCAAGCGCGTTCAGCTCCCGCGTCAGTGATTTGAGATATCGTCAACGTATGCCACAAGGGGAAAGGCAAGCCAGAAATGATTCTTGGAGTCTGGACTAAACACTTCGGTCCATTCACGGCCAGACCGCAGAGTCCAGCTCTAGGAATAGTTTGACCTAGATTTAGAGCAGTAATGTTGAAATGAAGATGGCGTTGCTTGGGCTTGAGCGATTAAAAAGATGAGCTGCTCTGAGCTGCGAGAGATAGTAGAGCAGATCCCCTGCTGGTCGTAGAAAAGTTTCCGTCCTTAAGGGTTTCTCCCACGTCTCGAGGATTGAGGTCTCTCACTACCACTTTACGAAATCTCGCAAACATCAAACCATGGCCTCAGTAGCGCGGGAAGGGCTTCATTCCAGGAGTAAGAACTCCTCTATGGATAGCTCTACCATGCACCCAGTCCAAATGGCTTTGATGAAGAGAATGTCTCAGTTCACGGTTCCAAGGGCCATGGTCGAAAGTCAAGATCATAATGATTTCAACAGATCCGCCATGGTAAAAACGCATGTTTGCCTGATGAGATCTTCTATATGCTAATATTATTCAGTTGATGCAATTCCTCCATCGTCGTCTTCGTGAGCAAGGCTGGCTCTTGCCCGACCCTAATGCGTCGAAAAGGTCAATCCTCGGCCTGACTGTACAAAAAGCTGGGAGTGAGATCCAAGATACCACACAATACTTAGCGGAACCAGCGGGACTTGATCCTGTTTTGATGCAGTTCGCGGCCAAGCTGGATGTTGGAGCCTTAGTCACACTCTCGTCGAACATTACAAGCTACATGTTTGCCCAAGTGGATGATGACGCTTCAGAAGTACAGCTCAGTCCCCATAACATCACTGTGCCGGTGATAAATTGTATATCGGATCTTGCAAGCAGTCGTCTTGGTGTTACGAGACGAGACTTCTGCTGCCTTGTCAGGCAAGAGAGAGTGGTACTTGCGTGGACCAACCAAGCCGATCAGCTTTTGGTACATGCCGCCGATGTTGAGAGCAGGATCATGGGCTGTGTAAGTGAACCTCCTCGTATGAGAAACTCTCATGACTCAGGCAAGATATTAACAATGCCTAAGATATGGGGCGCATCGCTTCCTGAAACGCCTGGTAGACTTCCATTCGACTACAAATCTCATGGAGGGACACCAACGTATACTGGCGCTCATAGCACCATTGCGGATGAGAAGAATCTGGCCGTCATTGATAACATCGATCTCGGCGCTGAAGACGAAGTTGACGACGAAGAATCTATGGAAGCGCCACCGAGGGCTTACCTCCTCACGCAATCTGTTATGATTGGACTTGCCATCGCGCTGCTAATCGTTATCGAAGCATTTCCCGTTCGTCTCATGGTCGTCCAGGCGAAAGCACTCGGCTCAGTAGCGTACAAAAATTTGGCTTTGGCTGTCACCATCCCGATTTTCGCATGGTAAGCTCAAGAATACATGTGACATTGTAGTGTCGGTCGGTTGACAAGACAATTCTAGGTTCACCTTGTTCTTCGCAGTTGTCGTGATCGGCATGCTGTTCCAGCTGCTCGGGCCCGTTGACGCGATCAAATCTGGCAACAGTCACTTCTACAGCAGCCGCCCACCAAGCCGTAAAAGACACCCGAACATCGAATGGCCCCACATCACCGTACAAATGCCCGTATACAAAGAAGGCTTGAAGGGTGTAATCATTCCTACTCTGAACAGCATCCTTGCGGCTATCCGACACTACGAGAACCTCGGTGGTACGGCAAGTGTTTTCGTCTGTGAGGACGGAATGCAAGCTGTCAAGCCTGAGGTTTCTGAGATGCGCAAGCAGTTTTACGCTGCAAACTCCATCGGGTGGTGTGCCAGGCCCGCCCATGGCAAAGACGGCTATGAGCGTGCTGGTAAGTTCAAAAAGGCAAGCAACATGAACTACTGTCTTTCATTCAGCTCTCGCGTCGAGGACGAGATGTTGAGACTTCTCAAAGAGAAAGCCCAGCTGTCCAACAGAGATCCTGAAAGCTTTACCATTGAAGAGGAGGAAGACCTTTACAACCAAGCTCTTGAAAACATGCTCGAAAAGGATGGTGGTAAGACATGGGCTGCTGGTAATGTCAGAATGGGCGAAATTATCCTCATCATTGACTGTGACACTCGTGTGGTAAGCAGAACCCTGAGCTGATTATCAATACGAGTCACTAACCATTTTGTAGCCAGTTGATTGTCTCTCGCTTGGTGCCATGGAGATGGAAGAAAGCCCTGAAGTTGCCATCATTCAGCATGCCAGTGGAATTATGCAGGTCGTCTGGACCATCTTCGAGAATGCTAGTGAGTCTGCCCTGAAATGGAAGCCCTATGGTCAAGCATGTCTAATACGATCCGCCAGTTACCTACTTCACCAACCTTGTCTACACTCTTATCAGCTTCTCTGTAGGCTCTGGGGACTGCGCTCCTTTCGTCGGTCACAATGCGTTCCTGCGATGGAAAGCCATTCAATCAGTGTCTTTCATGGATGGAGATCAGCTTAGATTCTGGTCTGAGGACCATGTATCAGAGGATTTTGACATGTCCTTGCGCCTTCAAACTGCTGGATTTGTGGTGCGCCTTGCTACCTATGGTATGGAAATCTGTCACCGCATGGTTAGACTATTGACGTTAACATGACTATAGACCACGGCGAGTTTAAGGAAGGCGTCTCCCTTACAGCTTCCGATGAATTGCTGCGATGGGAGAAGTACGCATACGGCTGTTCGGAACTAGTATTCAACCCCGTCTACCAGTGGCTATGGAAAGGCCCCTTCACCAAGCTGTTCATTCGTTTCCTTACCTCAAACATGAAAGTCTCATCCAAGGTCACTATTCTCGGTTACATCGGCACGTACTATGCTATCGCCGCTGCGCTGCCGCTTTGCTTGGCCAACTACCTCCTCTTTGGATGGGTTGGCAGTGAGAACCTCGACCACTCTTACCTTCCAAGTTGGGACATTCTGTGCGGTACACTGTTCATATTCATGATCGCCAGTCCCATTTGTTTTGCGTGGTTTCGTCATAGGATAGGTCAGAAGATGTTCGTGTGGGCTGTCCTGGAGTCTTTCATGTGGATGCCCTTTTTCCGTGAGTTGATTTTTTCCCAAATAAGTGACATAACACTGGGCTAATGTGCATTCAGTCATTTTTTTCGGAGGCTTATCATGGCATATCTCATATGCACTCCTGGCCCACATGTTCAATCTCCCTATTGGGTGGAGCTCAACAGCGAAGGAGGTCGAGGCTACCGGTCTCGTCTTGGGAATCGGTGCCATCTTCAAACAATTTCGTTGTGTCTTGGTTGCTATGTTCCTGCTCACTGGTGGTGTGATATACCTCGCTGTTGGAGCTCCAGCCGGGTGGACGATCACTTCCTGGCCCAATATCCTTCCGCTGGCTTTGCAGATTGTTGGGCATGTTGGTTTGCCAGCATTTACAATGGTTGACTTTGGTGTGCATGTTACTTGGTCATCCAAAAAATAGCGGCGCATCAACCCGCTCTTCAGGAAGGATCGGCAAGACAGTCGAGGTTTGACTGTATTTGGCTACAATTAACTATATTGCTGTAATGTATAATTTCCCAGGTCCAATAGATGTTGAACAGATATCAGGTTAGATTTCGTTGGCTCAACCCGATCATCGAGTTTAATCAAATGGTATTATCATTAAATGAACTTCATACGGTATGAAGACTGAAGCTGCGATTTAAGAGCCATTTCCCATGCTCATAATCTGGCGGCTCTTCTTCTGGATCTTCTTTCTTATGGTTGGTGGATATCTGTAGTTGACTGGGCTTTCAGACCCGACGAATACGAAGCTGTCGTAGACTATACAGCCGATAAAAGAGCCAACCAGCGTTGCCGCCCATGGTCCGTATATCCACCACGGGTCACTGAATACGTTGGCATGTCTGTATCCAACGGCATAAGCAATGACTCTTGGGCCAAAATCCGAGGCTGGGTTCAGAGCCGACCCAATGTTGAAGCCCATGGTAAACTTGAGTGTTGTAACTAACAGCCCCAAAACTGTTCACACAATGTGTTAGCTTTCTTCCCACAAATAGGTTATTGTCATCTTTCCAAGTACTCACCAAAAGCGTGCATTCCAGCACCAGGAGGGTTGTTCTGGTCGTCACCCAGAGCGAAGACCGCGATCATCATGATTGCCGATCCAACGCACTGATTGAGAAACGCGTTTCCGGGGCTAACCCAACTTTGGGGGGTCGACAACAGAGCCTGGGAGCTGAGTTCCAACGTGGGATCCAAGTGGCGGATGGTGTCTGCGAAGACACCGTAGGCGAGCGCGCCTGCTACTATGGCCGCAATGAACTGCACTGCAACATACATGGCGCATTGCCGCCACGGAAACCCCCGGAAAACAGACAGACTGATGGAGATTGCCGGGTTCATGTGTGCTCCGGATACGCCTCCTCCCAGGTATACCCCAAACATCCACGCAAAGCCCCACGCCCAGCAAGCGGTTTCGTAGCTGCCGTACGGCAAGGGCTGCGCTTGTGAGAGATATACCGAGAGACTGCCTGCCAGTCCCATAAAGATTGCCACGCCGGTCTGTAAACCATCAGTATCAAATAGAAAAGGTTCGTACTGTCAAATGTGTCTGCTTACAGCTAGAAACTCAGCCAAGGGCTCTGGGTGTTTGGCGCGCACCCTCGCCCACCAGTTTCGAAGTTCATCGGGGTCTTTCAACCCGTTCTCGACATCATCGTGTTCCCTCTGGCCTAGTGGCTTACCATCGATTTTGAATTCCGGGGTATCACTGCTTTGCGGGCTGCCCGCTACCGTCTCTTCGTCGTTGTCATCATTGTCCGCCTTCTCATCGTTTCCACCCTTGCCGTCGTTGCCTTCCACATTCGGCATGTAGTCGAAAACAGGTTGCCCGGCGTCATTTTTCTTATGTTGGTGAGCCGTGCCAGCTGGGGTATGCTCGGGGAGACGGTTCTGGTTCCGCACACTTGAGTTTGTTGCTTGCCTTTGCACTGGCTGCGATCCTGCTTTTGGCGTTTCCAGCTCTCCTCTTTCTGCCAAGTCCACTTGTGACTGATTTCTGGGGACTTTGGCTTTTGTTGGGCCCCGGGCCAGATGTGGGAGAGGCCTTGCCAAACTGAAGATCGGTTTCGCCTTGTTTTGCTGATACCACGGGTTCTCGCGCAAATAGGCATCGTCGATCCATGCAGAGGGTTCAGCACCCGGCGTCTGTGGGTCGGTTATGATTGAGCGTTGATCAAGGTCACGTCGGCCAGCAGTATAAGCGCCTCGAGCGATTGAGCTGGCAAACCTATTTGAGGGCATGTGTCTAAGAAAAAAGGGGTTTTGGGAACCGCCGGTCGCTTGAGCGCTTCCAGGTACCGCACTGCCTTGATGGCTGGTGTCGCCATTTGGCATGCCAGGTCTCATTCTGCCGAAAATGTAATTGCAATGCTCAGGCTAAGTACGCTAGGTTCTAATAATGTGTGGGAAATCGTTGGGAAAACCAGGGCGGCAGGGCAGAGGAGAAGCTGGTCGCCTTATATCATACATGCACGTTGCCCCGAAGTTGGCAGTTATCTATCATCGATTCCACTGCAATCTTTGATCGTCGAGGGCGTGGGGGGGTTTCCACTGTTCAGTTCCATTGACAGGTAAGAATGGGCCAATGGTGCCGTTTAACCAGCCGCTCGGGCTGCTATAGGCTTCCAGCAATGGAGTAAAAGGCTGTGTTTCGCCTTCTGCATGCACCTTATGAGCTCATGACGGGAACGATTTTGTGCCAGGCGGACCTTTGTCTCCTCTGTGCTCTGCCTGGCTGAATCTTGCCAGTTTCACGCCGCCCTGCTGTTGGGTTCTAACACTCGACATTAGATGTGAAGAGCCTGCGTTGAGGCGACGGGAGAACCCACATAGCCCAGGAACTGTCACAAAAACTGGGTATTCTCTGACTTGCCTGACGTTGAAGGCCGTTTGAATATTCAGTGCTACGGCGAAATAAGTGGATGAATCGTTCCTCCAATTGGGCAGATAGACCCCTGCCGGAGCTTACAGTCCGACTAGTGGATCGGGGCGCGCTGCTGTCCTTGGTGGCATCCCTGACCCAAGCTACGCAGCTCCGCCGGAAAACCAAGCTCAAGCCCCTACCGGCAGAGCCGCAGAGCCGCCCCTTGTGTCCCGTCACGTCACTGGAAGTCTGCGAAGTCCTGAAAAGCGATTCACTAGACGTTAATTGCGGGGAACAGTGAATATGTCCCGGACCTTATTATTAGTCATTGTCGTAGAATTCTATAAGTAGTAGCAGGCGGCCGAGTGCCCCCCTACGAATCCACGAGTCGACCGTTACCGGCTGTTGCCACCTCCGTTCTACGAATTTGGATCAAACCTGATTTCTCTTATCTTTGAGCTTCTAGGGATGAATGAAACAGATATGTATGCAAAATGAAGGTAGAAAGTTTACTACCATCGACACGAAACAAACTCCGATATCCCGAAAAGAACGCCCCTTATTGCTCAAAGAAATTGTCTAATACAAGCTATGTTGGAGCTTGGAGGTCATCCCCGGTCCCCAGATCCGTTTCTCACCAAAGACGCTACATTACTTCGCCTGGATATCCTCACTTTGGTGCATTTTCTCTCACTAAGCATTTTCCTAACCTATATCTGCTTCATGCCTCGTGTTGGCCTGTCTTAGCTAGAAGGTAGATTATAGGGCTGAGGGTCAGTCTTGTGGCACTACACACAAAGATCTGGCCATACCGCCAAAGATGCCATGCCGTCCAGAATCTCTTCGCAGGTGGAAGAGATCGATGAGAACTGAGTCGTGACTTTTGTCTGGTTTCTATCTTGTCAAATGTAAATACCTACTTGCCCTCTCCTTGGTGGCTACAGCTCAACCAGTGGCTTTCTCCTTGATTCTTGATCGTACGTCAGTGTGTACAACTGCTTTACGTCCACTTGTGCAAAGCACTAGAACATTTCTATAACATTTCCGACAATGGAAGTTTAGGTATTTCTATCATTTGGTTGTGGTGGTGAAACTATTTGTCGCATGGACGGAGATTATGATGCCGCCAGTAGCCTCGTAATGACCATAGATACAGCGCATTTCTTCGTGGCTGACGATATAAAAGACTGATATGTTCCGTTGGTGTTTGTGAGCGACTGGTCCAAGTATTCTAGCGTCTAGTCCTGCTGTTCTTTATTTCTGGTCATCTGAATTATATTAACCGACAAACTTCCAAGCAAAAGGTCTGGTGTAAACCGTGTTTGCTTCACAGTTTTAGCCACACCTCTCGCTATTTATAAGCATTTCATGTGCTGCACTGAGGCCACTGCCACATGGCAAACGAAACTGTCTCGTGTGTCATAAAACAGGAATTGGGTCTTTCCGGTGCTATTTAACCTTATAGACTGAGGCTATCCCTCGGGGATATAACACGGGTATCATACAGTATGTTTGTACCAAAAAAGATGTTCAGTCTCTCGGTTTTAATCTGACCAATTCATTATATCAGTTAGGCCGTATTGATTGCTTTAATATTCCATATAAGGTTGGTAGAGAACCACTCAGCACCTTGCATTTATTCTCAGGGAACTTACCACGCTTGGAAAGTGATGTGCTAGACTATTTGTAACCCGCGTACAGAGCCTAATGAGTATCATATACTCTCACGAAGGACCACTCTCTTGACTACTAGATGACGTGCTTAGACCCAAGATTGGAAAATAAGCATCAGTTGGTAAACGCATCTTCTTGGTTTCGGGGACTCGGTAGTTTGTTTGACAGTGTGACAGTGTGGCAGTGTGACAGGGCTTTTTCTACTACGTTCTTTCCAAATGCCATGCTCAATCTCCGCGCGTCAGACCTGGGCCTATATGCGACTTACTCACCCACATCTTCTCACTAGCGTGTTCTTGTTGGCAGCTTGGGCACGGCCTGACGCGGACACAATCCCCCATATATACACCAATCCTAGCTTTAGGCACACGCAGGCCGGGCATATTAAGTATGTATTTGCTCCCAGAGGAAGTGGTGGCCAGACTTGGTCACCATACAGTCAGGAAAGTGAATACTGAAACAATAATGGGCATCTTCATCAGACGGCACAAGGTTTTGAAGCTGTTACTTCATTACTATCTCTTATACAGAACCCGAGCTGCGATAAGGCTTAGACTATGCTGTTCCTCGGGTTGAGTTTAGGAGTTGCCATTGAGTAAGTCGGACGCTTCATTGTCTGCCTTCTTGAAATTGTCCAACTTGCCAGGATCTTTGACTCATTCACAGTGCCACATCGACCTGTGCCAATGAGCCTTGGTTACCTAGATCAACTGACGTGATCGCGAAAGCGTTGGTTACCCATTGCAACAGCAAGCCTTCAGTTGTGCTGTACAGGACTCGGTTATCTAGCCGAGCTGGTGGGGTCAATATGCACTGTACATGCTTATCGCGGCCGTATTTCGCAAGGGAGGGCAGTCTACAGGCGGGGTGGGACTTTTGGACGGTTCATGACAGAGCAATGATGCCCAGCTAGCCTATCAGCAATATTGCGATGTCATCAGGGCATTCACGCTGGCACCGCGAGAGTCTTGCAATTGGCGTGCATCGTTCTCGACGTGGGAACAGGTGATCTCGAAATCGGTGCAAGACTGGGGGTGAGGTTCATGAGCAGTTCCCCGCCCCTTGTCGCAGTTTTCTTATCTGGAAGCTTGGGCCGCGCCACCAACCAGAGGAGCCAATTCGCATGCAGCACCGTTGCATCCCGGGAGCGGTGGCCGGCCTAGGTGCATGACGCAAACCCTCTCGGCCAGCGTTCTGGCCATCACTTGACCGATCGTACATAGATTAGCTGCCTCGAACTGCGATGGGTGTTTGAAAATTGCTCCCGGGTGAGTCACCCACCGGCCTAGGGGCGCATACTATGTACTCTCACAAGCTCCCGTCTGGGTGTGGCCATGGCCACGGCCATCCATATTAGGAGTCGACGGTGAAGGACTTGGCTCGACTGAAATGAGGCTTTGTCTCTGCCGGTTTTTTGGACGCGGCCGGTCAACAAGGTTTGAGTGGATGCGGGGCAGCTCTGCCTCAACGGCGGTTCGTGTTGCCCAATGACCCTACAGCAGTCCCAGGATGTCGGATCTTCCAGCAGGAGCAGTGTGAAGGAGTTGACGAGGCGGTCCCACGAGGGACACCAATGCCGCTGGTGCCTGCGTCGGGGGAGCAATAACAAACACTCATGACTAACAGTCGGGCCTGGAGTTCTGGAGTCCTGGAGTCCTGGAGTCATACAGATGCGCGTGCATTAGGTAGCTGATTTAGCGCAGTCGGATTAGGAAGGAAAACATCACGGCAAGGTTACCCGCTGCTCGGGAGCAGTCAGCTTATGTGGTTGGTGGACCCGGCGCAGATTGCGATTGCGCGCTTGTCGTGCTGCGCTGGGCAATCGTGACTTTGAGCGCGGATGATGACGACGATGGAAATGAAGTCGTCAAGCAGAAGACGAGTTTCTTGCATCCAAGTGTTCAAGCTAGGCGGTAATTTTGTGCTAGATTCTTGGGGCATGGCTGCCTGCTGACGAACGAGATCGCCTTGCGGTCCAGATGTACTGTGTAAGTCAACAAGTGGCTGCTGCTGTACGTCGGAAGATTTTCCAGAAGCATGAGTGGATCGTAGACGAGGTACGTTATCATCAATCTTGCGGTAAGCCTTCAAAAGTTCCCTGGCCTGCACATGGTCCTGCAAGGTTCTCCCTCCAGGTTATCGGACCAAAGCCAAGAGATGAGCAGAACGGGTCAGAGTTGCGCCTGGGCCAGACCAGCCAACCAGAGCCCCAGCCCACCTGGGGCTCACTACCTACTAAGGTACCAAGAAGGCACCGATACCAGCCTACCTCGCTCACTTGGGGCCTGGACGTAACCACTATCTGCAGCTGCGGGTGCTGCTTGTGGGCTGCTGGGGGCTGCTGTGGGCGCGCTAGATGGCCCCCGCCCGCCTGCCCGCTAGACTGGTTGCGTCCTCGCCGAAAAGGCGGCGTGCAGGGCACCCTGCAACGTAAAACTTGGGGCTGCCTTTCAGTACCTTAGGTATGGTGCCATCGCCTGCGTCCAGTCCCCTCCTGCTCCCCACCTTGCCCACCCCCAGAGGGCCCGGCGCACTCTGGAAAGTCCGTCGAAGGCGAATAAGGTTTCTGTTTTCTTCTTCGCACATCCTCATCTGGTCAACCGCTTTGTCCGGTCGAAGCTCTACGTCAGTTCACTCTGCTTTTCTGGGGGAAGACACGAGTGTGCCTCGTCCTTTCGCTGTGTCCTTGGCTGTGATATAGCTCCCCGCGCGCGCGACAGAGGAGAAAAAAAGAAAGGGAAGACGTCCGGCTGTGTCTGCGAACCGAGGAGCAGTGTTAATCCCGGACCGGCTCACCCACCGGATATCG